AGAACTGTAATGCGTCTCAAGCGGAGACCATGTCTTCGCTCTCACACATCGGAAAGCATTCGCCTTGTTTTTTCTATAGCGAGTCCACGTGCAAGCATGCACAAACAGCTTCTCTTTGGTATCTGGAGCGATGATGTACGGCTTCCGCGATGGGTTGAAGACACTACACAGCACAGAACACTCCAATGGGGCTCGGCTTTACTAACATCCGATCAAGGAGGGCATGTTCACTGATTGACTGAATTTTCCAAAACTCCTTGGATTCAGCGAATATCAGCCTCGATTCCTCCTTTCTTTCACTTATAACAAGGAGGATTTCCGGTATCTGGTGCAATTGGGCAGAGTCCAGGCGCAACTGGCACGATGCAGCAGACCGGTCTCATTGAGTCCTTTGACGTCTGCTTGTCTGACCAATGACGAATCGAGGCAACACTGATTTGTTCTCACATACAAAATCTTTCCATAGGACTTATTGAGAGAAAATCCAAATCTCTCTGCTCTAGCATGTGGCCAGGCTGCGACTTCGAAATCAAACAATTCCCTGGTCGAATGTCATCATGCAAGCAAGCAAGCACAAGTCGTTGCGCCATTTTCGCGTCGCCACAACCCTGGTGGAGTGGACAAGCTCAAGACAGCCATGCAATTCTACGAATCACGACTCATTCATCCTTCGAGCAGCTCATAGGAAACTTCGACACATCTTCACTCCTACGACGGTTACTTCTGCAGAATATCGAGGTCGAGAGCGGTGCAAGGGTACGAAGCCATATTCAACCGGAGAGGCAGAGCCAAGAGAGAAGCCACACTTGCTTCAGCCGCTTACAAACCAGGGCAATGTACATCTGACAGGGTTTTACACGATAGCTGCATTCGGTCCTTACACAATGTCTGGCGTACGCTAGCAGGTCATCAATGCCTTCTAGACGTCACATCCAGCATGGCAATCTGGGTATCGTTGGCATTTTTAAAGAGGACTCAAAATTGGAAGGGTCCTTTGGAGATCGTAGTGAAACTGCAACGACTGCCAGGACCACAGGACAGCGGGTCCTCTTCTTTCTATGCCTATGTGGTAACCTCCTCTGCACCGTGTGGTACCCTCCTTTGCAATGCGTACAAGTATCGTCACAATGCAAGCCCTGGTCTGTTCTGACCACCCATATCAGACCCCCAGCAGAACCCTAAATGGAGACGAGATGGAACAACAGTCGGGGCCCGACAATAAAGCCCAGTCCAGTCACGGCAGTCTGATCGCGTTCCCAATCGAAATCGACTATAGATTTACGGCTATGTCCTGGTAAAAAGCTTCGGTTCCGGCATCTTGGGCCTACGTCAACTATACAACTGGGCGAGAATGCGGTACTCGGGATCCTAACTACGAGCACGGTCATCTCGGCGGAGGTCTAGGCGTGCTTAGATCGGTATGCTAAATGGGAGCTCTAGCTGAGCCGCAAATACAAGTGTCTCGAAGCCATAGCCTTTACCCTGCCACCGAAGCTGCGTTTCACCCCGAGGCTAGAGCTCACTCTCGAAGTGACGGACCCAAAAGCTGCAGGGCTGAGGCTACCCCGAGGAGTACCGCTTTTGAATCACGGAGGCACGGACTAAGTGTCGGGCACATCTCGGGCAATCGAATTGGTGGGCTCGGACGCTCTGGATAGACAGAAAGGCCTAAAATTCAGGCCCAGCCATTTTAATATCTCATATGCCTGTCAAGAACACAGGCTGAGATCCGACGCGGACACCTACTCAGCGGCAGGCTTTCAAGCACGCATCGAATAGAGATGAGGAAAGATGTTGGGAAATTCATAGCAGAAATTTCGGTACATGGAACATTGGCAGGTAGGCCATAACGTCCATTTCATATGAGTGGGCGGAATTCGAGGTCTGAAATCCAACCTAAGTTCCCTTGATTGTCGCTTCTGTTCTGCCACAGCGACGAACATTTCCAATTCATACGTCCCACGGACATTGTAGTAGCCCATATGAACTTCAATGCATCGGCTAATGCAATTCTTCACCATATTTCGAAACTGATCGAGTGCGGTATCCTCTGATATCTCGATATATACACAGCATACCACCATCAATCCCGCCTACGGTGGTGGCAAAGCTCAAGTGGTCATCGAATGGCCTCTCTCGCAGCTCCGCAAGAACCTGTAAAATCAGCAAATAAGGCTTGAAAAGTGTCGAAAGTGAGGATCATCAGATCTCAGAGGAGATGGTGAGGTCGAAACAGCCACTAAAACGCAGTAAGTGGGAAGTTCATAACGAGCGTCTCATTCTACGACTTCAGCGAAGCTGAGGCTCTACGACTACAAGAATTAGCCAATATATCCCATTTCCCGCTTAATAAAGCATTTGAGACTCCAGGGATCAGGGAACAGGCAATGTACGTTTAGGTAATTACACCTCTTGGAAGTTATAAATAAAAATATTGGGCGAACGGTATTCATGCTCTTGTGGCTGAACGGAATGTCAGAGCCAACAGAACTGGCGACCAACGGGATCGACGCGAACTGGAGTACTGTGGAAGAATACGACGAGTGGCCGATCTGACTAGAGGATAGATTGACACGGTGCAACAGACAATGAACGAATACGATGCGGACTGGAGCATCGTCCACAAGTACATGGATCGCTCAAGTAACTCAGCCGATGAGCTGATGCCACGGAAGTGCCTTCAAAGGGAAACTTGCCATCCTACAGCAGTAGACCACATCTAATCACTGTGGAATAAGCACATAAATAGGTGCTGTATCTTCTGGAGGAGGCACGGGATGGCTAGGTTGTAGACTGGAGCATCATCCTGGGGCAGTCAAGTAACAGAGGTACTCAATCACATATCGCCATCGAAAACACCGATGAGATGCTACCTCTTCAAACTCAGCCTGTCCTGAGTAAAGGGCAGGAGCTGGTCAACAGCTTGTACTCAAGGTCGCACGAGTGGCTCACTGTATATGATGGCGGAGCTCTTTGTACTCCCGATTCAGACTTGCGCTGATGTCTACAGGGAGGAAGAAAACAAACCTTATATTTCTGAGCTTCTGTACTACCTAGAGCAGGATCAGCCCTGTGAAACTAGTCAAACGTTTCGCGGGCTCAATGTAGGAGTGGACATCGGCATTAGGGGAGTGATGGGGAATAATATGGTAGACATAGCCAATGGAATTCGTACAGAGTGAGACAAGCTACATGGCGTGAAGGGAAAGATAAGGGAATGAACAGGTCTTTGTTTTCGCGGTATGACTTTAGCGATTCGAGATCGGGAACGATGGCAGCTTGAGCGATGAGGAATGCTGGTATATGTAGACACGTGTGTGATGAGACATAGTGGAAGCGTTTGAAGGAAGTAGATCAGACCAAGAAGGTGCCAAGTTCAAGGCCGTCACATCCTTTTGAGACAGGAATGGGCTGCTACCTATTGAGACGGAATTTTCTCAGTGAGCCTGGATTCTTTAATCACCAATCCTTTAACCACGGATTCTTAGACATATCACACCAGCGCGACATTTCTCTTTCCCGGTCCCACCTGCGGTGTAACAAGTCCTTATATTCTGACAATGTCATCCCTCTTGGTATTTCCCCTTTCATGATGACAGAAACGTCTTCTGGCTTCAGTGTTCTTGACAAGACTTCCTGTGCGTCATATCCGCACGCTCCTAACGCTGATATCCAATTCTTCATTAGACCAAAGTATGCTTGCTGCAGTCCAGGAGGTACTTCCCGTTCTAAGTGAAGTATAAAATTAGAGACTGGAGTACCGTCGCGATCCTCCTCATAGACATTAGCGCCAGCCTTAATCAGGATAACAAAAAGATCTTTCATTAAATCCATGTTATCGTGAAAATTGCTTTTAGCGCAAGCGTTAATGAGACAACCTTGCAAAGACTGGTGTGGCAAACCATCCTTTCCTTGCCTTTGGAGTAGCAACGCCACTTTTTCTTGAGTCTTATGAGAAGGCATTTTCACTACCTCTGATATCAGTGAGTGCATAGGGATCGCTTCATAGGAATGGAGGAAATGGAGGCCGTGGTCTAATACAAGACGCAAATAATCCTGTTTGCTCGTCAGACGTTTTCTTCTTCTAGAGTTTCAGAGTCTCAAAGCACCGCAGTCCCAGTGAATAAGACGTCTTCCCAATGATTTCTAGCATAAAGTGTGGGGCTTGCGACAGTCGGGTCAGCACCAGCCTCCATGAACAGCCGTCGACAATGTATACCCCGATTCAAGTCTCCCGCGTTCATCGCGCAGTCGTAGGGACTCCATTTTGTTAATGACGGCACCCTGATTGAAACGTCAACAAGCTAGCAGCATAACTGCGGACCTGACTACCTACATTGCTCTTGGACTCCGGATATCTGGCTCGAAAAAATTAACGTTGGAGCCCTGGTCAATTAGAAAACTGCATATGCTCGGCTGCCTGAAGTACATAGCGTACTATGTGTGCTCATTTCAGACGAATTCAGACAGAGGAATAAATTGCTATTAGAAGGGCACTGGCGACTCACGTGCAGTAGACACCGTCCATAAATGTCACGGTCATTGAGGCGTACTTCCTTCAGACTCATTGCTCGAATCAATCCTTCTATGTCTCCCTCTCTGATTAATTGGAAGCATTTCGAGTCTTCAGGAAACAAGAGCGATACACTAAGAATGGGTTTGTGGAGGAATGATCCCGTATACGATATCCTTTGTTGGAATGCAACAGATACCCAAGGATTTTGTCTGTTGTTAGGAAGAAACGAAACACAAGCATCAAGAATTTCTTCTTCTTCATCCTCCACTTCTCCATGCCCCTTGTGCTCTTGTCCTGCGTATTCGAATTTGAGCATCCTGTTCAGTCGCGTTCCACGATTCATCTGAAAACTGAGGGTACCAGCTTGTGTCTTACATTCTTGATACGACTGGCTGCATTTGATTTGTCTTGTTCGTTTTGGGGCCGGTCGATAAGCTGCGCGAACGGAAGTGGTTAGAACAAATACAATTACAAGCAGTGGTGATCAATTGAGACTCATGTGGATTGTAGACCGACCTTTCTCATTAACTGTGATACAATGGGACGTCACTAGATGACCACTCATACGTTTCACGTTTCGTTGAAGATTCTTTTCCTCTACTTCATCGATGTCGTCGTAAGACCTCTTTTTCCGTTTTCCCTCTCTGCGCCTTGACGCCTGAAGAGATTCTTGATCAGCCTGAGCCAAGATTTGCTCGATGTCGTCAATGATGGCCTCTGCTGCTTCGGAGAAAACAATTTTGTCGGTGTCGTGGGCTAGCTGAGATAGTCGTTGGAGGGCTTCCTGGAGGCCGTCTTCTGCGACCGCGGCATTCGGTGCCATGGAAGCTCTGTCATCTCGGCTGGTGTCTTCTGAAGTCTGACGAGGGAGATCTTCGGTAGGGGCCATTGCTGCATGCGCTACTGACGAGGCTGGTGGAAGACGCTCCAGGAGAAGTTCAATCTTACGCTGCAAATTTGCGTTCTGATCGACTGACAGGCTTGAGAGCTCTTGCATCTTATCTCCTTGTTGTTGAACAGCATTGGTACAATTCTGAAGCAGAGAATGTGTAGTCTCGTACCCTTTCCGCATGGAACCAGCTAGTGTTGTCGAGAAATCTTGGAATTTGTCCCCAAATTGTTGAAAGGAGTTGGAATGATTCTGAAGTGAAGAGTAGGTAGTCTCATGACCTATCCGCATAGAATCAGCGAAGGTCGAGGCCGACTCCCTACGGTGCTCTTCGTGATCTGTTACTAATGCAATCAGTCTGTTTGCCAGCATCTGTACATCTTCGATCCGGTTCCTGTCACAAGGTGAGTCTCGCGGCTTCAAGGAGCCATTCAAAGTTATACGAACCCTTCTAGAACTCGCAGTTGAAGCTGTAGGGTAGTGAGGTGGTCCTGCACAAGTCGTGACATCCTGTCTAGTTCTTTCTCTTGAATCATGCTCTTCACATTTTGCCATACCACCGCAGCTTTATTGCGCTTCTGTGGGGATAGCTTTTCCAGCTTCCGGCGAAACAGCTCCAGATTCTCGGTACATTCCCTGACCAATTCGGGCAAATCATTTGACAAATGGAGACTGTTGCTGCTAACAAGCTGCCCAAAGACTTTCGATAGATTGTGAACGTTAGACGTTGTTTGTCGTATCGTTTGCGGGGCATTCTGGATGCTTGATATTGTGGTATACAACCCTTGCGAAGAATGCAAAGCTAGGCCCAGGAGTGTGACAATACTAGCAGCTGCTTCCATCACCTCTGATTCTGAGCTGACGCGCGGCTGCCACGGTAGCCTTGTCGAAATCGGTATTGCACGTACGCTCCTGAGCACCCCCAAGAGATACCAACGATGGGATCTTGCGGGATTGCTTCAACTTCTCAAAAATGATGCCATTGGCGACGGAATGCATCAAATGATATGAAGTCTGATTGTTGTTGGAGAATAATCGACGACACGGGTGCTCCGAGCCTCCGAGCCTCAAAGCACCGCCGATCCATCCTTGCATTGGTTTGCTTGGCTTGCAGGCGCCACAAGGCAAATTACAGGCATCCAAGACCAATGAGATGCCGTGCGGGGAGACTTCCCCCCCCCCCCCAACCGCCCGAAATCATTAAAATAATGGGTACAGGGACTCTGGAAGATGTTCTGGTGAAGACAAAGCATTTCCTTCAGATGCTTATCGTTTCGCTCAGGCTGGAGATGTCACAGGCCTACAGTACCTTTACATCTCTGGCAAACGTCCATTCACGACGCCAATCCAGAGGAGGGTCAGAGCGCGTTGTTGGTAGGTTTCCCAGTGTGAGGGAGCATGGCATGATTTGCGGAATCAGATGTACTCACGTCAAACAGGTCGCGATTTGGTGTGGTCAGGCCTAGTTCATACAATTCCTCCTAGACCACGGCGCATCCACCGAGGAGACGACGTTCGAAGGCCTGTACGAAAGTCCCTCCCTTTGATTCTCCCGAATACTGACCTGTAATAGGGAGACCATTGATGCCGCTTTTCGACACGTATATGGGAAAGTCAGTCCAAATGCACCACTCATTTCCCACCTTATGAACCTGGAAGACTACCTTGAAGATCAGCAACTATCGCTTGCCCACCGGATCGTACTAGGCCGATCTTCAAGGGATCTCCAAGAGGTACTGAGAGACCAACCGGAGCTAGCCAAAGCAACGGACTATCATAATCGGTCTGCCCTATGGTGGGCTGCTCTTCGCCATGACATCCATGCATGCAGGACACTACTATGCTTTAACGCAAACCCGAACAACGCAGATTACCAAGGCGAAACTCTCATGCAAAATGATGCCGGAACAAGTTACACCGAGATCCTAGAGATGCTTGTTACTGCTGGTGGCTCCATAGGAAGTGATGACGCCCTCAAAGAGACACCTCTTCATTATGCAGCTCGCTCGGACAGCCGTATCGAGAACACATACTTCTTGCTTGGGAACGGTGCCAATGCCAGCGCTACGAACGCCAATGGCGTGACGGCAATGCATGAAGCTCTACAAGTCGACGCTGTGGACACTGCCGAGCTGCTCATCAATTATGACGTCAATCTCAATGCTGAGGATATGTATGGGGATTATCACTGGCACCTTGCAATTACGTTGTAAGCACCAAATATCCTTGAACATTTCATCGGTGCAGGATACGATTTGCACATGCCTGGAAAATACGGAATGTCAATCAACGACTACCTTCAGATGTATCCCAACTCAGATCTCGAGAAGCTTTGGATGGAGAAAGAAGACGTCTCCAATAATCCGGGATTGAGGACCTTCGACGTAGCTTCGAAACCTTGGGACCTGATCGACCCAGCAGCAGTCCTTCGAAACATCTTCACGTCTTCAGACTCACCTTCAACGCCATACAAAATCCGACAATTGAGTCGAGGATTTACATCATGGCTGACACCCTTACTGTGGGGCGATTAGGTAGGCAGTCCGCGGAATGTCGCTGTTGAAGAAAGCACGGGTACAACAAAGGGAACTGTGGACACCATCTCCTTAATCTCTTCTCATTCTTGGTCAGCATGTCACATCAAAGCGTGCTATATTGCTGGACACTAATCATCAGAGACAGCTGGCCAAGTGGCTTCAGTCTACGCCTTACGAAAACTTGGTGCTTGCCTTGCACTTCCACAGAAACTCCAAAGGGTGCCGCAACATGCATTCCTCGCAGAGCTGGGAGATTATTACTCAAGCCTTACCCTTCTGCTTTCCAGCCAATCTTCGACCGTCTACCTCTGCCAAGATCCTCTCTGGGTCGATAGTGATGTATTCTGAAGATACATCAGATACATGGGAAGCTTAGGCAAAGCCGGGTACTTCTTAAAATCGGGAGTGTTGAGTAGAGAAACACCAGAAGGATGTCAGCCTCAGATCTTAAATCGACATTTGAGCAACAGAAAGAGTACCGCGCTAGAGAAATACTATCTTTGAGGAACGCCATTGCTACAGTCCGCTGAAGTGGACTGGGTGTCTGCCTTGGAGTGGAAGCCAGTTCCTATTGCAGCCAAATCTCGGCTGCCAGGCCATGAACTTGACATACACAAAGGGCTTCAATTCACATGTCAGCGGATTTAAAACAGCACAATAAACTCGCGAAGTCAATAGAGGCTATCCAAACGTCTCGACATAGTATAATCTTGCTACCAACCGCCCTCTATGTTCTTCTCAATGATAGTATTGTAATTTTCCTGCATCATCTCCCGATGGCTATCATTATCACCACACTCTCCAAGATAATCCCACATATCGATTGCACTCTCTCGTCGGCTGTCACGATCTTCCTTTTGTCAGCTAAACACTCACTTAGATTTAACTCAGAGTACTTACCAGACGCGACATCTGTACCAGAAGTCTTGTCGATAATCGCTGATGCAGGAATACCATAGAGACAGATGTAGGCCCCGTGAATATGCTGCGATGCACGCTCGGGGATCTCGACTTGTAGCTTTTCCACCAGGTCGCTAAGCTTGAACAATTTCATGCCCTCCAACTTGTCTGTGGAAATGGTACAAAGTGCCCAGTCACCTTTTCCACCACGGTGGTTCCAAGGCTCCTTGCATCCCCAATTCTCAGCGTGCTCACGGTTAGAAAAGAGAGAAATGAACGGAGAAGCATCCCGATTGCCCCATGTGAAATGTTTCTCGATGGCCTGCGTAAATTTTGTCTCATCAGTAAAGCCAAAGGTCGTAGTGGTATCCTTGGCTTTAAAGCCTGTTTCTGTGGAGAAGGTAGTATGGCTTTGTGAGTACTGGATGCGGTAGAGCTCGCTGGGAGGGTTTGAGCAGATGTATTGGTCCATGTTGGAAGGATGAAGCAATGCTTGGAAGCTGGATGATGTCTGCTCAGAGGAAGGTGGAAGTATTTGTTCTGACGCTTGGTTGCAGGAAGGCAATATCAGGCGAGCACGTTAGGCTCAATTGAGAGAGTGCAAGCGGCAGTCACTAGCCGCCATGTTGAGCAAACAAAGCTTGAACATTCTATTTTGCAGTACTGGGAGACCCTCTTCTCTATCCTCCTATTTGAAGCATGATCAAACACGTCTGATCAGTCCCAAGTACCCGTGTAGCTACCAAAATCTACGTCAGAAGTAGCCCGTTATTCAGTGCAACAAGTCTCATAAGAAGACCCTTCGTACAAACTAGTTTCATTCCAATGGAACGTGCTTCAAAGTCCAGACGCCTACAGATCCTCAATTGCAGTACGGAACAGCAAGGGCTAGGGCGCTGATCACATCAACCGGACACTTGCGGTCCTTTGTACTCCTCAATCGCCCACATCAGATTTTTGCTGACTCTGCACCCTAGACTATGGCTATTTTCTAGCATACCTACCTAGCATCACCCTTTCACAAAGTATCGACGCTCAGGTAATGGTCAAGACGCAGCCTTGCTACTGTTCTCCAGAACCCTGTCTTAACTTATTGATCCCTGACCTTCCAATGAAGCCCATTGATTCCTCGTTGCCTATTACACCTCTGCTCGCTGGATATTGGAATATTCCTCGATCAGATTGAAAGAGCTTGGAAGCCGGTCAATACATTGGCTGCTGCAGTCACTCCAATTTCTAGCTTGTGACGCTATACGGAAGAGATCGAGCAAGGGAGAAGTCGCCTTCATCTTGCGTCTTTCTAAACTTGGCTGATCCTGGTGTAGGTATGATCTCACGAAGTACGCGGACAACGCATCACAATTGAGCCCTCAACAGTCTAATAGCCTATGTATCCTTTAAGCAAATATCTCCTCTGTCATTAACGCCTATCTTTGGACGATTATTCGGCTATCTGCAGCAACAAAGAAAGAGAGTGTGCATCCACTAGGACAAGGCCCGATGGCCCAGCATGATTCAAAGAACTCAAGATCTGATGAGGTAGAGAGAATTGCCCTGCAGCAAAGGACATCAGCCCTGTTGCAGAGTGCACATACGGATATCAGCAATGCTGTCTTTCAATTGTCTGGCTAGCATCGACAAAAATCTAGTTCATTGGTGAAGGGCATGGTTGGGATGCACCTACAGGAAGAAGAGAATAAATAAGAGGGTTCATTTGACCTATTGGCGAATTGGGAGTCGAATTAGCTGGACTTTAACAAAGTAGGAGTAGGGATCCCCAATTGGCAGGCAGATCTCAGGGGAAAATTACTGCCCTAACGCTAACGCTACAAAGTACCTTGCTAACTATACTTGGCCTAGTCTACAGCTGGTCCTGAGGACCTTGGGTCGCTCTTTGCAGCGTAAGTTTGTGTAAAGCCTAATACAAGGGAGCGGCGCTTGTATGGCTGGACTATTTCTTCGAACCTTGTTAGCCTTGTAGATAGAAAAACAGGGTAGTTAGTGTACCACGAAAGATTGAGAGAGACCAGCCTCCAATGAGAATGTGCTCATGCTGTCGCAGTACTAATTGTGGAGGTCAAGTCAGGGATGGAGAGGGGTATGGCTACCTCAGCGAAGTTCGCAGAATGATATGATATGATTACATGGGATGCAGAAGAGGTATGCTCTGCCCACATGCGTAGAAAAAGATCTTCTCTTGGCATTATCCGCGAATTGATAATACCACCTCGCTCGCTTCTAGCCCTACATCGATGGGGGAGAAGTTAAGCTGTGACAACCCTTGCACCGCTCTGACCGTCGGGACATCCTCAACAGACACGATATCTCATTGTCCACCTGCTCTTGCAGCAAGAAATCCCTACTAATATCATTACTTCCTAGCAAGGCTTACTCCCAAACCCGCTTTCATTCCGCAAGTAAAGCACGTCAGTCTTGTTCTACTGGTACAGCACAAGTATTGCAGCACAAGTTGCCCCAGCTATCACATACTATATCTCGACCGATAAGCCAGCAACCCTCGTGCATTCAAATAGGCACTACATCCACCTTATTGATCAGCTTTGTACCGTAATTGACGTATCCAATCCACCGGAAATTTTTCAAAATGCCTTTACAATCAATGCCCACGGAAATCATCGAAAAAATCTATTCTATGTGTCTGGAGCCAGGCATGGCGCACGCGTCACCAGTACTTGGCAAGAAGCTCTCGTCAGAGACTATTTACAGAGCTACCATGTTGCACGCATTCTACAATTTCAGAAAAATCGAAGTCTCGCATCTCGTAGACCTGGAAGCGAGATGCAAGAGACCTCACTACACGTTCGACTACTCTTTTGAACTCGCGAAACCTCGAGAACAGCCAAGTCTCCAGGCGCAAATTATGCACACTCGATGGTTCACGTCGTCACGGTTCGAACGCTTCGTCAAGCATATACTTTCGATCAAAACTCACATCGCCCTCTCGAAAATGACCAATGACATTTTTGGGCTCAGCAAACAATTCGCAGATGGGTTTTTTGGAGACTTCGATGTCTTTTCAGTGGGGATTACACGAATGACCCATGCAGGATATCATGTTGAATTACATGGCGTCCCACATCCTCACATCAAGATCAACACCAGGCGACAGACCGTCAGACTTTTCCCCCCAAAGGTCTATGTACTTCCACATACCATCCAGAGTTCTACCAATTGGACCAGAGATCATTTTGATATTCTCAGCGCAATACGCTACTACTGAGCTCCTCGGGGAGCTACCTACTTGAGAGCAATAAGATGTGATCAGAGACTTCTCCGTGAAGCAAAAGAGAAAGCTAAGGATGCTATGGATGAGGTAGTGCGAGCGAGGGTCAGTAGCAGTCCACAGGACTAGAGGAATAGCCTAGTTACCCAGGACTTGGAGCTACTGCGAGCGCCAATTTGGCTCGACAGGGTTGCAAAACCCGTATGCAGATGAGAGAAACAAAGCAAGTGACATGATATGAGGCGCAGCTCTTGATCAGGCCGTTTCTTATGATCACGAGTATGATTCTTAACCATCTGCTATACAAATTGCTACTGTCCCAGGCAAACGAAGACTTGCCATTCGTGCGGATAGGTCAGAATCTGGGTTTTAATGATTTTGCAATGACGACGATACAAAGAGGCACAGCTTGAAGCCCAAAGACCTAAATTATCCACAGAAAAAGGAGGCTAGAGAGCTCTTGCTTCTTGAAGAATCGGCCGTCTGGATTCTGCCAATATAGTCTCACCTCCCCTTTCACTCACCGACCAGGCTTTGCATCGCTCTTCCCTTCATAGCGCTCTTCTTGCATGACACCTCTTTCCTTACGACCCTCCTTGTTTGCAGTATCCATACTGCTATATTTATATATATCAGACCATCTTTGCGCTTTTGAACAACAAAGAGCTTAGATAAACCTCGGAAGACAGCTAAATTGCAACCTGTTAAGCTATTCCAGGCGAAGTGGCGGGTCAGCTAGCAACAATCCAGCCGAATGACCATCCGCTCAATGAGCGATGATGCAAGTCGCTATCTCAGGTGATCCAAGTACGAGAACTCCGCACATAGATTAGTGTTGGCCTGCTCAACCTGCACCACAGGAGCCTCTTGGGTGGATGTAAGAAGAAGGATTTGGCCAGCTCAGTCAGCACCACAGGAGCCTCCTTGGGTGGATGTAAGAAGAAGGATTTGTGCCGTTGTCTGACAAGCCGTCAAGCGTCGCTCGCGGGCCTGGAATTCGTCATCTATCTGCATCGTCAGGCAGATGTCATCCGGCTCATTGACTAGAAAATGTTTTTTCCTCACAAAATCTTCGCGTGGAAGCTGCGCTCACATATTGCTATTGACATCGTTGATCTGCTAGTGCACAAGGTCAATCTCGATCCCGCGACTTGCTTTTGCTTTTTCCGCAACCTTCCCCACCTAACCTGGCTTTTCTTGACAAGCGGCGGCATGCGAGAGTTGAAAGTTCTTGAAGAGATGTCTGCGTAAGAAGGCGCAATGATGCAAGTGATGCCAAAGTCGAGGAGCGTGGGTGACGCAACAGTTCCACGGTAAGCACGCAGGCACCCAAGTGACCAGCTGAGCATTGATCATTCCCTGTTGCATGTTGTTTTGCCGTTCTTGCGGTGGGGTTGGATACCGCCCCAGTCGCAGGTGGGCTCGATGCAAGAGCGTAGATCGCCCTAGTGGGGCTCGGTGTCATCGGCACGGCGTCGGTACTGCAGTTGTTTGATGTGTCCTTGTAATGGCTCCCAAGTGCTTCTGCGTTGTCAAAAATGGCCGAACAGCAAGGCCATCGAAGGCTTGTACTGTGCTGCGGCTGTTCTTGAGGGCCCGTTAAATCCACCCATTGCTGGCTGATTTCGCCTATTGTACGTGCCCTGTCTTGGCTCGTCCGGTTCTGTTGAAAACATCGTGTTATATATATTTATAGCGACATTCAGCTATTTGCTGAATGCTCTCTCGATCAGCTTCCGTTAATCCTGAGTTGACTGAAGTGCCTCAGCTGTTCGCTCTCATTGTCATGTCCATATGCGGCACTGGTGTATGGCGTTCGAAACCTGGGAAGAGATGCACGAACTTTGCTCCAAAAACGATGATCAATCGTCACCGCTGCTCGGTTCTGGATGTTGCTTATGGAAACTCCTTCCTTGGGAATGCTGATGCATCGTACCTTCCCTAAGTGGGTGAGGCTATTCTGATACTGGGTCCAATTGTTGGGCATGATCCTGACTCCACAAGGCTCACACCACTTTTTCCGCTGGCGAGGAACTTTTGAGCCTATGGATCGCTCTGTAAAATCGAACTTTCCAAGACGCCCTTTCGGAATTGCGGATATACTCTGCTGATGCAATATGCGCAAAGCAGTTCTGATGTGGCGCTCCCAAACCCGGATTTGGTACGCGCTCGTCGCGGACCGCGCAATGCTACACATCGTGAGCAACAACCTCCCCCTCTTCTCGTTTGGCGTTTTGACCCCCATGCTACCCCACGACATGGCTTCGGCGTCAAGTTGTTTCTCATGCGCTGCTTTCTCATCTAGAGCTCACAAGTTCTGGTGCATTTGGGGAGATTGTTATATATATATATATATTTAGAGGGACTGTTCCTCGACGGACTTGAAGTCCTTCTGTTGCGATAAAGCTCCACAGATCAGGCGGAGGATATCATCCGCCAACCACGAAGCCATCTTTCCTGGCCCCTTGAAGAACGAGGAGGCAAAGGCTAAGAGCCCGCCTGTTGTTTCGAGATATGCCCGCGGAGAATATTTTGGAGAAGTAGGTTTCCGATGTCCTCCTTTGTTGCTGACCTTCGCGTTGAAGCGCCATACTTCTTCTTCAGGGCACCTAGTCGGTCATGGTTTCCTACCGCTTGCCGACCTCCGTGCAACTAATGGGCGACGAGGTGATTGGCTCGATGTGTGTCTAACACCGCCGGCTTGTCTTACCCAAACGCTCTCGCTTTGAAGAAGTTCTCTGGAAAGCGAGGTCGACCGAAAAGTTCTTTCTCCCGTCGCTTCGACATGACACCATTTTTGGTCGGATGACCTGAATAGCAGTCCAGACGAGTCGTATCTTGAAATGACTCTCCTTCTCAGCCGGGTCGAATGTTCCCCAAAAGATCATTGGGGCGGCTGATCAGCCAATGTGCTCCAACATCAGCAAAGGCGTTGTAGTGGCTGCATGGACGGTTCGCCAGGTTGAGCCATTGTTCGGAGAAGCAGAAAGTGCAATTGAAATTGCGGTCGTGCTGAAGGGCAATTCACCGTTGCGGTTTTGATTGTTCTTGTCATCTTTGGCCTTGAACAGCGAGGCTCGCAGGACTAGTTCTGCCTTGCCGTCCGCGGTAGCCTCGATTGGCAGCAATTTACTCTTCCCTTCCGTGCGATTGGTCGCTGTAGAGCGTTCCAATGACGATTTGGCAAGTGCGCAATGAAAGAGTTTTCATTGATCTGAGGCTGTGGCAGTCCAGCATCCAACGGTAGCTTAGTTGACCAATGAATTAGTGTATACTCTTGGGTACGCCGACTCCTTGTGATCCGCCTTCTGGGCGATCTCGAACTCGGCAGATCCGCACGTGGAGCGTCCATCAACGCAGCGGAGACCGCATCGCTCACCAAAGCCTTCACTTCTCCGGCCGCTTCTAGCGACGATGTATATATATATTTAGAACGGACGGTCTTGGCCGTCTGTAGTGCTTGTCTCCACCCCGAATCCAAGGGATGTCGTGGCTGCGGTCACGGAAACTGTGTTGAGATGCTGAAAGAGCTTGATTTTCTCCGCGTGACCAGGATCATCGTTGTACCAACGCGTATGTTGAACGTATTACAACTGATGTTGACATTCATAGGACGATAAAGAAAAGCAAACCGAGCCGTCGCTCAGAGTGGCCTAAAGAGGCGTTTCAGTTTCCATGATTGGAGCAAACAGCCCGAGCCAGTAGACAAGCCTAAGTCCGTAAACGACGATAGTGTTGTCGATGACTATTACTCTGCGTGCTGAAATGGTGATATCCAGTTCGATATTCATGACACGGTCAAGCTCGGCGGAGGTATTTTGATAATACATCGCGTAAGGGGCGCCGATTTCACATCTCCACGATGCTGAGCCTAGTATACTTCAGCGCGATCTTCACATATTGGGCGCGCGGTGCCACTTTTGACAAGTCTCTGCCGCCTGGCGGTGGTTTTCTGTTGATCGCGCTGTGTCTAGGAGCCGCATTCTTGAAGGATCGCGAGGCGTCGAACTCCGATCGAACGGGTGTCATCAAATATTTCTCTTGCAATCGTCTGCTTCTCTCCCTCGAAAAGACGAGAGATCTAGCTTGAGGGAAGAATTTGGTGGGGTTCAGGTACATCTTCGTTCCTTCCCAGAATGTCTTCTCACATTCAGAGATGCAGGGCAGCTAGATGAGTCAGATTTCAGGCACAAGTTGCTGCGCTTTTGCCAGCACTTTAGCGCCTTGCCATATGTTCCTCGCATGCCGATACATCTGTCTGGCCATGATTTCAGCTTCAGCTGGTGATACAAGCCCCGCCGATCGTTCACGGTTGTCCTTGAAACAGGTCGGGGGTATGAGTTCTATATATATTTAGAGGCTTTCAGACGCTGAAAGCTTGAGATTCCCGTCTTCAGACGGCAGGCGAAGTTTCAAGGTCTTGGGTCGCTTTCTCTGTGTCCGAATTCAATAGCCCGCGCTATCCTCGTCTCTGGTAAAGGAAATGACATAACTTGTTCTATGAGAATGAACTAGAAAGGTCCTCTCCCAACACCTGAGAGGGTTTCTTCGTTCAGATGGAGTGAGGCCATTCTCATAGCCAAGAAGGATCTCACGACACACTAGAAGCGAGCAACGTCTAGCTTTTGACAGCTGGGGTTTCTTGTGCACTCATCTTTCTCTGACCTGCTGGTGAGAGACTCCAGCACCCCCACAGAGATGAGTCTTCCAGACTGTCAGCTTGACACTCTTGATCCCGCATGGCATCGTATTGAATCACCTTGCCTAGTGTATAGCTCATGGATTCTTTCTCCGCTGCTGTCAATCTGACGTTCTCAGGGTTTCCCGGCGTATGTCACTCCCTTCTCGACGGGTCCAATCCCTTCAGGAGCCATGCGACGACTCGCCGAAACACATGTACTAATCGAGGACCTGGTGGAAGATCTGTAGCGTCTCCCAGGCAGTCACGATTTCAGCTGGTCGGCTTGTTCGATCGTCCATGGTTGCAGAGGCAGGTACTCTAGCAGCCTCATGTCCATTAGCTTGGCGGAAAATCTTGTGGTCGAGGGGTATCCCGGAGATATCGCGGCTCGTGGTTTATTGGCTTACCTAGCTGTCCATACGGGTCAGTAAGTAATTGAGCATCCGTGCTTACTGGGAGCAGTTGCCACTTGCAGCTCTGGAAGTCGAGAGAGCCAAGAGGGAGACTCTTTTGCTGATATGATTGTAGGCTTCCAATTAGAAGGAGAGCATACAGGCCGAGGACCTTTTGCGCTGCGTTACGCCTTACGGCGTTTGGTTAAGACGCCGTTCCGGCACTCTCATAGTGGCTGTCCATGGATTTGCGAGCCCATTCTCCATCACAAGATCAGCCGTACCCACAACAAAGAGGCCTTCATTATATATATTTATAAGGAGCATGTCCTTGGGTGAGCTTCGATACCAAGACTCCAGCTTTGGTGGTCGTTCCTGAAATCGATCTCGATATCTAATTGAGTAGAAGGATTTCTCCAGAGTCTTCTACAACTTTCGTCTCGGATTTCTCGATACCGTTCCCGTGGTTCGCCCACTCCCCGACTAGAAGTCATAAAGACGGCACTGAGAATGCCCAACCGAGCGTTCCCTCTAGGACGCCCAGCTCGTCCAAAAAGCGATGTCGCAATGTGCATTTCATCCTGGAGCTGCGCCCCTATCTCGACCTTGAAATAAGCTGCGTGTGACAATGTCCAAGTACCATTGGTCCTCAGTATTTGCGACGTTGAGAAGCTTTGTGGTGCTATCGACAGAAGGAAACGAAGCAGTGATCCCTTTGAGTTCTAGATGCGTTATTCGTGACCAGTCTCAAGGTCTAGCCAGACTTGAATAACGGCATCAATATCTTTATATATTTACTGAGCTAATTTTTTGACGCCGTGGAGCGAGTGGATTCGTCCTCACGGCGGTGTGATTTCGTGTCCGACGACTTAAATGCTTTTAAAAGTGGCATCACTGGTATCCCTTACGCGTTAAGCGGGACCGTTAGACCTGAAGACGTTGTGCGTTTGTGAGGACCATATCCAGGCTGGGCTCCATGCGCCGCAGCTTTTGCAGGCATCGTCGCACTAGTCTCCGCAGTGCCATTAACTGCTCGATTTGGGGTTGATGTGTCCATTGGCACGCGATGAGCGGGTGAGAGTACTGGGTTCCACTCCGCTTCGATTCGAGCTTCTCGCTTTGCTTCTTTCCACTCGTTCTCGAGTTTCTCGAAATCTTCAGATGCATTTTGTTCAGCACTTTTCACCGCTAGAGCCTTCGGTTGAGGTCTGTGCAGGGACGCCCATCCTTCAAACTTGACGGTCTTCTCATGTTCGTGTATGCGCCGTGTTTGCTAGCTGGATGAACGTGAGGACTTGGGTTGAAAGAGCTGGGAGGAATCGAGAGTGAAGATGGCGACCCGTCGTGGAAAGGATCGATACTCATGATCTTTTGTACAGAACTTCACCTAAGTTTTCCAGTGTATTCTCTTCCAATGACCCTCTCTATTTGAATCATCCATCTGCACAGCAAGAGGAGACATTCGGAGCGGCGAAATGGACAAGAGTACCAAATGTGGTTCTGATGAGCAAGGGAGCCATAGCCCGAGTCAGGACGAGTTTGTTCGACAGCCCGAGGGATAGGTTAGTCAACGTTCCGTGAATTGGTCGATGGCTCGGGAGACAAGAGTGAGTTCTACCAGATCTGCGATCTTGGTGGCGAAAGTAGTAGCAAGGCTAAGAGACCTCGCCACGATAGGTGCTTCAGGTTGCAGAAATCTTTCACTGCGGCCCGAGTATGATACTCGAAATAGCATTCGATCATTGTAATCAGCGACAAAGTAGTGATAGAGGTCTGTTGCTCGCGCTTGACACTCCTTTCGTCAACAAATGGGCCGACTTTCCTCCCGTGGTCAGCAAACACTTGATGACACAGAATGTTCGAAGAAGATTTTATATATATACGATGCTCCAAGCATCCTTGCCCGCTTTCGCAGGCGAATATAGGTGACCTGTGGTCACGGAAACGAAATGCCATCGAGTACGGCTGAGGCAAGGGTTTCCAATCCACTGCATATCGTACAGCACCTGGTGTCTGGGTCGTTGATCAAGCCGTTCCATCCGACGCTTGTCCGGGGTTCCTCGAGGTATTCGCGCATTACCACCCAAAGCTCGCGATGGGCTTCTTAAAGAGCTGGACCACAATTGCACATGCCTAGGTACGGAAGTAGTCAGCCGGCTCCCATGGTGTAGAGACGTGGCTGAAAAGGTCGCGTGGGTGTCTGAGTGTTCTTTGCGTCGGCTTCAGAGGAATTTACCCCGGAGAGACTGATGTGTATGCCCACAAGCTTGGACCGCATGTCCAGAAGTCTTCCCCGTTTTTTGACCATCGACATGCTCCTTGACCCCATCTGTTGCCTCTTGAAACTTGAAGCACGCCTGTCGTTGCTTCTTGATCTGGTGCATCTTCATAGCTACGTCGTAAGGGTCTGCTTCAGGAAGAGGACGAGCCCATCTATGGAGGCCATGTCTTTGTAAGCCCTGCCATTGTGCACCCAAGATTTTGCCTCTACCATCCTTGGAAGTGTCTTCTCTGGTCGTCCTTGTTCATTCAACGGCGTCAACGACTTTTCGGGCTCGGAGAGGGATTCTCAGCTTCCTTTGCAGCATCGTGGAGAGCTACATGCCGCATCACATGCCGCATTCCATCATGATTGAGGGCTTTCACTGCCAGTCATAGCCGATTCGATCTTGAAGAACTCCAAGAGCTGTACTACCAAGTCAAAGGCTTGGTGACGCTTCAACGAGGTAGACTTCGGCTGCTCTCTTTGAAGTTGAGTTTCCATTGCGGTATGAATCAGCCAGCGATGAGGCATCCCACAGCGCCTCTCTGAAACATCTACTTGATTCGTCCCCGTGTTGTCGTTGTACTCGATCAGTAATTCAAGACTTGAGTGTCATGTCAACTTTTATGTCATCACGACTTCCAGCTCTCCGAGGCCGAAAGCCAGACGAGGCAACGTCAGAGGTATGGCCACGTAGTCTCGTCGGCCGCAACAAAGTATCAAACATAGCATTTGTCGGGTGATAACATGCCAGTGAGGCAGGCGTAACCATCGTGGTTGGATCTTCGATTGGACCTGCATCGGATCTTCCTTGAGTTTTGAGGCATACAGCAGTAGCGAAAGCATGGCAGTGAGAACGACAACTGGACAGGTCCCCAAGCAGTTTGGCGGCTTTGCAACTCGAGCTAGTGATGACACGCCGATACTCGTATTGAGTAACTTCGATACCAGGATGGATACCGGGTCGACGAGTAATCTCAACTCTAATCGTCCTTTCAACCATATTTGAGGTATCAGCAGAATGCCCCAACCAGTCGCGAAGAGGCAATGGTGCCCCGAAGAGCCAGCGCGATCCACTTTGGGGAATCCAGCTTGACTGTTGTTGGCAAGGCAAGTAGTCCAACAGTTGGCGTACAGTCCATGTGTGATCGCCACGAGAAGAGATAAGGGTGCTTGGGCGGAGCGTGCATCCCCTGCCGTACCTTTCTGCAGCTTAACCAATGGGTTTTCGGGCGTCGTCCCGTACGAGACTTCCCGAGCCACGATGGCGAAGCGTGGTGTCCTCAAGTCTCTGTCCCCTTTACATTCTCTGCAAGCTGCTCAGAGGAAGTTCGAACTTCTCTTTGCCGGTTCTCCTGAAGACAAAATCTAACGGGCTACCTTGGAAGTTGTTGCGTTGATGGTCTCGAGCGAGCGAGAAGCTTTCTTGAGAGCTGATGTTCGATCCCTCAGGGTGTTAATGCTGCCAAGATTCTCTTGGTTATTTGTCGCTGCATCGATCTTCGTTGAGCTCTGAAGCTCTCATGTCACCAGACGCATATTGAGAACAAGGGCCAACACGCTTGGTCATCGGGTAACCGTGAAGCCAAAAGAATGCCAAACGATGGCAGACGGGAGATTGAAATGTGCCCTGCTTTTCCAAAATCTTCATCTTTGATGTACCTTGAATTGCTTCAGTCAATGCCCATGAGGGTGTACACCAAGGCGGAATCCTGGGCTAGGGCGTCAGTATATATATTTAGAGTTTTCGGACGAAGAAAAGTCGATTCATCCAAGTAAAGGTCTTTGAAGTGAGAAGGTGAATGGGTGATGCCTTGTTTTTGAGCGCCTGGGTTCTCAAATTTATTGACATATTTGATTTCGTTGACTGGGGCTTAATCTGCTTGAGATCGGATGCCAATGTAGCCATGTTCATGTTTCAACAGAGAGGTCAGGCATCCATAGACGGAATGGGTAGAGAAAAAAGTCAGATGCTGAAGCAGGCAGTCGAGTGACAGCTTTCACAAGGCTCAAGTCCTTGTAGTCCATGTAGACGGCACCAGACGTATATGCTATATGTGTTCGAAAGATGAAAGTCCGGGATATTTGCCGTTGGCTGAGGTCATGTGTGTATGGCCGCCGTACAGCTGTATGACTCGTGTAATGAGGAAGTTGATGGTCATACATTTGATGACAGGATGTCTGGACTTGGCGTTATCTTGTAGGGACGGGAGCCGCTTGTCCTAGGAAGGAGCGTATGAGGTCGCACTAGGCGGCATAGAAGCTGTTTGTATTTGACTCGGACTTTTATGGACAAGATGACATGATGTAATTTGATCTTTGCACCGTCTAGTGCGAGGCACTTCGTAATTGTTGAATCCGAGGTGCCAACCGGCACTTGTCTTGCCATCGAGAACATCCGACGTGAGATGAAATTGGAATAAGAGTTCGCGCAGGGTTGAAAGGCTTTCCAGTAGGCTGACTCGATGGATGACTATCCTTCCATAGTCCTGCGCGAGATGCGGGATGTATATGAAGTTGCGTAGGGGGACTTCTCTTTATGATTGGGTCACAAGATGGTCTGATCCTTTTGTAGTCCGTTACCAAGCAGCCGCCGAAAATGAGGTCGTACAGAGGGGCTTCAGGTCTTTTCGAGCTTGACTAGCAGTCTTTGTGATGGTATAGTAATCCGGATGCGGAAAATTCCTCTTGTGGTACATAAGGTCATCCTCCATTGTGACGGTGAGGGCTATGTCCGAATCGTAATCACTTCATCCAGGCCATCTGCGAATCCTGAGAAGGCAGAGACGTGCTGAACCAACATGCTGAGTTTAAGCTTGATGGCCGCGAAGAGAAAGTGGTGCTCATAAGAGTGCTTGGTGTTCGTAAATTTTGATGCTCATGAGGGAGGCTTGGTCAGTGTCATGCTTATGAAAGAAGCTTAGTTAGTCAGTTTTTCATAAGGAAGGCTTGGTCAGTCCGATACCCACGAGAATGAAGGCTCGATACGCATGAAAAGGACCTGGTCACTTCGATGCTCATGAAGAAAGTTTGATACATATAATGAGAGCTGAGAAACCTTGATGCTGGTGGAGAGGACCCCATACCTATCTTCAAGACTGTTTCGGCTTCCCGCTCGTGTGAAGAGTGTAATTATCAGGGGGAAGAGGAATGTATGGTAATGAGGAGGATGGCTCGATGCTCAACAAGGAGGCTTGGTGCTCACGGAAAGGGCTTGTTGGGCAAAGGTAGAACTTGATACTCATGAGAAGAGCTCAAGAAAGGTGTGTGGAAGACGTAGAAAGAGTTGGAGCGGCTGGACCAAATATATACCCGTGGGTGGAGGCTTCTGGAACCTTCAACGCTAGAGAATGGACCAAAGTGTAACCTGAACTTTTTATTGCACATGATCCTCTTGCATGTCGCCCCCAATGACTCTCGTTGGTGACTCAGATGTTCACACATTGAAGTAGCTTCACTGCCCCCTTGCAATCACTCGCAGCAGACACAGGTCTGGCACTCCACTCGCCGTTCACACATCCTCGTTCACTTCCATACAACCCGCTCGGTCATAGGGTCCAGGTAATGAGTTACTTGATGAATGTAGAAAGTGACTTTGAGTGTAACTGCGTGATTTGTCGTTCATCCGAGACTTTTGTGGTGTTTCTAGTATCCGAGGTGAGTTAATTACGTGCCCAAATTCAATACACCATGTCTTACCGCCATCACAATCGTAAGCACCTCGTCAGCAGACTGTTCCAGCCCTCGCCCTAGTGGTGTCTGACATCTATTCACAGTCAATTGTATTCCGGCTGTGCGGCATGGTCGTTTGAGGCTGACTGTGCTCCAGGCTGTGAGCCGTCCTGACTCGTGCTGATCGACTGGGGCAAGTACAAGCCTTGCATTCGATGAATGAAGTAAGACATCCATGCTTTGCAGTCACAAGAGTGGAAACAGACATTTGCGGCCACAGGATCTCTCTATTTGTCATCCGGACGTCTACAGATATGCCCTCACGCTTTTCCTAACTCGGAACCTGAGTTCCAAAACTACAATCACAAGCCTACTTTGAAGAAAACACGAGTTGTGATTTCAAATGACGGGAGATGGCCTACAAGTTTGTCGACCGTGCGTTTTACCAGGAGAAAGAATGGAGCTGACTCAAATTCCTAGAGTTTGGTCCAAACCCCTGGCCAGAAAGCAAATCAACCTTGACATTTCCAATTCTGCAATTGAATCCCGACGAAACAGTACATCAGGCGCCAACGTTTAGAATTTCGAAGTTTTGAGGCTTGGTAGCAAGAAAATTTGGTACAAGCCTGAACTGGGTCAGCGTGGTGGTGGTGCAGACGATTGGTCGGCCGAACGAGCATTGCAAAAGCTATTCATTAGTAGCATGCCCACGTTCAGGCGGACAAGAATCAGCAAAGCCAATGGGTCGTATAATCTGTCGAGTGCCTTCCGCTGGATTGATTATGTTGGCCTTGTCCAGGCCATCTCCCCCAGTGGAAGTCTCTGCCAACGATTAAAACCTACAATCTTAAAATATTTGGTACATTTGAAAGATTGAGATAATCCAGTATGACTTGGACCACTTTTCTTCAACGATATCCAGGGCGAGAGCCTCTACAGTACATCACGGACAGGCTTTGGTCACTAGCTGAGTCCCAAAGGTCGATGACAGACAAAGCAGACTGAAGGTATCTAATAACCGTACAAGTTTTGACAATCTCCGACTAATTGTCATCTCAAGTTCCAAGCACAGATTCTTCTGTCCACCACGCAAAGTGACAAGCTTACAAAGTCATATGTTTGAGTGCAAAAGACGTAGCCAAGGTCTCAAGGTGTTCATATCTTAGTTGAAATCGCGGAGCAGTCTCCGTGTGCTCGCCGAGCTAGGCTTATAAGGACTGACAGGCTTGATACATATTTGTAGGAGTGATCACTGCACTAAGTAGTAGGATAGCAAGCTACTTCAGCTCTGAATATTATTCTGGCTAATTTTTGGCTAATGGTCTGTATTAGGCTCTCTTTTGGCTGAGAAGTTCGAGCCATCAACAAACCCTCTTTCACATCACGGCCACGAGAATTAATCACCAGCAATAGGCTCACAATGAAGCTCATGGTCAAGGCTATTCAGCTATAGTAATTCCTATGCCGAGGCCGTCGGTCGAGCAAAAGACTGAAAGAGATGGAATCAAAACGATAGTCAGTGGTGATTCCTTGTTCGGGAGACTCCATTCCAAGTCACATCAATTGCTCTTCTACATTTTCTAGTCCTGAATTTGCAGATGCCGAAAACGTCAGCATCCACTGCCCGCAGAAATCTTTGACTTAGAAGGCTGTAGAGCCGCTGACATTACTACAACAATACAGACTGCCGATCCGGACATGCCTGATACCTAAAGCAACAACCATGTCACCATCACTGATGGTTATGGGCGTTGGTATTTTTCGGTAGGGAGGCAGATTCTAGCAGAGCTAGTCCACACTTTGACGCCGTCGTGCAGGTCTCGTTCAGATGCAACAACGACAACGCATGAGCTTTGGGCAGTGGAACCAACATCGATCCTCACAAGCGGTGCTTCGTCCTACAACGCTCGTGATGAGAGTGGTAGGAGGCTAAATTGCATCCTCACAAAATTCTGGAATCAGCTCACGTCAACATCAAGCAGTGACTAGGTAGACGCAAATTAGGTTGAAGGCAGGCTAGTCTGCTGCAAGGGAAAATAATTATACGCAGTGAGAGGGAACGATTACAAAAATTATTCCAGAGGACAGTCGAAGTAGCTTGCACCAGCCTACCTGCTCCATGAACACAGCGGAATCGACGCGGCTTGCATCCACCTGCCATCAAATATCCAGAATCCTCTGGCGCAGGAAGTACACTCGCTCTCTCGAATTCTGCTACTTTTTGTTTCAAAGGGGCAGATATATGGATAGGGCTGGCTACCATCTAAATTGTGTAGTCTGATGAACAGATTGGACCGTTATTGGCAAAGAAAATGGTCCCATACTCATTTAGGCCGTCAATTTGGGATGCTAGCCGTCAGATTGGTTTGGCTGGTACTCTGTCAGATTCTTCTGCCACGGTTTACTTCTAGAGAGATTGCTGACAATTGACTGACTGTAGAGTTCCTGAACGAATTTTCGCCCATCATGTCTTCCAGACCTGCTACTCCCTAGGTCAGACAGAACCTGTATCCAAGCTTTGAATTTTATTCTTTCAGTCCAAACCTTCAACCGTATTGTTTTTAGTCAGTTCGGCCTATGATCTTGGCTGACTAGTACATAGACGAGGTACTTCATCGAGAGAGAACGCGAGTAGTAGGTGATGCCGGATGCAGATACCTTAGCTAAAAGTTGCATGGCACTAGGTCACAGAAACAGTTCACGATTGTAGAATGGTAATATTTCAGCCAATATAGTAGGATTGGTTGGCTTAATCAACGTCAGCATCATCCGGAATACTTCGGCCAAAGCCCCCCCATAACAAATACCTAGCCAAAGTCTAGCAGATCCCAGAGTTTGACGCTTATATTCAAAGTTGGAACAGCTCCCTGTCGCAGAACAGGCCTGTATGAGCATTGAGTCTTATTTTGTCTCCGACCTTTTCAAATTTCGGAACACCGAGATTGACTGTGAGGCCTCGATCGATACAAGAATAGCTGCCACGTAGATTGCCGTGTATCAAGGACAAGGGTCGAGGAAAGTATCATGATTAGTGGATCGGTAGACAATTCTGAGCTGGGAAACTGGAGGATGATCAGACTCCAGAAACCTTGAGCACGATCACGTGTAATTAGAACAGCTATCGTAGGATATTCTGGACTAGACTAGGTGTAGCTAGACCTAAATTGCAAACCAATCACATCCTATGTCCTTTAGCGGGCCGCTAGTTCGATCACTCTCTCAAAAAGTCAGGTCGTTCAGCGGGTTTTGACCTGCTGGAGCTACACAAGACAACGCCAGGGGGGCTCGTTGCCCTCCACAGGCCTGAATAGGCCTGTCCGTTGTGTACGCTCTCCCAGATGCCATTAGGATCTGGTAAATATATATATACTCACAGCTGAGTATGTTCTTCCATGGTGACTCACTGATTCTTGGATCTTGACTGACTTAGATTTGACGGCCGTAGCATTCGTGTCGGCAAAGCCTCCGAGAAAGGAGGCGACGATGGTCGTCGGGGTGGTGGTGATTGCTGTGGAGGGGGGAGGGGGTGGTAAGCTGCATCCCCGTTAACGTTGGACTCATACGGTCAAACTCAGAATGGTCCTTACTAAATGCAAGCCTACGATTAGTCCCATCGGAGCCCCGAGTTCGAGACTTCCCAGGAACAAGAAGTTGTCAATCCGGCTGCCGGTACACTTCTCCAAGAACCTATCAATCAATCATCAGATGCTTTCAGTCTCTTAATCCAGGCTTCGAATCGAATCCAGCCGTACCAGGATAGTGACGCTCATGCAAAGATCAAGTCTGAACAGCATAACACCCAGCAGATTGACTCCGAAAGACAACTTAGCCCCTTCCTGGTATGTGATGAAAACCAAAACCCTCATTTCAAACAAGTAAGACTTTTGATTAATTCTGCTCACAGCTTTCAGCAGGAACAGATCTTACGCCTCGAAAATTACAACCAGGAACCGTTTGATCAGATGTTTAACTACCTGTACACAGATAGACTAGACAATCTTCCAGCAAATGATGGAAACCGATATGCTCGACTCGAAGAATTAAGGCTGCTAATACGCCTTGCCAATACATTTCAGCTTCCTGATCTGCAATGTCAGACCGTTGATCACGTGCGAAAGCATAGGCTGGTTGGTAAAATCGGGATACATACATTCTTCGACTGGGCGTATGACATCTACACCAACGAGTTCGACCACACTGTCGGAGACGTATCCAAATTCTTTGAAGAAGTGGTTCCTAGCTTCCTACAGAGGATCGACAACGACAAAAACTCTATCGAGAACTTCTCCAAATCCTTTCAAGACATGGCCCCTGGATTCCTACACAAATGATGAGGGTACAAGTCCAAACGGAAACCTGCCATGATTCACCTCGTCAAGCTGGTAGCAGCTGGCGGAGAATCTGTGGTGGCGGTCTTGAAAGTATCAGCCAGTGGTGTAGCGCTGATCGAGATCGAAGCATCAGACAAAATACTACCTGTGAACCTCATTCAAGAATCGAAGAGCGTCACTATCGGAGGCTTGCAATGATACACTCCGCCAACTCCAATCAGGGGCCTAATGCGCCAGGTCTCCCTCATTCGCAATGGTACCAAGTGCATCCACGACGGAGAGCTAAGAGAGATTGTCTGGCGCTATTTTCAATCAGGCAACGAGAAATATCCTCAATAGTCAAGAGCTCGCCAGCATAAGGTGGTCGTTCCATCATTTGACATCCCTCCTCTGCAGAAGAAGAGCACAGGAAACCTTCCTCGTGGTCTGATCACACAAGAAGATCAAACCTCCAGGGACACAACGTTCTCGTTCACCACAGACTAATGCAAACTATGAAGTTGCAGCAGCAGACTCCTCGCCTTTATTGACTGCTCCACCATCAGGGACAACCTGACTTCCTACAGCACAGACTGATGCAAAATATCAGATTCAATCGTCAACCCAGGAAGAGCCAAAATTATAGCAGCATCCACTAGAAGCACGTCATCTCCAAGCCGTTCAACCCAGTTCCCGCCTAATCTATACCTCAATGCTTCAAGAAACCGTCCGCCCATATCAAGCTCATAGAATCTGGACCTTAGGACCACATCTTTCCTTATTTTTTGATGTCTCAGCAAGGTTTTCCTTCGTGGTCAAGTGTCTCGTGTAATATCACAATCGACGAGATACATTCTAATCGGCAAATATGCCTACCAAATGCAAACGTCCATCAGAGCCGTTCGAACTACCGATGCACACAAGAGTCGCTGTATACACCTTGCCTACGGGCGAGAACGTTTAGGAAAAGATCAAAATACATAAAATTTGATGGGTCTTCGTCCACAGAAACCACAGGTGACACAGAAATTCCCGAGACAACTTGACACCATGCTTGCAATCTGAAGCCAGCTCCTAAAGTTGTGTAAATGTCAGACCGCCATTCCTCACAGCCTCCCATGAAAGCAAAGATTGCATCAATCAGACAATTGCTGTGATCAGTGCCGTCCATCAAGAGATCTCCAACATCAACGTCCCGCAAACGAATCCAGATGCTACAATTCCTGTCTAGAATATCAATCAACAGGTCGCAACTTCACCTAAGTCGCACTCATCGAATACCAAATAGTACCAGCCCCAAAAATCGCAGCGAGACATTTGACTGATATCATGGCAAGACTCCCTGTCGCAACGTATTATTTGACGGTGCTTCTTGAAGTATCAGCCTTTGGGGAGACAACGAAAATCTTCTAGCCACAAACATATGCAAAGGAAACGAATGTCAACCTACCTCATCCCGTCAACCTCTCATTGCTCGAAAGAAAGGTCGGACAAATTGCCGTTGCAATAGTTGAATCGAACATGGTAGCTTGAGGATGAAGTCGTCCGATTCAAGCGAGAAATTGAAGAGCGTAATGCCGTAGAAGCCTTGGCAGAAGTCCAAGGCACGGTGCGAATAAGGTTTCACGGATGTAATGCTCAAACCTCTTTCCTGGAGCAACAAAAAGTGTATGGAGAGGCGAAGGTGAGAGAAATGCATCAAAGAAACTCCACCGAGCAGGAAGTCGTCCGGCATCCCCATCGACGACCTGGTCGATGATTTTAGAGAATCGAAATTTGGCGAGCGAAAGATCCTGATGGATTAGACATCGACACCGAATACCCCACTGTACACTGAAGCCTTTGAACAAATTACTCTACGTGATACTTGATATTATCAGCCAAGAGCTAATATCGACGAAGAACCCTTACATCGTCACCCTGCGTTTGGCAGATCAATGCCATTCGCGAGTACACTCACGAACATACCAAGCGAACGATGATCCGAGCACACCACCTCGTTACAAGCCCTTTGGACTAACTACGTCCTCAAGTTGGTGGCTCAAGAGCGACTAATGTTTCGTCGCTTCCTAATGAAGTATCATCCATATCTATCATTCGCAACCAGCAAACCTATCACAACAAAGCCGAGATACCACAGTACAGCTAGAGGTAGCTAAGTCTTGGATTCTGGTAGAGGTGGAACTGATCATGCGTAGTTAAACCACTTCATGAGAAAAGAGAACAACAACCCCTTGATATGGACATGATTGATGCGCACGTTGATGGATCAACGATATCTTCACGATTTCCGGGCGTCAATTGCTCTCGCTCTACCCAACAGCGCCCGATACGAGAAGGACTGAGTCGGCCACCACCAGCTTGGATAGGCGTTCCAGGACCTTTCATTGTCAGTACTGCACAGAAGGTCTTAAATCACTGGATCTGAGGACTTGAGAAGGATCATGACTTGCAGAAGTCTTTTCCTCGAGCGACTTTACGGAGGGGCAACTTAGAATGTGGTAATTGCACGATGTTACTGAGCGAACCACGTCCTCTTGTCTTGAGAGCTGCATCCGAGAAACTCACACAGAGCATTCAATAAGATCCCAAAATGGCTTTCGACATAGGCACCCTCGCTTGCGTGTGTCTTCAAGGGCCAGACCTCGCACTATTGGATGCATGCAATTCTTGACGCCTAGGATACATTGAAGGTGCGAATGACCTAACATTGTGGTTGGTAGTCCTGTCCTTGGAAGACCAAGACTTTCGTTCTCAGTCTGGGAAGGACTGGAGATAACATCCTTTGCACCGCCAAATGAAGTATGGCGAAAGCGACGAAGTCAAGAGATTGCCCGAAACGCGGAACCCCAACATGCTACAACTGCGGAGAGGAGGGACAAGTGTCCCGTGGGTGCAATGCGCCTCAGAAAGAGAAATCTTGCTATCGCTGCAGCGAGACTGGTCATACCTCAGGATACAGCTTCGAATAACAACATAGGAATGAAAGACATTTTAGACCTTTAATTGAGTATGACACCTGCAGAGATCTACGCCAATGGCAATATGGTGTCCCGAAGCACGTGGATTTCGTAATCCTACGGTATCGGCCTCTTGGACTACAATGATACCCTGGGAACGAATGGCACAGGCGTTTGGTAGACGAAACCTAGGAGGGAGTGCGACACGAGTGGAGGCATCGGCCTCTCGGACTACGATGATACCCTGAGTTTGGAAATTCAATAGATGAATTGTGGGAAGGAGCGTGGCACGAGTGGAGGAAGACGATTCGATGACACTATCCAGTACAAAGTTCCTAGCATGCGTAGGTAATTGTTCAGATTGTCTAGTTTGAAGCCAACAATAAAATGTTAATGGCAAACGTTGGAAAGTAGGTCCAAAGGACAGAATGAACTGCAAGCAGTCTAATGATAGTAGTTCCGGCGGTTTGCTAAGTCCCACCAAATAACAATAAAGCAGTATCAAGCAGAAGTTTGTGTAATTTCAATGTTGCCCTGAGACCTCATGTCCGAAGCTTATCTCCTGGTAGTATTATGGTATGCAGGACCACTGAACAGTATGATCCAACCAGTTCATTCTAAACTTGGGACTGGACCAGTGCTTAGAAATCCAACTAGTTCATTTACTCAAAATTCTAGCAGTCCAGCGAAGGGTAGCGTACCCTTAACCTCGACGGCTGACTTGCAGAGCAATCTGTGCCCGGCAATCTTCTCAGTGGAAAAAATGGCACACATTCAGAGCCCATGGCGGTGTACGCTTGTGTCTTGGGGACTGGATGATGTGGTATACTCTCCCTATGTTACTCGAGAAGAGCCCATCAAAACTGGCATAGAACCTGCTGGTGTACCTATCATAAAGTATGCAGGCATCAAATTTAGATGGCCCTTTGGTGAGCACCACCCCTCCTTGCGTCAGCTTAGGAGGAAATCAGTCCTTGGAGGCTCACCAACCTATTCGATCAAAGAATGCCCGCTGGCTTGAGCTGGGGGGAAGACAAAGATTCAGCTTCTGTTTCATGCCGGTGGATTGAGAAAGCTATTATGCACGGTATGCTCATCAAGAAACGAGTCAACGACCAACAACCACAACCGAGTTCTCTCGGCTTTGTGACACAACTTGTCAAGAAAAAGGAACTCGATCTGTCATATCGGCGAAGAGTCCTCGACAAGAATATCGTGAGCGGATCGTGAAGACTTGCCGCGCTCTTTTATAGTGTCCCTACTCAAGCCAGATGCTTCCAACTTCACCACCAAGGCTCAGGTAGCCAAACAAAACCACGGGCAACCCAAGGGGATCTTCTGCTCGGCATTGAATACACCTTGTGATAATACACTCCGCCTGAAAGATCACAGAGAGCCGCGCATCCATGCCTTAGTGGTCTACGTCATGCCAACCGCTAGGTTTCGCCTACACAATGAGTGCCTACATCCAGACGCCGACCAAATTGTCTTACAGCCCCATCCATCGACACTACCCTTCCTCGCCTGAAATGCATTCCCAGCATCATGCCTTCTCTCATCAACTTCCAGGCGCTATCGCCCAGAAATGGGCAGCAAAGACAGCCTACTACCTTCAGCAACAACAAAACCATCATTCGCACCAGCAGGCTCATCATGGCTTACATCACAATAGCTATGCTCAGTACCCCGCACAAGAGAAGCAGTACAACCGAATGCCAGGCAATAATGGGGCGAGTAAAGGGCATGATCGAAGAATGGACCGCGGTGCTAGCACAGGATCAACTGTGTTAGATATAAGCAAGATATCAGGCTTTCCAATTGTCTGAACTTTTGGCTTAGTGGCGATATCAACATCAACAGATGAGAGAGCCTCGCTCAGGTTCTTGCACAACAGCAGCAGTACAACTGAATGCCAGGCAACAAAAGATCGGACGTTCGCCATCACTGAAAATGGACCACGGTGCTGGCTTAGGATCAACAGAAGGAAATTCGCTGGGAGACAATACAAGAGTACCTGAGCGGGTTGCAGAGCTATCCAAGGAAGGTACTTTAATAAGCTCAGCAAGAAGAAAGAGCTCATGGGAGAGCATGATCATAATCATCTGGTGTTTGTTTTGATGGAGCTCAGCAAGAAGAGGAAGCTCATGGGAGAGCACGATCAATAATTTTTTTTTGGCGGGGTATGGGTATACACATCACCCTGCACATGCGGAGTCATGTACATCAGAAGAATGAAGAGCGCTTCCGTTGAAAAGAGAGGAACACATACAAACCGCTGAACATCGATCACCTAGACCATAGGTTATCGTCTTGGTCGCACCTTCATGACATTATTGCAAAGGAAATCCGTCGTTATGGTCGACGCGATCAGACACCAAAACAAATGATGGCAAATGCAACCCCCATGGCAGCGACGAATCGAGATCCATTCGTGACAGCGTGCATCGTGCTTTCCTACCCCGATCACAGTCACCAGAGCGGTGACCTTTCGAAACTTTGCGTTTGGTTGTATCCTTCTTGCATATCTCAAAATGACAGCACAGCGGTTCGCGAGTAGAACGCAGTTGCCGGGAGCGAGCATGATGGTCGAGGGCATGGTGCGCGCATTCCTCAACCTCATGAGCGACAGACGTTTCCTCCTCTGCTTGCAGGCATAGCTCGAGTTGATCGAGGTAATACACGCTGTAGTCAAGAATGGGAAGATGTAGATCGTTCAAACCTTTCCAAGTGTCTTGCGTAATCTAGTTCTATTGATCGCTGGCTCATTCTGGAGCGGCGATCAATAGAATATAATCCACCTCTCGTGCGTGCAATTCTTAATGATGCCAGCACAACCAATTTAGAGCACGTCTAAAACGCTGCTATGTCTACTCGTGAGAGGAGAATGTGTTGCGCTCCAGCGATGCCATTCCCTCAGCGTTTATACTCAGTACATTTTTGCCCCCGGCGTGCATACTTAATACATGCCCTGCTCCTACCATATGCTTGGGATCTCCTTCAAAGCTTCCTGCCACATCATGCACCACCTCCTACTGCAGAGCCCCTACGTCTCCATCCATCCTTCGGCGGAAGGGCGGCCTCTTCCCATCCACAAACACCCCCGTCGTAAGTCTATACTTTCTCTGCGTAAGAATATCCTCCATACACCCCGCAGGCCGCCTGCGTGTCCGTTGGTCCTGCTCCCAATACCTCCTCCTAATTTTCTCCTCCCTCTCCTCTTTCGTCAAGCCAAAGTTCCTGTTCGTGCCAATGCACCACCACCAGTTGTTCCAGTGGTCGCCGCACCATCGGAAGGTGCCGTAGCGGTAGACGTTGAGGATTTGGCCGCCGGGGGATTGGCAGTGGAATGCTAATTCGAAGGCTTGGTGGCAGGAGATTGTAGAAGGGTAGAGGTTACGGGGGGTGATGAGGGATTTGGAGGGGGGAAGGTCGGGCTCTGTGGGGCTAACTAGGTCAAAGTCGTCGTCGTCATCGTCATCGTCATCGTCGTCTTCGAGATCGGCGAAATCGTCTTTGGAAGGGTTTGAGAGGGACCTAAGATATGCGACGAGCTCGCTATTTGCTATCTCATCACGAGTTCTGGGTCTTGGGGCTGCTGGCTCTGTTGATGTTGATGTTGGTGCTGGTTCAAGGGTTTGGGCTTCTTCAAAGGGCGCTTCTGGCTGAGTTGATTGCTCGGGTTGGGGGGTGGTAGATGGCTCGTTATTGCTCGAGGAGCTCCACAACCAGCCCATCAGGCAAAGTATAGTTGGTCAAGTCGACGTGATGGATCTGGCAGCTGTAGAAGCTTTCGGGATGGCGGTGGTGTGAATTGGAAGTTCATGCTTCTTGGCGTTGTAGTACGGCTTCAATTCAGATGCCTACGGAAGGTGCCGAGATTTAATCAGAATGTGGCTAGAGTATAGTTCTAACGGTGAATCTATAGCGTTGGGCGGGGCTCATGGTCCCTGCTTCAGGCTACTGCAAGCCCTAGAACCATGGCTCTGGGATCATCCTTGCGCGTTCTGGACCAACGTCAGTTTTTTGCACTTCAACTTCGCGATGGGCTCAAGTTGCTAAGGATATGATTTAGAAGGAGTATCTGTATTTCGCAAGGTACAGGTCCGATGTGGCTGCCGTCTGCTTCACTCAAAGCGCTCTAAGTGGATGTGAATTGGGGGCAGAGATGTCTTTTGGCCCCAGACTTCACAGCTCCGCGATGAGATGCAATCAATCACTGTTCTTGCGCAGGACATGCCTCAATGCTCACGGGCGCGCAGGATGGAGCTGCTCGAGAAGGCCATTAGCCCTTTCGAGCTCCCAGATTGCGTCTTCTGCCCTCACGAATAGACGTTACAAGTCAACCCAGACGTCCACAGGTGACGACGAAACAGGCCACATAGCAGCCGCGGAGAATGAGGGTATCTTCTTCTTGGACAGTCAGTGACTATACATTTGATCTGCAGAAGAGTGATGCTGACGTTGCTCTAGATGTCTTCCCACTCAAGCTCAATGTCATCCTCTCACCGTTTAGAACATTGGTCAATACGAGCAAGCTGCTACCACGTCTTATGGGAATGTTTGACAGCCCTGAAGACTCGGCTGCACATCCAGCCGCTATTGCAAAGCGAGCGACATCGCCCTCGACTCCGATTAAAATCACTGAAGTTCTTCCAAGAGTTGAAGAAGGGGGAACCTTTGTGAAATTCACCTACCCTCAGGACCAAGATCGTAAAGAGATTGAGAAGCAGATCAAGAAACATCTGAAAGAGCACCCAATCAAGCCATGGTTCAATCCATTCAAGCCAGCACGAGCTTTCATGGTGAAGGGGGTCCCTTGGTTGGAAGATCTTCATCGTCTTCCTAGCCAGATGCTGAAAGTTGAATTTGTTCCGGCCAAAGCAGGTCAGCCCTCCGAAGATGTATCGGAAGAAACTCTCTATACAATCTTCCGCAAATACGGGAAGATCAAAGACATCAAACCGCAAGCGAAAGACTCAAAAGAGCTCCCAAGATATGCTCTCATATACTATCATTGGATGAGACACGCGATTCTAGCGAAGAATTGTGTACACGGGTACACCATCCCACCGAACCAAGGAGGTGGTAGTGCAGGCTCGAATCTGAAGTTGACGTATCAAGGGGACAAGAAGCCGCATCTATTCTGGGACTGGCTCATCAACCACCCAAGAATATTGTTTCCCCTCCTCGCGGCTTTGCTTGGTACTGCTGCGGTCGCAATCTTCGATCCCATTCGGACCTTCTCGATCAAGGCACACGTCACGCGATCTTTCCACATCACGGACAATAAGATCTACAAGTGGTTCATGTCACAAGCAACCAGAGCTAATCAGCTCTTGAATATTCGACGCAAAAAGGGCGATGACACGCAAATCATGTGGGATGATCGAAAGGATTCGATTGAGAAATTAAATACATGGCTGATGGAAAGTGCTGATACTTTCATCGTAATTCAAGGTCCAAGAGGATCAGGGAAGAAAGAATTTGTGTTTGATCAGGGCCTCAAGGGAAGGAAGAATACCCTGATCATCGACTGTAAAGCCATACAAGAGGCTCGAGGTGACAGCGCTACGATTCGAGCAGCAGCTGTTGAAGTTGGCTACCGTCCTATTTTCTCATGGATGAACAGTATGAGTAGCCTAATTGATCTAGCAGCACAGGGAACTATTGGCACCAAGACTGGGTTCTCAGAAACGCTTGACACGCAACTGCAGAAAATCTGGCAAAATACCTCCACCGCCTTGAGACAAATTGCGATAGATGGGAAGCACAAAGACGACAAAGATGCCCATTTGGGAGACGATGAATACTTAGAAGCCCATCCAGAGAAACGACCGGTGGTCGTGATTGACAATTTCCTACACAAAAGCCAAGAAGGTGGCGTGGTCTACGACAAGCTCAGCGAATGGGCAGCGAGCCTGACCACCGCAAATGTGGCCCACGTCATCTTCCTGACTACAGACGTCTCCTTCTCAAAATCTCTCAGCAAAGCACTGCCAGATCGCGTCTTCCGGCAAATCTCCCTAGGCGACTGCTCACCTGAAGTAGCCAAGCGCTTCGTTATTAACCACCTTGACGCCACAGACGCAGCAGAAGACTCCAGCAAGTCAGACTCAGAAAAGAACGCTCCTCCACCATCTCAATCACGAGACGACCTAGGTGAACTCGACTCCTGCATCTCCACCCTTGGCGGCCGACTCACAGACCTCGAATTCCTCGCCCGCCGCATCAAATCCGGCGAAACACCCGTCAAAGCCGTCGAGGAAATAATCTCCCTCTCCGCCTCGGAGGTCCTCAAAATGTTCATCCTCGACGTCGACAGCACCTCCACCAACGGCCGCGGCTGGTCGCCGCAACAAGCCTGGCTCGTCATTAGAGCCCTCTCTGCCTCCGAATCCCTCAAATACAACGACTTCGTGACCAACGGCGGCGGGGCCGAAGCACCGCTGCGAGCGCTCCAGCAAGCTGAGCTCATCACCATCGTTTCCAACAATGGTCGTCCTAGTTGTATCAAGCCCGGCAAACCGGTCTATACGGCCGCGTTCAAGAAATTGACCGATGATCGTGTTTTGAGGGCGAGTATGGATCTGTCGACATTGGCAGAGGATACGAAAACGGAGAATGCGACGATCGCGAAGTGTGAGGATGAATTGAGGGTGCTAGGGGAGCTGCCGGGGAAGCCGGCGGAGACGGCGGGGAGGGTGAGGTATTTGCTGGGGAAGCTGAGGGTGAGTCAAGAGAAAGTGGAGGGTATGGATCGAGAGGCTTCGAGGCTGAAGAAGGTGCTGCAGGAGGAGTATTGATTGATTGCCTTGATTATGGGGTTTGGGGGAAGGAGAAAGGGGAGGCATCTTGTGGGTTTGATAGGGAGCATATGATACCACTCTGTTCAATTGATTTGAGAAATGTACATGGTCTTTCCAACAAGCTCTTCATCAGTCTACCCTCTTCTGCAGGTGTTTGTCTTGCTTGTTAGGGTATTATGCGAGCAACCGCTCCTTCCCCTGAACCCCTGGATCAGTGCATTAGCTTCACGGCGTTCTCCGAGCCGGGTTATACAAAGCCTGCTCAATTGCTCCTGCTGCTTGTAACGCGTTCTTCCTTCTCTTTCAGAACTCTTTTTTCCGAGGAATGCAGCCTCGTGAAGCGGTCTGTATCATAGGGGTGAGGAGGATGCTGAAGGTATCTCTTCGATGCCTGGTGTGAAGAGTGAATCGATCGTTAGGCTGCCATATAGGTCAGTATCAGGTACACCAAAATCTCATTCGCCTTGTTACCAATCGCCTCTGACTCATGGTAAGTTGCTGGCGTTTCAATGAGGTTTTACAAGATGGAGAAAGCGTTTACCCTGGCGTACAGTGGGAGCCAGGGCCTAATATTCGTCGTGACAAGCTGCGAAGACCCCCATAAACCAATCTCAAGCCTCTGTAGCGCTCTGAAAAGAGGACTTACAGAAGCAGAAGATGCTTAGTCACCTCGTTCTGCTTATAGCGGTGGTAAATGCACTTAAGAGGCTAGATAAGAACGGTTCTAGACATGCTTCCGTGAAACTGCAAGGCCATATTGGGAAAATGCAAAGAATATACGGGCTTAAGGGAGGCAAGGCGGTGCTCTTCCTGCCAATCAGAGCCGTGTATCAATACCTCGTCGCCGTTCACTAGCGTTGTTTTCGTTTCGTGAGTTGTTGTGCTAAGTTTACATCCCCAAAACAAACCTGCTGCGTCGACGATCTGATTGAAGTCAAGCTATCTCTACAAGTACTAGATATCAGCATCAGGCTCTTTCCATCCTTTGATTCATTCTTAATTCAAGTAGCACGATTCTTAATCATCTACAATGGCTTTGGCACTAGTTGAGCATGGACGAACTAATCAGCTCGACATCGAGCGAAATCGACTTACAGCCCATCTCCAGGCTTCAAACAGTCTTGCCCCGGTGGCATCAGTCTACGCCTTTTTAGAGAATGCCCGCGACTCATATCGCCTTTGCTCCTCTGGGGCTTGTGGGTCTCGTATTCAGCGAGCTGATTACCAGTTCGTAGTGATCCCGGGGCAGAGCACGGCCTCAAATGGTCCAGCATCAGGTAATTAAGTCTCTTCTACACGATCGAGACCACCAAATAACCATATTCGCTCATTAGACGTTTACCATGTCCGGTGTTTTGAGCGAATTTTGGGCGCACAATTGGCCCAGTACCTCGAATTCCTCCTTCCCACCAACTGCCATTCGTGGTCAGAACGCGGCTTGCTAGCTTATGAAAGTAATAGCAGCATTATACTAGACTATGGTGCCACAGCAATCCTTGAGGAGTTCAAAGCTCGGCAAGGCGTTTACACACAATATACCTTCTGGCGTGAGATGGATGACCACACGACGTGGTCGCTAAACCGCATTTCAAAGCCGACAGAACCGGCCATTGACCCGGTTGACAACTGGAGCATAATCACAGATTATGTTGAAAATGGGAATGGGTTGGCCGACGGCCTCACGAGATGGAAGACCGCGAAAGTAAGTGCTCAAACACAGAGATGAAGGCTTAGGAGAAGGGCTAATCGCGAAGTAGGACCTAGTCGCGAAAAGGGAGGTAGACATGACCCCAGAGTCGCGAGCCCTGATAAGAGAGCGCCACAGCGTGACGGCGGCAAATGGCATTCGCCGATTGGCTACGAGAGCTTGGCCCTGGGATAGTTAGACGAGATGAGGAAGGTTTGACGGTGCTGTCGGTAGTGTGGGAGGTTTTGGCTGTGCTTGTTCGTGTGTCGGTGGTTTCGAATGCTTGAGAGGAGGGGATCTGTTGTCCGTGTGTTTTTCTTGTTTTCTGTAGCAAGGCGCTGGCGGGAAGACTAGAGTTTGCGGTCTTTGCTATTTGTGTTGTCAAGGCTGCAGGCAGGCTGGACAAGACTCTCCTAGTCAGAGGAGATCATATTTCTGATCGTCTTTTCTAGATTTTACGGCAACTCTGGCGTTTGCTTGAGCCAGAGGGAGGCAAGCTAGCATATCAATATGAAGATATGCTAAGAGAACGCCTGACAGCTCTTCACAGGCCGAATAAAGACCACTGCACATCAAAGCACTACTCTGACGAGGAAATAGCATGGAAGAGATATTCCTCTACGGTTTTGATCAGATCAATACGGCATAACCACCTGAGACTCAAGCATGTTTGTATGTCTAATTGTAGAATTTCAGGACTGATAAAGGAGAGTCCAGCGGGTCTTTTTGTCAGTAGGACTATGATCTAAGGCTCCTTGAGGAGTTGCGTCGATGTTGAGAAGCTAAATGTCTCAATATGCGAAGATATCTAAATTGTCTCTCGCTCACGAAGACACAGAAAGAATCACTGAATGGTCTATGCTAAAGCCTTACAATGCCTGAAAAGTACTTTCTGTCGACGAAGGCATTACTTTCTCCAGTATTCTTGATCATATGGTAGCGCTTGCACACCGGCGAGAAAGGGAAACTAGTAGACAAGGCATACCCAGGAGGTTTGAACCCATATTGGGCTGGAACCAGAGACATGGGAGGCAAAACAAAGTTGTCACTGCCGCTAAGAGCCCGGTATCAAAGCTTTGTTACCGTATGTAAACAGATTCTACTTTCTAGGTGTGTTTTGCCAGATTTGACTTCACACAACGGACCACCTTCATCTTGAGCATACCCGTTACGAGCTTTATTCTACCAGCTACTCTTCATCATTCAAGTAATCACTATTGTCATCAGAGAAACGATCTCAGAAACGTATTATGGCTCTTCCTTTTCCGGGTTTCGAACGTGATCAACTTCTTAACATGGAGCGAGACTCTATTGAGTGGCACTTGATACTCTCAGACACGTTTGGCAACCAACCCCCGTTTCTCTTTCTTGAAACGGTAATCACACACGATTGCATATGCACTTCATGTAGGGGAATTATCGATATCGAAGATTACGAGCTGGCTCTGAAGCCAGGAGTAATCGTCGCCCGTGGGGGTGATCCAATTGGTAAATCCACTGCGCCTTTTCTGATGGAGGCTTCAATCTGATCTTCTTTTTTCATTAGATCACTATCATATTATATGCTTGGAAAATATCGCTGGCCTTGATTTTCGTACAATACTACCCTACATATATCCAACCAGCCACCGTATGATACCTTTACGAGGCTTATATAACTGGCCAGACGACCAGTGGCGCTTGCTTGATGCAGGAGCGGAACTCCTTCTGGCGGAGTTTCAGAGACGCTGGCAGGTTGTCTCTACATGTCCGATCTTACAGACCGTCACGCCTCAGATTCAGCAGGCTAATTGGGACTCATACCACTACGACCCTACCGAGAGGCCGGTCGTAGCCAATGAAGTGGAGTGGAATCTGTTTGAGGAGTATCTCGGTCAAGCCAATAGCCTCTCGCAGGCTTTGGGAACATGGAAGCGGGCCCGCGTGTGTACTATTGAAATTCCATACTGGCGCGGTTGTGAGTGCTGACTTTGGAGTAGGATTTGATGGCGATCCCTGAAGAAGAGCTGACACCTCAAGACCGGATTGAAATATCTGGGTACACCCACACAGCCGTTTGGGCCATCATTCGCCTGGCTCTCGTGCCTGGGCTTGTTGTGAACTGAGATTTTCTCCCATGCCATGCCAGAGGTGAGGATGAGGAGCTCGGTAACGCCAGAGTTCAGGGCTTGGCTGATCGTATTGAATATCAGAAAGAGAGATTGGACGTTGCAAACATTACCAAAGATAAAAGTGGATTTACCAACATGCTCACTTATTTGCGTCAACGAGTGCGTGCAGATTGTCGTGAGCTCAACGGTGCTTCGCCGTTCTTTAGATGATGGAGTAGGCTTGCATCATGGACGTCATTCGACTGAAAAGGACTATCTCTTTGAATATCTCATCTATTTCGACTACTAGTTTTCGCTCTGCACTGGAATTCCTGCTCTCCAATTGACGAAATCACGAAAGAACAAGACCACATCAAGACTGCCGACTCAATACCCACCGGGAAACCCTAGGAGAAACCACAGAACTACCGTGAAAAGCGAATCAAATAATTGCAGAGGGTGTACTGTGGTATAGCGCCATCTCTAAGAGACGAAAGCGGACTTGTCTTCTTGCACTGAGCATTTTCAACTAGCACATCCACAATAAAATGCACTAAAAGAACACGAAATAGACCGGACCATGCCAACAGCTAATGGAGCTTATCAGCGAGATCAATACCAATACGAATGGCGAAACTATGATAGTCTTCCTTTGATACTTCAAGACATACCAGCGTCGAAACAGGCAAGCGCGACTGACAGTTGCACCATTGTCCATCATTACTATTCGACTGATATCAGAATCCCTTATGCCGATCTCTTACTGATATGCTTGAATAAATGAGACGAAAGGGGCTAGAAGGAGTGTGTTTGATGATAGATAGGGTAAAAGGCTTACATGCTAAAGGCAGTATTTACCGATTGCAGAAGATAAAATTAAGCATAGCACTCTCAATATCAATCAGCATCCTTGACAGAACTTGCTCCCTAGTACCTCGAACATCCTAGCAGCCAAACAGGAAATCACGACTTGCTCTTGCAGTATGCTCTGTCTAGGCTGTTCGACTGCAGTTTTGGCATATTAATTGCTTTTATTGGTTTGACTCTCATCTAGCTAGTCAATCCAAGGCTCAAATGGCCCCGAGAAATATGCACGATGAGTACAGAGGTGGAAAACATGTATGTTAGAGCAATAGCAACCCATCACAGGACTTAGAAATAGAGGAAACTGCAATGAAAACCCAACATTATAATGACAGGGGCTCTTCTGCGGTCTCCTGCGTGTTTGTTGTAGGTAGATATGCAACGAACGAATCACTTCTTCAGTATTCCCAGTCTTTGTTATTTGGCTGCATTCGAGTCATAAGAATGTCCCCCCACAGACTTCTTGCCATTCTGCTGTAACGGAAGAGACGCAAAAGGCTCAAGGGAACGTGCTCAATAAGAGAAAGGGGACGAGGACAGGTCTTCTAGACTCATGCCTACCAATCGCAACCTTCCAAATTGACAAACCATCATCAAGAGTAAACTAGACAATAAACAGAGCCATTGCTGCAATCTCCTCCGTGCTTACAGTGGCTAGACAGCAAGAACGACCTACCCTTCTCATCCTCCCCGATTGAGCACTTTCCTACATTCGTAACATACCTATTTTACTTTCTCGACTTCCCTCTTCTCCACCTCAATAGAAGAGCTGCAATAAGCTCCATGAAGGATACTTGACAAAGACAGAGGTAAGGAGAACGGCTAAATGGGCAGTGCTTTCTGATTGCAAACGGAAAAACATGAGAGGATCATGAAGAAGAGTAAGTTGCATAAGGGTTTAGCGTTGTCCAGCTATGGCTCTTGATTCTGCAGTAGACGGATAGAGAAAGGGCGACTTACCCTTACAGCTTCGCCTGTCTGCTAGTCTTTGATATAAGAAAGCCCATTCGATCTGCGCTCTATCGTTTTTTTTCTCTTCCCACCGTGTGAGATAAGTCCAATGTGCTGCACTACCCCAGTAAAGCCCCAAATTGAGCAAGATGCAAAACGTGATATCACAGAAACGGCATCAGCTTGAGCATAATGTGGTACCCACCCTCCATTTGTGAACATTCGACATTCAATCTATGATCCAGTCCCAAATTCATACTACACAATACCCCTACCCACCCACAAGTTTACGACGTCCGGATCTCTTCAGACGTGAGGTAGGCAGGTATCTAGTCCCCACCACCACCATCACCACCCCCATCTCCTCCGCCGAAGTCTCCACCGAAGTCGCCGCCGCCGCCATCGCCACCTGTGACAATATATCAGCAAAGGTCTCTTGCAACTTACCCGAGACAAGATGTTTTGAGTAAGAAGACTAGCAGCCTTGATGTTGCCGTTACTCGAAAGCAAGCTGGGAAAGAAGAGCGATAGCTTACCAAAGCCGCCGCCGTCACCACCGCCATCGCCACCGCCATCGTCGCCTCCGTATCCTCCTCCATCTCCGCCATATCCTCCTCCATCTCCACCGTAGCCTCCGCCGTCGTCACCGCCGTAGCCGCCGCCATCGCCGCCTGTGACATAATCAGCCTGTCGCTTTTCCACTTTTCTTAAGATCCAATGAAAAGCCTCAAGAACTGTACCCATCTCCATCATAGGGCCAAGGGAGCAGCCAGGAAGGCTCTCCTCCCACGTCCTTCTCCTCGAGTAGAGTCGAGCGAAAGAGAGTAGGAAAAGCCAGAAAAGGAAGATCAACTCACCATGATGCCCATCAAAAGCACTAGCCAACGCAGCACCTCCCAACAACCCTCCTCCAACTCCTAACGCCGCACCGCCCGCCGTGCCCAGCCCTCCATGTTTCTTCGGCGGCTGCCCATACCCTTGCTGCGCATACCCCTGCTGCTGAGGCGGATACCCTCCATACCCGCCCTGCTGCTGGCCACCACCACTCCCATGCTTGCCCCCTCCCAGCACACCACCTAGCTTTCCCAATAAGCCGCCCTTCTTTGGCGAGCGCGGGGGTAATTGCTGCGGGAACGCCCCTCCGCTTTGCTGCTGCTGCTGCTGCGGGGGCGGATAGCCCGATGGTCCTCCCACGTAGCCCGGTTGCGGTGAGTGGCCGTATTGCTGCGGTGGTCCACCATATTGGCCTTGGGGAGGACCTCCATAACCTTGCTGAGGCGGAGGGCCGCCGTAAGCTCCTCCCCCGCCTCCACCTCCGCCAGCGCCGTAGTAAGAGTCTGCCTCACCGCGCGAGACACCGGACTGATGTGCACGCGCGTCTTCTTCGGCTTGGAGCTGGCGTGCGAGACGTTCGTCTTCTGAGACGTCTTGGTGCGTGGGGGCGCCGTAGGGGTTGTTGCTGCCTAAGCCGCCGCCACCGGGGGCTTTATCGGCCGGGTAGGGGGATGTGGGGCGGGGTTTGTTGTCGGTGTTGTACCCAGGGGGAGCGTGGAGGGTGCGGAGTGAGTTGAGGCGGCGGGGGGTCCCATTGGGATACGCCATTTGAGAGATTGATGTAGAACCTGTGTGTGTGGGTTAGATGAGCTGGGATGAGGGGGTGGGAGGGTGAAGGGGAAAGTGAAGAGTGAGGAATGAGGGTGAGAGGGTTAGTGTTACCATTCTTTGTATTGGTCGTTCCATTGAGCTTTCCAACCTTCAGGCACCTATAAATCGTTATGAGTTTGGAGGATATGGTGGGGGAGGGGCTGGCAGTAGACGTGCCTTTGGAGGTGGAGGGCCGGACGGCGGTAGGAAGTCTGACATTGTCCGATAGAAGATGTGGTGAGGCTGTCAAGGCAGAGTGTTGTCTTTCAATTGAAGAGTGGGAGCATTTCGTAAGGATGAAAGATGAAAGTCGGTCCATGCGGGACAAGCATTGCGTATTACTGTGGCGCAATCCGATTACTACGGCACGCGACAACGCAAGTAGGGCAAGTTTTGGTTTTGTCACGCGTGCTTAATCGCATGCCGTAGTCCTGATGTACCGATGTACAGCCGGCCCTCACCGTATACTTTCTAGCCAAATGAAAGACGGTTTGCACTTGGTACAGAGCATCAAAGAGACAAAGTCCTTAAGCCCGGTCTGCTATTGGTCACTGAGACTTTATAATCAGATATCTACGATCGGAGTGTTGCCGATTGCCAGTGATTGACGGCGTCAAGAGGAAAAGTGGAATGTTCAGAGTGAGCGAGTTCACTATCAGTCACTGACTACATATAAGCCATTAACGTTCCGGAAGCAAGTCGAAAGTGCCAGGAGCAGGGGGGTGGGTGGGGGGTTAGGTCGATCACTTGATTCAAGCGGTCCACAAGATTCTAATCGGTTATATACATTACAACCCTCTTCCTCTCTTCTCGACTCACTCCTCCTCCTCCCTCAACCACCAATAATCCTCCAATTCCCTTTGCCCCGACTCCAGCGAGTCTAGCACCTCCGTCAAATTCTCCTTCCTCGCCTTACTAAGTTCCATCTGCTGTACGATCAACCCCTCCGTCTCCTCGTCCTCCAATTGCTCATCCGTCTTCAATTGCTCACGCGGGAGCACACTTCGCAACAACGCCAACGCTCGCTGCATCCTCTTCGTCGCGGCAATCAGGACTTGCTCGTCTTCGTCGGTGCGCTCGTAGAGAGTGTCCATCAGGTCTTTTAGTGAGGAGATGAACTCTGTCCCTTCGGGGATGTCTGTTCTGTGATAGCCTTGCAAATGCTTGTTGTATTGTTTTGCTTTGTTCAAGATGTCCGTGGCTTCTGATACGTGGGTCCAGTAGCTGGCGGTCTCGGAAGGGTAAGCGGTGTCCTCCACGGGCATTTCCTGAGACGGTGGATCCTTTTCTAGTAGATCCAGGTAGTGAGTTGAGTGCTGCGCGAATTGATCACCGTGAAGCCCAGGAAAATGCATGTTGATCAGGCCATCCATTTTCACTTCGCCTTCCCCGAAGAATGTGGGAGGGTATCCCTGGAACCATCTTCTCGGTTGGTAGAGTCGATGTTTGCGGTTGGCTGGAAGGTTCAGCAACATCTTCATGATGCCCTGGTCGCCAGTATTGGCGGCGGAGTAGTCTTTGGGTCTTAGATAGGGAAAGGAGGTGCTTCTTATCAGAAGTTTGAGACTCCACTCGCAGACGCGAATCATGTACACTCCATTATTCAAGCCAACCCAGTCTTTGGTGATGAGAACGTTGATATGATCAAGATTTGTATCCGAGGGAGGAATGAAGGTGGACCATGGAACTTCTTTGTTTAAAATGATGGTGTCTGCATCGTACCATCTAATTTGCATCAGCAGGCGAACCATGAGAGAGTTATGTCTCAACCAGAAGAGGATCTTCTACGTCAAAACCGTTGGAGATTCCAAACACTTACACCATCCATTTCATACGACTCTCTTCAGGCTTGGCCATTTCCAGCGCCATGAGGGACTCCATAAATAGGGACTTGCTGTAGTAGGCCTCGTACAAATCGGTTTTGGAAAGAACATTTCTATCGAAGTGATGCGTCGAGTAACCCCACCGGCGTCCGTGGTCTATATGGGTTTGCTGGGGCCTTTTGTACCTGTCTGGAGCGCCGTCGCCAGGTTCGTCCGGCATTCTGAACGCCATGCTAACCTGGATGAATGGAATCGATTTCGTCGTGACATTATCATGATCATTTCCTTGCGTTTCGTGCGTGCTCAGACCCTTCTCTAGGTTGCTTTCGCTCCCAAATCTCTCGTTCTCTTTATCTTGTGTTTTGTTCGTTTTATTTGTTTCAACAACTTGCTCGATTTTTGTGACATTCGCTGCAGATCTATTTCGAGCCTCATTTCCATTCTCTACCGTACTCGCATGAAGCAAATTCGCCTCATTCCCATTCTCTACCGTATCCGCAAAATGTGAGTTCTCAGGGCATCTGCCACTAAAACGCAGAGCTCTGATTCCGCCAAAAGAAGAGATGAAATCATGCCGCAAATACAAGAGAGACAAAAAGCCAAAAGCGGAGATGCAAAGGGCAAGCACCAGACTAGCCCGACCAGCAAGCAACATCTGCAGGAGAGAAGAGAATTCGACAGAGCCTTGACTGTTCGAGACACATCTTGCAATTTATCGCAGGGCACATTTCAGCTCTTATGTGCAAATCATTGATTGAGGAGGGATTCGATAGGGCGATGTCACACAAGAAGCCATGCTGGAAGCCAAACTGTTTCACCAATATGGGGTGCCTCAGATCCCAACAGAGGCCCATTGAATTAGCCTTATTTAGGCCAAAGTCAGCTAGGGTTTTTCGAAATTACTGCGACGAACCGTGTGCAGAAAAGGAAATTGAGCCTTGCTTTAAAGGCCTTTCTTCCTTCGTTTTCGAAAAAGAGGCCTTCGATATTAATACTGTGTCTATCTTCTTCTCGAATTTTGCTGAAGGTTATCCAGGACGCCTCGCCAGGGCCATCATTTCCAGGCCCGAGTTATCGCAAGAGAGTTTTGAAATGAGCAAAACCTTGGCATCGCTCAGTGGCACAGCTACAACAACCGAGACTAGACAGGAAGAAGTTGCGTCTGAGCCGCATGGCATGATACAACAACGCTCGATGTGGTTCTGGCTGCGAAGGAAGTTCGTTAAACAATGATGCGAGAAGGCAATCCAGTGCGGCGTCGGACCCGGGGGCTTAGCATACATATCATTCTTGAACTCGCTAAACTGGATCGCCATGATGATAGACAAGCATACAATAATCGCAATGAAATCACCATATGATATAAGCACAGAGCACGCTGATTCACATACGCCCGCCTTTATGCTCCTTCCGGTTGCTGATCCTACTTTTCCTCGTCGTCGTGGTTGCTGCCATATCCTTTCTGCGCATTAGCTATGCATTAGCCAGTCGTAGTTTGTATTTAATCTTTCTCCTCTCGTGTCCGGGATCCTTCCTCAGTCATGTAATTTCAAGCTCTCCAACCTGGCGCAGGAGGGGCGCCACTCGTCTGGCCCCCATATGCACTTTGCTGCTGTTGTCCCTGTTGTCCCTGTTGTGCCTGACCCTGTCCACCTTGCGCTCCACTGTAAGCGCTAGCTTCTTGATAGGCCTGCACCTGTGGCTTCTGCTGGTACTGATCATGTCCGCCATACTGAGGTTGCCCTGGGTATCCACCGCCGTACGGTGGCTGGCCCTGAGGCGGGTGTGCATTATATGCACTTTGTCCCTGGCCTGGTGTTTGACTTGGCGAAGGAGTGTAAGCGCTGTAGTCTCCAGGCATTTGTGGCTGGGACTGAGCTTGAGAGGACGGTGGGTAGCTGCTGTAGCTACTCTGCGCTGAACTTGCTGGTTGGCCTGACGGAGGTGGAGGAAACGAAGGAGTATTCTGAGGTGGTGAATTGGGATGCGATTGATAAGGCGGGACGCCGTGGGGCTGCTGGGAAGCGGGATAAGGGGAGGAATGTCCGTACGCCTGGGTTGATTGTTGACCTTGGCCATAGGATGCCTGTTGTCCTGCCTGTTGCTGTTGGCTATACTGTGATTGACCAGACTGCTGCTGCTGCCCGTATGAGGCTTGCTGCCCGGGTTGCTGCTGTTGCCCGTATGATGCTTGTTGCTGGCCGTACGGAGTTTGTTGCCCAGTGTGCGATTGCTGACCGTATGAAGCTTGCTGCCCAGGTTGTGTCTGCTGACCATATGGTGCTGGCTGGCCAGACTGTCCCGGCGGTGGAGGGTACTGCTGGCTTTGTTGTTGCCCGTAGGGCCCAGTCGACGAGGGAGGCTGTGGATATTGTGGATTTTGTTGCTGACCGTAGGGTGGGTTTGAAGCTGGGGGCGGGGCATATGACTGCTGGTGAGGCTGCTGGCCATAAGGATCAGGAGTATGAGCAGCGCCATAAGCCCCTTGTTGGCTAGGTGGACCAGAGAAGGATGGTGCTTGTCCCCCGTATGCACCTGCTTGTGGTTTGTTTGAAACTCCTCCTATAGCGCCAGATAAAGCTGGATTTGACCCGTATTGCTGAGCTGAGCTGTAGGACGACTGGGGCCCATTATTCGGCGATTGCTGCATCTGTTGTGCTTGTACCGCATGTTGCATGCCACCACCATAGCCCGACACATTTGTAGATGAGCCGTAAGGGTTGGATGCTCCACCTCCTGGTACTTGATATGAAGCTGGGGGAGCCTCACCCGCATAAGAGCCTCCAGACCCACCCGTCGATGAATATCCGTAATTGCCCTGGCTCTTCACCGCGTCTCAGCATTGGAATAGACATTCACGATTCGGAGCTTACCTGTTGGTGACCGTAGTGGCTATGATAGAAGTTCGACGCTGCCCCTGCTACACCTCCATGATGTCCTCCAGCCGGCGCACCTTGCTGTCCAGGAGGAGCAGAGTTCGGCTGCCCATGTGGTTTATTTCCACCACCAACGAAGCTGCCCACTAAATGGCCAACCTGGCCTCCAATTCCACCATGACTCCCCCCTCCACCGCCTCCATGACCTCCACCACCCCCGAGAAATTGGCCAGCGAGACCTCCAAAGCCTCCAGGCTTGTTTTGCTTTCCACCTCCTATGCTGCCAGCAAGGTCCTACTACATTTTCAGCAAGATCGCGGTATCGAAAATCGAATACCTACGCCGAGTAAGCTGCGGTCAGCCTCGCTGACCTGGTTAGGGTTTCCCTGGCCGTCAGGCATGCTGTACGGATGGTTGTCTGGCTGTGGAGTGGGATTGACGATGGGTACAGATGCGCTGGGCTTTTCCGGCACTGTCCAGCTGGAGACACCTGCGCGAAGGATCAGCAGCCCGCAAGAGCGAGAGTGTCTGCGTATGCTGACCTGTTGCAGTCTCGACGTAGTAGAATTCTGCAGGAAGCTGAAGTCAGCATTGGCCCCCACGCGGTGGAACCTTTTGAACTTTGGAGGCGGGAGAGGCTGGCGCACTCTTGGATTGACCGTCCCACTGAGCCACGTAACCGTCTGGCAGTCTTGGAGGGCTGTGGTCTGGCCCTTCTTGAGTCGATGGAGTAGCAGAGCGCGACATTGGAGAGGATCGTGAGGGTAAGCAGTCGCAGGAAGTAGGATTGCTCGCATGAAAAGTAAGACTAAACTAATCAGTGCGCATGAGCCCAAGCCGACCCAGGCAAAAGCCACGAGCAACTTCGAGCCATGTTCTGGGCCACGCTTTCCACGCTACCGTAGACTAGGTCGACATTCAGGGGCGGTGCTATATATATTCAGCTATTGCAATACGAAGATACAATTGCACTCTGCAGTGTGACAACTCCACGAGTTCTTCTTCTTTCGAAAGCTGCATCTATGTATATACTCGCTCCCTGGACAGAAAGGGTATATATACTGTGCGCTGCCCAGGGCCACACAGCCGTCTAAGTAATAACCAAGTCAGACCATACTCCTCTCCCTAGCTTGAACCGGACTCTCTAATTCATAGACCTCACGCCTCTGTTCGCTCTCGGCACTTCGCAACCGTGGCCGCTCTCTTGGCACTCTTTCCATCGGTCTGGTCATTCTCTCTTCCGTGGTACCACTAGCATTTTCTACGTGCCTCTTCCTTGCCATCATCTTCGCAATTTCCTCGTCTCTGATCTTCAATTGCTCCTTTCTCTGTCCTTGAAGACGCATTTGCTGCACATACACCGCTCCCAACGCCGCAAGTAGCATTGCCAGCATCGGTAGTCCCACGCCCAGCCCTACTGCAAGCTCATTGCTCTTCCGGTTGTTGTTAGTGCTCTCGCTGGTGCCATTCTTCTGCGTGCAAACTGTTGAGACCGTAGAGTTGTTATTGTTAGAAGCGACTGGTGCGACAGATGACTTTTCGATGAAAGAAAGCGACGGATTGGTGTAATTTACTTGATTCACGGCTCCGGGCACCTGGCTGTCTCGAAGCACTATGGTCGGAGCGCTAAACGGGAAAGTCTGCGTGCAATCGCCAGGGCCGTGGCCAGTGCCACATTGGAAGGTGTTGGGGGGTTGGCACATGAAGAGGTTGACATTGTTGCCTGTGACAACTAGACGAAGGTCAGCACGGGAAGCTTTCTACTGAACCCCGGAAGAAACCCTTCGATAATCGTTGCGCAAGAGGGGCAGAGTGATGGCAGTGTAGTGATAAGTGGGATCTCGATCGAGAGGTGAAGACGTACCATTATTGCAGGGCTTGGGGCATGCGCTGTTTGCCCACGTTCGATCAGTGCAGGCTCCGCGACTCGTGACGCCGTGTTGAACGCAAAGACTGTTTTGAATATCAGTATAAGATCTTGTCAAGTCTGAGCGCTACCTGGTGGAAAGGGGGTTGGGAGAATAATGATGTGAAATGTGTATTTTCTTCACGAACAAGATCTTCTGTATGACAGCTTTGAGAGCCACTCACCCTTCCACAGTACAATATGAATTCGGGGAGTTCTCACAACATGCAGAGGCAGAATCTGGAGTTCCCTGAGTACTAGAGCTGCAGGCAACCCAACCTGACGCAGGTTGTTGATTTGGCCAATAGCATTGTTGATCGGCGGTGATCGACCAGATTGAAGCAAGAAGGATTATGAGGATGTAGATGTGATTTGGTCTGGGCTGGAGTGTTCTTATGCTCCATGGTCGGAGCATCTAATGGTCTGAGGGGTATCGTGAAAATGGTGGTCATCTGTCAGAGGGCCGGGACATTGACGCTTTTGCTCAAGCCGCCGTAGACATATGATTTGAATGTCACTGAAGTTCAGGCTGTACTCGAGGTCCGAGATTACTGCAGAACTCGCCGCAGTTTTGTTTGGTAGGAGGCCCTGCAGAGGTGAGCTGACCTTGTATTGTCTCTCGCTCAAGGTCAACAGAGGGCGTATCGACGCCTGAATTTGAAGAAGTAAGATCTGAAGGATGAGGATTTTCGCATGTGCCCGCTCGTGTCAGCACCTTTAATAATGAAGGTAAAGCATCCTTCGGAATTGAAAACAGCTATCGTGCATCCTCGCGGCGGAGTGCCTATGATCATCAAATCTTGAGTGAGGCTAGTATTCTGTCAGTCCTGCTTTTCGAAAGCAGGCGAAAGTTCTTGTGATATTCTCACAGATATCCTCGCATCTTACGATGAATGATCATGGCAGATATAAACGTCTCCGATCTTCGCTTGGTGCGCTTGGTCCAACGCCGTGACTGTGCCCCAACCTACATTCGAAGGGTCACGCCTCGCCTTCGCGACAGCGGCACAGCGCCATTTGAGTACTGCAGTGGGGGCTCAGGTACACGGCTGAAACCTCAACCTGCAGTTTCGTGACCCTGGCGCAGCTTCAAACATCTGCAGGTCATCGGCAAGGTTGCGATCCTTCTGGGGGAAAAATTGTGGCTTCTCAAGACACGACCTTGCCGAGCGGGGGCATATACTGACTCTCCACGGATTTCACTCATAGCTCGAACTTGAACAGATTTGCGCAGTCCCTTTTAAGGGTCGGAAGACACCCGAAGCCGTGATAGTTGGTTCAGGGAGAGGAGGGATGTCACTGACCGTTTTGGCGGCCGTGTCGTTGGCGCCAAGGGCTGACCAAATCGTGACAGCGGCCTAATTCACGGGTCATACAATAGGGAATCAACTCGGCAAACGCATGCATGTATCATTCGGTCTGATTACTTAGTAGGCCTTGAATAGAGAGGCTTTGCATAAGCTTGTGATCCCTCGAATTCATAATCAAAACAATGGCACAGGGCTTCATCAGAGTGATCCATGTATAAATTGATACCATTGCACTCATTATTAGCCAGATATACTTACCAGACAGTCTGAGGATCCTACAGACTTTCCGTTTGCAAAATGACTGATTAAGCATCATGCCGTCCCCCTGTCTCTTGCTTTGCTCTCACGGCTATCCTCAGTCCCTTCGCTGCGTGGATACACCTGACGCGGCAGGTCCTGGATGTTCGCGTGGTTATAAAATTGCAAAAATTCTAAAGATGATGCCTGATGTTCCCACCAATCTCGGATTGACTCTGCCTCACTTTTGGCGACGACTTCAAGGAATGAAGGAATGTCGCAGACCTTGAAGTTCCCATCGTCCGTGTTGGGACTTACGATGGCGTAAGAGATCACTGAACATACTCTGAAAAAGCCAAATTCGGGCACTATTACGACAACTGCCCATTGAGCAGGGGCAAGATTTCCAGGTGGCAAGTGATCGCCATTGAAAAGGTGCAATGTTCTACTTACGGTGCCGACCCCGGTGCCGAGCTCGTTCGAAGAAACTTCTCCTAGAGCCATGGCGTACGCGATGATACTAGACAAGTCTTTCAGGCTTCCACCTCTCGATGCATTGAGCCTACGAATTGCGTCAATGCTCATAATGAAACGAACCTTGTACAGCTAGGCTCACCACATGAAAAGGTTCTTCAAGCCCGGCACCAGACGTGTCACTGGCAAAGGGATATCTGTCAAGGGAAATTTTTTGGTCTGGGTATCATGGCGCTCGGCAAAACTGCCTGTACCTCTTTGTAGCATCCCCTTTACTCCTCGTACGGAATTCCAATCGATTGGTTCTTTCGGGTGTGCAGTATGTTTTGACCCATTTTCTGATCCAAGCAAGACATAGAGAAGCTGAGTCACGCGTCCAGTGAGTCTCGAAAGTTCAGGCAAAGATTGAGCGTCATGACGAGTGAAGTAGTCATTTATTGATCTTCTCATGAGGTCATCATGGTAGACATCGCAAGCAGGATTGTCGTTCATAAGATCAAGCGCAGATATCGAAGCAACATTCAGCATGTAAACTTTACGCAAAGACCCCGGATGATGCAGTAGTGAGCTAGTACCAATCCTTTCGAGATGACGGTGCCCACTCAAATTAAGGCTTTTCATGTGTCTGTATTGCAAAAGTGAGGTAACAAAGTCCAGGACATTGGCGGAGGTAAAGGTTTTAAAGCAAGTCAAGTCAACATGTTCGTCATCCTTTAGAAGTTTTAGCAACAAGGTCTGGCTTGTCTTTGTGTATAGAAGTGTTTCGGCTTCGTTGTACAGTTTCTCCCTTATTTTGGGCCAAAAATCATTCAGGATCTCCGCCTCAGCCATCACCGAGGGAATGATGGTCCCAGATTTGATGATCATCTCGGCAAGTTGATCTAAAGTTTGGGATCGTAAGCTACGTGGGCTGAGGTTTTTGTCGAGTTGTGACTTGACTAGCTTTGTATCGACTTCTTTTGAAGGTTTGGGAGGAGTCTGAAAAAATTTGTCTGCATTCAAAGCACGGACAGCTGGCTCTTCCCAGCCTGCCCCTCGCCAAGTATCTTCCAGCGAGCTTGTGCGTACGAGGCCCCATTCGCAGCAGTCTTTGACCAATGTAGTCACCCACGGAGGTTGCTTGTCGTCGGCGTTTTCAAGAGGGTAATAAGCTTCGACGTATTCTCGAGCACTCAGCGGCGCCATGAGCTGGACCTCCTATGAGGTCATCAACAAGAGAAGTACTAACGATTCCCCAATCGGGAGCTTACTCGCGCACACTCCATCCCAAAGAAATCAACAAAACAATACCGAATTTCGGTGGACTTTGAAACATCAAATATTGTAATGCCTACAGATTAGTCAAAGGACGGATCAAACAAACATTCGAAAGCGAAAGAAGACAAATGAAGAAGACCAAAACCTGGCCTCATCGCTACAGGCAAGATATACCCACCATTATTTTTATCGACATCATAGTATCTCGTATGCGTTGGCTCAATATTGCAACGAGAAAAATATCCTTGCTTTGGATCGAAGCCAGCACCAAGCAGAAGGCACGTTGCGATAAATGGAAAATGAATCCGGGGCTTCTGCGTCTCATTCAATGTACCTGCTCGTTCACATTTCCAAAAGGTTTCATCAGTAATGGCAGCCGCTCTGGCTAAGTCTAGTTCCAGCGGTATCCGATTGGAAGCATGTTGCAGGATAGTCAATATTTGCACACACCTCTGTACAGCAGAGGCGCCATAGAGCCATTGATGGTGCGCTACAGCAAGGCAACGGTACCTACCGTTGATCTTCGCAATGACGAAAAGCTGATGCCGTCGACCCATGTTGCAGGTGGCAAGGAGCTTTGCTTGAACTGCAAAAAGTCCCTTGAGTCATAATGATCTGTGCAGCTGGCTCGAACATAATTCTTCATACGCGTCTAAGACAATACAAGACACATTCATACGTTTAGTAATTTGGCGTGCAAAGACCCAACTGAGCTCTCGGGCGTCAAGATGGCTGGGAGACATTGAGTTGCAGCTCCTGGTGGCTCCTTCCTACGTTATGACCGCGCTGAGGTAATGTGTCACGTGACTCACGTCGCGTCGCGTCGAAGTGGAAAACGAACGTCGTTTGACATCCCTACGAGCTCTAAAGCCACGGAAACATGTCGACCACGATTCAGCCAAGGGTCAAGCCGCGACCAGCTCGTAATCATGTGCCTTTCTCCACGCAGATTGACACGCTGACTTTGCGCAGATCCTCCTGGACCCACCTACCTCGCGTACACTCCGAACGGCAGGAAGTTGGTCACAGTCGGGAATAATGCTGTCGTCCGAGTCTATGAGACAGGCTCAGACGGCGAGCCCACAAATTTGGATGACTGCCAGGAAAATAACACGGCGGTGGCGGCAACGGTTCGCTAGCAATCCTAGATCTCGACTTTGCTGATTGGAGATTGGTAGAACGATTTCTTCGTCGCCGGGGCAGAGGATGGCACTGTTTGCATGTACTCGCTCGATACGTACACCTACGATAAGCTTCTGACAAGATTTGCGCTGCCAATCCGAGATATTGCAATATCACCAGATGGTCATTGGGTAGCAGTCTCCAGCGAGTATGAGCAATCGTTCAAGTTTATGAGATGGTCTGAGAATTGACCCGCAACATAGCGAATTGGAAGTCAAAATCGTGAATACAGAAGATGTCTACAAAATCCTCTACTTGCGTAATTTGCCGAAGCCTGCAAAACATCTCTCTTTCGACCCTAGCGGAACCTATCTTGCAGTCTCGTGCGCAGACGGCGCCATCTACATTTACCGCCTCAGCAAAGAAGAACCTGAACTGCTGAGAAAGGTCGATGGGGTTATTCAAAATTTGGAAACCGATTCAGAAAAGAGCTCAAGAGTGATTTGGCACCCTGATGGCCGCGCTTTTGCTGCTCCAACCGCAACCCGAGAAATCCAAGTCGTATCTCATGGTGATGGTGAGCGGCAGCGGACCTTTTCAACTAGCTCCATGGGCGCAATCACAGCCCTTGCTTGGTCCCCGAATGGAGCATTGCTGCTTACGGCCAGCCCGGAGAAGAAGATCCTACTCTGGGACACGAAGACGACAAAAGTCATTGCACAGTATGTTCTACTTTGTTTGACTAAACTAGGAAACACTAACATTCATATAGATATGAAATTTCCAATGTCATCAATCTTGCGTGGCATTCGTTTGAGAACATCGTATCGTTCACTACTTCTGACGGTGAACTCTTCATCTACGATAAGTTTCTTGAGCCCGAAGTTGCAAAACAGCTTGAGAAGACGCTGCAGCCTGCGCCTTTCATTAGAGATCCACTCGCTGAAACAAGTGGAAACGCTCGAAGGACTTTGGTGAATGGGCATAAAGAGCCATCGGAGTTCCGCAAAAGGCGAGGTTCGGCAGACTCATTGTTAGATTCGATCTTAGGACCGGAGGAGGAGGACGATAACTTCATCAGTGACGACGATGGCGCCGGCTACACTAATGGTGCCAAACGCGGGAACAACCACCTGGATGACATCGACGGTTTCGACCACAAAAGAAGAATCTCCTCATGGCAGCCACGTATTCACCAACCTTTCCAACCGGGAAGCACACCATGGCGAGGCAGCCGTAAGTATCTGTGCGTAAATCTCATCGGCTTTGTGTGGACAGTAGACCAAGACACCCACAACACAGTCACTGTAGAGTTCTATGACCGCGATTATTACCGAGACTTCCACTTCACCGACCCCTACGAGTACGACAAAGCCTGCCTCAACTCCAATGGCACCCTCTTCTCCTGCCCCTCCGGTAAAGACCATCCCTCCATGCTCTTCTACCGCCCACACGAAACCTGGACATCCCGCGCAGACTGGCGCACGTCTCTCCCCGCCGGCGAAGAAATCACCTCCATCGCCCTCTCAGACTCTTTCATCATCGCGACCACCTCAGAAGATTACATCCGCATCTTCACCCTCTACGGCACCCCCTACAGCATCTACCGCCAGAAGTCCTCTCCAACCGTAACCTGTGCCTCCTGGCACGACTACATCCTCACCATCGGCAACGGACCCCTCGACAGCTCTGGCTCCACGAAACTCAATTACACAATCGAAAACATCAAGCGCGACGAGACGTGCCAAAGCGAAGACACCCTCGCCATACCCACGGGCTCTACCATCAAATCCGTCTTCTTCTCCGACCAAGGCGATCCCTGCGTTTACGACACCACGGGTGTGCTGCTTGTGCTACAGCATTGGCGTACTCCAGGCCAGGCGCGCTGGGTTCCTATCCTAGACACAAAACGTCTGGAACGGCTGGCAGGCGGGAAGAAGGAGGAAACGTACTGGCCGGTTGCTGTCGCGCAGGAGAAATTCCATTGTATCATCCTCAAAGGCGGGGACCAGCATCCTTACTTTCCGAAACCGCTACTCAGTGAATTCGAGTTGCAGATCCCTGTGTCTGTCAAGAAACCTGTGGCGAAAGCTGCCGGTGGTAGTGGTGAAGCCGAGGAGGCAGAAGCCACAGCGAACGAGGGGCCTAGGCTTGAGGAGGCATTTGTGAGGACGTCGCTCCTGCGCAGTCTTCTCCAAGATCAAGTAGAAGCGACCCATGCGACGCATACGCAGCGGACGGAGCTGGCGAGACGAGAGCTCGAGGTCGATAAGGTGTTGTTACAGCTATTGAATGTGGAGTGTAGGGAGGGCGAGGAGCGGGGGATGAAGGCGCTGGAGATCGTGGGATTGATGAGGGATGCGAATGGGAAGATGGTGGATGCTGCGGGTAAGGTCGCGGGCAGATATGGCAGACGGGTTTTGCAGGAGAAGATCGCTGAGGTGGCGGAGCGGAGGGTGATGGGACTCGAAGGGGAGGAAGAGTAGGTCTATGTTTGAATCTGGTCAATTGTGTTGTAGAGTACGATTTGGATGGGGTAATGATACTTTTTGTTTTGACAATACGGCTCTGCTGCCTCGACACCTCGTCATTGCTATCCAATTACGGAAGACAGTAAACGATACTCAATCCAGCGTATCCACTTTTAGCGACATCTCTCAGCGCCTTGATTCATACAGACTTTGGGTCAAAGGCTTGAAAGAAAATCCTCACTGTGTTTCTGTCCCCGTGGTACTCTGTCCTGAATGTTAGAGTGCAACTTTGCCGTCCCAAAATCTTATTTTTTTTGACTCATGTCCGTCGCCAATTTGGCACGTTGTTCGATATGTTGCTTAATGAGCCGTATTATGTCGCCAGCTGATATTAGCTCTGCGTGCTGAAGCACATCATGTCCTACATGGTTGATTGGATCTATTCTAGCTCCTCGGGCGAGAAGGGAATTGACAACAGCAACCTGCTTCTTTTCAACAGCTTTGTGTAGGGGTGTTTCGTCACTGTATTCATCTTTCACTTCTATATTGGCTCCTTTGTCCAGCAGATACCGCGCTATTGGGTTAAACCCATTCCATGCTGCCACGTGGAGTGCCGTTTCGCCACTGGTGTTGCGAAAGTCAATATTTGCCCCCTTCTCAACCAACAGTCGTACGATGGACAGACAATTCCACTGAGTAGCTACCAGAAGTGGTGTTCTCTGAGAACATTCCCCTTGGATCTCACTGGACGCCGTCCCACTAGGAGAGATATCATCTGTAATATCCGAGATCGGGTCAATTTTTGCTCCATGGTTGATCAAGATCATTGCTTTGTCATAGAATCCGTAAGAGCAGGCTTCGTGTAAAGGAGTCCAGCCACATTCACTTGCTGCGTCTACGAGAGCACCCTCTTGTATTAACATACTCACAGGAATGAGATTCAAGGCTCCAAACGCGCAAGCACTATGTAGGGGGTTCTGTTGGCAGGGTTTGAGGCGGTGACATCACTTCCAGCATCCAAGAGCAACTTTATAATGCTCTCTACACCTGCGGTTGCCGCTACGTGCAAGGGAATAGTGCCGTGTGCTTGATAGTGACCTTCCAAATCAACCGGGCAAGCGGTTCTCGAATGCACATCAGCTCCATGCTTCAGCAGAACTGCGACGACAGCCTCGTGTCCATTTTCAGCTGCGAGGTACAATGGAGTTCTCCCATGGAGGGTCTTTGCATTGACATCTTCACCTGCAATCGCTAAGATTTCTAGAGTTGTGGCGTCACCAGACTCGGCCGCTTCAAATAATTGCTGACGGCGATCACCAGCAATCCTTAGCTTGATCATCAAATCAGCCGTAGTAGGCTCTTGTGGTGCGATAGACCTATCCTGCAATTGGCCCACGCCCCTCAAAGTGGAAATTGAATCAACTATCGAGGAAGGATGTTGGGAGCCGCCAGTTGAGACCACATCAAAATAGCGTTTGATGGCAAAGCCAGCATCTGTATCTATGGAAATTCGCCGCTGTCGAACACCTGGATTGATGACCGTGGCACGAATATTACAAAATCTTGGCTTTTTGTTAGATGTGTATTCCCGACTTGTGCAAAAAGACTAACTTACACACAGACGGCTGTCATGGAAGTGTCCAATGTGAGCTTATCGTGAAACAATCTGTCGGCAGTATTTAAGACGTCTTTCCGAGCTCCTAAGGCCCATCGCATCCTAGCTGTCGTCGATCTGGTCCCATTGTTGCCATTATGCCCATCGAAACTTCTCGCGTGTGGCCTCAATTTCAGTGCAAGCTGTGCCAAAGTGGTCGAACAACTCTGGATCGGGCCCCTGAGATTACTTACGAGTTCTGTCAAGTGAGCGTTCGCTGCTACCACCTTCTGCACCTCTATACTTTCAAGGGTACTCCGCAAAGATGATAAAACAACCTCAAATTGCTTGACATCTTGAATGATTCCGGTAATTTCACTCGGAGCAACTTTCACAGTATCGACAAGGCTAGAGACTGCCTTGGCAGTCTGTAAAGCTGCGGTTCCAGCTGCGAGAACCCCAGCAAAAATTGAAAATGGGTCTGCCATGGTAAAACAAGGAACGGCGGGTGAAAAAGATGACTTGACTCAACCTTGTAATTCCATAGACGACAGTACGACAGCGGGATCTCTAAGAGAGATTCCAGTATCAGATCCGGGATCTGGTCAGACTGGTCTGCTGCCCCTACTTGTACCATTAGCCCATCAGGGCCAAGCATGTCAAGAATGAACCAGAGCAAGGTCTCGAAAAACCTCCCGCGTTAAACGGAAGGAATTCCAAGGATTGCTGATAAGCCAGGCAAAACATTTCGCGCCGACGTCTGGTGTCGAATGGTAAAGAATTCAGGCTTCTCGTAGGGCATCCATGCTGGCCCCCTCGTGCCGCAGTTTTCAGGCAGAGGATACTCAGTCGCGGCCAAAGGAGCGCTAGCCTGAAAGAGCGCTAGCTGTCCTGCGTTGATGAGGAGATTCAGTCTTGGCAAGTTTTACCGAGATCGAATTCATTTTTGAATTGCGCAACTCATGACTTTCTTGACATTTGAAGATGTCCGCAGTCTACAAGACCCTTTCGAAACCCTCCAAATCCTCCTCTTCTCGGGATGCCACCAATGGCAACGCTCCACACCGCACCAAGCAAAGGGTACTAATCCTTAGCAGTCGAGGTGTGACATATCGACATAGGCACCTCCTTAATGATATCTACTCACTCCTCCCCCACAGCCGCAAAGATGCCAAATTGGACACGAAGACGAAGCTCTATCAGCTCAATGAATTAGCTGAGCTCTACAATTGCAATAACATCATATTTTTCGAAGCGAGGAAGGGAAAAGACTTATACGTCTGGGTCAGCAAGGCGCCCAATGGGCCAACCGTCAAGATGCACATGCAGAACTGTGAGCACGACTCCTATCGGGTACAACTTGTAATTCTAGCGCTGACTCTTTTCAACAGTACATACAATGTCTGAGCTTCACTTCCCTGGAAACTGTCTCAAAGGATCCCGCCCTGTCCTTTCTTTCGACGCCACGTTCGACTCTCAGCCATACCTTCTCGTCATCAAAGAGCTATTAACGCACACATTTGCCGTTCCGCAAGGCGCACGAAAGACGAAACCATTCATTGACCACGTTATGAGCTTCACAATTGCAGATGGCAAAATCTGGATACGGTGCTTTGAGATCAAAGAGACTGCAGTATCGAAAGGCGAGAAAGGTTCGGAAACAGAAAACGGCATCAATGGCGCCGCCTCGGGTAATGCAATTGAGGGTCCTGCGGCGAAGAGCAAGGGAGATGGAAGCTCCAAGATCAGTCTGGTGGAGATCGGACCAAGATTCGTTCTCACACCAATTGTGATCTTGGAATCTAGCTTTGGTGGACCAGTGCTATACGAGAACAAGGAATTCGTGAGTCCGAATCAATTGCGATCGGACTTGCGGCTGAAGAAGGCTGGACGGTATAACCGGAGGAGCGAGCAAGATATTGAAAACAAGGCTAAACGTGGAGATCTGGGTCTCAGGACTGGTGTCGGCAAGAGAAAAATAGATGAGTTAGATGAAAAAGTACTGTTTGCGTGACCAATGCTGTGCCAGGTTTTGGACCTAGGCATTGTCATCTACTTCACAACGTGCGGACCCCTGGAGAGACTGCGGAGAATGAGCAGGTCTGTCAGCATCGACAGTGGAAGCTATGCCAAGCGCGAGTCTTCGTGACCATTCACGGCTTTCTCAGCTCCAAGCGGACAAGGAAAAGTATCACAGTCTTTGCTGTGGGCATTGGTATTCGTGCTGATGAAAACGTGACACATGTTCTCAAGCTGACACCATAGGTAGAGACTTTCCTATGGATGTGGATGTCTCGTATTTTATGCAAGCCTGTGGACCCACGATACTTACAACGAGTTTCATTTGTTTCTCTCGAAATTTCTCTAAACGAAGAGTGCTTCAGAGAACCTTACGCTCGAACTGCGAAGACTGCATAGGTATAGCCTGTTACAAAATGCTCAGCATCAATGGCATCCGATGTAAAGCCTTGACTAATAATATAACCGTAACGGGACCAATCGCCATGCCCATTGAAGCGGCGTCTCTGAGTTCAAAGTTCCAATGAATGTTGGCCGATGAGTATACCTGATTTAGGACTTATGCCCTTCATTCTATACGCAAAGATGCATTGCTTGAATTTGAACTTCAATGCCATTCCTGCTCACGCTATTCAGAGGGTTCACCTGACAAAGTCGAAAGGCGTGGGCAGCCCTGGCCTCCGATAATTGCTGAGTTCTCTGCTTGCTTGACCTGCAGACTGACGGTAATGAGAGTATGGCTATCATGCCTTGGCTCAGGAGATGCCGTATCGTGAGCTTCTACCCCAGTTTCTATGGTGGAATTCAGCAAGGAAGGCCACAGCCGATCAGCGTGTGATGTATTGGCAACGCTTATGACTCGAACATGTCTCGTCTCTGGTGATTCAGAAATCCAGTAAAGAAGCCTTCTCGCTTTTCGATTGTCATTTCATCTTGGCTGTGACGTTCCGACGTGCAAAAGCGATTTGTCCCATGCACCAATTCACTTTTCCGCAGCATCCCAATACCGAGCATCCGTCTGATTTTCGGAAAATCCAACCACGATAAGGCTACCTTACGTACACTGCCTAGCGCAGCAAGCAAGTACAGTGGATAGGCTAACATCTCATCGGATAAAAGGACCTCTGAGCATATGCACGCCTTAATGCATCTAAGCAAAATGCCCCGCGCCTCTAGACTGTGAGCGCTTCATCAGCTTCAGCCTTGTCTGCCTGTTTCCGCTCACATCACAAAAACCTGAATATTCGCTCCCCGCTTCTCTCTTTCCTACTTCTCTTCTTTCACCATCCCAGCCTTCCACCTCACTACGAGCCCACAACTCCTATATCCACACCCACAAATCCTGTGCCCATCGGAAATTCAACCATGGCGCCTTCTCCCTCCGCCTCCAACCCCTCAGTAGGCGAATATATCCGCCACATCCCCGCCACAGTCTGGGTAACTTTCAAAGCCCTGGTCTTCGGCGTCGTTGTTCTTATGTGCATCGGAGGCCTGCTCATGCTGGCTGGCTTCTGCTTTGCGGCCATGAGTGGGTTTCTGGGAGGATTCTTTAGCGCGGCGAAGAAGCGATGGACAGAGAATAGGCGGAAGAAACAAATGAAGAAGAGGTGGGCGAGGGAGGATGAGGAGAGGAGGCAAGAGGGTGGGGGGCAGCAGGAACCCCTCAATGGGGAGGGAGAAAGGGGGAAGGAGGCGGATGAGGAGACGCTTTGTGAAGAGGAGACTGCTGGAGGGAAGGAAAGTGTGTGATTGTAAAAGAAATGAAAGATTTGTGGGGAGCTTCGGGAGCTCTTGAGCGATCTGATGGGGTCCAAGATTGATATGGAAGACTGAGTAGGTACTGATATCGTTCGGCATAGATCCTTTTTGGGAGGGTTGGAAGCAAACATGGTGAATCGAGGTGATCCATGGGCACAAACGACTCCAGACAGATTGTATAGGAGCGTAGGTGTATAGGCAGGTCAAGAATGCAACATTGTGGTCTCCTGAAGCTAACACCGCCTGACACGTGAGCTTTCATCGCGCTTAACAAGAGACCTGGAGAACGCCGGGTCAACTATCAGACGCATACTTGCCAGAGATGTGCTGCTTATTCCAGTTTCAGTGAGATCACGCGTTGGATGAAGATCATGGCTGAAGGTATGTTGGTGAGCTGCGACAAGACAGCTGCTACTAATCTTTGTGCAGTAGCTCGAGAGAAATCTTTACCACCATCCAAATCGTATCGTATCTCCAGCTCTTTGAGTACTACGACTGGTTCATGTGAACCATTTGATTCACAAAGATGCTTCCTCCTCAAACTCCCAGCAGAGCTACGGGTTCATATCCTATTCCTCGTTTTGCCGACTCACGACTCAAGTACCTCAGCTAGCAATACATGGATCTATGGCTCCGTGGCCATACTGCGCGTCAACCATCAGCTTTACGAAGAAGGACTCCCCATCATGTACGGCTCTTCTACAATGGATATTCATATTGGAAATCATTACGCTTCATTTCGCCATAAATGGGCGTTCCCTGGCTGCCCAGCCAAAGCATCCGTAGACATGCCGTTGAGACAGTGCAAGTGGAAGCCATTGGCGAATTTGGTTCAAAACTGGCGGGTGACCATCGACCAAGCGAAGGAACAGGATTTGGTTACCTTCTACGCTAGGCACCGGTTCGAGAGGTTGGACTCCTTAGTCGATAGGCTGAGACACAGTGTGGATGAGTTTTATGGTTTCTTGAGAGATGTCAGGAGCGCACCAGGATTCAGGGTAAACAGTAAGACGAAAGTCACCATCGAACTTGCCGGAGGGAACAACAGCCCAGAACAGGCGAGGTGGAGGGATTACGTTCTACATCCCCTGGCATGGTTGGCTCACGAGAAAATCATCGGCCTGGAAGTAGAAAGGGACTTATCAGCACCAGACCAGCGATACGATGTGTCTACTTATGTACAGCCTAGCACCATTGGATGCCCCACTTCCGATGATGTCTGGTTGGCCGGACAATGGGACTCTCTTTGGCCCGTCCCCCTTGAAGACTCGTATTGAGTCTAGAATATGTGACTATCACGTCGATCAGCTGCTATCTTGCCAAGAGATCATGAAAGATTATTTTCGAATACTGCATGTGGGACCTTGCCTTCAAAAGGGAGGTCGATCTCGAGTGTGGCACATAGTCTTTCAGAAAATACAAATGTAATGCTCAAACATGAAGCCGCAATAAGCTGCAATCATGCTAAGATCATTGGGTAAAGGTTTTCCCAGGAAACTTGAGGGCTAAGACAGCAAGTCGGGAGTGATCACCAAGCAGTAACGACTTCATTGAAATTATGCAAGAGCGTAATTGCGTGGGAAACTCAAGAATGCAACAACATGAATGCCAGTTTAGGAGAATTTCTTAAGGGGCGTGCCGCCATTATCGTAAGGTGCAGAACGCCCCGAAAGCTTTTATGACGGCTGGGAAGGAGCCTAAAGATAGTACAGAGAGCCTAGACGGAGATCGGCTTGAACTATCCTTGCTGGTAACGCTACTGTACTCTTCGTACCTCCACTATTGACTTTGCATCATACCATAGCAATGGCTGAAGACATCTCCGTCTATGGCTATGACAGGTCAATGCTTGCTTGTCTCGACGATACACAATCACAAGGATCATGCCCTCCTCAGAGCACTGTCTTTTCTTCGAACAGTCCCGTAGAAATGAAAGCAGCGACACAACGCTTGCTCAATCTACCAAAAGAGCTTCGAAGCCACATTCTTTCCTATCTCCTCCCTACCACCTACCTTTTCCCGGAGCGCGCTCCCATCTGGCAGCGTGGCTCTCTAGCAATACTACGTACCAACCGCCAATTACATGCAGAGGGAATATCACAAATATACAACTCATGCACGATGAGTATCAAAATTGGGTTCCAATCTACTCGCTTCCGCTACGAATGGTTTGGGCATAAGATCAGAGAGAAGTCGAATAGGCTCTGGCGGTCAGAGAGTACGCAGGAAGGTGGCTGGAACTTATGGGCTTGCCATACGGTCATGCCCCTCCAGAGTGTGCAGTGGAGGCCAATGGCAGGCTTGATCAGGAGGTGGTTGCTGGTCATTAAAAGCATAGACGAATATGACGGGATGGTGCATCACAGTGTAAGCAAGGTAGAGCCTTTGGCCTTGGGCTTGAAGGCTGGCGTGGAAGAGTTCTGCAGCTTTCTACTCGAAGTTGCAAATGACAGTAAGCCAAATCGAGAGACAACTATCATGGTCGTATTCAAAGGCAGAAAGACTGGCACCGGTGAGGAGCGATGGAGGAACCTCATTGTGCAGCCTTTGAGGCAAAGAGCTATGGATGGCATGATGGCTTTGGAGATCAGAGACTTGACAGGGTGACCGGGCCACTCGACGAATCCAATACATAGGGGCCAAACAAATCGCTTCGAAGTGCATGGGAGAAGCGAGGCACATGTGAGAGTATCATACTCCTTGTCTCAACCCCCGAGGGGCGTAAGTATCTGGATCAGTCGGAATCATTCGGCTATCAAAAACTTAACATATTTCATTAGGAACGACTATATCGAGCAATTATATGGGCATATGCTATCCAGGACTTGGACTGTTCTGTGCCGTGATGAGCTGGAAGGCCGAACCATGATTGACTGTGTCCGCCATAGGAATGGCGACATAGCAGAGATGGTCGGTCCGTACGGGCCAAGTGCTCTCACAGTATTGGTTGACTTGAAGTCTCATAGGTATACCTCATCCTGCAGTGGCAGGTAGATGATAGTATCAATGTCACCACACATGGAGACGCGATAAATCAGATTTGGCAGACACCAGTAGTGTGAACAAGTGACCACCCATATTGAGAGGCGACTGATTTCACACCTTGGCTCAAGGATTCGCTGCATCGCAGGTTGACTTCTTGGGTCAGGGAGCCAACCTCAACCAAATTTTTCAGCTTCGACTCGATCATGCGATAGCCAAAGATGTTTCAAGAGCACTACCATACTTTACCATCACAAGAAGGGTTGATATCAAATGCAGTGGGCATCGTCTCAAGAGGCACATGAGACGGTCGAGCGTGAAGCAGTATAGCCCTTCTTCATGATTGTAAGAGGGTCATGGTGACTGACTTTCATTTCTCAGCTGATACAAAGGCTGTATGGCATATGTTGTTTTCGATCATTATGCAAGTCCAAGACGGCTGCCTTGCGATCAATTGAAACCCCTCACGACTGCATGCAGGACTTACGTGTACCCGCGAGGCTTGGGGGTCTTGGATCTCCCCGAAAGGAGGTGCATCTTCCGAAATGCGACAATTGCCATGTCTTGCGCTGACAATTGAACGGTTTCCTGCAGTACGCCACACCGCTGCGTCACCGTGAAACCAAACATCCCACAAGGAAGCTGCAGCTCCGTCGCAATCACTATCGGCCAATGGTCTCACGGCCCGGACCTACTTCGACTAGTACGTGATGCGATTCGATCTATGCCTGACGATGACTCAGGGCCAAACCAGGAGTTTCTTCTTGTTTGCTTTCCAAATTAGGAATGGAGTGCCTTGCGCGATCAGTCTACAGTCCATCCATGTCAACGTGTACGGCACAGTCAACCAAGTGGAGTCTATACGATGAGAGCTGGAGTCCTTGCACATCGTCATCCTTCAACTCGCAATTCTCATTCGCTTTCGCTTATTCCACCGACAAGCTGCGAGTTTCACACTATGCAGAAAGAATCAATATTTCATCGTTCAGACTGCGAAAGAGGCTACAAGCTTGCTGGAGCAAGGCATGATGGCTCTCTATATCTTCAACGAGAGAGAGAATAGCTCATATGTCAAGACAAAAACAAACATCCTGCGACCTTCGCGGTGAGCTAAATATCTGCAGGAGGTCAGTTGCCAGGCATGATGTTCGGCCATGGACTTTGATTCACTCCTTGCCTCTTGTAAGAATACAATCGATCTACAAGACCACAAACCAGTTGATAACGTCAATGGCTTGACAACGATGCCTTCACAATGTTAGCCTCGTATTCGATGAAGGCATGAAACACTTCCTTTGACCAGGGTCCAGCCTTTGGTGATATCCACAGTTTCTCAAAGGTGACTTTGTCTCCGATCTCATCAGCTCCTCTCGTCCACGACTCAATCAGCTTACAAGGATCCAGCCGGGTTGAGCTCGGAAGGCACCTCAGAAAGACAATGACGCAGTAGCGATCGCAATGACCACCTGTGAAACAAGATGGCTCCTGACGTCGGGGTACACGCACGCTCGCAACCCCCGAACGATGTCATGGATGACTTTCTACTTCGGAAAGAGCAATGATGTTCAGCCATGTTGCTCGGATCGGCTAGCAGCTAGATGACTAGACGGAATCACAAGATGGCACGGGAGAAGTCGACGGATATAAAGAGGGAGAGGTATCTCATGATACTGTCTATAACTCTCAACAAGACAAATACTCTTTCTTCGTCTCTACTTCTCTAGCGAAAGCCATGGCTCCAACCTTATTCACCATTTCGTTAGCATTGTTGCTGCCAGCATTCTCCCTTGCTGCCCCTCTTCGTGAGAGTGCATCCCTTATTGACACGGAGCCCATAAATTCCTCGAAGCAAGGTGACTACCAAGTGACAACACAACATGGAGCAACTGATCCAATTCCTACACAAACATCTCCTAATGGTTATCACGAACCAAGTCTTTCAATTGTCATTCCGATCTCAGGATCAGCAGGACGTACTGGGGCTAAGAGACCCGAGCCTACAGCTTTTTCCTCATTGAGACCCTCCGACCAACCATCAGATCCCATTGAATCGGACGTAAACAGCCTCGCCCGTCGAGAGAAAGCTTCAGCCTCAGAAAATTCGGTCAAGCCCGCCAAATCGACGAATGGAGGAGCGGCTCCGAGTCAAGCTTCTGAGACAGGCGCTCCAGCTTCTAAATCACCAAAACCAACACAATCAAAGTCTCAAGACCCAGCTTCAAGTCAACCATCCGACCCTACCCCGTCAGCAACCAAATCGTCGCCACCGAAGCAGTCTTCGTCCAAGGTACCAGAACCAAGCACAGAGCCTTCACAGACTCCAAAATCTGATTCTGGTCAGCCATCTTCCAAGACAAAGCAGCCAGTACAGTCTTCTGAACAAACACCTAAGCCCAGTGTCTCGGCGTCTGAGTCGTCGCCGCCAATAAAGTCCTCATCCAAAGCGCCAGGTCAAAGCTCAGAGCCCTCGCAGACTTCAAAGCCCGACCCAGGCCAACAACCATCGACCAAGACGCAGCAACCGATTGAGTCCACCAACAAAGCGTCTGTTTCCAGCCAAGCACTATCCCAGAGTGAAGCACCTGACCCTACTTCCTCAGCGCCCAAGTCGTCGAAGGCAGTGCAATCTGACTCGCAGACACCAGCTCCAAGCCCTCAGCCCTCAAAGAGTGAGGCAGCCACTCCAGCGTCAGGTGATGGGAGCGGCGGCCAGGCATCTGCAACGGCTACACCAGTATGAGGAACCTGAAGGGAATCTCTTGTTCGGACATAGAAGTACTGAACGAAGAAGGAGCAGCATTCGGCTGTTCTGTTGATTTTGATCTGGATTAGAGGTGACGGAGTGAGTGAGATATCCATGCATTAGTATTGAATTGGGTTTTAAGAACAGGAGATGACCGTTTCTTTAGAAAGTATGTACAATAAAACTGTGATCTGCGTGCTCCCATTCGGCATTTGTGGAATCCATTGAACTTTCGTCACCACTTTACAGTCTCCAATTGATCAACTTTCCTATTTTAAGCAGCGCTTCAAAAGCTTCTACTCACTTCCATATCTGTTGGGGACGGGTAAGAATATTCCTGTTGTCTTTCACCTCTCATTCGCCTACATTCCCAGGTATTTACAGTATTCCTAGCTTGCGTTTTAGTCAATAGCACAAAGCCAAGTCACAGCAAAGAGTCCATTGCACAATATCAGGAAGCCACAAAAGCCTATTGCATTATCCTGCTTTTCAAAAGCAAGCAGACACTTCTCAAAAGCTCCCCTTCCTAGCCGACTCCCCCTACTCCTTCCAGCCCCAACGCCACGCTAAAACTATACCATCGCCAACCCAATCTCATCAACCAGCCTTGCCAAACCGCCCAACCGAGCTCCACCCAATACTGCCCTGACTTTTCGCCTCCTCTTGCCTCCTCGTCTCCTCCCCACCGGCCTTCTCCACTCCTACCTCCGCCTTCCCATCCGCCTTAGTCATCCCTTTTCCCTTCGCCTCGCCCTTTCCTCCTCCCTTTTCCTGCTCTCCATCCCCCTCTCCTCCAGCCTCTGGCTCCGCTTGCCCCTCCGCTCCTCCCTCCGCCTCTTCCTCTTGCCCTGTGTCATTCTCCCGCCTGAATTTGTCGTACCATTGCTCTGCCTCTGCAAGTTCCTCGTCGGTATACTCCCGTTCAGGGGGTCTGCTGCTCGCGGCGGGGCCGGTTGAGGCGGAGGCGGAGCTGCTGGTTGGAGGGGAGGGCGTCTCTGGAGCGCGTGGAGGCCCCCCTTGGAGACTTACTTGCTTCTTGTACATCTCTCTGAGCAGGTTGCTCATGATGCCAACAGCGGAACAGGCGTTTCGAGGCTTTGCAGTAGGTCGGATATGGTTGTTCTATTGTTATTATTCACTTTTGGTTCGTATGAGAGTGATTGCGAGGGAGATAGCTTACTATATGCGTAAGAGAGTGGGAGCGCTGAAGGCTATTGCTGCTGCAGGATGCTGTAGAGAATGCTATTGATAGTCCTGTTTTGCTACAGAATGGACAAGTAGAAAGGCTGTACAGATATGTCATGCGGTTGCAGTATTAGATGTAAATGGGGAAGGTGGACATGGTAGAGCAGATCTGTGTGGGGTGGCGATATAGACGACGCATTGGGAAGACAAGGGGTCCGCCACGCGGAGGATCTGCTAACACTCTCTATGCAATTGCAACATGTTCAATGAAACAAGATATTAACAGGGGGATTTCAAGCTGCTATTGACTGATTCAAAGCTAGTATTCATTACTACATCCTACCTATCGTTACAGAGACTTTCCCATAAACTTCCTCTTCGTAAAGCTGAGCCACCACTGCAGAAATGTGAGATGTATGCGCAAAGGTACTGAGAAATAAAGCAGCTTACCTTGGATGGGGTCGGACCATCTGCATAGACTCTCGCCAATAACCTCATTGCAAGTTCCTGTCTTACCTGAGATAGATACCTGATTGCCTATTAGCAGATCGCCAAGGACTTGCATAATCAAAGCTCACTGCCGCAGCGTTTCCGCATCATGTCGTTCCCTTGGAGCCTCAAATGCCTGATTCAATGGAAAGCTCGCATCGCCCGGGATGGAGAATTGATCTAGAGCAGTATTTAATAATGCCTGCATCCACCGTGTCAATGGTTGCTCTATTCCATCACATCTTCGCATCCCAGTGGTGCACCATACCTTCTCCGCATCCTTCTTGCTCATTGAAGCCTTGATCTTCCCCAAGCATTCAGTCAAGAACAGTATACCATATATCAACAATCGATCTGCTGGGCCCTTGATCTCGAAATTACGGAAGAAAGTGTTCGCTCGGAAGAGGGATAGGACTTCATCGAGAGAGTCGTATGATTCGCTTTCTGGATCGACTTGGAGCTCTGATGATCCTGCAGGTAATGGTGGCAGTGTGTAGGCGGGACCTCGTGTGCGCGTACGTAGGGGGAGTATGGCGAAGTTACCTTTGTCGGAGTCAGCATGGTTTATGCCTGGGGATCTGGATACGCAGAGGCTGCGAGAAAACGTACCGATCAAACGAACATCTTGATCCTGAAGGAAGATTGAGTGATATGCCTGCGCATGGTCAGAGATACAGACAGTGGCTGCTATGATAAATACTCACGGGCATCTTCACATGCTATGTTGAGCTGCAATCGTGAAATAGGTTAAGGATGACTGCCTGAGAAACATGCGGAGCTTGCGGAGAGCGGAGCCAAGTTTTGCCAAGACTCGAGCTATCTAGGCTTAGCGCTAGGGTATTTACGGGTGACGCGCTCTTTACCACGCGTTAATTGGCACCTCAGTCGCTGAGGCAGAAAAATATTCTGCAGCCCTCACAATCGCAATCATGTCTGACTATGAAGATGATATGGATGTAGATGGTCCTGTGACCAAAGATGCCATCACTTTCAGCTCAGACAACACCAATGCGAAGGGCAAAAGAAGCGCTGCAAATTTACCCGTTGAAGCTGAAGATAGTCTGCCATGGTCAGTGCTGCATCACTTTTGGCCTTCATATGCTGAGAATTTTAGGGTCGAAAAGTACCGACCAGACACCCTAGACGACGTCTCAGGTCATCAGGATATTCTCACGACCATCAATAAATTCGTTGACTCTAATGTTCGTCCGAATCCCAAGTTGAAAGTATTTATAGAGGATGGGGATTTTGACGTCACTAGAAACTACCACATCTACTGCTCTACGGGCCACCAGGCACCGGAAAGACGTCTACAATCTTAGCACTTGCGAGGAGGATATACGGAAATAGGAATATGCGTCAGATGGTCTTAGAGTTGAATGCCAGTGACGACAGAGGAATTGATGTCGTGCGAGAACAGATCAAAACCTTCGCGAGTATATTGACTCTTTCAGCAAAGAGAGATGACATATCACTGAGAGAGGATAGGCACGAAGCAGATTTTTACGTCTCTGCCAAAAACAGGCGACGACCAATCAATCCGGGCATTCAAACTCATCATCTTAGATGAAGCCGACGCAATGACAGCGGTAGCGCAGATGGCTTTGAGACGAATAATGGAGAAGTACACAACTAACACAAGGTTTTGCATCATCGCAAACTACACGCACAAGCTTTCCCCAGCGTTATTATCCAGATGCACAAGGTTTAGATTTAGTCCATTAAAGGAACCGGATATCAGACAATTAGTAGATCTCGTTATCGAGAAAGAAGAAGTGAAAATTCAACCTGAGGCCATTGACAGCCTTGTCAGATTAAGTAAAGGGGATATGAGGCGAGCATTGAATGTTTTGCAAGCTTGTCACGCGAGCAGTAAGATCCATCCAACCTTTGATCCGCAAACCCCACGGTAGCTCATCCCGTTATATAGGCACACCACTCCTAGTCAAAGGCCAGCCTCCGCCGAAGACGATCAAGCGAGAACTCATCACGAATGAAACCATATATGACTGTATAGCTGCACCTCATCCGGCAGACATCCAGATGATCCAAGATACCCTCCTCGCCACCCCAGACATCACTTCCTGCTTGAACACCATCAATCACTTGAAATCCAGCCGAGGCCTCGCTCTTGCTGACATACTGACCGCTCTTGGAGAAGAGCTTGCCAAACTTGAAGTTCCACCACAGACGAGAGTAGCTTGGCTTCATGGGCTTGCGGAGGTAGAGTATCGGTTGAGTGGAGGAGGGAATGAGGTCATGCAGACTGGTGGTCTGGTAGGTGTGGTGAGGCAAGGGTGTGATTTAATGGAGCATGGTGGGACGAGGTGAATCCGGCCGTTATTGCAGGTCTTTGCGGCTACAAAGCGATTCTTGAGAACTGAACGAGGTGTTCCAGAGCGGAGTAGGAATATAGTAAGGCGCGTTCATTGGGAGTATGACATCGTATGCGACATCTTCTTGAATTCTAAACAATTGTTAGTAAAGCTGCTAACTTGCATCCGGTGTAGGCATCATGATGTGGTCGTCCTGCACCCCTTTAGACAAGTCATAAATAAGTCTTCCATTGGACGAACAACGTGGTGTATAATGATCGAGAGGCTTGCAGAAAGCGCATCGTATGTATTGTAAGTAACGAATCCTACCAGTTGAGCATTGTGAAAGACAAACATTTGAGTCTAAGCCCAATAAATACCCGCATCTCCTCCGCCTACTTTAATTGATATTCTGCCCACCATCTTCTGCACAACCAAAATCATTATTCTCAGACTCCCAAACGCCGACATGATCCCTCACAATGAGCGTGTTATGCAATACAACCTGTGTCCTTTGAATCCCAACCACAGCCTCCTTCTCCGATCAAATATTCGACAAGTTATAACTCCTTATCTTTCCATCAGTCTTATGCACCCCACCATCGCTATTCAGATACTCCAGCACATAAGCATAGGCGTCCGCAAGATAATGAGCTGTGGCTTCGTCACCACTACCTCACCAACAATCATCAGTAATCCTCCTTTTAACCGCGTGGAAAGTGCCGCTTGGGAGGGAAAGGGCTGAGGGGAGGGAATAAGGTAGGTGGATCTCATACCGTTGTTCAGCAACCCAATTCGCCCCAGCACCAGCTTGCTGCTCCTTGAGACAATTGACGGCTTCTTGGTCGTTAGAACTAAGAGATAGAAACCATCAGCATGATTCTAGATCTCAGCAAATTCATCATTTTTTGCAGCTTGACCGCGCGACGGCCAGCCACAGCAAACAGATCCAGGATCACTCACTTCAAATAATCGCCTGCCCTCCAATTTTCGATATCCGTATTCTTGAAGTGACTACAATATTTCTTGATCGTGCCCCCTACCCCACCAGCACCATGTCAGCCTATTTTCCAATTGACCATCTCACAGAACGGCAGGGGAGGAAATACAATTATTCTTAAACATCCCGAAATTCGCTGCTGTGCCAGTCTTGTGAGTCTTGTTGGGGTAGATATCGCCATAGGGGTAGTCCGAATCCATCTTGCACCCACTGCAAACCCCCATTAGCTCAGCCTAACAAACGAACGAGTCGAGCATTTCTGTTTTGGCTGTGGGCTGGGTTGGGAGGTAGGTTAAGCGTACTTCTCCTCCAGAGCGATTGCCAGGTCTGTAGAACAGCACGGGCGTCAGCATTGCAGAGGCAGGTGAGTGGATGAAAGAGGGGGCAGCGGGTGCATACAATCGACTTTCCAATTCTGCAAGGTGGCGAGCTGCTTCTTGCGAGCTGCGGCTGCTGTGGGGTTATCGCAGTCACCGGCTGGGAGTTCTCGATGGACGTCGTCTCTTTCCATTAGGAAATCGTCTCTTGTCGTCAAGTCGGGGCTTTCGGGGTCCAGAGGCGATGAGGAGGTGGGGAAGGCTAGGGTGTTGAGGAATAGGGGTACAAGTGCGAGGAGGGATAGGTATTGGGATAACATTTTGGGAAAGTGATTGCAGATGATATTGATGCTCAGGGTGTTGGGATGCTGTGGGCTTGGAATGATGGATCTTCTTAACAGCCATCCTAGACTGCTTCTTATACATCGTTGAGGATTAGAGACGATGATGAGAAGGAGGGTAGCGAGATGTCAACATGGAAGGCTATGTTCATAAGTCCTATCTTCTAGGCCTCACTGTCAAACAGCGAGCTTGCACATGAAGCAAAGGTATCCAAGGGTGCCGTCGAATTGTGACATAGAGAAATTGACCGCCATGTTCTTGGCTCAACCCAGGAGCTCCCGAGACCCGCGATCCTGGGGTAGTGGCATATTGCTGGGTCTCGAAAATACTTAGTTGACATCGTTACTCGGCGGCTGGGGCAGCCGGGTACGAGAGACTGAGTGTGCAATGAAAGATGTGTGAGCATGTCATGCTATACTTAGGTCAACCAAGACGGAGAAGGGTATGTAGGATGGCATGCTAGATACCATTGGTCCTCACCATCAACACCATGACCCAGCTTGGAAGTGCCTGCTAGCCGGCTCTCTTGGCGGAGACGCCTCGCTGGTAGGTAACGCCTGCCTAGCATGATCTCAAGAAAACTATTTGGTGTGGTTGAAGGGGTTGTGTGGATGGGTGGCATCAAGCGGATTGATAGCGTCAAATTAGTAGTAAAAAAGAAAGCCTTCACGGTAACTCAATTGTGCAGGTTTCATACGTCGATAAGCTGCATAGGGAGATCATTGCTTTGCAACATTGAATTAATAGATGCTGAAAGCAGCGCGTTTGAGTAGATCAAACAATATCTTCAGTCATAAGCTCAGAGGTCTAGAGGCTAGAAAGAGCACAGAACGTTTGTCACGCAACACTTATTCAGACATAATTTTACCCATAATGTGTTCTCACCTGGAGGATTACGAAAGCGTGTACTTTCTGCACCCACATCGCTTTCCGTCATTGACTGGCGGTGTCTGCAAGATCAAGACTATATGTCACTGAGTTCGACATAGTGCTTCCTGTGGCTGCAGCCTCGGGGAGGCTGGGCACTCAAGCCGTACGACCGCTTAGTGGTGTCCACGTGATGTGAACGAGTTACGTGAAGTAGCTTCCCTGGGAATATGGTGGTCTCCAAGTATTGTGGTTGTCGATGACGACTCGGGCGCAGCAGCCTCTATGCCTTGTTACAGAAGTCGAAACGGGCCGTACAAATATTCCGTGTTCGAGATGGTGTGCTGATGCAAGACGATCCCGCACAATTTTCCGGGCTAGATCGTGGCTCGGGGTAATTTGGACGAATGGTATTGAACACAAGTCTGTTGGATGGAGGACCGTTGTCCGACCTTCTGCATTATCTGCTTCAGCTAGTCAGAGATTGTGGTAGGCGTAGCCGAAATCATTAACGGTAATCTTCGTGAGTCGCAACTGTTGCCTGGTCATGCTTGCATTGGCAAATCAAACAGGAGTTTCAATAGCAAGGCTCAGCGGGCAAAGGCGGAAGCAGACGTAATTTGTCGATGAGGTTGACGGCGAATATGCCGTTTGAGATCGGCTTCTATAAATGGAGATATACATACCTTGTGTATGCAATAGCTTGTGGCTCGTTGTAGTGCGGCACTGAGTCTTTCCCGTCGTCATTCGTATTCGATCTTGTATCTTCTAATCACTAAACCATACCATTTGAAACGTCCATAGTTGGACCAGCTTCGACCGAGTCTGCCTCGCTCTCTTGAGGCCCAGGCCTCCGTCGTTTGTTATACTTTCCTCTTGCACTTACGTCCCCTTCTGCCGGTATCACTCTTGTGGCAACAAGGATAAATCCGTCTGCACCGCCTTTTCCAGTCATTAGAGGGTGTGTTCTCCCTGGCAAGGACTGCCATGCCTTAGCTCTACTGTAGTAGATTGTCGGCGCAAGGAGCAGTCTTGGATCAACGGGGAAGTCCTCGCTTGGAACCTCACCATGATTATTCAGAAAGGCAGTCTTTCTGTCTGAACTGTAGCAATCCGCAAGCTCGGCTAGAGGTTCTATATAGGGCGAGTAGACCACGATTTGAGCTGAACCGCGGAGCAATGGCACGAGCTGATTCAAGACTGAGATTGGGCTCATCACGCTAGCCACTATCAAGCCGTCGAAACCACCAGCTCGAGTCTCGTCCACTATGAAATTGACACGCTCCCATCGGCGACGCTTGCGGATGTAAGTTGCTCTTTTCGCTGATTTCCAGGATTTGATTTCCTCTATGGGAGCTTGAGGAGGTTCAATGCACGCAGAGTCGGCAGCAGGATCGGTGAGCTGAAGCCAGGAAAGAGTCTTCAAGTGACAATTAAGGGGATGGTCGGGAGGCGGATTGTGAGGGTCGAATGAGAAGTATCGAAGTAATGAGAGATTCGGTTGATGAAGGGAGTGGACCACTGTGATCGTATTCGTGCGCGAAGGTAGGCTGCTACTCCGTGATCGCATCTCTCCCGTCGGATCATGTGACTCCTCATCTTCAAAGGGTAGAGTCTTTCCGTTCACGGCAGATTTGTCGTCCACCTCCCCGTTCTGGCCTCGAATGATCTCCCTTGTTGAAGGTACTGATCCACCGACCGATGATGCTGCCATGTGTGGCGAATTGCGGCCTTCAGAAGAAAGGAGCAGCCCCAATTTTTCCGCGACGTAGGCAGTCACCAAACCAGAGGTTTCATCAACTACAAGCCATCTACCATTACCAGCAGGGCCATCTGGCTCCTCAGCAGTATAACGGACATCTGAAACTCCGTAGTGAAGATTTGACCAGCTACCTATCAAAGCCAACGTATCTTCACGCAGTTCAAGAATTTTGGCTGGCTCTCGTTGCGAGACGGACTTGACAAGCAATGACACATCTACAGGTAGTACAGTAAACCTCTTCAGATACTTTTTCGTCTTCCGTAAGGTGTACTTAGCAAGTGCGAAAGCAGTCTTCTGATCGAGTGCGGCATGAGAGTCAAGGATCTTTGCAATCACTTCTTTTCCCGAACCTTTGCTAGATGTTTTGAGCGCTTCAATTTCTTGATGGGTCAAGACCTGGCTACTTGGATCGTCCGTCGTGTGGCGATTCGTTCGCATGATGACTTGGCCATCTTCACCAACAACATCGTACTGTACGCCATCACTGAGCTTGCCCATGGAGTCAGCATCCAGCTCAGATGGCGTGGTAGAGTCATCATCTTGAATATCCGCGTAGATTTCTGCGGCCGGCACTATGCGTATCCCATGCTTTTGCGCGGGGCTTCCCTCCTCTTTGTCAAGGAGCTCGAAGGTGAGATGAAATGGCCGGCCCAGAATGTCATTCGATTGAAAGTGGCCATATTTGCCCAGGTGAACAGTTCTGGCAGAGGTCAGACGGAATCGCTCGCTTGGATTGGCAGTGCCTGCTCACTCCAACTATTGAACGTACGTATTTGGCCTTACCTCGACAATGTTGTATAATTCTGATGGCAACTTCAAAGCAACATGTGAGTTTGGCTGTATCAAAGTAGCCCTCATCTTCCCAGAATATTGTGAGAGTGCTCTTTTTTGCGGAGTGCGGAGCCGTTCGTGATAATCCCGCCCAAGAAGCCTTATATCCGACTAACTCCGGGGATCTCCACCTTGGAAGGTCCCCCGGAGAGGAATTAGCAACCAGCAACCAGCTATCTGCGTCGTCTCATACTTTAGCCAGCAACCTATCACCAGTATCGTCTCTCCTACCACTCTCCGAAGACTTGCCTTTCACATCAACTCAACACAATCATTATGGTAAGCTATCTGCACCACGATGTGAACATAAATCTAATTCTGAGATGATCTCCAGTTCAACCCAACCTACTTTGACGAGGACCCTATGGCTGCAATGGGCATGTTCCAACGCGGCATGCCACGCACCGGTGGCCCTCCAAAGCGCTTCGATGAATACTACCGTTGCTATCCAGTTGCCATGCTGCCAGGCCCAGAACGAGACAACGTCAACCACGGTGGAAAAGTGATTATGCCGCCCTCAGCGCTCGACAAGCTTACAAGACTACACATTACATACCCCATGGAATTCGAAGTGATAAACGGAGCAGCGGATACCTTGACACATGCAGGAGTGCTGGAATTTATAGCAGAAGAAGGAAAAATATATCTCCCATATTGGGTTCGTCCCCACCCCTACATCCCCCATTCAACTAACCAGCTCCTCCCTTCCACTTCCCCTCCTCCCAAAATGACCCCTTCACTAACGACTCCCTCCCAATAGATGATGCAAACCCTCGCCCTCTCAATCGGCGACCTCGTCCAAATAAAATCTACCGAACTTCCCCCAGGCAACTTCATAAAATTGGAACCGCAGTCCCCCAACTTTCTCGAAATCTCCGACCCAAAAGCCGTCCTCGAAAACGCCTTCCGCAATTTCGCCTGCATGACCACCGGTGACATATTCACCTTCCACTACAACGACACTGACTTCGCGATCAAAGTTCTCGAAACGCAGCCGTCCACGGCAGTCAAGAGCGCAATCAGCGTCATCGAGACGGACGTAAAGGTCGATTTCGCTCCACCGGTGGGATATGAGGAGCCGAAGCGAAGTGGGACGAATACACCAAGAGGACAGGCCGGGGGAGGACCAGGTATGCCAGCGGGAGGAATGCTGCATAGTGCGGGTACGATGGCGCAGGCGATAAATTACTCGTCTATAGCCCCTGCCTCTAATTCAGCTGCCGCGGGCGCGAAGGCTGTATCATCGAATTTTCTCACGGGGGGCCATAAGTTGAAAGGAGGGAAGGCAGGGACGCCGAAGCCGTCGACGCCGGTGGCGGGCGCGTCGAGTAATTCCACAGTCCCACCAGCAGCAACGGGAGGAGGAGGAGAGGCAGTAAGGATCAGGAGGACGAATGGACCGCAGCCACTTAGATTACCACATGGAAAGCTGTTCTTTGGGTATGAAGTCAAGCCTGTGAGGAAGGCGGGGGAGAAAGCGGGGAATATAGAGGAGGGGGAGGGTAAGAAGACGAGGTTTGAGGGTCAGGGACAGACTTTGAGGGCGAAGAAGAAGTAGGTAGGCTACAAGGTTATGTAGATAGAGACGATGAAATGATGATATGCAAGTCTAGCCCACTTTCGAAGTGGTGTGCTGGTTAATGTTGAGACTGGCCCGAAATGGTGCGATGATAAATGTAGAACGGGCTGCGAGTTGTGGCTGTGGAGTACGCATGAGGCATGAGTGGGCATGGCTGCGAGTGGTATGGAAGCAAGTGGAAGTGAATGTGACAGTGGATTTTGCTGCCTCTTGACAAGCTATGACATCAAAGTGACCATAGGATTGGAGGAAGGAGCTCAATACCTTGGAGTAGTAGGAGAAGCCAAGTCTCAGACCCTACTCAAGATCCAAAGTGATAGATAGCAAGCCTAAAAAATGTATAATCTTTTATGGTGATATGGAAGGGCCCAGGGTTGCTATGATAAAGATGGCTCACAGATTAGACTATACCAAACGTGAGATTCCCACAAGTGTAGCGTTGGACCAGCAAAAGAAACATGGAAGGAAGCCTGTATACTGATGGGAAGAGAAAGCAGTGGATGGTGGCTAAAGCCCAAGGTATCTTCCAGATGATACCATACCAAGATGGGAATTAGGAAGGTCTAGCATCGAGCCGGGCTTAACATTCAAAAGATTCGAAGAGAGAGACGGGAAATAGCTCAAAAGGTACGGTGGCTGAAGCCCAAGGTAGTACTAGTTTCCAGACCAGACCATACCCAGATGGGAATTAGGAAGGGTCTGGCGTCGAGGCCCCCTTTATACTCATGAGATTCGAAAAGAGAGGGGAAATAGCCCAAAAGGTACGGTGGCTGAAGTCTCTGTACGCCATCAACCGTACCTTCGAATCAAAATGGGTGGGGTGGGCTAAGGTAATTCAATGTTGGAAAACAAATGAGAGATTAGTAAAATGCGTCTCACAAGATAGGAAGGGACAGGACAGGGGATTGTGAAATATCATGTATTAAGGTACTGTTCTGTTATTAAAGCTCATAAGCAATTCAGCAATGTACTAAACACACGAGTATACCATCAGCTAAACAGAACAATTGTGCATCGTGTTGCGCGGGGGAGTCGACGAAGCGGCGTTATTCTCAAGCAAAGGGTGCGGTGTAGTGTAGTCGCCTGATCCAGCAGGTTTTGTTGTCATAGGTTTGTTGTGTTATTAGCCGATTGCGATGTAGACCTTACTTGGGCCTCGGGGTCGATTATCGTGTTGAGCCAGTGATTGAAACAAGATACTTTCCGAATACTGAACAAATTGGGGATTAAAGCAAAAAATTGACAAGGGTGTTCATAAGCCGATAAATCTGTCTCACTGAAGGAAATGATTCTGCCTACCCAACAGACATTCTTCACTAGGCCGTCCTGTGCTGTTGGGTTTGGGTATGGATATTGAAAGTCGTGATAATTGAAGGGTAGCCCCTGGGGTAATCTGTGTCTAATGCTGCGTCACATCATCCGTCGTAAACGTCGTTTGCCCCCCTTTTTGCCGATAGACCAGTGGTAGATGAAAGACATTAGGAATACAACCATTGGGTATGTGTTGTGTCCAATCTGATCCTCAGCATGTACGATCACTCCACGATGATCTCTACGTTCGATTGCTGCCTTAGCTCGTCGCTGCCACGCTGCTGGTGACTGGGATGACGTCCACGCGCGAATGCATTCGGGACGCGTTCAGAAGGCCCAAGTGGTTGACGGACTGGCATTCCACGGTCACGAGAGGCGTTTTCGTAGTTGTTGTTGCTCACGGAACGATTGCTTCCGATAGCGCCGGCGCCGCTGGGACCGTTTGTTGGAGCCTGATGTTCGTTATCCCAAGAGACTATTGAGCGAAGGCGACGTGGACTCTCTGCGTTTGTCATGTTCGAGCTACGATTGAGCGCCATGCTACCGAAACTGTTGACTAAATCGTCTTCTCCGTGACTGAATGGACCTGTCGAGATTGCTTGCGCCTTTGACACACCATTGTAGTTGCTGAAGCGAAGTTGAGTGCCGAGCGGCACGTGGAATGCTGTTTGGGCAGATGCGGGTGATGGCGTGTATGCGCGAAGGTCTGCAACAGACTTGGCTGCACGAAGGCTTTGAGGAGTGGTACCGAATCCACCTGGTGAGTCTGGGATGCCAAGTAAGCCTGAAGATTGCTGGCCCCTCAAGACATTGAAATTTCCCTGCTCAGCGCTTCTGGCCTCATTGAAATCGATGGTGGCCGCTTTATTGAGAGCACGAGCACGATCGCTAGGCTGGATTGTATTGACGTTACCGAGTGGAGGACTCAGGCGTTCGTGACGATACACGTGGACTTGACGTTGTTCACCATTCCCGTGGGAATGATGGATTAGTGACATTGAATGAGCAAGACTGTGTACAATTCGTCTATCACTGGCAGAGAGATGCGCAGGGAAAATGAGCGCTTCGCGCTTCAAGTCTTCTTTGAAAAGACGTAGTTCATCGTAAAGACGCAGCGTGTTGGGATCATTAAGATCTTCCAGATATAGTTAGCATCACCGAAAGGACTACAGGAGGAGGTCTTACTCGGCATTTCTATCTGACCTCCAATAGGTGAAGGCGTATTTGTCGGACGCGATGCCATGGATGACATTGATGGCTGGTTCTGCAGAGAACTCCCTGGAATCGGACGATGCTGTTCTTCCAGTTGACCACGGCGTTCACGCTTTTCGCGTTCAATGCGCTCACGCTCCTGCAGAGGCAGCATCTTCTTATACTCGACACGAAGCCTACGACCTTGAATATCATAATGGTTGAGAGTGCTGATGACGACTTCAGTTTCCTCAGCGGATGTGAAATTAGCAAAAGCGAGCCCACGGAAGACTCCATTGTCGAAATGATAGTTGAAAGCATATGGAAGGGGAAGCCCCAACGTAGACATAAGATCGAGCAGTTGCTCTTTACGGACGGCGAACGGAATGTTCTTGATAACGATAGCTGTCGGAATAAGCTCCTCCTCTACATCATGGGGATCGGAGCCGCGATGGTGTGCTGCGTGCATATTACCGTTTGCAACATATCCTCCCATTTGTGCCATCTGTTCAGGAGGCATCCAGCCCTATCGATCATCAGTTCATGAAGAGATGTGTAGTAGTAGTGTATATAGACAACGTACATTTGGTAGCAAGGGACGACCGCGCATTGAAGGCTTATAGCCACCACGACCGGTAAAAGCATAGCCCGGAGCAGCTGCTTGATTGTTAGAATCGAACGCACTTGAATTCCAGGTATGCGCTTGTTGCGTATCAAGAGTACCATATGCAGGTGGCATTGGCCCATTCATCCTCTGGAACCTAGTTGGGTCATAGCGAAAGCCTTGGTCTTGCGGAGGAAACATGTCGGCTCCTGAAGCCAGGCCACCTCCATATGCATCGAATTGCCTAGAAGGGGCACGATGCATGTTTTGTGGTTGTGTCCCTCGAGCGGGAGGCGAACGTGCGGAGGCGTTGTCGTAGTAGAGATCACCACCCTGCGGGTTGTTCATGACCAAAAGAATCCAGTGTGTGTGTGTGTTAAGATATAGCTTTGTTTTGTTTTTAATGAGGCGCTAATGCGTCTTGATCCGTAGCTCCGAATACTTCTTCGTCGTCACCACCGCGTGATAGACACTCGTTTCTAGCGCCAGCTAGCCCAACTGGCTTCACTCAACGCCCACGTATATTCTGCTGCTGGCACTCGTCTCTGCACGTTCACAAATTGTATATTCTGTCGTGATTCTTGTAGCTATCTAACGTATCCTGGTTCAATCAAGATGTCATGGATCGTCTGCACTTTACTCGTGAACCCCCTCTCGTTACGGCCGTGGGCAATGCGTCAAAGGTCGTGTGGAAGACGTGACGAGTGATATATAGGTCTCTTATCTTCCATTCATCATCACTCTCATACCACAGGGTATGCTGGGATGGTGCTTGAGCTGGGGAAGATGTGGGAGATTCGCTACCTGAGGAGCTCAAGGACCAAGCTTGGCTCCGGGGGTGGCTTCTCGGGCCCTAAAGAGATGGCATGGATACAAATAGTATGTGAGTAACAAATGAGTGATGTTGTTGCGATGCGACCTATTGTGCAATTATAGATGGAAGGGAGAAGTCTGGTGATGCGAAGTATTATGGGATGAAGAAGAAGTTTTGGTGTGAGAGCTCCGCGAGAAATCTAGTTCTAGGAAAATGATCGGCCGCTACAGGGTTAGAGGCCACTGCATACACGCTAACCCTCTCAATGGTGCGTGTTCCCTACAAGGTATTCGCTTGGGAGATTTAAATGGGGAATGGCGTTCTTGGGCGTTCCCCCTGCCGGCCAATTTCAATTCGTGTTTGATGTTTGATTTGATTGTTGCGTAAAGCAGCACACGGAAAAAAGGGGAGAGAGAGAAAGAGGGAGAGAGGGAGAGAGTCAGTCCCCTTATGTTTAACGTGATCGATCGTCTATTATTTCATCTTTGTTGCAAACCTCTATCAGGATCAAGAGCGAGTTGGGCGCGTGGACAGCTTCTCTCCGCTCACGCCTCCACTCCGTTTTGGGCAGGGCGTCATGGCTCAAATGCAGTCTACGGTGGAAAGTGGTCGGGTCATAAATGGTCCATACAGACTGCTCACATGCGGTGTTGCTGACTCGATTGGTTAGGGGCCTGGAAGGGCAAGCTGATGCGATCCCATGGTATGATGCTAGGGATCCCACCGCAGTGTGTGACCCCCCTTCGAGGCCTACGGATTGGTTGGGGGCGCTTTGGCAAGCAGAAAGGAAAGGGCCTTCTAGAAAAGCTAAAGGCAGGAAGCTCCCCGGTGCATGCTTCTGTATGGCGGGAGCTTCCCCTAGGCTCCGATTTCCACGCGACCGGAATGATCGCTCTATCTCCTTGGTCCTTGCTGGAAATGAGATGTCATCATTGTTTCTCCTATACAGGTTACAACAAGAGCAAAGCGAGAGATCAGCTAGGTGGATGACTTGGTGGTGGTGGTGGATCGTCGCTGGGTCGAATCGATAGAATACCGGAGAGGCGTTGGCCTTCAGGCATGGCGCTCCACATTGCGCGTCTGTGGCTACTACTGAGTGACTTCGAGTAGAAACCCCTCATTTCGAACACGGGCTACTGCAGCCTGGATGAACCAACTTTTCGTGTGGTTCTGAGGCTTGTTCGTTCTTGAATTCTGACAGCTTCGGCGTGAAGAAAGCACTCACGGAAGTTGGCTGCTAGAATCTACATGGCCTAGGAGCGGCTCCCTGACCAACTCCATAGGGGTTGAACGTGGCCCCCAACATCCAATTTCGACATCGTCAAGCTTGGATGATCATATATCCTTGTCGCGCGAACGTGGGCTCCCGCTTCGGCCTGTTCCAAGATATTTCCTAGCCCGGCTAGCCATATGCACGATTGCGGCCCAAGCTGACACCAGCATTCCTCCAGTGCCCAACGACTGGCTGTGATGTCCGTGATCCACCGTTGAAGTGTGCAAAACCACTGTGCTGGTGCATAAGGCCCGCATATCGTTTTGATCATGTGACTTGTTGGATGTCTACCCTTTGGGCTGCACCTTCTGCAGGGCGGCTTGCACAGGGCAGATCAAGAGCTTCTTCGTCTCCGTTCGTGGCTGTTCATGATTATCTGGGGCCTCTGGCAGGCTTTCTCAAGTACAGATGGCATGCTATATCTACCTACCGTAAGGCTTCGCAATAGAAAGATTTATATAGAAATGAATGATCATAATGTCACAGAAACTTAAAAATGAATGATTGGTCTCTAGATGCCCTTCTGCTGCTATATAACAGCTATGCTAACCTGCTTCATACCTCCTTGACGCCAGCGCTTGCCACAATTCCGTCAATACGCCACGAATGACGCCTCTATTCTTCCTACATCATCGTACATTTGCCATCCCTCCTCCTTTCCTCCTCATCCCCTAGCCTCTCCTCACCTCGCCCTCCCCTTCCACCAGGCCTTGGTCCATATCTCTCCCCATATGCCCTGCCCTCACCTGTTGGTCGTCTTGGCATCGGAGGCCCATGCGTCGACGGACCTCCTGGAAAAGCGGCGGCATGTTCAGCGTACGCTGAGCTAGTAGTCCTATGCCTTACTCCTTGAGGCCTAGATTGGTTCGTGGAGGCTGCCCTCGTACGGGCGGAGGTAGGACTATAGTCCGGAGCATTGTAGACTGGCGATCTTGCTGCTTGCTCGTAGCTCGGTGGGGGTGCTTCCTCTGATGAGTTGCGGCGACGAGACACGGGAGGGGCTTGTCGGGCGGAGTTGGTGGCGGGGGGAGGGGCTTGCCGAGCGGTGCCGTGGACGGTATTGGCCATACTGCCACCTCGGGGAGGCACCAACGGCGCTCCTCCTCGTCCTCCGCGGGCAAAGCCAGGGAAGGTTCGACGGCCGGAGGCATCCGAGTTGCTGACATAACGCTCAGAGGCATCATTCTCACGGCGGCGAGCTTCTTGTTCCCGCCGTTGGCGGTCATCTTCCTCCTCCTGTAGCTGAAGGGCGTAGGCGAGATCGTGATCTTCTTGCTCACGGTTGACAGAAGCCGCTTGAGATCCGTCGATATTAAGGTTCTCGATGTTTGCAGTAGGCATTTCTAGGTGAAAGTGAGCTTTATTGTGGCTTGGCAGTGAGTGGATAAGGGTCACATACGTATCTCACGCGTGACACTCTGCCATCCGTGTCTATCTACGGTCACCGTTTCTCTGATATCACCAATATCACCGACCGGATTGAACTCCCAAGTGAAAAATGTGCTTCCCCCTTGGCCGTTCATGTCCACCACGCTTTCCCAGACGACCTCTGAACGGCTAGCTAAGCCCTCGTCGGTGACGAGAGTGAAAAGCTGACTGGTGTCGCGATGCTTGTACAGGGTGTTGAAGTGATTATTTCGGAAGTAAATGGAGACTGAACCAGGTCGAAGCTTTTGAGCAAGGTATTTCAATCCATATGGAGATGTTTGGGTTGCTGTAGAATCTAGGAATGACTTGACAAAAATGGCATCTCCAAGCAATTCTCTTTCTTGCGTATCCAAGCCTACGGTATTCAATCTCGTCTCGAGCCCTAACTTTTCGACTAGAATATTTTGAGATTGTTCATGGTCTGAGGCACTGCGCTTAATCGACTCAAAAGCTACATCATCTGGTGATACAAGCCAGCTATGAACCAGCGGAACCCCGAAAGTACCATAAAGTTTCAAGTCAAGACTTGGCTTAAAGCCCGCGATCATTTCGTAGATGCGTCCCTCAATGGACAATTCCGAGATCGGCGCATCCAAGATACTTGTCTGTTCTTGCTGGGGGAGAAGAATTGGGTTGACGTTCATTCCATTGTTGAGGCGCACAAGGAGTTCATAGAATCGATGCAGAGGTATTTGGCGGCGGTATGGGTCACCATGAAGTAGCTCTTCAATCACATAATCGATCAGGTTGCCCAGCGTCACTTGTTCGCGATCCCTCAGTCGATCTGCGAGTGTGGTATAGCCCGTGGAACCTGGACATGAGAGCACAAGGGCGTTGACAAGAGCTAGCAAAGGGCAAGGGCCATTGGTGTTCTGCATCATTACTGGTAGAAGAATCGGCTTGCTGGGAGAAGACGGATCAGTCCACATAGTTTTGCGTATTTCGTAAACCTGTGCCATCTCAGCTGCGTGAGGGTGCGCAGTATCGGAATGATCGGAATTTGATATCAAATCTAGAAGAAATTGGGAGTCCTCGAAGCTGTAATCACCGGCTTCGGACGTCGAAACAGGTATCGTTGGTAATTCTGGAGAAGCGATCAAGTGGTGGGTGATGGGAGGAGTTCCAGCAAGGCCGTCGGAAGCAATTTTGTTTCCAGTGTCAAAGAATTCACTCGCAATTTCGTTAGATTTTGGCCTCGATGCATTTGGCGCCTTCCCTTGCGGTCTCTCTGCATAAGTAGAAAAAGGAACATCAATCGTTTCATTCAGCAATCTCTCGCGAGGCCAGTGTGGCTCTATTCCGTCTGGAAATCTAGACGACGCATTTGGGACAGAAGTCCATGGCTCCCTCAAAACGCCTTGTGACTCGGTACTTGTGCTTCCTGGCTTTGGATCCAAATCCCAGATGTCCGCACTGCTTTCGACACCAAGATTGGGTAAATCGAGAACTGGAGGCTTGTCATCCTTAGCTCGACGAAATGGATTACTAGAGATCGATGGATACGGCTCCTCTGGTGTTACTACATCAGGGTTGACATGATAGGACGGATCCACTTTTTCTTGCCATACTCTCGCAGTTTCACTGGAGGATCTAGGCGTCATGTCTCCCCCTTGGTAGGCGGCAGTACACGATATTTATCGTGTTCCTCTTGCAACTGTGGTCCAGCAGGAGAGCTGGCTTGCCCTTGCACGACATTCGGTCTTTCACCACTACGTGTATCCAGCATATTGAAATCTTCCGAATGACTTGAGAAAGAACGAGTATTTCCCTCATTCACGCCCTGAATCTCTTGCCCGGCTCCAATTGAGGGCGTTTGTGGCAGAGGTTTGGAAAGGCCCTGTGAAGGAGCCCGTGGCGCTGTTGGTTTGGTCGGCCATCCTTCAGTGATGGTGTTTCGGCCATTGCTGGTCTTGCGAAGGGTCATATTTCTTCTTCGATGATTCTACAAGGTTCACTCATCTCATCACCGCAAGATTCGTCGCATTTGAGGAGCGAGTCCTGGGAATGTGGCAGTCTGATGTTGGATTAAGACATCAGGCAGTCGTTTTTGGGGAGGCGATGCACAAAATTGCCACGACATACGCGCAGTGTGTAAGAACAAATCCGCACATATACAGACACAATGTGTTCAACAAGCTCTTTTATGCATCAAGGGCGCTCAAGATGAATGTCTCACCCTCCGACGCCGATTTAATATAGCTGTCCAAGCTCCTCACGCTCTTTCTTTCGTCCGACCTTGCTTCGAGGACAATGAACGATCTTATCTTATCTTTTTAGCGCGCCGCGAAGATCTAGATCATCAAATCTTGCAGACCGATTGATACACTCACACTTCCAGCGTTGCTTGATCCTGAGTCGAATCAAAGGGCAACGGGTAACGACCAGACCTAGTATTTTGAAGTCTCTCGCCCTTAAACCACACAACCCTAAACCCACTTCTTCACAGCTCCATCCCAACAACCGCGAAAATGACAGAATTAACCTTCACAAAATCCTTCCTCTCAACCCTCGACTCCCGCCCTATCAAGCTCCCAGCCGACTACATCATAGACCCCAAAACCCTCACCCTCGAGCATGCCTACACACTCCCCAAAATGCCACCTCCACACCCTCCCATGCGCAAACCCTCTCCATCCACTTCCACCGCAGGCACCTCCACCTCTCCCTCTGACCCCAATGCAATCCCCACCACCCTCACCGTCACGCTGAAATCTTCACGAAATCCGCCGCTGGAATTGAAGGTAGAGGATGTGGATGTCAACTTGACGAGTGTGCTGAGTTTGAAGGAGAGGGTGGCGAGGGAGCTGGGGTTGGAGGGAACGGGGAAGGTGAAGGTGCTGTGGGAACGGAAACCGGTGGGTGATGCAAAGAGCGTGAAGGAGGTGCTGGGAGAGGAGGGGTTGAGGGGGAGGGGGACGGGGGTCGAGTTTGGGGTTATGGTAATGGGGTGGAGTGCTAAGGATGCGGTGAAGAAGGGGGAGAAGACGGGGTGGGCGCTGCTGGTGCTGCTGGTGAGGGGGAGAAAATGGATGTGGATGAGCCTGAGACGAAGAAGGATGGGGGTGTGACGACTGGGGCGGGTAAAGCGATTGATGACGGGTTCTGGAATGATCTGGGAGGGTTCTTGCAGCAGAGGTTGAAAGATCAGCGGCTTGCTGAACAGGCTCTGGGGGTATTCAAAGGGGCTTGGGAGAAAAGGTAACGCCAGTCATGATGACGTGATAATTTTACAGCCATGGCGTTTGGAGGCATAGCGATGATAGCATACATAAAGTTCAAGAGCCTCGCACTTAGCCATCTTGAATCCTCGATGGGTTACGTCCAAATCAGGCCATGCACAATGAGGAGCAATTTTTGATGTCGCATATTGTTCAAGTCTATGGAAATTGCAGTCCACCTTCGCAAACATGGCGCACAAGATCCCTTACCCTGTTTGCTTGGGCTCCTTCGTAGAAACCACATCAGGCCTCATTAACATTGTCACACTTCATTGCAGCTGGACTCTAGCGCTTGCCCTTCTGCACGTCTTTCAGGACCGTTGCATACTCGATCTCGTCATCTCTGTTGGCTTGGATTTCGACGGCAATGCCAGTAAGGGCGTTCTTGAGCGATTCTTTTGAAGATGCGTATGTCATCTTGGGCTTTATAACATTCATCAGTACTGCGTCGTCTTGCTGGTCCTGCGTTGGAGCTTACCATCACCAGGGCGCCCTCATCTGGAGACCACGAAATGAAGACAATCTTGTTTCTGCAGTTCAGAATGTTCAATTTTCGTTTTGTATATCCCTCGAGCAACGCGTAGTCCTCTTGATAGGAATCTCTTACCTTGTGCCCTCCCCACCCTCAAGCTCATACTGGAGATCATAGATAGCGTATCTCGGACCTTTTCCCTCCTTGCCTCTATGAGAGCTCTTCGCATTCAGCAGCTTCTCCTGAAATTTGTCCCAGTCAGCTTCTGAGGAGGTATCCTCGACCACGATTTCTTTGTAGTCATCGCTGATCTTGAAAATGATGTATTTGATCTTCTTGCTGAGTTTAAGGTCGTCGAAGGCGGTAATGCATTCTGGCGCGACAGCAACTCTGTGTTGCGGTATGTGTTAGCACTCGGAAGCCTGAAAGCGCATCCGTCCGCAGGTGATAGGCAGTAGACCTCACCCTGATTTGCTCTGTTTGATAGTCAGCACGTGAGGAGCAATCGCGCACTGTGTGGTGAGGATTTTGACGTACCATGATTGCTTACTAGGGCGGTCTGCGAGTGTGGGTAGTCTGCTAGACCCGTCGGTTCAGGTTTGTCTGTAGAGGACTATCAGCCCAAGTATCGAAGTCGGATATTTGCAGCCTAGCAATGATGACTGCAATGGGGCGGTGCTGTTAGGATACTCAGCTATGCGTTAACGTACCAACAAGCACCAAGCTAAGCTGCAAGGTTTTGAAAGGTAAATGTTATAGTGAGAGGAACAATGTGGAGATTTGAAGGTGTTGAATCTACTGTCGTGTTGTCGCAGCCGCAGAGAGATGTTTGGTGGGGGAAGAATCTCGGCGCTAATGCCCCCACCAGTTCCTTTGGCTCAGCGACACGTAGAAGTACGGAGATACGTTTAAGTCAATCGCTACAATTAAGTTAAGTTGCAAAATACGAGTTGGGCAATTAGATACCAGAAGATACCGTATGGAGATAGGTAGGTGGCAACCTTAGTTTGTAAATGTCTTAGCTACCCAATGTTATGCCACACCTGTCTGATCGCTTTTCAACAATGCTAGAATCACTATATGCAAGTAGACGACCTTGGAGTGGAGAGACCCAAAGTAGAGGATTATAATGACAGCCGACCGAATCGAAAGGTGAGATCCTATGACGCCAGGCTGAATAGATTCCGTCGAGTCTGGCCAGTAGATTAGAACATGCCTCCACCACCCATACCTCCCATGCCTCCCATACCACCTCCACCCATGCCACCAGCAGGCGGAGCCTTCTCTTCAGGAGCTTCTACAACGGCCACTTCGGTGGTACCAAGCAGTGACGCTACACCGCTTGCATCGACCAAAGCGGTGCGGACGACCTTAAGAGGATCGACGATACCAGCAGCAATCATGTCAACATACTCGCCCTTTTGACTGTCATAGCCCTTGTTGAAATCGGAGCCATATTCGTCGGTAAGCTTGCCGACCACAACGCTACCTTCGGTGCCGGCATTCTCAACAATCGTCCGTGCAGGCCGGGTGATGGCGTTTTTAACAATGGAGACACCGAGCTGTTGATCGAAGTTGCTTGGTTTGAGAGTTCCAAGGGCGTTGGCGGCGGCCTTTAGCAGGGCAGTTCCTCCGCCAGGAAGGATGCCCTCCTCAACAGCGGCACGAGTAGCGTTGAGTGCATCTACGACTCGATCCTTCTTTTCGCCGACCTCGATCTCAGAAGCTCCTCCGACCTTGATCACGGCAACGCCGCCAGAGAGTTTGGCAAGACGTTCCTGTAGCTTCTCCTTCTCGTAGTCCGAAGTTGATGGATCGTTAATGACACCACGGATCTGTTCGCAGCGTTGAGTGATGGCATCCTTGCTACCCTCACCGTTGAGTATTATCGTGTCTTCCTTTGTGATAGTGATGGAGCCGGTCGTGCCAAGCATTTCTGGCGTAGCCTTTTCTAGCTTAATATCGAGCTCATCTGTGAAGACAGTGCCGTCTGTGAGGATTCCGATATCCCCTAGTATTGATTTGCGATTGTCACCAAAGCCAGGAGCTTTGACTGCAGCAACCTGTAGTTGGCCTCGAAGCTTATTGAGAATGCAGACAGCCAAAGCCTCGCCGTCAATGTCCTCGGCAATGATCACAAGCGGCCGTCGCTGTTGGGTTGAAGCCTCTAAGGCAGGAATGATGTCTTGAATAGCCGAAATCTTTTTCTCAGAAAGCAGGATTAGGGGCTTCTCAAACTCAACTTTCTGGGCCTTTGTGTCGGTGATGAAGTATGGGGATGTGAAACCTCGGTCAAACTTCATACCCTCAGTCACTTCTAGCTCATCCTCGATCGTCTTCCCTTCCTTCACTGTGATGACACCCTCCTTGCCGACCTTCTCCATAGCGTTCGAGATCAGCTGGCCGATGTGGGTGTCACCATTTGCGCTTATCGTAGCGACCTGGGCAATTTCCTCCCCTGTCGTAATATCTCTTTTTTTACTTTGAAGGTATTGTACAACAGTATCTACAGCTGCTTGTGTGCCTCTCCGCAAGTCCATTGGATTGCATCCTGCGGCGACATTCTTCACTGACTCGGAGAATATGGCTTTCGCAAGCACTGTAGCGGTGGTGGTACCGTCTCCAGCCACGTCATTGGTTTTGGAAGCGACATCCTGCAGTAATCGTGCACCAAGATTCTCAAACTTGTCCTGTAATGTAATCGCTTTTGCTACGGTGACACCATCTGCACATTCCGTCAGCTGAGCATTTGATGTGGTGCCACATGATAGAGCCACCTTTCGTTATTTTCGGTGAACCATAGCTAGACTCTATCAAAACATTTCTTCCTTTGGGGCCAAGAGTCGTTGCGACTGCTTTTGAGAGGGTGTCCACGCCCTTGAGGAGGGAGGTACGGGCTTCGTTGCTGAATTTGAGATCCTATGGCAATGCCCGTCAGTGGATATCCAGGTTCAGGAGCATTTGTGCTGTAAGTCATGCTCGTCTGCGAAGAGTGATCTGATATTGGAAGGAAGCAAATACCTTGTGGGCGTATCGTTGCTGTTGGAAAGCTGTGAGAGAAGCGGCACCAATGCGAGACTTTGGGATCGAGTTCGCACGTGATGCGGCAGAAGAAAGGAACGAGGCTCGAGCCCCAGAGGTCAATGCTCGCTGCATAATTAGATTCGCAAAGAAAAGACTCTTAAAGGAAACACCAGCTCGTACAGGGAATAGATGAGCTTAGGGAATATCATGAGCAAAGAATTTTCTTAGAGATTGGCGGCAGGCGGGTCAAACGTTATTCCGAAGCGGTCGGACGAAGCCAAGCCGCTAACGGCAAGTCGATCGATTAGTGCCGGAGATTGCCATGAAATAGGGGAAAGGCAAGCACAAGGCTATAATTCGTGACTATTTACCTTGATATGCTTACATGATGAGTTGAGAGTTACCGTAACTCATACGATGACTTAAGAATGAACCTGCACCAGGGTAGTCCTGACGGCTGAGACAAGAAGGCAGACGGGGAAGAATAGGGGGCCACACGCCAAAAGCTCCATGAAGTCCCACCGTAAATCCACGAGCTCTGCTCCTAACTCTGAGGCCACTTTGGGGACTCTATCGTGTACCCGGCCCTCATTCTCCAAGCTTACAGAGCTGTCATTCAATGTAAGGTATTGCGGATTTTCCAACAAGACAGCAGGTGCGCGTAGACGGCTCTCTTTATGATACACTTGATTAAAAAAACTGGTGTTCCCTTGCGAGATTGAGAAACCTGAGGTGGTGCGTTGATATGAAAGGTGCTTTTTCTTTCTGTGGAGTGCACAGCAATAATCTTGAGATATGGAGTCCTCGTAACGATAAGCAGTCTTTTCTTAGGGAAGCATGTGAGTCATGGGTTTAAAACGAGTAAATGAATTGCTGTCATTTCCCATTAAGCGAAGAATGAACACAATTTTGAAAGTCATCCTGTATCTTTTAGAGGAATAGGCAAAAATGAATGATATTTCAACGCCTCACAAGTCATCTTTCCGCTCGTTTTCCTCGTCAATGTCTCATCACCCAGAGGTTGGTAATCGACATATACAAGCACCGAGAAAGAAAGCCTGAAGATGCCGACCGGGTGTCTCAAAGTTTGAGCGCTATGCAAGGCTGGAGAAATCTTACCAGCGGCAAATGAAAACACTTCCAGCATCTCAACCAGTCTCGAGGAAATGTTGTCTTGAACGCCTTCGACTCTTCGTATCTTGGATCAAATGCGAGGAACACTGCCTGTAATCTCATCTCATAGGAAGCGAAACATTACTACAGTCTTGCTCGGATGATTCGCTTTCCGAGCGTTTGTACGGCTCTTGCATCTCAAGACGAGGGAAGAAATCATCACTTTCGACATCAACGCACAACCTCATAGGCCAATCGAATTCGACTCTTTCTTTCCTTCTCCGGCAGAATACACGCCCAAAGCAGAGATATGATCCTTGGAACCCGGGTAAGTCTAGGAAAGGATTCGGACTTACCTTCAACGTGCCACATCATATCGTATCAGACTATGAGGCTCTCTGATTTCTCAAAACATTATCAATGAGTCTTTGCTACCCGTCAGACTTGCAATCGCTATGATTCGACTCCAGACTGTCCACAACAAGCCATGAAGTCGCAAATTACTGACAGAGTCCTGTAAAAGATTTCATTGCAGCTCCCAGTTGGACCAAAACCCTCAAGAGATCTCATATTATTTAGAATGAGCCCTGATCGCTGTTATGGCAGAACCTCACTATTCTCAATTTCTGTATCGGCTGGGAAGCTCGGGTATTGCTGGGTTCATCGTCATAATGCCGAATGTCAAGATACACAATTCGAACATTGAGAATGAAGCTCTGATTCGTCTTGGGGACTTCAGAGAAGTCTCTCGGCGCGTCTGACGCAATATGCTTCTTGTTCAGGAGTGTTCAACCCCTCTCGCCTCAAAACTAGCTGCACGATGGCTGAATCTACTGTACTTCGAGCTGCGAGCGGCTTCAATTCCTGAGATTAATGTTTTCCATTACCGGAATGCTGCGTATCACGACATGGACTCGGGATGCCAGAAATAGAGCCAGAGATGTCCCAACGGCTTAGAAGTGAAGCCACTCCTCGTTCTAGATGTAATATGCTCCCTCTTCATGATTTCCTGGCTCTTTTCGCCTTAGAAATGTGTAGTAGATGGCTGTGCTCGCTGTGCCTAAAGATGCAAGCGGTCGACCCTTCCGAAAAAGTCGAATCTATTGCCTGATACTGAGTATCAAGACACCGGCTAGGGTTACAGAAATAAAGCTCGAGATGTGCCTAGGGCTGATGAGTGAAAGTTCTCGCTGCTCCTGGCTTGATGCACTATTTCTCTATGAATTCCTGTCCGATTCGGCTCTAGAAACGTTGAAAAGATAGCTGGATTCAGCGATTCTAGCCCTGCAAGCGGCTGAGACCTTCATTGCAGCGTGATATCTCTGGATTGGCACCAAGGGACGCTCTGTTCCTTCAACCGCGTAGAAATAAGCATTAGAGCTAAACAAGGTAGGATACTCTCTCTACACAGGCATTCTCTGGCTGTGAAAAGCTCTCAGCTCGCTAGCAACGGTGTCGAATCTCAGGGAGGTTATATCTGCGTACCTGTTGGCTAGGACTGATTCATTTTCTCGATAAGGCAGAAGCGAGAGCGTATATCAATCAAGGTAGGATGCGCTACACGTAGAGGCTTTCCCTGGCTGCAAAGAACTGGCTAGCTTAAAGATCTACCACTTAATCAGATTCCAGATATGAAGGAAGGTAGACAATGTTGTTCAGAAGGAGAAAGCAGGCCGCGGCAGGCCATTTCATTTGTCAACTATCCTATCATACAAAAGAAAAAGGAAACAATCACCACGCCCACTCGGGGCCGCCACCGAAGACACCCGCTTCTTCCATATCCATTTCGTCGTCCACCACAAAGGAGCCACCGGAAAACGCGCCGAAACCAGTGCTGATGTCGTCATTCACTTCATAGGAGCCATAGGAGTGAAAGGCGGGGGGTGGGAGGGGCGCGAAGGGGGCGAGGGGGCCGGCGAAAGAGGCGGGAAAAGAGGGTGGGGCGACCAGACCAACCGGCAAAGACATGGGGGCGGAGGGGGCGAGGCTGGCGGGGAGCGGAGCGGCGGGGGCAGGGACGGCGGCATGACTCAGCTCCCGTAGGAGCGCCGAGAGACGCGGCATGGCGGTCGTGTTGAAGGTTGTAATTTTGCTGGGAGGGGGCGACGGAGACGAGAACAAGAGGTCCTCTCCTCCGCCAACGGCAGGGAGAGAAGCGGCGACGAAAGCCTTGCGGCTTCCCACCTTGGGGGAAGCCGCTGGCGCGGCGGAGGGGTTGGCTGCCTTATTGGCGCCAGGTTTCGTCTTTGCTCGTTTGTTCGATGAAATGACCGCGTAATCAGGGTCGCTGTCTGTGTCTGCCTGATCTGCAGAGTTGGTGGAGGCGGAGGGGACGTCGTAACGACGCCCCCCTCGTCTAAGAGGCGGCGGGTTCTGTAGACCATCTTCCTCTCGCTTTCGTCTCATTTTTGCAAGGTGCTGGAGTATAGCGTTTGGAGAAGCATTCGAGTTCATATGGCTAGCAATTGTGTCCATGGGCAGCACGGTTCCAGTCTCATTACATCCAGACTGTATAGCAAGTAACAGCTTCTCATTCAGTTCGGCTACGAGATGTCAGCTAACCAGGCTTTCAAACCTCAAGGAACTTGACTACTCACTGGACCAACGTACGAGTTTTCCTCGCGGACGGCGTGGCATCGCTGAAAGTGATGAAAGATATTGACTGTGTGAAAAGTACTCTCGTAAGAGCTTGGTGATTCTCGCGATTTTGCCCTGGGCTAATAGTCGATTTCGATGGGAAATATTAATTCTTCTTCGTCTTCTTTGTTCCAAGTAGGTCGATGGGTATAAGACAAGTTGGGTAGGAGGGAACTGGTCAGTATTTCAGTCGTTGCCGTGCTTCGTGGTATGTTGTAAAGCCACTGAACGATGCTGAGGACTTTTTGGTCACTGAGTTTCAAGAACTTATTTGATCGCTATGTCGAAATCCCGTCAACACTGACCCAATTGCTGTCGTCAAGGTACTTACGATGACAGCCCCTGGGGTAATGGTGACACCTGGTGTGTGTGGAGTTGACTATTTGGTCAGCTTCATTCTCTCCAAGTATTTTTGCGATTGTTGCTCATCATCAGACGTCATCTCTAAGCGTAGACAGGCTGTGGAGTACGACACTGTGACTTTGGGGGATATAGCAGTCTCGACTTACGTAAGGATGAAACCTGTTGCTGTTACTGATAATGTGCTTGGTCGGCGCAGGTCTTATTTCCTTCATCCTCTCATTTGTCAGCGATTGTTGTCAAAAATCTAGTCGTCTTATGTGGGGATGTGGAAGAAAGAGGATGGAGGCTGGCAGGCTGAAGCCTAGGGGCATGGCCGTAATTTCCTCTCAACACTCGAAAACACCATGTCCTGATGACGAACGGGCAAGTGGAGGGGCTAGACAGGGATCTCCATACCTCTGATTGATTCGCTAGACGCTACTACGTGACAAGGGACCGCAAAACCGCGTCATGCACGGAAGATTAGGTTGAATTGATGAGTAGGAGTGTCATAGCTGTGAGTTATCTCGGGGCAGCTAGTTGATGGGTTTCTGGCACAAAGTTACACGGAAAGTGAGCTTGACGTGAAAATATTCAGTCTATGAAATGCTTGAAGAAGATGAAAGATGATGAGTAGGAGTACAAAGAACTGAGGGCGATGAAGACTGCTTTATACACCTTCGAGCCCAGACAGCGTCGAAGTGTCCACTTGAGTGATTGGCGGTCGAACCCGGGGCGGTGATGTGGCCCAAAAGAGTGAATGCAAAGTTTTTGGTCGGGTGATGGAATAGAGTTCACGAGAGTCTACGAGTTCAGCAACATTGCCCTGACAATCGGCGATCGGGCTGTGATCTAGCCGTAACTGTTCAACGGGCAGCCGGATCGAAGAATGATGAATGGAACAAGGGGATTGCTGGAAGAACGGCTAGGCGACCAATCAGTGGTTTTGCAAACGCCTCGAGTCATGCATGTGAGGCTAGCATTCGATTGGCTTTGTAGCTTTGATAGCAGAGCCTCAATTGTGGGCCGGTAGGAATTGCAGGAGAAGGGCTCACTGAATGATGCCGGAGCCGTACTGTATCTAGCAATATCAGCTTTCTCAAAATTGGAATACATTTATATGCCGTTGGAGCGACCATAAATGCTTTCTTGCACGGGCGAAACTGATGAAGCAGAACTCTTTCACAGAATGAGTAGCGATATTTTCTTCAAGCAGCACGGCGCGAAAGTGCACGACGGCGATGCTACTTCACCCTAGCGCTTTCACTGTTCATTTCTTCGACTGTAGGGCGTGTTCCTGGTGACTGGTGTGTTTCAGCTTGTGCACAGTTGTTGCATCAACGCAGGAGCAAAAGCAGTCTCTCGATCCCCCTGTATTCATTGATTACACGCTCACAACATACTGAACAAAGTACAGGCTCCAAATTCGTCTTCAAATGATTATATTCGCCGCCACTTCAGCTGAATCTCCTCTCCTCGTTCCCAAAACCCCTACCAACCTCTCCGAGAGCCTTCCATCGGCGCATCGAAGTTCAGAATCTGTTGGCAGAAGAGATTGGTGCAATGCAAGAGCCTAGATACAATGGATTGGGTAGTCGGAATCACGCCAATCTCAGGCAGTGCTTGGAGACCGAAGGAATGAAAAATACTACAAGCTGAGTCTTTCGATCGCCTACACAAGATTCAACTATACCATCGTGCCTTCGGCGTACAGATCAAATGGCGAGGAGCATCATCGTCTGGGCGAAAACTGTGCGCTGAACGAGCCCAGGGGTGGAGTATCACCAATCTTGAAGCCATATTCGGAGGCATTCCAGTCATACAGAAATTGGCAACGAACAGCGGGAGCGGCAGGTCGATAGCTACGAGGACGCTGCCAATGCCGCCGGAAATGGAGAATTGGAACCGAGTTTACTACCCTTTAAGCTGGATGGGCTTTAAAATTAGTCTATATACCTGCGTATTTGCTCCGAAATCAAGCAGTATTTCCATTTGTGTAAATCATGAACTTTACAGTTTCGCTTATCACCCGCCCGGAAATAAGAAATTCCGGTCCGTTTTGGTATTTCTTGACATCACAAAGACTACAGGCCTCCTTGCACGCATGTGATAGCACGGTAAGAACACTCTAAAGAGGTCTCCGAGCATGCTTTCCATCCAAGTAACCACCGACATCACTTTTTGTCCATGTTACGACTTTCAAAGTCGCCGAGGAGCATCGACGACCTGTCGCTCTAGCATTTCATCTAGTAATGGTACGCGGAATGGTGACCGTGAAGCGTCATTGCTTCGCCTAGGGTGTGAGCATTCAATATATTTTCTTGCCGACTGTAATCGCCACCGTGTGAAACGTGCTGGAGGGTTCACCGGTGAGACCTTGAGGATTTTTGATTTGTGTAAACCGTAAAGCGTAGAGACTCAGCTGTAACAGGGCATGGTCATCAGAACCGACTGTGTGTGGTTCAATGCCTCAAAACTTGAAGATGAGGCCTGGGCAGTGATCCATTGCTAGCAGAAGTAAGTCTCCTTTCTGCAGTACAGGCTGAAAATCCCCAACCGCGGCCAAGATCAGCCTCACGATTTTTCTCTTGATAGTCATTCAGCCGCTGCTGAAAATTGTTGAAGGTGTGATCATTTTGATTGGTGTGACCATTAGTCGAAGGAGCGCTGGCGATACTGAAGTAATCTGCATTGGTACGAGTTGTGACCAGTCGCGGGAGATGAACTAGGTGCGACAATCCATGGTATTAATGACCACATTTCGACAGCGTTTGTCTCATGCCATTCTGTACCTGGAAAGGTTCCTTTCCATGATGCATCTGACTCCTTGCTGTATCCCAGTACGCGCTGATCTGCTGCGGCAGGAGCGATCTGGCAACCTAATCCGTGAACTTTGTGAAAGCTCTAGAAATTTTTCCACCAAGATGTTCCAAATTTTGAGTACCTCTAGAGCATCCACTCACCCTCACAAGTGACACGGTATGAAGATTGAGAGGTAGAAGAACCCTGGAGTAATACCACATCCAGAGGCTAGGTAGATATTGAGACTGACTTCATCCTGGGGCCACTAGAACACTCAATGAGTCGACAGGCTGATTTTTGCTTCGTGCAATGGAGATTTAAACTTTTACCAAGCTTCAATAGGCCATTTCACAGAAGGATCTTACAGGCTTCAGAAAATCCAGGATTTTGGGTGCACTGGAGTCCAATGTGAGTCGTCGAGGCTCTGCACTGTGACATATAGTCTTTCACCGTTTTGATAAAGTTCCTCCACGATTGAAGAGACCTCTTTCTCCTAATGAGTGACATTCTGTAGATGGATCCAGGATCATGAGGAAAGAAGGCGCGACCCACTTTAAGTGCCGAGACGTGGCCAGCCAGATGCTCTCTCTATGTAATCGAAAGACCTAATCATTTGCCTGAAATCTTGCTCTTGAAACCCTGTACACTCGACTTCTCATGGTCATCAGAGCGAATCGTGAGGTGAGAGTCTCGGTATTTTGATTGTTTCCGATTATACCGATGCGAGATTGAAGGACTTGCCACGTCAATTCACCATCCATTCAATGAGCTCAACTTGTACCGCCGCTCAGGGTATTCTCATTCCTTTGTCTGGGACCCTAGCAGAGTTCTAATGATCTAGCCACGATTGGTACCGAAGAGCTAGTTGTGCAGGAACGGTTAACTGCGTAGACTCCTCCTCGTTGGGCATTCCAATTGGGCCCAAAGCGTAGATCTCCTGCATAGCGATGAGGATCGGCAAGGCTAGGAATATTCTTCTGGGCCCGAGCGGTTGATGTACCCCTGAGTCTCTTTATAAGGATGCTTTACAGTCGGACATTAATCGAAGCTGTTCGTTGTGGTTTCAACGATTCGCTTGGTCAGGACTGTGAGGGTCAGGACTTTACGGTAAGGTCAAGGACCTCCACCGTTTGAAAGTCATTGCGAGGAAGGCCTGCGACTAAGTTCCGACAGTTTCTAGTTACTTGAGTCACCCTCACATGATTTGTAGTGTCTTCAGCCTGCCAGTGCACATCGGCATTGTTTATTGAGGAGGTATTCCGCGACAGCTGCTACGACCCATCGCCTGGCTGTGTCCAGCTGCTTTGGCCGCTGTGAATCATCAAGGTAGCAGATACGCAGCAGGTAGTCGATCTCCTCCAATCGTTTGGTGCACTTTCCTTTGTGCTGTCGATGCTGTCCATTTGATTTCGTTGTTGCTGATGTGCTCGGGCATGGCGGTTGTGAATTTCGAAGACCTGGGGGTAGAAGCCTGTCAGGAAGCTGCTTCAGGCAGATCGCTGGAAGTCCTCCAAGGGTGTTCCATAAGGATCACACGATGATGAGCACAGGGCAAGAATCGACAAGTGTGAGGTACGGTATGGTTCACAAGAAGGCATAGTGATTACGACCTAATATGAATGACTCCCGCTTGGCGTCTCCGGGAGAGCGTGAGATGTTTGCAAAGTCTTGGCTACATCGGCCGCTAGGTTGCCTGCATTTCTTTTCCACGAAGAAATTTCAAGTCAGAAAGAGGTCACTTTGCTACCTTCCTACGTAAATACTACAGAAAATTGTTTGGGCAGGCTCCCTGCATAAAGCCACCCTCCATGATACTCCTAGTACAACCAAAACGTTCACAGCATGCATATTGAGCTACGAACTCCATGCAGAAAACGAAAGCTGCAATCATCTTTGAAAATATTCTGACCAAGAATGCATGACACGGACATGCTTCCCGCAGGTGTACGCTCCAGTAGAAGCATGCTCCGGCTGATCCATCCTCAAGCAGATCTACCCTCCTGCAGATATACCCTGCAGCCAGCCGGATTGCCTCATAGACCACCTGAACAGTGTCCAGTACTGCGGGTATCTCACGAGAGAAGAGTAACTTGGAACTTTCTGGCAATAGACAACCCATGAATCGACGACAGGTAGCCTCTGGGCACTCAGAAGGAGCCGCCGTCAAGTATGGCGGGATTACGAATCCTTGTGGTTTACCATACACAGCACCCTAAAGTATGAAGGCGTTGTGCTACAGAACAGAAGCTCAGGGCACATCAACATGTAATGAAGCTAGCGTTACTGTGGATGAGAGAGATGAATGACAGGCTGGTAGCAACAACCTCCAGTCTACAACAATTTGTGCACACTCCCCTCAATCAGTTGGCAATCAAGATTGCGGCTTATGCATACGCACTTCAATCACGGGTGGATCGATTCCTGTAGCCTATCCGTGGGCATGCATGGAAGGTAGTGCAAGGGAGAAATAAATGGCTCACCAGAATCACAACATCTTGCTACACAGACACTGTCGAAGGCAGAACATGGATCTCCTTTCTCCTCGCGTGTCATGAGCAAATAAAGAGCGCCTTTGAGTCAACACTGAGCTGCCGTACTTGATGGGCACGCGGTCCAAGCAAGTTCAAGAACCGGGCGCCAATGTGCCTACCAATGAAATTGACAAACGCCTACGAAAGTACTCATTGGTTGTACACAGCTCTGGGTCCAGAGAATTGTCAAACACTCTTGTGAGCTGTTAAAGAGCTTCTGAATTGACTGGCTACGCAAATTCGCTCCCTGACGTGCCTTGATTGTCACTACCCTCCTCATCTACGACTACGAGGACTCCGACTCTTACTGATCCTAGATACGACCGAGAAGACTCCTCAACTTCTTTTAGTGAATCTGGCTAGCTAAAAGAGCAGCGGCAGCAGCTATAAGATTTGCTGTTTGGATGAAATAGAGACACTGGACCAAAGATTTGGAAAACCTGTCAAGTTCAACGGGAATTGTCGACATAGCTAATTGAGCCATCTTCACCACCAACCCTCTTCGTGTCCTCAAACTTTCGACCTGCTGATAACGGCTTACGCGGCTGACAGTCATTCCTTACCCTCTTTGAATCGGGCTGTTTAGGTGAGCGACCAGAGGGGATCTTCCTACGAAAAGCTCCGTGGACGCTGTGTACTTGGCATAGTCCACAGACGAAAATCAAAGCTAGGGCTCTACAACTCATGAATGAATGAGCCTCATACGAGAAATGGCAGAATGCAAACAACCAGGAACAAGCCGTCACCAAGACCTCAAAGGTTCCGACATGGGCACGGACTACAGACTATGGATCATTTGAGAGTGCTATTACAGTCTCCAGCCGATCTACTTTTACAGCCTTGTCAACGAGCCTTGCACCATCCAAGCCCCGCCATCATCACAGTACGCACTTTTAAGCTCGATTACCTCACGAGATTTCCATGGTCAAGCGACTTCTTCTCCCCTTCCTGAACTTCAATAGCATCTCAGCAGCTAAAAGAAGAGATGAAGCAGATGCAAAGTTATTTTACAAGACATCCGGCAAGAATTTTCCCTTCAGAGCATTAGCAATCTACGAGTGTGCGTGATATGGGGAAAATAGAGTGCGCGTGACAATGGTGGATCTTCGGCGGTGAGTATATTTGAAATTACGCTACGGTGCTACGTCGCTTCCTAGCAAGACTCGATCTATCCTCGAAGTGCAACTGAAGATCGCTAAGCCCGATATGTGCTCTTCGCCTGCTAGAAATTTGCACCAATATTGCAATTTTTCTACTGTCCCCACCTTGGCTCCCATGCCTGTGATGAATCGCGAGGTGATTAAATGACAAGACTCAACAGCATTTCAATCCATTCTAGAACATACGAGGGTTTGTGCTTGCTGCTGTTCAACGCCAGTGTTTTCGATGCAAAAGTCTAGACCCATGATCGATGCCAGCGAGGTTCCGCCTGCCCATGGACTGCCCATAGACGATGGAGGAATGTACAATTCGGGTAAGTGCAACAGCTTCCGCCTCTATTCCCCCATTCTGATCCGCTGATTGATAAGCAATCCATTCTGGGTCGCCCTGGTGAATGACTACAAATCTGCCGCCGTTCCTGCGCCTGAACTTCGAAGACTCAAACACTTCGCTTCAGATAAGACTTCTCCACAGAACAAAGGTATTGGATCAACGCCAAAGACGACTGAGACTTTTGCAGTAGTTGACTTCAAAGAAGTGTGTCTTCGTCTTCGACAGCAGTACCTCGCCACGTCGCTTTCAGTGAATCAGTTCCCGATCATCATTTGCCACCGCTCGTCTGAAACATCGTGAATAATGGGTCAAGAAGAAGATACCAACCAGAGTGCTCCCAACGACCAAGACCAGACCCCTGTCACAGAAACGCTCGAAGATTATAAGAAGCATCTGGAAAATCTCTTGAATCACGTATCTATCACAGACCCAAAGTCGCAAGACGCGGTCCACGTACAACATCCCAAGGCACAATGCCTGCAAGCCTAGCTGAACCAGAAATCCAGATGAAGATCACCAAGGCGGACATCGAGAAGGTAGCTACCTCTTCGCCTTACTTTGACACTCACTGACACTCACCCACCAGCACCAAGATGAGCTCATTACCGCATACCAAAAGTCGTCAAATATGATTGAGTTGCTCGGTCACTGGCGTGAGTGGAGCAATTGGACGCTTTACCTCGATGGCTGACCATGAACAGCGAAAGGCTTACCGAGGCCCCGTGGTACAGACATTATTTTCGTACAAGGCTGGCTGTCGAAACTCTTAGGGAAGAAGCCGGCGGAGTGGTGTCCCGATTACAAGCATTACTTCTAATTGGTCGCAAGAACGAGAAAACTACATTGCAGTGGCTCGATTGGGGGGTGGAGGATCATCTGGCGTCTGCTTTGCAACATTCAGGAGCTAGTGACGGACGGATTAGGACATGCAATAGTAATGGAAGGTATCTTTAGCTCGCCGGCGTGATCAGACAAGGCGTGAGCTATGAGAGTGGAAGGGGCGCCCGGCAGGGCGTAGGATGGCTTGAATCTTGCTAGGACTCCGTGCATCATAGGAATAGAATATGAACCAATAGCATTTGTATTCATTATGAAAGCTGGCTTCAATAGTAGCTCTCCTTTGTGCAAATTCCTTTACTGATCAGAACTCGGAAGCTTCGTGGTCTTACTTTTAACCAGCCTCATCATTTCAGGCTTGTGCACACTCAGTACTACGTCCTTTGCGGATCAGACCAGGGCTCATCTTGCCCCTGAAGGGCGCCTGCTTGTCTCCTCGCCTCCTGATTATGTCCACAGCTTTTTCAGATGCTTGATATCACGGTCGTTGAGTCAGGAATCGTGGTGGCGCCGGCCAGGGTTGAGGAAATGCGTCCAAGCTGCTATACCGATGAGTTCCTCGCATGTTCTCATCGTAGATTGGAACTTCGTTGGTCGAGTGTCGAGGGAAAGTCGAGTTGGCTCAAGTAGGACAGGGGGTGGATGGGCCAGGGGTCGTAATGCGACTGCTGAGAGGCTCGCTGAGCGATTGGGAGGGTACGGTGACGGTCTCAACGCAGAAGTGCCGCGGCGGGGATATGTGAATTCAGTCCCTAGATGAGATGTCAGAAAACAAGCCAGTAGAGCAGTAGGAAGGAGGCAGACGTACTCTCAACAGATTCGGTGGCTGTGTTGTGGAAGGACGAGGAATTTGACACTACCACGGGCGCAAAAAGTGGTCACATTTGCAGAGAACACAGCGAAGACAGGGGACCAGTTGTTCCCGAAGGAAAGCCACGTCAGGCTTGATTGATGTTATGGTACAGACTGGAGCAGGTGCTCGTAATAGTTGATAGAAGAAAGGAAAAAGGCTCCGCTCATTACAATGTCTGTTTGAAAATCCATCCGTCTTCGTCAGGTCCTATCCACCTGTGCTTATCCACCATCGCATATCTGGCCGTCTCAAAATCAATCATCTGCTGAGCTCTCATGACATATCTTGATATCAATAGCTTCAGCCACCCTCATCCGTTCCTGGGAAGACTGTCAGCAAATATCCTTTTGAAGTCTTCAACGAGGGCTGCTTACAAATTGAACACAGTCACATCGGTGTCCTCATCCTTGCTGTCGTGTTCGTCTACATCCTTCATTGCGCTGTCATCATCTTCTTTCTTGACTGTAGAACTGTCAGCTAACACACAGAAAGCTCTGGTGAGGTCCTCACCCGTAATCTTGCGTTTCTTGCTTTGGTGGCGAGTAAGATCAGTAGCGGCGTCAGAAGAGTCATGGAGCGAGTTATCATCCTTTGCTTTGCGTTTACGCTTCGTAGTATGGGAAGCAAGAATGTTCGTAGTGTCGTTGTGCTTAGTAGCGGTGCTGTTGGCTGCACTGAATGCCACGTTCTCAGGAGTAGCAGATACGAGCATGTGATTGGGGTCGTTGGTAGAGTTAGTAGCGATACGTGAGCGGATTAGAGCGAATCGATGCGACAAGGCTTTCGCAGTCACATCTTCATTGATAGATGTCAACATATCATCGCTTGGTGTGATAGTGAAGGGATGGAGTTGTAGAATGAAACGAAGATGACTCCAACCCCGCACTTGGGTGATGTTTGGATGAGATTCAGCTTACCAGGTCCCATGCGAGCAGCTAAGGCAGATAGGTTAGGTTTAATAGCGTGCACTTCGAGTGTGTGAGCGAAAAGACGGATTTCGTCTTCGGGGTGCCACTTCATAGTGGCGTGGAGGTTGATGAAGGTGGTGGGGCTGAGAGTGAGTTAGAAGGCAGCCTAAAAGTGAATGAAAGGGGTTAAAGTGGTACAAGTTAGGGGGGAGGCGGCCCGTGGCAAGATCTTCAAGGTAGTTACGGTATGAATCTGACATAAATACCAGATAATACAAAGCGGAGAAGGCAGGAAATTCTTGAAAATAGTATAATATGGTGTTTGCAGACGCGAAGCGAGCATATTTTGGCTAGGGGAAAAGACGCTAGTACGCGCTAACGCCGGATTAGGAATGCTTAGATTTGATATCAAACCGGAGATGTAAAATAACAGAACGTTTATAACCATTAGCAGCGCTGCGTAATGTTAAACAAGGCAGGTCTAACTTGCTGCCGCTAGGGAGAAGGTAGATCTATCGACGGAAGAGTCTGCAAGAGGTATTAGCACTATTAGCGGTATTTTAGAAATATTGTAAGTTTCTAAATAAACCTCTTACCAAACCTGCTAGACATAGAAGTTTCACTAAGATGAGGCACTCTTAGCTTGCTGCCGTTTTAAACAAGACTTGTTTAATAGCTAAGAAGTCTGCCAAAAGTAGTAGCATCGTTAGCGGCGTTTCGAAAATACTGAAACTTTTCTGATTATTTCTTACTAGACCTATAATGCCTAGAAGCATTGTTAAATTAGGCAGCTTGAGCTTATCGCCGTCTTGGATAAAGCAGATTTATCCGTCGGCGAGGCTGCAGATGGTACTAGCACTGTCAGCAATGTTTGAAAACTCCGTAATTTTCCAAGGAAATTTCTCACCGAGCCTGCCATATCTGTGAGAACCACTGCCAGATGCGTGTGATAAGCTCCAAAGACTAAGCGCTAATCTCTGGCCCTCTTGGACAGATCTGAAATAGCCGTGTTCAGCTAACCACAAGGTTGAAACTGGGCAGTCGCACTAGAATTCTGAATGACGATAGGGAAGCCTTTGTAGTTTCAATGGTTTGATTTGCTGGCCGATCCTTTGAGCAGGCTTGAATCTGACGTCTTTGGCTATTCATCGAATCTCAGTGCGGTAAGGGAAAAAGAACGAAAAAATTTCTAGAAAGCGTATTCATAGACATGTGGCAAAAAGATGGTCTTTGCCAATATTCTTGAGCCTCTAAGAACGGAACAGGAAAGAAAAGTGGAAAATATAATTGCAGTAACTAATCAGAAACATACATGGCTCATGAATCTTTGTCACCTTCTTTTGACATACTCTTACAGCATTGTTGACTAGCGTGGCACGCCCAGCATGACCAGCGCCGTGATGACTTTCACGATCTCTAAGCTCGTCCTTCTTTCGTCTTCGTCAATCTGCATGGCTTCCCTGACGCACTCATTTAGCTCGTTGCTATAGTTGTCGAGCTCTAGAACTTGTCTCGTATACTTTCCAAAGTGGACCAACTGAGAAGTGCTAACGCGCTGGGCTCGGTCTTGGTCTATCATTGGTCCGCGTCCAGTGGCAAGATTCTGTACGCACGCACCCATGCTCCAGACATCTGCTTTCGCAGTAGACTTACACTCAGGCGCTGCCCAGTAAGGAGTTCCCAAAATTCTGTTATCCTCATTTTTCGAGGCGGTACCAAATTCTCCAATCACAACGTCGGGGAAAAGTTGAGGATGCCGCTGGTTGCGGCGCAAGAACACGTTATCCGGTTTGATGTCGCCATGTATAATCGGATCCCAGACTTGTGGGACAGAGGGGAAATCATCCTCATGATGGTAGCCATGATGTAAGAAAGCCAGTCCCTGAGCCATTTGTAGATAGATGTGCCAAACAAGACTTTCAGGTGGCTCTATCATTTTACTCTTATACCCTAAAATCATGTCAAAGAGGTCGCCTGCATCGCAGTATTCTGTATAAATCTGGCCCTGGGGTGGTGGTTCGGTTGGTAATAGATGACTAGTGGTCTTGACGGTGCGGACAATTCGTTCATTTCGACGACGAGCACGTACGATCCGAACCTCGTGGAGCCAATCAGATGGTGCATGCGTGCCCAGGGCAATGATTTTACAAACGAACAGTTTTCTATCACGTTCTCGCTCGATCAGCACCGCCTTTCCGTTGCCTGACACGGGAAGGTTCTTTTTGTGTTGATATTTCGACCTTTCTTTCCTAGTGTTTCTCACGAGATTTTTCATCACAGTTTTCCGCGATAACGGCGGCCGAGCACCCCATGGTGGTGTTGGAAAGCCACCAATTGACCTTGTCATGCGCGCAGAACCGGGAGGTGGTTGTATAGGAAGGCCACCACCTACCGTTGACATGGACGCAGAACCGGAAGAATGTGATTGACTCATCGCAATCACGCTGGGTAGGCTAAATTAATATGATTGGCAACGAGTGACGAGCAGGCCTGTAGACTGGCAAAGTGACGGCGTCGAGATTATCTGAAAGCTCACAGGACGGACAACAGTTACAGTTGGGTTTGGAGCGTCCTGGGCCCGAGTCAATATGACTTTTAAAGTACTTTCAAATGATACTGAGCAGCATTGAGCGATTGTCTGAGTTGAAGCAATCGTTGAGGACGATAATGGCTTATTCGGTAAGCCGCAGCAATCAGTCTTTGTGAACGTGATTGACCTTTTGTCAAACGTTTGTGGTGGAAACTCCATTGTCTTAAGACAAACCCTCGGATACTCGATTTTCGCGAGAATGGCATTGAGTCCGACCTATAGCGAGACATCATCATTTGATTCATTGTTAGGAGTATCGGATACTGCCGAGCGTTGGGCTTTCTTTTTATTCCTGGCTGAATCGCGCTTTCCCAGAGAACATGGTACCCTTGACAGTCATCATTCGTCCAAAATCGAGGTTGCTGCATTCGTCCTCATGTAATCATAGGTTCCGATGCATCTGAACATGCTCGCTGCTGCTGTCTTGTGCCTTAAAATTTGCAGGTGTCCCTTTCTCTGTTCTCAGTCTCAAGTCTGCTGTAGCTTCAGCTGTGAAGCCCCATGACAAACGAGTCACATAATCTTGTGTGTCAAAGGATGTTGATGTTGATGCAGCTTCATGGGATACGGCTTGGCCCTCGTATCGTACCTTTGAGGTGTACGTCTTTCCAGTGGATTTTCCCAAGAACAGTAGTCTCGTGGCGACAACTTGTCAGGATGTGCGGCATAGAACAACCATACTCTCTGGTGAAGTCGACGGGCTCCCTTTTGGGCCCTTCGTGATTGGACGATCGTGTGCATTTTTGACAAATCTGCGCTGGTCATATCGCAGAGAGCCTTGGTCTGATCAAGCGATTTGTATTCAGATCTGCATTAGACTCGAAGCACGTTTCTCAACAGCAAGCGGGTCTTCAACCATTGATAAAAGTCTTTGTGGATCGAGCGGCGTCCTTCAAGGACCTGTGAGGAATGTCTTCATAGTGTGCTATAAATTTACAGACTGGAGCAACAATTGAAAAATGCTTTGCTCAGATCATAGGTGCTGCAAGGCAAAGTACTGCCGCAGCAAGCACTCTCCAAAGATCATTATCCTACCACGCCGTGCTTCACATCCCATATCGTAGCAAACCTTTCTGACCCTGTTACATGTTTCATCACACAAGCAACCCTGCTAATCCATTCACGCCTCTTTACCTTTCTTCTTCTGCTCGACCTTCAGAAGCAAAGCGCGGTTGATGTGTGGCAGGACGCCTCCAAACGCGATGGTGGCCCTGATAAGGGTGTCCAGCTCTTCATCACCACGAATCGCAAGTTGCAAGTGACGAGGTGTGATACGCTTGACTTTGAGGTCTTTGGCTGCGTTACCAGCAAGTTCAAGGACTTCGGCAGTCAGGTATTCGAGAACAGCAGTTACGTAGACAGCAGCTGTGGAATGAGTCAGAAAATCAGGGACGGGCAAAGCAAGCTTGGAGAGTGCTTACCCTTGGCGCCAACGCGCATTTTGTTTTGCGTGTTATTCTTGAGGAAACGCTTAACACGACCACATGGAAACTGCTCTTCACATCAGCACGATAGATCCTACGAGCGCACCACAGGAATGTCTGTGGCAGACATCATGACGCGTTGTTCACCACATTTTCAGTGCGCAAACAACGGGAATGCAGGATGGCCCACCTGTAGACCAGCTTTGGCCGAATGCGACTTCTGACTCTTTCCTGCTACCTCCTTGGGCCCAGCCTTCCCACCGGTAGATTTGCCTTTTCCGCCAGCCATTTCGCGTCTCTTGTATTTGTGAGGTGCTTGTAAGTTTTAGAGGAGGTACGCGACGTTGGTGAGATGGTTGTACGGCAACGTTTGTTCCGGAGTGGTGACGTGGAAGTGTTGTCGATGGTGTGGGGAATGAGAGATGACGGAGCAGAGAGCGCGTGAGGAAGACCAAAACATCCGACTGCCAAGCCATTCTAGTTTTCCGGTGGACCATTAAAGTCCTTGATCGCCCATTGTTTTGGGCAAAAGTCATCAACCGCCCACCGTGCAGAAGAGAGTGCAGAGGTGTGAGAAGCCATCAATGTCTTCTTTCATAGGAAGGGAAATATCAGCTCAGTAATCACTGTATATTCATCTCAGCGAGGACTGCAGGGGACAGACTCTGTGCTGCAAATCCTTAGGGCTCCAAGGTCTTTGTGAGCACCAAAGTGGAGATGTCTTTGGCCAAAGTCAAGGCCATAGTATTGAGAAGAATCGATCACAATACATTCGGAGCACAACGGGTAGAAAAGCTCCCTTCGTAGTCTCAGAAAGCGAAGACATCGGATGTTCTTGTCGGTTGTGTATATCGATTGCTTCGTTGCTTTAAACGAAACAACTTCATGATTATTTGACGCTAGAACTAATTTTGGCAAGGCTGAATGGCTTGGCGTCCAGAGCCGCAATATTAATTCCGAATGCGCATTTTCGTCAGGACGCATTGCCAGTAACATCCAGGAGGGAAAAGTAGACATCGATAAATGGCGACAGTAGGTCAAGCTTTACGTGTGCTCTTACTTAGCCTTAACTGACCGCGTGAAGGGCATCACCACAGTCTCTGAAAGCAGAGACCTTCGCGGTCTGAGCCTCATAGCTGCCCATTCACACATTCGCGGTCTTGGAGTAGACGATGATACACTTACTCCTCGAGCGTCCTCACAAGGCCTTGTGGGTCAAGAACGAGCGCGAAAAGCGGCTGCCGTCATACTGCAAATGGTCAAAGATGGAAAAATTGCAGGCAGAGCAGTTCTCATTGCTGGACCACCCAGTACAGGAAAGACAGCCATAGCCATGGGTATGGCGCAATCACTGGGTGCCGATGTGCCATTCACTATACTCGCGTCGTCGGAGATTTTCTCCCTAGAAATGTCAAAGACAGAGGCTTTAACGCAAGCTTTTAGAAAGTCAATAGGAGTGAGGATAAAGGAGGAGAGTGAGATGATAGAGGGAGAGGTTGTGGAAATTCAAATCGACCGAAGCGTCACAGGGGTCAGTCGTGTCATCATCGTCACTTAAATAGATGCTGACGATGATGAGGAAGGGCAACAAACAAGGCAAGCTCACAATCAAAACTACTGACATGGAGACTATATATGACATGGGTACGAAGATGATAGACTCCATGTCAAAAGAGCGTGTGATGGCCGGCGATGTCATTTCAATAGACAAATCGTCAGGCAAGATCACCAAATTGGGCCGCTCTTACACGAGGTCAAGAGACTATGATGCGATGGGCGCAGATACTAAATTTGTACAATGCCCCGACGGCGAGCTCCAAAAGCGCAAGGAGGTTGTGCACACTGTCAGTCTTCATGAGATAGATGTCATTAATTCTCGAACGCAAGGCTTTCTCGCTCTCTTCTCCGGCGACACCGGCGAGATACGAAGCGAAGTTCGGGATCAAATCAACACCAAGGTGGGTGAGTGGAAGGAAGAGGGGAAAGCCGAAATCGTCCCCGGTGTTCTCTTCATTGACGAAGTACACATGCTGGACATCGAATGCTTCTCATACATAAACCGCGCCTTAGAGCACGAGCTTGCCCCAATCGTCATAATGGCCAGCAACCGGGGGAACTCGAGAATACGCGGAACCAATTACAGATCTCCTCACGGGCTGCCTTTGGACTTTCTTGACCGCGTTGTAATAGTCAGTACCCAAGCATATGGCGCGGATGAGCTGCGGCAAATCCTGGCCATAAGAGCGCAGGAGGAGGAGGTCGAAATCACAACCAATGCCTTGGAATTACTAACGAAAACTGCATCCGAGACGGGTCTACGGTATGCAAGCAACTTAATCACAACATCAGCCTTGATTGCACAGAAACGCAGAAGTAAAGACGTCGATACGCAAGATGTCGAGCGGAGTTACCGTCTATTTTACGATCCAAAACGGAGTGTAGCATTCGTAAGTGAGTTTGAAAAGAGGTTCATTGGCGACGAAGGTAGCGTGCAGTTCGCAATCGTTAACGGTGATGCTATGGAGGTGTCGTAACGATACCCAGATGTGGCACTATTGACTCCATGGCGTTCCAGCGATTCAGATCAAGAGATAGAGCTGTTATAATACCCAAGTAAAGAAAAGTATTCGAGCGTTGATGACGACGATGTACTATACAATTACATTGAGCTGGGGTATCACAGGGTTACAGATCAAGGACTTTCAACCAATCGCTCGTCCCAACTTCTCTATATTCAACGCCGTCACCAAAATATCCAGCATCAATCCACGCTTTCATCATTTTACTATCATAAGGTCCATGCGCTTCAACTCTGTCTCTGCCGTCAGACCATCTGTATTGCCAATGTCTGGATTCGTCGATTTCGTTCGTGTCGTCGTCATCGTCCTGCCGCGAGTCAACCCACTGCTCTCCGGTTTCCCGCGTGTATTGCCTTGTCAGCAGCTCGCGTTCCGTGTCGTATATTTCCGTCTTTCCTCTGGTGAGCAGTAAATCTGCTGCCTCAGTAATAGCCTCGACGGCTTCTTTCCTTCTCGTCTCCTTGGGATCTTCAGGGGGCTTCTCCTTGTCGACATCCATTTCGTCTCCATTCTTCCGCCTATTTCTTTGCCACTTAGGTTTCTCCTTTTTCCCTGTCCCAAGCCTCGCGAGCGCTTCCAACACGGTCTCTCCAATTTGTAGATTTGAGATCAAACTTTTCAGGACGTCACCTGTCAGCATCTTATCATCCTCCATCTGCTTGGCCCGAAGCTGTTCGTTTCTTTGGTCGGATGCCTCTTTAGCTCGCTTCATGTCCTTCTTACTGACGCCCACAAGCCAAGAATCATGCACAGCATCTGGATCCGCGGCTTTCCGTACAAAATTGCCGGAAGCATCAAATCTCCCTTCCTCATTCTCATTCCTCATATTAAAGGCATCCACCTTCGGCGCATGTTCCTTCTTCCCTCCTGCACCAATCTCTTCATCTGCCTCACCCAGAGCAGCACGGTCCTCTTCATCCACCTCGCTCTCATCGCTGCTGCTCTCCTCCTCTTGCTCTCTGCCCTTTCCCTTGCCACCTCCATTTGCAATCCCATTCCCATTCACTGAGAAATCCGCACTGACGTGACCTCCACTCTTACTATTCAGCACCTGTCCCTCAATTTCCTTTTCATCCAGAAACTTCACCTCCTTCTTCCTCCGCTTTCCCTCAGCAGCGAGCTCTTCATCATCGTCTCCATCTACACCCTCTCCGGGCTCTGCTTCCTCTATACCCGCGAACATGTCATTTTCCACCTCCTGCTTACTGCCCCGCCCATTGGACTTTCCCTGTGCCTTCAATTCTTTGGCCTTTGCGTCTGCCCTTGCATCAAACCCCTCATTCGAGCTGTCGCTCTCATACCCATCAATGTTCACCGCATTTCTTTTCACTTGCTGTCCACGCTTGCCGATCTCGTCAGCTTCGAGCATGGCATCTTCTTCTACAGCGTCTGGGGCGAGCGCAGACGGGTTGCGCACGTCAAAGCGAGGTTTCTTGGAGGCAGAGGGATTGTCGTCGTCTTGGAAGTGGGTACGAGCGAACTCTTCGCCTGCACGTTTAGGCCGGGGGCTGGCCGACGTGCTGGCATGATGAGAGCTGAGTAGGTGAACCTGATAGTGATGATGTTTTAATCGCAGGTTTGGAATTCGGAAGCTCATCATCGTCATGCCCGAGGGCCCTGAATTCACCAGATTCAATGTCTTGGCATTACTTATCGATAAGAAAACAACAAAATTCTTGAAAGCTTGAATAATACAAAGACTGTGTGAATTCATTGAGCGTGGCTTCAAAATGGCACCATCTCGCCGAATGCAAAAGCAGGGTCCTCCACCCGTGCTTGATGAGTCGAAAGTATCGAAATTGAAGAAGCACGACCCAATTGCGGAGGAGAATGTGCGAGGAAAGAAAAGGAAAGCTTCAGGGGAAATCAAAGAGCCAATTTGGAAACCAAAGACATCGAATGGTACAAAAAAGACAGACAGGAAGCAGAAAACAGAACCTGCAGTTACCACCACCGAATTCGCGCGAGGCATCAAAAAAGCATCGCCCCACAAGATACCCACGAAGGAATCGATAGCGTCCGATGAAGATGCTACTGAATTACTTGGGGGTGACGATGAGATCGACGAGGATTTGCTTGTAGACTCGGACGATGCCGATGACGCACAGGAAGAGGATTTGCAAGACGATTTCATGGCGTCAGGATCATCAGTCTACGATTCAGATCTTGAAAACGACAAGGCGCAATTTTCGGAAGACGACTCGAACGCAGAAGAAAACCTAACAGCGGCGAATATAGAGGGGTTGTCAAGACGGTTAGGCAAGAAACAAGAACACGATGCACAGATAGCGCAGCTGGAGCTTGAGGAAGCGACTTTGCAGACCAATATCGATGGCGACCGGCCTCAAGTTCTGGATGGAGACTCAGATATCGAAACTCCAAGTGCAAGATTGGCTCCGGATTTGCAATTACTAAGGACGCGCATGACAGACACAGTGCGAGTCCTTGGTGATTTTGCCAAATTGGCTGAGCCAGGCCGATCTCGAGCGGAGTATACATCGCAACTCGTGAAAGATATCTGCTTATATTACGGCTACTCGGAATATCTAGCCGAGAAGCTGTTCCAACTCTTCACGCCGCAAGAGGCTTTCGCTTTCTTCGAGGCTAATGAGACCGCACGACCAGTAGTCATACGCACCAACACCCTCAAATCCCACAGGAGAGAATTGGCGCAATCGCTGATCAATCGCGGTGTGACTCTTGAACCAATTGGCAAATGGTCGAAAGTCGGTCTCCAGATATTTGAAAGCCAAGTCCCACTGGGTGCAACTCCTGAGTATTTAGCGGGCCACTACATCCTTCAAGCAGCATCCTCATTCCTGCCGGTCATGGCGCTAGCACCTCAGGAAGATGAGCGTATCCTTGATATGACGGCTGCGCCTGGCGGGAAGACGACTTATATGGCTGCACTGATGAAGAATACAGGTAGTATTTTCGCCAATGACGCCAACAAGACGCGAGCCAAAGGTTTGATAGGCAATGTGCACCGTCTTGGGGTGAAGAATACCATCATCTGTAACCACGATGCTCGGGAATTTCCCAAGGTGATGGGTGGCTTTGACCGCGTTCTGCTTGATGCACCTTGTTCAGGCACAGGGGTCATTGCCAAGGACGCAAGTGTCAAGACGAACAAGACGGAGAAAGATTTCATGCTGCTGCCGCACATGCAGAAACAGCTTCTGCTCGCAGCCATTGACTCAGTCGACCACGCCAGCAAGACAGGCGGCTACATCGTGTACTCGACTTGCAGTGTGACGATTGAGGAGAACGAACAAGTAGTTCAATATGCATTGAACAAGCGGCCGAATATCAGACTTGTCGAGACTGGGTTGCCCTTTGGAGTGGACGGTTTTGTGAGCTATCAAGGCAAGCAATTTGACTCGAGGATGAAGATGACGAAGAGGTACTATCCGCATAAGTACAATGTGGATGGGTTCTTTGTCAGTAAATTCCAGAAAACTGGAGCAAGTCTACCGGGAGCTACGGCAAACGGAGCGGGTCAGCTAAATGGGAAACATGGCGAGTCCAAGATAGTCGAAGATGATAAGAGGCCGATTCCGGAGAAGGAGGAAGATGCACTTGGCGAAAATGATTTTGGAGGATGGGATGAGGAGGAAGACGAGGCATACGTGGAACGTGCGAAGAGGAAGAAGTTGAAGAGGAAAGGAGTTGACCCCAAGGCAGTTGGTGGAAAAAGAGGTATCAATGGCCATGCGGGAAGCACTGTCAATGGCGGTAGTTGATAGTATTGGAGTAAATAACTGTCATGTTGCCACCAGCTGAGGTACTTACATTGTTGTCAAGCTGTCGATAGTCAAGGCGTGGGATGTCTTCCGCTCCGCCACTGGCGCTGGCGCTGGCGGGGAGATATGGCTGGGAGTCTAGAGCTATCCGAGCTTATCTCGGGTGCCAAGGCCGCCTGAAAGGCCCCACCTCACTTAACGGGCCCCTAAACAGAGTCCCCGCGCCCGCTAGGCCACATCCCTGCATTTGGCGTCGGAGCTGCCTTGCGCCAGTACAACTAGGAACTTAGGTACACCACTCCGGCGGTGTGACCAACGGCAGATGCCATCAGGGAAAAACTTAGACGGCCAAGCTGCATGATTCATACGGAGGTGCATTATTATCATTCGACCGTCAAATACTGTAGGCCTTGGAAGGCTACAGCCTCATCTCTGTGACACTGTAACATTTCACGCTGTTATACTACCTCACGCTACAGAGTGTTGCACCATAAACACCGTAAAATTCAGAAGATTTCTCACACCCTTCAAACAGACATCCTCAGCGCGGTGACCTTCACTACAAGCTTCACTAGATCGTCAAAGGTCCACTGGATCATTCACCCCAGTGACAAGAATGGAGGTTGCACCTTCCTCCATCTCAGATCCAACCGACGACCCTCCACCACCCGATCCTCCCTCATCTCCTCATCATCAACGACATATCCGCTACGCCAGTCCTCCTCTGCCTTCCACATCAGACGCTCCATCACAACCGCTCAATCGCCATCGTTCCCAAACTCGATCACCTCCTCCCCTGCCTCAGACCATGGACCCTCCCCAGCCTTCAAGTACCGCAGCTGCAAATGAGGCGGCTGTAACCCCAACACAAAATCAACCGGTGCAGCCTGTACCTCCGGGGCAAAGCCACGATAGAATGGAGACGGACGAAGACAGTGACGATACGAGGTCAGAAACAGGGAGAAACACACCTGAACAGTCTGAATCAACCCCGGAGACCGCTCCGCAACCAGCTGCTGTAGATGGTGAACCCATGGACACCACCCAAGATCCACCGCCGGTGACCGTTGCTCCTACGAGCACGCAGCCTCCACCCCCAGCAGCTACCGAGACAACAAATACCATTAACAACATTCTTCGAATTGGTATGACTGCGAACATTAGCATGGGCTCGAACGGCATCGCAACGTTGCTAGACACTCCAACCTTCTCGCTCAATATGAATGGCATTGATCAGCAAAGTGGCAACGTCCAAGTCACCATTCCCACTGGCGCCCTTGAAAGCATCCGAGCAAGCAGACAACCTCCCCCACCTCAGAGAGAAGACTCTGTCGAGTCAAGAAGACGAGAACGCCGGGAAGAGAGGGAGCGGGAGCGTGAAGAGGATAGAGATGACTCGAGTGAGAGCTCAAGCGACGACGAAGAAAACCCATATTGGGCGAGTTTCAAGGAGGACACTTCTTCACCGGACGAACGAGAGATTCAATCCATCGAAGAAGCGGAGAAAAATTTGCCCTTGGCCACTGATCATGAGCACTGGGAAAAGACTACATTCGAGTCAATTGATGACCCCGAGTACATTCCAGATCAAATAGGTAGGATTTCGTGGACTCTCAAAGGTGTGCATGGGACACCGGACAAGCCAAACAAGGAGCGGATTATGAGGTCTCCGTCTGTGAAGATCGGAGACTACTATTGGAGCATTAAATATTATCCAAGGGGAAATGATGGCACCGAACAAGTGAGTGTATATTTAGAATGCTCTCCTAAATCAAATGAGGAGGTAGAAAAGCAGGAGAGTGAGCAGGATAAGGATAAAGAAAATGTCCCACCAGTAGCAGCAGCCCCTCTCACTGAAGGTGAGGCGAGCGACACGCAAATGAGTAGTGCACCCATGGAAGAAAGTCAGACACTGCCTGATGCCGGCTCTACCACAACAGAGCATCCGGCTACTACTGCACAGCCAGTCCAGTCACAAGCGACCGAAGCTACTCCCGATAGTGACAAGCCATGGCGTGTACCCGCTCAGGTATGTTGTGTCATGTACAACCCGAATGAGCCACGAGTCTATGTTCAGCAGAAAAGCGCCCATAGCTATTATAATGAAAATCCAGATTGGGGCTGGACGCGCTTCCACGGTCCGTGGGATGATCTTCACCAGCGAAAGCGGTTTCAGCGTCAGGCCATGCTTCGAAATGACACCTTGGCATTCACTGTATACATCCGTACCTTCAAGGATGAGACTAATGCGTTATGGTGGCATGCACCGAAAGACAAGGCCGCCTGGGACAGCATCGAAATGACCGGTGTGCGTGCCTTCAAATGTGTCCGACCCGACCAATCTAGCGCTGTCATCTCTGCTCTTTCGACATGGCTTCATCTCACCCCAATCTTGAATATGATCCGCGAGGCACATATTCCTGATTGCTTCACTGAGCCTGACATCCGACCGAGGCCTTTATTGGAGGAGTTGAGGGCTATTCTAGAAGAAACGGGGGAATACTCAGATAAGACCAAGGAGCTTTCTCTGAGCCTGATTTCGACATTGATGGATGTCAACAGCTTCGATGGTATTCGAAAGATGGATGTCGTAGCGTTGTGGGAACATTTGAGACGCCTGTTGACATTTGAGGATTCGAATGCTTCATCGCTGGAAGAAGCTTGCAATTCAAATGTAGAAGCCTTCAAAGACATCCTTCTCCTTAAGCAGCCCGATCTCTTTAATCTAGATCCACAGTCGCGGAGATATCAGCCCGAGGGCCGGGATGTCCCCGCTGTCGCTTCCACCCATGAGCCTACAAGTGTTCAGGAAGCTGTGGATCTTGCCTCGCAGCACCTGGAGAAGGCTTTCCGAGCGTGGGAGTGTTTTCCACAACAGCGTCAAGAGCTCTCCAAGCATCCAAAAGTGTTGCAGATTGAGCTCCACCGTCAACACTTCGACCAGGCCGACCGTAAATGGATGAAGCTGGGCCACAAAATTGCACTTGATGAGCAGATCACCTTTTCGAATGCTTCCTATACCCTCTACGGCATCATTGTGCACAACGGCTCGCTTGAATCACAAGAATTCTATTCCGTCATTAGACCAGCTGGACCTAAGACTAGGTGGCTTAAGTATTCGGGTGAGAGCAATTCGCGCAAGGTTTCAGTGTTGACAACGAAGCAAGCTACGACGGCCCATGAAGGCAGCGGACCTCCAGTGCTTGACAAGAAGAGCTCTGCTTCGAAGATAGAAAATGCTGCTGTAGCGTATGTTGTCATGTATGCACTCACAGATTCTCTGAAATCGATTCTCGAAACACCTTTCGATCGAAAGCTGCTCGACTCTCGCAAGACTCAATCTACGCCAGAACTTCAAGCTGTCAGTAATGCAAATAGTGAGACCACGTCTGCACCCTCACAAGAAAAACCTCCTGTCCAGGTATCGGTGTACTTTTACTGTGGTGACGCCTTCTCTGGAACAGATGAGATTGAGACATTCGACCCTTGGTCAGAACGAATCCGGAACCAAAGTGAGGACGTATGCCAAATTACCCTTCCCGAGACCGTGAAGGTGGAGGAGGTCAAGAAAATACTGGATCATATATTAGGAAAACATAAGGATACGGGCCCCACCAAGCCAGTCAACATCTGGCTGCTTGATTCCAGAAAGCCTTGCCTTGGCTCTTCGCCCGCATTTTACTCTTTTGAGCGTCATAAAGAAGAGGCCTTGGAGGTCGTTCCTCAATTCAGTGAAGGGTGTAGGTTCTGGCTAGGAGGCCAAGATTTGGCTATCATTCGAAAAGTCCTTCAGCAGCTTAAGAATGAAGATCCAATGCTGGTCCTAGAAGAGGTGAAAAAGGCTGAGACGGCAGCGAGGGAGGCCGAAGACAATACTCCTCCTGTGGTGGACCAGCAAAGTACGAGCACGACTGAGGGCCAAGCCGTAGCTGCTCAAGCAACTGGAGAAAATGCCAGCTCAAGCATCGAGCCACCTGCACCAAGCCAACAAGTAGAGGAGCAAAACGCTACTGCTACTGTGCCAACTACTCCCGGAACTTCCACTGCGCCAGCTGCTACCGAGGCTACTACTGCGTCAAATGCCACTGAGACTGCTACCTCGCCACTGACTACTGGTTCTACTTCTGAGCCAGTTGTTACTGAGTCTGCTGCTGTACCTCAGAGTAACACCACTGAAGGAGAGAGTGCTACAGTGCCGAGTCAAACGAATGAAACGCCTACGCAAGAACAGACTGACGCCTGGGGTGACGCGCACGGGACCTCTGGTCCCCCAGCAATCATTGCAGAGGAGAACAATGGCCTTGAAGCGAGCCATACTGACGTTGTGATGACTGATGCTCATGACAACGAAGTACAGCCGCCCCCACCCCAGCCAACAGCTAGTCAGCCTCGCCAGACATCGAAGAAGCCACCCAAGGCCGCGGTGCGTCAAGTATTTTGTTTCCTCAAAGTTTTCGATTGGGAAAATCAGACACTATCAAGCACTGCGTCATTCAGCGCCCCTCTTGCGTCCAGCGTACTGTCCGAGATAATGAAGGCTATGGGCGTCGAGAAGAAACCAAACTCGGATGATGAGATGACTGATGCTGATCAACCCGAATCGGAGCCAGAGCAATGGGATGTCTATCATGAGCGATTCCAATTCTCCAAAGCCTACGACCTAGTCACATCAAATATGACTTTCGACAACTTCACTCTCAGCACCGAATTTCTGCCTGGTGATATCCAGATCATTGTCCCTACTGACGGCGCGTGCTTCATAGCGCAGCGCCGTCCCAATGAAGAACAGTGAGTCCCTTCCCTCAAAACTAGCCTATGACTACTAATCATGAATCCAGGATCAGCGCTCTTATTGCTGCCGGCAAACCTACCACCGTATCCCAGTACATTTCACATCTTCTCGCCCAAACCTACCATCCTGCATATTCCGTCCCCCAACGCACAACCTCCTATCTCGGCTCCAACTACTTTTCCGGCTCTCAATCATACTCCCGCCCCCACGGTCAAGGCACGCTCGTTACCATGACCGGCGATACGTACACCGGCCCCTTCACCTCCGGCCTCAAGTCTGGGCCCGCTGGAAAAATGATCTTCGCGAACAAAGACACCTATGAAGGTGCATGGGAGCACGATGAACCTTCCGGTCAAGGGCAGATGATGTATGCGAAGACGGGAAACGTTTACGAAGGCGGGTGGAAGAAGGGAAAGAGACACGGGCAAGGGACGATGAAGTTTGAGGTCGCGGACGAGGAGATGAAATTGTGCCAGGTGTGCTATGAGGAGGAGATGGATAGTCTTTTCTATGCTTGTGGGCATGTTTGTGCTTGCGAGGGGTGCGCGAGGCAGGTGGAGAGTTGTCCGGTTTGTAGGGAGAGGGTTAGGGGGGTTGTGAAGGTTAGGTGGACGGTGTGATCAAAGTTAGGAGATTCTATAGTAGGAGAAGGTGAGAGCATAATTCGGATATTGAGACCCGACCAAGGGGAAATATGGAACTTGTGAAAGCAGAAGAGCGAGAGAGAGATAGTGGAAGTGATTGTTGCTCAATAGCTTGCGAGGTGTTTCGGAGCGGAGAATCCATACTCTCTTTTTATTATTCGAGCATAGGTATTTTATCCAGACGAAATTGTAGCATCAGACAGTCTATCCATTTCGATGTGACCTTTTCTCTATGTCTGGCTGAGGAAATGTGCTTCATCTTGGGCCCGAGAGCTGTAGTCTGCCCCGGGAGGTTGTTGAAGATATTTGTTCAGTTCATGATGAGGCCTGCCACCAGTGACTTCTCTCAGTAAATCTCTAGTCTGAGACAGCAGATCGCATTCTTGTCTCCTTGGAGAATAAGGCACATGCCACTGAAATTAGATCCATGGATCCAAAATATATGTGATCAGCTCCTCACTGAAACAGCCGTCCTTCATCACTCTATTCTATCCTTACTTCTATCATTCATGCGTAGCCTCCTTCTCGCCTGCACCATCCCTTTGTATTTCCCGCTTCTCCTCGCCTTTCTCTGGAACTCTTGCCCAGGTTGCAGCCACAATCAGTGGCCAGACGATCGTGGCATCTGCCCATACTTTGACACCTAGACAAGCAAGCGTCCTCGTCAGCATTTTAGATAAATAAATCATGCTTCCTCACTTTCATCACTTCCAGCGACCCGCTTCCTTCCTTCGTCCTCTTATCAACAGAGCAAAACAAAGGATCGAAAAAAGGGTGAAAGAAGGGGTGGAAGAAGTGGTGGGCGGTTCAAACAACAGAAAGAAATATAAACATACTCAACCCCCCAACCTTCAACTTCCCCCAACTAACCGCCTCCTCCGGCCTAGCCCCCGCATCGCTCCCATCCATCTCCACGCCCGTATTCACATACACCGCCGCGTCGGCGCCTCCGCCCTGCAAACACGCGTTCATGATGTGGTGTTTCACCACTCCTCCCCCAAGATGATCGCCCCCATCTTCGCCCCGTGGAGCTGGCAGTGTCGTGTTTTGCTGTTGAGGAGGTCGATGTCGCGCGCTATGTCGAGGAGGAGGGGGGAGGTGGAGAACCAGGGGTGGAGAGACGGAACAGGGGAAGGAGAGACAGGGACGCGGTTGCGAGCGCGGATCATGAATTGAGCGAGCATGTCGCCGATGGAGCCGTCCGTCAGCGCGGGGCAGAATATCGGGATTTTGTTGCGATATGCCCAGGTGCATATGCTGGAGTCATCGTTGATTTCGGCGCCGAGGCGGGCTATGAATGTTGAGGGGGAGAAGATGAGGGGGTTTTCGTCGTCGGTGTCGACGTGTGCCCCCGCCTTCGCCCTCGCGCCCTTGGGTGGAGGAGGTTGTGATTGTCGCTGAGCGTGCAGGTGCTGCAGGTGCGCGAAGGAAGCTTCTTGCTCTTCGAGCATTTTCCAGAGGAGGGGCGTGATCCAGTCTTCGAAGGAAACATAGTTGTTGTTTGGGACGAGGAGGTTGCCAATGCGATTGATATGGTCGGAGCGGAGCTGTGCGTCGTTGGCGGAGAAGCTGGGTGTTGAATATGTGGGGCCAAGGCATTTGATGATGTCTTCTTCGATGCCGCCGGCTGTGGCGACTAGGCAGGTTACGTGCTTGTGCTCGACGAGGTAGCGGATTGTGGAACGGAGACCGGAGGAGACTAGGTTGGAGGTGTAGCCGAGGAAGATTTCGGATTGGATTTCTGGGTGCGAGGGAGAGGGAGTTCGAGGCCATGATCGCTGGTAGTTTGTTAGGAGAGATGTTCCAAGATTACTATAGGACGTTACCATCGTATCAATGATTCGTACGGCTTCTGCAACAGAAGTAGCTTGATAGCCGGTGTGTCTCATTGAGTCAAGCATTTCAGCTACTGTGATATTGCGATCTTGGTAGTGGTTGAAGTCGACCCCCGACACCTCAGGTGTGCCTTCGGGTACATCGGCTGAGTGGCCAAGTATGTTGTCTCTGAAATTGTCCTCAGAAGCCATGCTGGATGACACCACTATTTTTTCCTCGAGAAGAATGAGAAACGAAGTATGGAAAAAAAAACGTTTGAATGAATAATTGGGAAGGCTCAGCGCCAGCAACAAGACATAGACAGCTCGGATCGTTATATCTTCGCTCCAGATATTGGAGTCATTCTCAAAGACGGCAGCCCATTGTGCAGATATTGCATCAAGATTCCTACGTGTGAGTCACCGGACATATTGGAGTTTCCAGCTTCGCTAGCTTAGATATCAGATCGCAATAGGCATATTGATCATAGAGTACCTACATTAGGCGTTTTTGGAAGTGAACGAGAGCGATAAAAGAGACTTCTGTCCCCCTATCATAACCTATAAAATCGGCTGATATTCGTCGATGAGGCTCAAAATCAAGGTGTTCTAGCCGAGTGCCAAGCTTTTGGCGACAGAACTCTATTTTCGCTAGACGAGGCTTCACGTTCTTAAAGGAGGTGCTCTTTCTGCAAAAGGCATAGCAGTAGAGAGCACATTGTCGAATCAGACCATAATAGTTAGAAATACTCCTTTTTCAGCCAAATTCGCAGGCTAGAACATGTTAGATCAGCCGGATTAGGCGTTAAAACAAGATGCTAGGACCTGCAATGGTATATACTCTTTGAATTGATAGCTCTCTCTACTGGTATCATGTTGCTCAAGCAGATAGAGCAAAAATGGAACAAACCACCCGCAGCCACAATTGCTTCCGTGCCACCCCCTTTCCCGCTATATCATCTAGACCTCTCCCCCTTTACTAACCGTGCATCTCACGGCCTCCGCCGGCCGTCTGGCACGGCGGCGAGCCGCTATTGGCTCTTCATCCTCCTCCTCCTCCTCCTCCTCCCCTGCTGCGAACGCAGCGGCAGCAGTCCGCTTTCGCTCCGCCCAGGAGCGGCGCAGCGGCCCCTCGTCATCCGATTCGTCGGATGATATCATGATTGCCTTAGGTGCCATTGGCTGCTGCACCGCTATGGTGGCAGCTGGAGAAGGCGCGGAAGGTGCTGGTGGCGCCGGAGCCTGACTCCCAAGAACGGGAGAGGGCTGCTTGGCTGGCGGCAGCATGTTAATTGACGTGGAGGCCGGGCGCTGAGGAACGGCCGGCGGCGGCATTGTGGCTGCCGGAGCGGGAGGCGTCTCGATTACTGGCTGTTGCACTATTGCTGAGGCCGAAACAGGGCGCGGAATACTCGCTGCCGACGATAAGAGGGCTGGTGCAGGAGTGGGAGCCTCTGCGGCAGGCGCTTGTTGACGATTATGGCTAGAGACTCGGCGCTGATGGGGCGCCGGCGTTACCCAATTGGCTGGTTGCTGGACGATTGGTGCCTGCTGGCGGGGTGGAAAGTTTCCTGGCACTATCGGGTACGCTGCGAATCTTGCGGGCATCCCTGGCATTGGGGCAGAGTTGAGGACAATCGGTGTCTGTTGTGGCTGTTGTAAGACAGAGATTGCGTTATTGGCCTGGATCTTGAACCGGTTCAGAGCTTCAATCTCAGCCTTACAATTGTTGATATCTGCAGCTACAACACCTGGATGAAAGCCTAAGGCATGAACCATGTTGGTACAGATCGTCCTCATGAATTCGGCTGAGTCTAACTGCTCAAATCTCTGCTGGTGGTTGAGTACGAATTGCGTGGTGGAATCGAGCTTGTTCGAAGATTCTTTGAGTACTTTATTGAATTCCTGTTGATCTTGTATAAGACGATGAAGAACGACATTGGCATCCATGGGGGGATTCATTTGCCGTGGAGTGGAGGCTGGAGAGGGAGTACTAGATTGTGCTGATGACGGGGAATCCGATGGCGGTTGTGAACGCTGAAATGATGTTTGTGATCCTAGTGCAAGCTGTGGACGAGCTACTTGTGCTGAAGGAGAAATACGTGGTCGTTGGACATGACCTTGGGGTGGAGATGTACCTTGTCTTGACGCCTGTGGTTGGGTTTGAGCGAGATACATGGCCGAAGCGTGCATATGCTGATTGGCAACAGGATTACCGGTTGGAAACGTAAGCTGAACGTAGGCATTCAAGCTCATTATGGATTGGCGCAAGGTGCGAAGTTCTTCTGCTTGCTTGGCAATGATTTTGTCTTGCTCGGCGTCATGTACTGCTAGCTTTTCATACTTCGCTGTCTTGGAGTCTTGCTCTAAATTGTTGATGCGGAATAGAGAGGCATCATTTTCAGCTTTGCCAGCCTGGACACTGGCACTGATCTCATTGAATGATTGACGGAGGCTATGGTCCGCTTGTCCCTGTCTCCACGACTCTTGCTTCAGAGTATCCAGCTCGTTGGTCAACGAATGCCGCAGGTTGCTATGTTCCTGCTTCTGTCTCAATGACTCTTGCTTGAGAGTATCCAGCTCGTTAGTCAACGATTGCCGCAATTCACTGTGCTCCCCTCTCTCTTTGGTGAGATCATCCCTTAAGCTGTCTAGCTGCCTCGACAATAAAAGCCGCTGGCTTCGGTCTTCATTGGTTTGCTTCGTAAGGTCGGCTCTGAGGCTATCTAGTTGTTCAGAGAAAACTGCACTGTTTGCGCTTATTGCATCTTTGACAATGTCGACCTCTTGCCGCACTAAGTTTGCGTCCTTGCATTGGGTGGTCGAATCCATCAACGATGTTTCTGGAGCTTACATGAACATCAGTATCAATATGATGATGGTGAAGTAGAAGTAAGGGATTAGGACATTCACGACGCGCGTGAATAGGCTCGGTGAATGGAGGTGAAAGCAATAACAACATAAACATAAGTACACCGCACAAGCAGAACCTTTATAAATACACACCTCCATTGGTGTCAGGCGACTTGACACTTGTCTGAGCTTTCGGACTCGGTGGCTCCATTTGCGAAGTGGCAGATGGCATATTAAGGTACATGGACTGATGTCGTTGTGGATATGGATGCGGGTCAACTGCAGAATTGGGAGGCGTCGGAAGTTGCGAAGGCCCGTGACGCGGTGGTGACGAGGCTGCTTCTTTGTTTGTTTGCACGGAGATGAGGTCGGAAGCCTCAGACTGTCTTAATCGCGGGTCCCTTCGTGGGTCCCGATAACTGGCAGAGCGATTGATAGTAAAATCGTCGTCTGGCCTTCGCCGCCAGACGTTATTCTTCACTTTCCCAGCATCTCTGGGTCGAGTGTCGTTGAAGCGGCCATTCGACGATTTCCACGGGCTCGTGCGCCCCAACCCTTTCGCCATCTTTAGGACTACTCTATGGCTCTATTCATAACAAACCTCATCAGGTGTCACATTCTCATGCTCAGCGAAGCGCAAGAAGTATACAGAGCAGTATAACGCAACGCTGCAGGTGTGTCTATGTGATTCCAGAAAGTGATTATGAATTTGTGATGAGTCGCAGGCACTATCTGGCCTAGACCGACTAGCCAAGGGCTTGGGAGTGCTTTAGTTGATTAGTTCTCGTTAGACGCCCTTTAGGCCCTGCACGCAGTCGTATCTAGCTAGAAGAAGGTAAGACTTGTATATCAGGTGACCCAATAGAGCTGATCTTGCAGGGATCACTGCAGCAGCAGCCTTTCCGACACTCACGCTGATTGATTCTAATCTCCCGTGCTCACTGCTCAGTGCTCAAAAAGCTTTAGACTTCTCACCGCATGATTGCCCGGACGCGCACACCTTTAACAGGCACGTCAATAAGTTAACTTATGGTTTATAGGATCTTGTATGAAGCCTAGGACCGTTGTCAATAATTAAGGTACGAGGGTACCAGCGAAAACTTTTCTTTGTTTATCTACTTTAACCAAATCCGTCGGTAGCGCATAGAAATACCGCTAAATCAGATGATGAACCAATAGGGTAGCAGCAATGAAGTATAACATATCGCAGCGGCAGATATACTTCCGTATTGCATGTGAGATGGAAAGCTCGTATATTGCACACTACCATGCTCGTCTGTGTTCATTGAGCTGGGCTCGCCTCCATTTAGACCACAAATGATCCGACGCTGCTAGCTACTCCACAATTATATTACATGGTAGAATATGAATGCGTATGCTACAGTGAGAATTTGGTGCGAACCGCGAAGGAATCTGTCAACATTATGATGAGCCTAGACCGCAGGGTGAGGCATCGCAACATGACCGTAATCGATTTTCATCTTTGCTCGTCGCGGGGTCGGTAGTGCTGCTGCGTTGGGGCTCTTCCCCGCCCGTCCATGTCCATCCGCAGCCGTTCCTCGCGTTGGGCGAATACCTCTCTCTGGTTACGCATGAGCTCCTGCTCTTGCTCACGTCGTCGTAATCGTTGGAGCTCGTCAAGCCGGAGCAAATCTGATTGCTCATGAGGATTTGAAAAGTGTCGTGGACGATCGACAATCTGCACTTCTGGCGAGCCTTGGTGCTGAGCTGGGCTGATGTTCGCCCATGGGGACGGACGAAGGCGTTGCTCTGGTGCCGTGTGCTGTGTAGGGGGAGCGCGCACTTCGGGGGGAGGAACCCGATGCGAATGTTGAGTCAATTGGTTAAGGCTCGAATACGAAGAGGTACGGGAATGCGGAGCCGGTGGGGAGATTGGTCCTCGATCTCGCTGTGCCTGTAACGAGATGGGTCTAGACGACGACGACGACGAGGTCATGTACGGCCCTTCAAAGGGTTGGTGTGGGACTGCTGATCTTGCCTGTTGGGAGAGTCTTTCATGCGATGAAAGCTGTGAAGTTCGTCCCATGGCATTGAGGTCTCTTGACTGTAGGAGTGGATCAGATCGATGCTGCTGGTGCATTGATCCCCCAAGAGAGGAGCTTTGAATGTGATGAGCTGCAAGTTGAGACGGGGTCTCTGACCTACCAAATTGCTGGGGTTGAGGACGAGATCCCTCAGGCGCTTGTGGTCGAATTAAATGCCGCTGCGGAGGCTCAAAGGACTCGAGAGACTGACGCTGCTCCTCGCGGCGTAGCTCTTGTTGATAATGAGCATTGAGCAGACTACGATGCGACGTTTGGGAGTGTGGATTTTGAGAGCCTGCTGGTATCTTCTGGCTGAAGCTTGACGGCTCTGGAGTTGAGGTCCCACCATACACATCCGATTGTCGTTTAGGTATCTTAGGTTCCTCGGGCTCGGAATTTAGAACAGAGAAAATACTCGACTTCTTAGGCGGGGCAGCTGGTTGGGGAGGAGGACCAGATTGAGGTGCTGGGACCGAGCTTGGCCGCGTTAAATCAATCCTCGAGATTTGAGGAGGTGGGTAATTTGAAAGCGCAGGCGATTGGGTCATTTTACCCTGCTGAGAATGACTGACGCTTCGACCTATGACTTGATGCATAACGGACGGCCCTCCCGACTGATTTTGACGATGGATGTTCTCTTGAGGTCGCCGTAGAAGCTCTTGCCGTTGCTCGATGATGCGTCGGCTTTGTTCATCTGTCTCGACTCGAGGTGCATTCATCTCGGCCATGATGTTGCGTGGATCCTGTCTGTTTATGGCCGATAGTTGTTGAGCCTGCTGGCGTACTTGATTGTGTGCTATATACTCAGCTGCTCGAGCTTCCTGTTGTTGACGCTGAATGGTCTCTTGCTGTCGACGATGCTCGCGTTCTTTGCGCATTTGATATTCTGCTTGACTTTGCTCCATAATGTGCTGTTGCTTAGCCATTAGATGAAGCCGCTTGTCATGATCTGATTGATCCATTTCTTGCGGCCGATGTTCTTCTGTGACGTGGCGGGGCTGCTGGCTAAGTCTGCTGGCTTCTGGGACCAGTTCAGAGGTGGAAGCTTGAGTCATTGGCGGCCGTTGTTGCAGAGGCTGTTGCATCGGTTGTTGTATATGGATGACGCCGCGGGGGCTTTGAGGGCCTGAAAGAAGTAATTGCGCAGATGAAGCTGCAGCTTTTTGCTCGGCCTGGGAAGAACTTGTGATTCGCGTTGCAGCAGAGGATATGTTGGGAGGAGACATCCGCGTCTTTGCCCGTCGCACAGTCGAGGGATTGTTCTCAACCGGAACCGAATCGATAGGAGCGATGGGTCTATGGCTTTCGCGCGAGGAATTTGAGTCGTATCGCCTCTTTGTGTTTGCTGGAGTCGGGGTAGGTACCATGCCCAAATCTTCACCTTTATTCCTTTTTTCGTCTGCGGTCCTAGCATCTTCCTGTAGCTTCCTACCATTTTCGCCCTGTTTCGCATCAGTCTCCCTTTGGTAGTGATTTTTTATCTAATAGACATGTTAGTCATTCTGAAACCCCTTTTGCATGAACAACACGAACCATCTGCTGCGTTTTAGTCTTCATCATCTCAGCAATCTTTTGAAAATCGGTTCCAAAATACTTGACATAGTTCCGGAAATCAGTCTTTTCAGGTACTGACCAGTAACTGTTCGTTCCAGAAGGCTGCTGGGACTTCGCCTGTTGCTGCGACGGCGGTTGTGATTGCGATTGATTTGGTTGTGGTGGTTGCACTTGCATTTGTTCTTGTTTACGACCTACGGCTAGCTCATGGACTGGCGTAGACTCCGTGGTAAAAGGCTGCTGACCTGCCATCCATTGTTCAGTATAAGAAGGCCCGGAATATGGCACACTAGGTACGCTAGTAGGCAAAGTCGCTAGAAGCTGGGCCGCTTCTTGCTCATCAGCTCGGTAAGCTTCAGAAGCCGGCTCATTAGTCAGAAGCCTGCCAGCCTGTGAAGTATCTTTGAGGGGAGAAGGCGTTTGTGATGAAGGAGGAGGACCTGCCGCGAGAAGTTGCTGCGCTTTTGGTTTGCGCCCAGGTTTCTGACCAGTGCCGGTCTTACCACGTCGAGCCACCGGTCTCTCTGTGCTCTGTGATCCTGGGATGCCATCTTTTCCTACTGTCAGTCGTCTGGCTGGGAGGACCGTCGCTGGCACCACAGCCTCTCCTTCCGCAGACTCCCCAAAGGTAGGAGCAGCAGCACGACGTGGTCTCCCACTTTCTGTTAAGGCGGCATTCTGGGCTTCGATATCCACTGCACCGTCGAATGTCGCCAAAAGCCCTCCACGAGGACGAGTTCGCTCTGCCCTTTCATTCGCTTCCCGGAACTTCTTACCGCGTTGCGTCTTGAGGAATTTCTGTTCCTGTATTTTGTAATATTTTCCTTTTTTGGTTGCATAGTAGTGTCGAACACAGTCCTTGTAGGTTCTACCGTCCAATTTTTCGGCGATGTCTCCGAACCGTTTGGGGTTTGTGACATAATGATAAATGAATTCGTTATGCTCCTTCTTGGAGAAAGTATCCTTCACTGGCAGATACTCAAGTTCATTAAGAACGTCTTGTGGTTCGATCAGCTCGTTGAAATCAAGGAAGCAGGCTTGTTCCATCTCTGATGGGTCCAGCATTGCCGGAACCGTCGCTTCTCGGTCTGGATTGTAGGTGTCTGCAGGGACATAAACCTGGGCATCACGTTCTTCGCGTTCCCGCCGTGCTTGCTCTTCTTTGGCAGCCGTTTCGACAGACTCTTTGAAGATGGCTTCCATGCTATAATCGCTAACAAGTCGACGTGACCGAACAGTCTGAGGCGCAGGACTTTCAAAGGCTAACTCTGGAGGCGTCGAGACTTCATGAACGTGCTCTTCTTTGATAGTTGCGTCTATAAGATCTATTTCTTGTCGCCAAGCCTTGAAAGCTTCTGCGAAACGGTTGCGAGCGTCTTCGTCTGCAGATAATTTGTTATCACGCTCCTCCCGTAGGCTAAGGTGCACTAGGTCTCTGATAGTATCCTCTTCGTCAGGCGTTTGCAAGCACTCAGCCTCAGAAATCGGAGTGGAGGGGGAATCGCGTAGGAAGGGTAAGTATTCTAACGGAGGTGTAGGCGGGACGGAGCAGGGTTCGAGAGCAATACTGCCCGGCTCGCTCTTCACGTCCGAGTCATCCTCCTCATCGTGCTTTGTGCGTGGCTGACTCTCAAGTCTATTTGGCTGTTTCCTGATGCTAGGCGCCGGAACCCCTCCCGTTTTGATATCATTAAGCGCAGATGCAAGAGCTTCCAATTCCAGGAATAACCGCTGGATCTCAGGGTCACTCCGAGGCGAGGGGGTCTTTGTGCTTCCAGACGCCGCAAGTCCCTTTCGTGATTTCTTTGAGCTTTTTGAAAGTCCGCATCATCCAAATCCATGTCAACATCGGCGTCGCTGAAAGCTTCATTTTCAGAGACGTGGGTTGACTCCTCAGGAGGCACTTTGACTGGCGACGGAGAGTCAGCTTTACTGATTATGTCTTCTTCCTTCTGCTCTGCTCCTCCCCTCAAGCTGGGTTTCGCATCGTCTCCATTAAAGGGCGCGCTTTGCTGACGCCACTGCTCAACTGCAGATTGCGTAGAGTATGTCGAGGATCGCTGCTTTTCCTCTTCGATTTCTATGTCTCGTCTTGTGGGTACCTTATTCATAATTGAAGGCCCCTTTGGCGCAACGTGTTGCAGCGCCGGGTTCCTCCACGACCATGCAGTCGTCTGCGCCCGTCCTCGACCCAACATTGTTGGCCCACGGGTCGTCATTGAGCCTCGCATGGAAGGCTGCATCGGATTGCGTATCGATGGAGGAGCCCCACGTCCTGCGCGTGGGCCTGTGGGAATTCTCATTGGTGATGTTTGCATGTTTGGCTCGTTGATCGACGGTCTTGAATTGTATTGTGGGGCTAAGTTGCCATTCCGTCCCTCCTCATCAAGAGCTTTTCTTACGGACGGTTGCTCTTGATGGGCGCTACGGGGAGCTGGTAGAGGACCAGATTGTGGAAAGCGTTGACTCCAGTTTGGCTGTGGAATCGATTCAGGAGGCGCATCATTAGAACGAGTGCTCGTAGGTCCAATATTCGATGACGCAGGGCGAGCTGCATCATCTTGGCCTAGCCTTTGCTGTAATTTAGGTGCAGTCGGCGCTTTCAAGGTGCTCGTAGATGGGGGTGAGCGTGGCTCTTTGGAAGGCTCAAGTAACGCCCGGCGCGATGGGTGTATGTTGACTTCGCCTTCTTCACGAGGTGGTTTGGAAGATTTATCGGATGTTAAAATCGTCGGTGGAAGGACAGTACCGAATGCAGGGACGGAAGGAGGAGGGACAGGGGAGTTTTCCCGCGAATTACGCAAGACGTTGTCATTTCCACGTTGTGATATGTCAGCACGCTCAATCTCCTTTGCGAGCAACGATTTTTCAGCACGCTCATCCAGAGTGGGCCTTTTCTCCCGATTAGAAGCAGCTAATGCTCCTCTCATGCCCGGAGGGCCAGGACCAAAATCCTGAGCACTTGGCTGTGCAGGAGTTGAAGATGTCGACCGAGATCCAATATACGAGTTTCTCGAGTCTGGACGGAATGGTTCTCTCTCTCTTTCTCTATCAAGACGGGTATCCTCGTCCCGTCTGCTTTGAGCAAAGATGTAATCGCGCGGCGGCAGGTCCCTTGCCCGATCTCTCGAGTGGCTTCTCTGGTCATACAGTCGATCGTCTTGGTGGTAGCTCTTAGCTCTGTTGTAGTCCCAATCGCCGCGGCCTCGCCCACGAAAGCCACCTCTCCCCCGAAGTGGGAATGCGTCGGCAGCAGATGAGTCCATCCCTCCTCCTCTTGGGTTTGCATGCGGATCTCTTGATTCCCTGTAGGGCGATCTTGACCGAGGTCGAGGCGGTGGAGATGCCCTTCGATCCCGCGCATCAAATCGGTCCCTAGGTTCCCAATCTCGGCTCTGGCCTCTGCCTCTTCCTCGAGGAAAAGATTCCTCGCGGAAGGCTCTCGCCCTTGGCGCGAAGCCACCCCTTCCCGTTTGAGCCCTTGGACCACGTGGTGGCTCTTTCGGACCTTCCCCTCTTGCAGCGTACCCATCATTCCTCTCGTGTCCTGGGTCTCCAGACGCGTGTCGGTCAAATCTCGGAGGAGAGCGATCTCGCGGATAGCGACTTCCGCCAGGCCCTGAGGGAAAGCGAGATGCCATTGGATTGCCTTAAGCCCGTGCGCATGCTATATCTGACAGGGTAGATACGCGCGCTCATGTCAAGATTGCTTGTTCTATTTGCAGAACATTCCCTATCTGCGTTGAATTGGGATCAGGTGAGGTTGCATTGTCGCCCTCAGCGTTCCCCCTAATTATACAATCTGTAGGAGCAATGAAGGAACTACCACTCAGATAAGTATTCGTAGAGATTTTGAGAGCCCAATGCTGGGTGAGGATTGAACGAATTGCGACTAAACGGTTGCAGATAACTTCGATGAGGTGAAGACCGCAGATTGAAGGTTGATGCCAAGACTCACAGTCTGACGCTGGGACGGAAGGCGCAATGGAACCTCCCGGTAGTAGTAAAATACGCTTGTACTGTTGTTCAAGGGTAGTCCTCTTCCCAAAATGCACGTCCTATCAGAAATAGTGGTCAAGGCACTTAATATAGGATCTCTCAATCTCACTCTTCCAATTCTACCTATTCTTGAGCAGTGCATTGTTTTACGAGCATGCGAGAGAAGCTGCGGCACGATCTGTCGGAATGGATGGACAACGATTTACATTTCTGTCATTTGAGCTGTGGCAGCCGCAATAGGCGTTCTCTTCAGCAACGATGAAGGATGCCCCGGGTTTTCTATTATTTACAAAGCCTGGAGCCGGACTGGTAAACGCTTGGGAAGCTCTCCTACCCCTTCAAGATATTCCAGATTTCTTCGTCGGGTCTTTCGAATGGTCCAGAGCGCTCTGGCCCGGCGGATGCGGCTGAGACACTGGAATCTGGAGATGCTTCATCTTCGCCTGCTCCTTTTTGCCATAAGTTGTGCCCCCGACCCAGCCCCCCTAAGAAAAATGTGGATGGCTGTTCCTTCTCTTTGGGATTTCGGCTCCTGTTTGTCGCAATATAACCAAATTGCATTGTCCGAAGCCGACTGCGAGCTGGCAATTCTTTGGGATGGTCAAGCGTTCGTTGTCGCGAATAATGCCCTTATTGAGGGTCGAATCCACTGTGGTGAGAAGTCCCATGGAAGAGGCAACGCAATGCTTTGAGACGCAGACCCGCGAATTGACGTTGACGACATCTGGATAGACCGAGCTTCGTGTCCCCAGCATCACAAGTCTCCCTGGATGATGGTCCTGCCTCATGGGAGTAATTCTCAGAGGCATTGGGCAGGCACTTTGAGCAGAAGCTAAACGTGCCTCATCGGCGATGCATTCGCTTGAGGAAGAAACCGCATGTTTGATGAACCAACCGGAGTGGCTTTAGTTGTGGTCCAGAAAACCAGGGGGAGTTGTCAGACGCTCGACCTGCCCGCTCCTTCAGCAATGATCAGGAATCGAAAAGGCGTTCATACGAATGTTTCCATAGCCGCCACTGCCATACGAGACCTTTCGCTCTAAGTCATCTACGTCTGAGACGACTCCTAAAGGACTCTTTGCCTTCAGCCGCCTGTGACGTGAACTGAGTAAAGGACGAAGACTCTCGTGGCCACTATCTGGTGACTTTGTCCTCGACTTGTGCAATGGAACTGGCATGTTATTTGGCGTCAACCATTCTTCTCTGATGATCCACAATTGACAGAAAACGGCTCAGCCCTTGGCATCAGATATAAGCATTTGCGAAGCATTTTTGGTGGACGTTAGCCTGGAGCTTTCAATGGCAATTTCTCTAGGGGAGAACAGCTCGATAAGCATCCACAAAGAATTGGCGCATCGAATTGCGTGAACACGAAAGCTCCAACGGCTGAGATATGCACATCATTCTCGAGGCCTGAAGTACACCATGCTATTCGTCAAAAGGACTCCTTATCGTGAGTCCGATCGCGAGGCCCGCCCTAATTTCGAGCTGGGGCCAAGTCACTAACTTGTTCAAGCTTTTGGTGGGGGACCGAGCCGCTTCTTGCATGATAGCTCGGCCAAGGAATTTGATTCGATGCTCAACCCAGCATATTGTTGCATGGCCCTCACCTCCTAATCTTGGAATAATGGGAAGCCCAAGAGCTGGGTAAATGACCCGAGTTGCGGACGAGACGGTCAGAAAAGCTCCGAGATCCTTCTCTTGAGCAGACCATGGGGTGTTCAGCCCCTTAGACAATCTCCATCCCTGCGCAGAAAGCTCAGAGTCTCGCTTCGCCCACCCAAAAGCTGTCAGACCTACAGAATCATGCAGGTCTGCGGCCACGACATCCCCAGATTCACACTTAGATCCCGGGTCCACCTAGTAAAGGATCAAGTAGACCGCCCTCGTCTACTCTCGCCTCTGATTCGTTCGCAGGTCCTCAGCCCACACTCGGCCATGGCTTCGTCTATGAGATCCCGCTCTACCGTATGGACTATTCAAGGCGTCGTAATCAGCAATTCGATAAGGTCTCTGCATGCCATTCGCCGTATCCGCTCCCTTGGTAATTCATCATATTCATGTATCTAACCCATGCTGGACGGGTATCATGTCGGTCTAGCCTTGCCCTGTAGCTATATACGCCTCGTTACCTCGTGAGCCGTCTCGACGCGTCGGTCATCTGTTTGTTTTCCCCCCAGGCTTCAAATCTGCGCTCTCCAAACCTAACATCGATCATCCTCGTGAAACCACCGACTGAGGAACATCCTTCATCTACCGCAAAATGTCGGACAACCCAGAAACATCGGCAGCGCCGGACTGGCTCGACAAGGGTGATCATGCCTGGCAGATGACCGCTGCCACCCTGGTCGGTCTACAGTCCCTACCTGGACTGATGATTCTCTACGCGGGCATCGTCAAGTCAAAGTGGGCCGTCAACAGCGCCTTCATGGCATTCTATGCCTTCGCCGCTGTTCTGATTTGCTGGGTCCTCTGGGCATACAAAGTCGCGTTCGGAAAGCACATGCTTCCATTCGCAGGCATCCCTGGTCCTGCACTCTCAATGGAATATCAGCTTACTCAGGCCTATCTGCCGACCAGCGACATTTCGACCTTCTTCCCCATGAGCACGATGGTGTACTTCCAATTTGTCTTTGCGGCGATTACACTAGTCATCACTGCTGGCGCATTCCTGGGGAGGATGAATTTCCTGGCTTGGATCATTTACGTGCCGCTCTGGCTCACCTTCTCCTACGCCGTCGTTGCTTACTCCATCTGGGGCGGTGGCTTCCTCGCTGTACTTGGCGTCATCGATTATTCCGGTGGGTATGTCATTCACTTATCTTCCGGCACCGCAGGCTTCATAGGCGCGTGGTGGATCGGCCCACGACTTCCCAAAGACAGAGAAGACAATCGACCAAACAACATCCTCGCTGTATTGATCGGTGCTGGTATCCTCTGGCTCGGATGGAACGGCTTCAATGGTGGAGATCCTTACGCCGCAAGCCCAGATGCCGGAGTCGCCGTTCTGAACACCAACATTTGCGCCGCTACAAGTATGCTTACCTGGACTCTTTGCGACTATATCTACTACGGCAAACCCTCAATCATTGGCGCAGTCAACGGTATGATCACGGGTCTTGTCGCTATCACACCCGCTGCAGGTGTGGTCGCTGGATGGTCTGCCATCTTATTGGGTCTCGGCAGCGGTAGCGTTCCTTGGCTCAGCATGAACATCTTCGGCAAGAAAGTCAAAGGAATGCGCGATATCGACGATGTGCTTGGCGTCTTCCACACCCATCTTGTAGCCGGTGTTGTCGGCGGTTGCGGGACCGGTATCTTCGCCGACGTCACCGGCTCCGCCGCATTCGGCCTGAAGAATCCCGGTGGTGCAATCACTGGGAATGGCGTTCAAGTCGGATATCAGATTGCTGGTGCATGCTTTGTTTTCGGATGGAATGTTGTCTGGACGAGCTTGATCATGTGCTTTATCAAGTATGTGCTGAGGATACCATTGAGGTACGACGATGAGACGCTTGAGATAGGAGACTTTTCTATGCACGGGGAGGAAGCGTACGTGTTCGGGGAAGGCAGCGCAGGTTATGTGCACCATCATTTGAGAGGGGTGGAGAGGGAAGGCGTAATTCTTGGACAGGACACTGGAGGAATTGTCATAGCTAAGACGCCGGGGGTTGAAGGTATTGAGAAGGACAGTGGCAGTGGCAGTGGGAGTAATGGGAAAGATACTGTTGAGATCAAGAAAGACTGATGCGTCAGCTTCGATGAGGGTGGGTTCTACTTGTATTGATCCACGTACTGTGATACCTATCTAGTTGAATTAACATAGTGTCTCTGAATTCGTAGCCTGATCGAGAGTGCAATTCTTGCCAAAAACTCGCTTTCCCAATGACTGCTTCGTCACTGCCTGAACGAAACTTTCCAAAGCACCATATGGGTCTATCATAGGTATTCCACTGCAAGCTAATTGTACTTTCTCAGCCAGAATACGTCCGGCGAAAATGGCAAGAGCGACCAAATTAGATCTACCCCTATTCAGCGCATAAGGTGTAATTTGGGGGCCGTGCTCCGTACTAAAGCAACAGGACCCTGCAGGTTTTCTCTCTTCCTCCTTTATCTTCGTACAGGGAGACCTGCTCGCTCTTTCCATCCCACGTGAAGTGGAGCCTTTCTCGCTTGCAGCCAGGGTCGATAGAAAGGAATAGTACCCCCAGCGCACTCAATGCATTATCTTCAACCGTCTGTTGGTATATAGGTAGCCGAGTGGGCAGCAAAGTGGCATTGGACACTAGATGTGCTGTAGCCAACTATATCCAGCTCCGACTGCGCCATGAAAGTCCTTGCTGAGTTGATAGGTGGATATGCGCACAGGCTTCGACTTCTCAAAGATCATCAGCCCGTCACAGGCGTCTGCTGTGGCTTAGCTTGGTTAGCCCCCTGGGGCGCTCATGATAAACCTGGTAAGGACCTTGACTGCATCGATATGGGCGATGAATAGCTCTTGGTCCTATGAAGAACAGGAATAGCCTTTGTGGCTGCGGCAAAGACTGATGTACCCACTCGTGTGAAGCTCAAGCGCTTTGGCAATGACTGAGAGCAAGGTACGGTAGGCAAATGATCTGGATTGAACGGGTCTGGTTCATCGGCCTCGTTGGCATATAATTGCTCTTCAAAATTCATATATCAGGAGCGACAGCCCACGGTAAGTTCTGAAGGTAAGATATAATCAAGTGTATAATATCATTCAAATAATCAGTGTATTTTTCTTATAAGGAAGAACCAATTGCAGTCTTCAGTAACAGATGTAAGTCCTCTGGCAAACAGAAGATACAATGCGGAAGTAAGTACAGGTACAATGGCTCTTCAATGACAGGCTCCAGTTGACGAAGTGAACGCTGCTTAACGCGTTTTTGGCGGCCGCAAATTCATCGATGAATGCCATAGGCGAACCATATGATAAAACAGATCTTGTCGTCACTTTCTTGATGTTCTGTCAGGACCAGTGTCAGGACCAGTGGTCAGAATGGTAGAATGTAGCTTCCAAACTTCTCAAGCACTTGCTGTCATGGGTCAGAAATCAATATCTCTTGCTCAGGTGCTGCTACTCAAAATCTTTGGGTGACCTGAGGTATGAGGGTAGGATATTCTCGTTTGCTCTTTTTCTCTCCTTCTGAACGTTCTGCGAGGTACTAGATAGCTACGTGAAGTGGACTGAGGAAAGCACCGAGTGCCAGCTATGTCATTTGGTGAACGTTTCGATCATGAGGTAGGTTTTTCGCATTCTTCATACTTGTCCTGGAAGTTGTCGCTCGATTACTTCGGCATGGGTCTTTTGAAATAGCTTGATCAAGCATGCAGCGGAGGCCTGACGAAGCTTGAAAACTGACGACCAGGTCTAAGTCTAACCATATTAGCGATGAAGCTGAAGGTAGGTTCTTGGCACACCGCCCTGTTGTGTGAACAATGCCCATGTGAGACGGTGGAGGAGCCTGTTGCTACAACGTCGATGGAGCCCCAGGAAGGTTTTTGGATAATCTTTGTGCTGTTAAAGGACAGGCAGGCTATTCTAGCCGTTCAACGCGTCAATTGCACCTTAGGATTCAATGTGGTACGTGCCTCAACATCTTCTTTGTAGTCCACAGCCACCTGCCCTGCTCTCGCGCTGTTTGCTGTAAATACAACCCGCCGACCTGCATTGGCTGCATTCGAAGATAGCTCTCAAGCCGAAGATTGCCCTGAGTCGCTTTGCAGACGCAATACAATGTCTGGATGATCTTCAAGCATGCCGCGAGCTTCAGTGGCCTTGAAGGCGAATGTCTTGGCATAGGGGATGGCTGCTAGTGAAGTGTTTTGGCTTCCTTACCTTCAGTATCCTGCTCAAATAGCGATACATATCTCAGGTACCATACAACTTCTGCAAGAACCTCGAACTGATCCCACTATTCACTCTGAACATGTTCTCAAAGCTTCGTAAGTGGCTCAAAGCCACCGGAAGCATTATCGCCAAAATAGAGGAGGGCAAGGTGGAAACGGTCGAAATTCAACCAAAGCCCAAAGCGCCTAAGTCTTCAAGTGCAGCAGTCGAAGAAGACGAAGTACCGTTACTAAACAAGGACGACGAATAGCTAAGTCTAGTAAGAGAAGGCTCAATTTGAAATGCACAGAAACTGACCAGCGGTCCCTTAAGTCACCGCACATATTACTGTACCCACATCAGCGACAGGACGACCTGCTACTAGTCGCTCTTACTGAGCGTAATCCTTTACGAATGGTGAGTATCCTGGTACTTCTAGAGTATGCCTCCTGCTACGGCCTATTTCATCTGATCTAGCAAACCTCGCCTATCCGCGTTGTCCATCATCGACTGACGTTTTGAACAGATCATCTACTGATGCATACGTACTAAGAGTGAATGGAGCGGCCAATCTGGTCATGAGTGCGTAGGCAGTATACGATTTCAGACTAGAATGTCATAATTCAAGATTTCGAAAGCCAATCCGTCGTGGCTCAAACGACGCGAAACCGATATTCTGCCTAGACCAACTTTGGTTGACCCTGCCAGCCATCATTGCTTCACTTTTATTGATCAATGCTTTCACTAAACACTAATTGCCAGCGGTAGCTTCAATTACATCGGGAACAGATCCTGACGGCTTTGCAGCTTTGATGGCTATAATAACGGCGACAAATCACAACGAGGCTAGCCGATTGGCTCGCAATCGAGATAGACAACGAACAGGAGGGTAGAACGTCTCGTTCTAGCTGGCAGAGAAGTATTTATGACAGGCAAGCCTCAAGCAGAAGAGTAAGTGGAGGACGATGCATAATCAAAATCAAGCGTTGTTTACCTATCATTGGCTGATATCACGACATAATGTAGGCAGGCTCCTCTCATATACGCTTGGCGTCTCAAAGCAGCATTACCATTCGAGGGCTGTCTCTGCCCTAAAGACTCCGCCATCGTCGTCCAGCATGTGATCCGGATGCTGAGTTGCTGCTAGCGGGGACTCGAAGATCTATATCTGACTAGGATAAGAAACGTAAACCGTGCTTTTACCTCACTTACTGGAAACATTGTTACTGACTAGACTTTGGCAATACTTGCAGTTCAGGCCTCATCTTCTTCCAAGTACAACAATTTACCCAGTCAGCAATTTTTTTTCATACGACTGGAATTCTATCAGAATGTGGTCTATACCAATACCTCGAGTCAGAGCTTCATCTCACCATTGCTATATCTGTTCACTGAGAATTTCTCTTACTACAATGCTAGGCATTGTCATTCTCACCATCACCGCATCTGGCTGCTATGGATTACTGTGTCCTTTCTGCAACGCATTGTTCATCCCCACGGGATTCTTATCCTGACAAATGGACAGGACCAGCATCGGACTATTTGCTACCAATGGAAGCCCAAACCACGATCGAACGAGTAGCCTCGTCGTCCCCACTACCGATATCACAAAACGCCATGTCCAAATTCGCCACCCTACCATCAACGAGTCGCCCTACTATTCCTTCACCATCCTCATCATATCCTCATCGATTGTGAAATGGAAGGAGATCGTCATTAGCAGCGTTTACAAGGCTATCGGCTCGGGCTCGGTGCGTCTAAATGACATGGTTGCCGCTTTACGTTGCCCCCAAAAACGACACTCGGCGCTGCCATCTGATAGGGGCCTCAGACGTCACTTCCTCCCCACGCCACCCAACCACGAGGCTGCACAACTTCAAATTTGAGCTCCGAGATGCTTAGGTTAGGGGCTCGGATCGCGCGCTTCTACTGTACAATTTGGTGGGCTGGGGGTGGAGCACGAAGATGTGGGAGGCGTCACACGAGCGCCGATGGCCACCCGACACTGCTATATAGGCAACACCACATGACAGCGGCAGCAAGGGACGTAGGCGCCAGCCGAGCCGTATCTTTGTTTAACGACGCTCTTTTACTTGCCTCAAGACTGTACAGGGGCTTGGGGACACCTGGACGAGATCCGCCGCTACCCCTGGTATCCGCGACATTGATCAGATGGCGTATAGGACGCTCGTGGAGGCTGACCCATGGGGATCGTGCCAGGTCCTTTTTTTACTTGGTATTTATCGTGAGGAAACGGTATAGATTTCAAGCTGAATAGGGGTTGATGGCATACTTGGGAAGAAAATTAGTAGGTCTACAGAAATTCATCAGTCAAAAGCAACCACCAGTCCGAACTTCGAAGCAGAGGAAAAGGCACGAATTAATCGTTGAAGAAGGCTCTCCAGGCTTCGAAAAATTTTCACCGCTTTGCAAGCACCTCTAGATACCAACCCCAACAACAGAGATACCTCCAATTGCCCACCACCGACCCCAATACCATCTCCAAAACCCAAACCTCACGACCCATCAACCCTCTCCCTAATCCAATCCTCCACCTCCCTCCGATGCTCCACCAACATATCCTGCAACGCAATCGTCGGACTCTGCACCAGATTGCCAAAGCGCTTACTCGGCTTTCTGATCCGATCCGGACTCCACACCAAGTGCGTGTTCCCCACAAAATTGAGAGAGTTGGCACGATACCATTTCGAAAGATGAAAGACGGATTGGTCTGATGCAGGGATGATGGCGTTCTGGGTGCCGTTTGTGCTAGGCTCGGAGCCCGCGGGCGCGGAGGGGATGAAGTTGATCATGCCTGTTACTAGGGTGTGGAAGTTTTCTAGGTTTGTATTAGCCTTTCATTTAGGGAGTGGGGGGCTGGAGGAATGGAAAGGAGTTACCGCGAGTATTCAGTAGATACATGATTCCCTGGTATGCAGCGCCAATGCCGATGAAAAACACTTGTGGGTGATCGTTAGGCCTAGGACTGGTTAGAAAACCTGCTATGCGGTGCTGGGGGGGGAGATGCATACTCAATGTAATTGTCCCATATGTATGTAGCAAGCTCCTGCGTAGCTCCAACGCGCTTGTAGACTTCATCATCAGAGCCCTCGGCCTAGAAAATCCGTCAATCATTTCCGGGTCATTTTGACGACCTGGGCTGCTTACTTCTAGATCTGTCAGAAAGGAAGGAATGTTCACGTCAATGACACCATATCCTTGGTCTGCACTCCAGCTTGTGTAATGCTTGCAGCTATCAGTCTTTCGAGGACAGTCAGTACTGCAGTTATGAGAATTGAAAGTATCATACCAGGAAGGTGCTACGAAGTTCAAGCTGCCCATCGAGCCCGCTCTTGTTGCTTGTTAAGTCCGGGCTATCTCTAGGTTAGCTTATAGCACGAGATGTTGTAGGGAATGTGTATTTACGGATCGTGGAAAATGATCACTAATGGAATGTCCTCCTCGAAATTTGGTCTGTAGGGTGGTGAGCGCCGTGCCACATTTTGAGATAAGTCACATACGTTGCCAAGAGCTCGTTCTCAAAAGAGCTCGACAATTTCTCACGAAGCACTCTCAAGTTTATCATTCCTAGCTTCTCTTTCATTTGCGCTGCTTGATAGCCTCGTAAGACATCTGTTCGCGTTTAGAATTTACTTAGAGGGAGATGCTAGCATGATGTGTATTCACCATGCATTCGCTCCCCGCCAACAACTGCGAGAGAGCCTATTTATCAATCAACAAACCTTTCAGATGAGAACAGCGATGACCCGACCTTGTTCCACCTGCTTGGGGTACAAGCACGACCAGTAGCGAGACTGTTGCGTGCGGACTTTCTGTACTATCGTGATAGCGCTTGTAGCTGCCTGGCGATCCTCCAGACGCGGTGGCGTCTCTCCGTTCAGGGTTCGCGTCACTGCCAGGGCAGAGCGTGCTATGGACCGCAGATTATATCCGCCCTTACCAATTTTCAGTATACTTCCTCCTAATGCAGAAAGTTGTGAACATACCTCGAGGCTTACGACCACCTTCCCACCCGCAAGGCTTTTTAGCATATGTGTCATATGAGCGTAGCATGCTGGCGTAACGAAACATCCGCCGAGCTGATCGCCATCTGCAGCATCAAAGCCAGCGGCAACTGGTTTTGTCAGTCGCTACAAAAATGTGTTGATAGCAGACTCACTCATCACTAGATCTGGATCGAATTCGTACGCGACTGGCATGACGATCTGTTGGAAGGCGTAGATGTAATCAGCGTCCGCCATGCCTTTCGTAGGCCACGGTATGTTGATGTTTCTGCTTTGGTCAGGCTGAACATCACAATAGTCAAGGCTTAGTGTAAGACATACTTGCCGAGGCCAGGCCCAGCGCCGCAGTGTAGATGATCACCACCGGGTCCGGCTGGATAGAAAGTACCGTCTTCATGCACGTGAATCGATATATAGAGGACATTCGGGTCTTGGTAGAAAGCCTGTTGAATACCGTTGCCATGGTGGACGTCCCTAACAAGGAATGTTAGACCCTTTCAGTCCATCAGGAAGATTCGAGTCTACCAATCTAATATGAGGGTTTTTCGAACCATGTCTGGAAAGTCAGCATGGCAGACTTTCGTCGCAATGGAAACATTATCGAATATGCAGAAACCCATCGGACGATTGCACTCTGCATGGTGACCCGGCGGCCTTATGATTGCGATGGCATTCTTTACTAGACCACACGCGACTGCTCTCGCTGTTTCTATAGCTCCTCCAGCGGAAAGCTTGGCGCACTCGAAGGTGATTCCATTTAGGTAGACAGAGTCTAGATTGTACCCGTACTCAATTAGTGTCTGCGCGTCCTGTTCTATGTCGCAGTCAGTAAAGACTTGAAGTACACATGTTCAATGTTCCTCACTGGTCGTCAATTTCATCATCTCCCAATGCTTCTGATCATGTACTAGCTCGATCTCGCTCTCGGCGGCCTGTCTTACATCGATCCGCCTTAAGGGCTTCGGCACCAATGCTCCTTGACTCAGGAAATTGTCGTCTATGAGGCCTGCGACACAGAGTTCTTTGTAAATAGCAAAGATCCGCCTCGGATCCTCAGGATGATAGTCTCGCCGGTCTTTAGGGGGCTCAAGCTCGCAGTGATAGCGCATGCGAACATCATAGCAATAGCCCGTCGGAAGTTCTGCGAGGAAAGGAGCAGGTGGCTCATGCTCTTCCATTTGTTCTTGCTCAAGATCAGATAGAAACAGCTCGAACTGTTCCTGAGCTGGCTTCATGTTCTCTATCGAGAGATTTGACGTGTTTTGCGCCAGAATTGATGCCTCTCGAGAGGCGTCTTGAGCTTGCTTTGGTGCGCTCAGGCCCAGCACATCATCACTGAACGGGATCGAGGCTGTTTGTGTTCCCAAAAAGCCGTTGACTGAGGTTGAACCCATCGGCGACGATTCTGGGTTTCTGGGGCGCGACATAGTGCTGTAGCCATTACTGAAATTCGAGTTGTTGGTTCTGGAGGATAGTGTGCTAGGAATGTCTATCATGTGTACATCATTTTCGTCGTTCTCCATCTTTGGAGATGCTGCCGCTAATTAATACTTCCCCAGATGGATACTTCGAAAGCAAGTCTTAGTCTGATTATGACTTGCTTCACATCTTTGGAGAGACAATCCGTTACTTTCTAGTAAGAATTTGAGAACGCCTTTTGCAGTGAATATTGCTGAATGTAACTTTTTGCCAGAACTAATCGCCAAGCAACGGTCCTGATCGCCAGTGGTCCCATAGACTTAGTTGATGCTTCTGTGGACAGCTGTGATTGATCCAGGCGACTTGGGGTCTTCGCGTCTGAACCAACAACTATTAGTCTCAATAAAACTCATTCGCTCAATAACGACTGTCGCAGGTCGGGTGAAAGCCAAAAAGGTATTACAATCGGAATAATATTGAGTAGCGCCGCATGTTACAGGGCGAAAAGGCTTCGGTCTGGCAGATTGAAAGATTACAATTTGTAAGATCTGTGAACTGTACAGTACCCTATGTCGAGATCAAAAGAAACACTGTCACCTTGGCCTACAGTCTTCTATACCGCAAAAGAGCAAACACACATAGCTAGCGCCAACGGTCCTCTCTCTATAATGGAAGGTACCCCATTCAGAAAGGACACAAAGACTTGGCACTTTGTGCAGATAATTTAGACTGGCCAATGAGAAGGCTTGAGATGAACTTCAAGGTAGGCTGGTAAAATTGAAGCGAATTTTGGAGATTTCATTCCTTATCTATCTTGGCCTCAAAGGTCACGGGAAACGCATTGCAGTCTTCGTCCGACTTCATATCACGGACCGCCTCATTTTGTTGCTCTGTTGTCATATCCATCTCCGACACTATGATGCGCTATTTCAGCGTGTAGCGAGGAAAAGCATTCTATGACTTGTCGACCTTGGAAATATAGGCTGTAGGTGGTCAGCATCATCAGATCGCCTACTCTTAGAAGAAACATACCAAGAAGGTCAATCACACGGCGGGAGTATCCCCATTCGTTGTCGTACCAAGCGACCAGCTTGATGAAATTGTCGTTGAGAGAAATACCAGCCTTAGCATCGAAAATGCAAGAGTTGTTGTCGCCATTCAGGTCAGTTGAGACGAGGTCATCCTCGGAGTATGAGATAATGCCCTTGAACTCGCCTTCCGAGGCTTTCTTCATCACCTCCTTGATCTGGTCATACTTGGCCCCCTTCTCAATGCGGCAGGTCAAATCAACCACAGAAACATTGGGTGTGGGCACACGCATCGCCATGCCGGTAAGTTTACCGTTGAGGCCGGGGATGACCTTGCCAACAGCCTTGGCGGCGCCAGTGCTGCTGGGGATGATGTTTTGAGCAGCAGTGCGGCCACCTCTCCAGTCCTTTGCGGAAGGTCCATCCACAGTCTTCTGGGTTGCGGTGTACGAGTGAATGGTCGTCATGAGGCCCTCAATAATGGTGAAGTTGTCATCGATGACCTTGGCAAGGGGCGCCAAGCAGTTGGTTGTGCAAGAGGCGTTGGAGATAACCTCAATGTCGCTCTTGTACGATTTCTCGTTGACACCCATGACGAACATGCTAGCATCAGCAGAAGGGGCAGAGATGACCACTTTCTTGGCGCCGCCTTTCAGATGGGCCTTCGCCTTATCGACTGTGGTAAAGACACCAGTAGACTCGACCACGTAGTAGGCTCCGGTGTCCTTCCATGGGATGTTTGCGGGATCCTTCTCGGTATAGAATGTGATTTTCTGCCCATTGACAATGAGATCCTTACCGGAAACCTCGATGGTTCCCTTGAATTGCCCATGTTGAGAGTCATATTTCAGCATATAGGCCTGCGTAGTGTGCGATCAGTCTCCGGGCATGCGCGGGGTAGTGGGGAAGTGCCCGCGGAGGAGAAGGGAAGGCACGTACGGCATATTGGGTATCAATGAATGGGTCATTGACGGCAACAACCTTGACATCGCCATGTTCGACGCTATACAAACTTTAGCTCGGAGCTCCTTCCATGCAGCAGAAGAGCTCACGCGTTGCGGAAGACAATGCGGCCAATGCGGCCAAAGCCATTGATACCGACGAGAGTTTGAGACATATTGGTTTACTTCGAGTGAAGTGGAAGGTGATTTGTGATATGAGGAAGAGGATCAAGCAGCTGAAGAAGTATACAGTTTTTTCCTGAGCAGAAAGCTTCGGGTTGAAAAGTTTTTGAGTCGCCGATGCAATTCCGGCGGTGGTAATGCTTTAGTTCTAGGGCTATAAGTTGGTGTGGGCCTGGGCTGTGGGCTTTATCCACATTCTACGTCATCGGTCACCCCCGAGGGTATGACTCCACCACCACGGCGGCCTCAATGGCTTATGATATCGCTCACCAAATATTTCTTCATGTCTTGTGACTTATGAATACGATATGTGCCTGCTTCACAGCCCTCTATTTCCAATAATGCAATAGTAATGTGCATGAGTGATGCGCAAGAAGATACTGCCTTCAGTTGCTTTGCATTTGCAATTGCACATCATCTGACAAACGTGAATCAGATTGCCTCCCAGATTAAATACCCAAGTTTCGGAGCCCGCAAGGCCAGGGTAATCTTTTCTTAGTGAGGCTTGTAATGCGAGCGAGATTTAGCCTCGCTCTCGCCTGCGTATTTAAAGCGTTTCTTCTAGAGCAAGGACCTGATGAGGCAACTTGTCAGCCGATGGGGGTTTGGTGGCTTCTGTGACTCTGACTTACAACGGCACTGCGAGACGGTAGATACACCTGAACAAAGTTCTTTCGTCCATTCCATTCAAAGGGCGTTGTGAAAAATCGTGTCCCTTTCGCGTTGCGACCGAAACCTGCATAGGCTGTATCATCCGTATCCAAGACGATTTGGTAGGTACCGGCAGCTTGGACGCCCACACGATAGTCTGTGTAACTCTTCTCGGGGTGGAAGTTGAAAATCCAGAGTAAGCCAGCCCGCTCGAAAACTATCACTTTGTCCGACTCGTTCTTGAGGCTGAGATGCGCTTGTGGGGAGTGCAGCCAGCCATACTTTTCCTCCGTCCATTGCATCTTGGCATCAAATTCGTTCAAGAATTTGTACCGAAGGTTGTCATCATCAGGGAGATTGAACTGTCGCCGAGCATACCAGAAGCTGTTATCATTTCCCTCCCTTGGAAAGTCAAGCCATTCGGGGTGGCCAAATTCATTACCCTCGAAATTCAGGTAACCCTCACCCCCAAGTCCGTGCGTGATGAGTCTGATGAGTTTGTGTAAGCTCAAACCCCTCTCAATTATCGGTGTGAAGTCGCTCAATTTGGACATATTCGTATAAAGTTCCTTGTCACAAAGCCAGAATAGCAGAGTCTTATCTCCCACCAACCTTGCCCCCTTGTTAGTAGGGCCAAATATTAAGAATGGCTGACTTACGCTTGATCATGGCTCTCTGCGTACGCTATCGTGAGTTCGCCATGTCTTCGATCTGTCAAAACGTGGGTCAGGTGGCCCATGTTCCACTCGGCATCTTGCTTCTCCTTGAGCCATTTGATGTAGAGATCAGGTACAGCCATGGCCAGTCGATAATCAAATCCGATACCCCCGAGTGAGAGCGATACACACAATGCGGGCATTCCCGACACGTCTTCTGCAATGGTGATACAAGTCGGATACAGTGAGTGAAGCATCTCATTTGCAAGCATCATGTAGACTACGGCTTCTTCGTCCACGCTGTCTCCAAAATACTCTTGGTAGCCTCCAGAGAATCCACTAACCATCGTCAACCTAATGAAACGCGGTGTAGATGGTGGTGTACTCACCTTCCAATGCCGTGATGTAGATAGAGCATACTCGTGACACCATCAAAACGGAAGCCATCAAATTGGTACTCTTCCATCCAGAAGCGTAGATTTGATAGCAAAAATCGTAAAACCTCATGATTACCGTAATTGAAAATCCGGCTATCCCATTGTTCATGTCTACCCCGTGCACCTTCATGAAAATAAAGGTGATCTGATCCATCAAATTCGTTCAATCCATCATTGAAATTTTTAGACGCATGACTGTGCACCATATCAAGCAGTACCGTTATACCCATTCCATGAGCAGTGTCAACTAGCTCCTTGAGGTCTTCAGGTGAGCCAAAACGGCTACTAGCTGCAAAAAAGCTGTTGACTTGATACCCGAAGCTCGCATAGTACGCATGCTCCATGATTGCCATGAGCTGTATGACGTTGTAACCTAGATATTTTATTCGTGGAAGCATGTTCTTGGTAAACTCTTTGTAGGTGGAAACGCGGGTCTCAGGAGTAGAGATACCAACATGAGCCTCGTATACTCTCGCACTCGCCGGTCTTGGTGGTCGAGTGTTCTTGAATGTATATCGCTCGTTTACAGGTGGGTTCCAAAACACGCCATCGTAGACGGGAGAGAAGGCAAGATCTTGGGTGACGCGCTTGATCCACGGAGGGTTGCGCTCGGCACGCTCATGAGAATTTGGGACCACCAGGGAGATCTATCTGCATTTAAGCAAGGTCTCTCAACGCCTTCTCAATAGTGTCATACCTTGATCTTCGAGTTGTGTGGTATCACTGACCGCCCATCCTTTGCGAGAAGAGTGAGATGCCACATGCCAAAGTCTCCTCTTGTCATTGGTGTTGCATCTCTATTCCAGTCGTCTGGAGGGACAAAAACTCAGTATATGTGCCATACCGTAGATCCGCTGGAGCATACTAAAGTCCCCCACCAGGTATGCGCGCAGGGCGTTCGGTGCCCACTCTTTATAGACTATATCACCATTCGGCAGCGACTGCAGTCCCATTGACTCGTAACCCCTGCTGAACTTCTCAAGCCCCCCTTCTGATTCTTGAAGCGTTTTGATCCACTGCTGCGCCTTGCTATACCTCCGTTTCAAGGCATCCTTAAATGGCTCTAGCCATGGATCCAATTGGAGAACACCTGGAATAGTCAATAAAGAGACACAGCTTACAGTCGCAGCAAAGCCTCACCTGTGCCATCTGCGGGGATGGTATTGTTTGCAGGTCCCCTAAGCACAGAATTCTCAGAGGACTGGTTCAGAGAAGATGTCATTCTCGCAATATGTTTTGGTCAGGTTGCTGTCATGAGCGACTTTCCAATAACGAGAGCACCAATCGTATGTCCCAGCGTGAAGCCTTCGCCATGGTGTGTGAAATAGCAAGCGACATTCAACGTGGGGTTGGAGAAGAAAAGCTTTCTGGACGTCATAGCCCCACCAACAAGGTCAGTCCAGGCGACACCTGGGGCCAAGATAGTCCTGCCAGTTGCTGCAAGTTGCGGGGAAATTGTCCTTGGATGGGGCAACAATTATTGGTGGGCGACTCTTTCAGGGAGAAGCGCTGCTGAGGATACCCTGTCTATAGGGTATTGAATCCCATCCTGCAGCCCTGGGCGAGGGGCTTCTTCATCCTTGCCAAGCCTTCCATTCGAAAAGGGGCAACTCGCGCAAATATCATGCCGTTTCCTCTCAAGTCTTTCCTTCTCCTCCAACGCAATCATGACAATCCCAACTGGTCCCGGCTCTTTTGAGCTGGCTTTTTCCTCCAACACAGTGATTCGTGTGATGAGAGCATCCAGTGATGCCTCTCAAGTTTATTATAGCCCCACGGTCGGGGTCGTTACGGATTGAAAGTCCTGCGGTTTTATCGGCGGTGGTGCTGAGGTAGCAAGAGCTACTGACAGGCCTCGCCGAGGGGAGTCAAGAGATTAGAGGCTGAAAGATTGTGATCAGCTACAAGCACATAGATTGAAAGTAAGATCCTCTAATGGTCGCCAAATTTACGATATTCATGAGACCATACAGATCCAACAAAACTTCCATTTCACCTAAAAAAACAATGTCTTTTACGATTCTAGCCAACGAAATACTCCTCCATATCTTGCAATCCTGCAACAGTATTGCCGACCTCCTTTCGCTCGCCTCAACCTGCCACCACCTTCATTCCATTCTGAATGCCCCCGCCAATCGACTCCCCACCCTGTATTTGGCTGCAGAATCTCAATATGGTCCTATTCATGACGCCACTCGTATAGTCACGCACAACGACACACAGCCATTACATATGCCTAGAATGCCTCCCCCTCAATCTTTTGCGCTACTCAAACAGCTCATTGAGGTGGGTTGTGTGGCCAATACGTGGGCGGAGCTCTACCCTTCGCAGAAGTGGCGAGGCGATGACAGCGCATCCAGACGCTTCCTTACACAGGGCGAGCGCTATCGACTTCGAAGAGCTTGTTACCGGCTGTGGCTATACAGCTTAGCTTTTCACACGCCAAATTTCTCGCGAACCGCGCGGCGCTCTCCTTCCGTGATGCGAACCAGAGCAGCTCTGATCCGATCCTGGCCAACATTTGAACTTGCTGAGCTTCTTGATATACAGCTCGTATTTCGCCAGATCCTAGACTCTACAATTACCCCTAGTAATGGTACCGTCCTTCGACGTCACAAAAACCGCCATCCGGATGATCCGTTCCCACTCGTTTCAGTGACGCATCCAGCAAAGTATGCATACATGAATGCGAACTACAACAATTGTACGCAGAATGGCTTCTACTCATCTGTGATGTCTCACTTTCACAGCGCGCCTCATACATCCCATCTGGTTCCTTTTGCAACTACTGAGAAGTATGTCCGCACACAGCGCGAGCTGCATGGGACGACCCTTGAAGGATGGGGCGATGAGATCACGCATTATTATGTGCTGGAGGACATGCTGAAGCTCAATCCGTCGCAGCTGCTTTATCTTTACCATTCTATCATGGAAGCAACACAGGGAGGCTTCAATGCCGGTTCAAGTGCAAAGGGTTTGGTGGAAGCGTTTGTTGCAGGGTTGGATCAAGCTGGATTGTGGTTTGAGAACAATGGAGAAACGTTAGGGGAGACTATATCATTCGTCATCAGGGAACGTGGAGGTGAGGCCCAGGAAATTCGGTCAGCTGTCGAGGAACGTTCACTCGGCGTTGTTCAGGAAGACGAAATATGATGTAGAGCGGTTGTTAGAGTAGAAGGATGCTAAGTAAACATTGAGAGCAAGCAATTCCGACCTTGAAACCCATTGTTTTGCAATGAAATGTGTTTCTCCGACTTCCTCGTTTTGTTGTTGTGGCATTCCCCACTTGAAGGGCTATGCCATCAACGCCGGGTAGGACTACCCCACCCGATGAGGATAGAGATGTTTAAAACAATTGCAATCCAATCACTCGAAGCCATCGATATCCCGCTGAGGCTTACACTTCCAGTCTCTCCATTGGCAGCAAATGTAGATATCCTCAAAAATGCTGGGGCCGAAGCCGGTGGCTATTTTCCCTACCCTCTATGGTCATCCTCAACCTCAGGCCCGACGCTCCTGTCTCACGCTTTTCTCGAATTCCTGCTCGTTTGCGACATCCACACGCAATCGCTCCTCTTCACAGTTCCACCGTTCTGACTTTACAAGCCAGCCATTCACGGGGAGCTATGACCCTGGCGAACGAACGTCCGGTCCACTGGGGGATGCGTCAATCCTCGGTGCCCCGCGTATCACACCACGAGTTTTGAAGCAGCATTTGGATAACTTTGTAGTGGGACAGGAGAGGGCGAAGAAGATCTTGAGTGTTGCTGTTTACAATCATTACCAGCGTATACAAGAAGCGCAGCGGAGAGAAGATGAAGAACAAGAGATCTTTCAGCAGCAATTACGGAGAACGATGGCGGATGACCATCCATTGGAAGGTAAAATCATGCTACCAAATTCTTTCTAGCTATGCTGAAAAGGTACAGGAGATTTTCCAGGCCAAGAACAGGCCATTCCTCTCCATCCACCATCTTCTGGTCTGGGGACCCCTCCCATTATAGACCCTTTACCTCTCACTCTTGACAAAGCAAATGTCCTCTTACTCGGTCCCTCTGGCGTGGGCAAGACACTCATGGCGAAGACTCTTGCTAGAGTCCTCTCAGTTCCCTTCAGCATGTCAGACTGCACGCCCTTCACGCAAGCAGGTTACATTGGTGAAGACGTTGAAGTCTGCGTACAGCGTCTTCTCGCAGCGGCAAACTACGATGTAGCAGCCGCCGAAAGGGGCATCATCTGTCTCGACGAACTTGACAAGATCAGCTCCACGAAGGTGAGCCAAGGCAAAGATGTTGGCGGCGAAGGTGTACAACAAGCCCTTTTGAAACTCATCGAAGGCACAACCCTGCAAATTCAGGCCAAGACCGAGAAATCCTCACGAGGGTCCAGCTCTCCGCTGACGACCTACCCTACGAATAGTCCTTTGGCGGGTGGTGGTATAGGCACGAACATACCTCCACCATCATCATCCTCGGGGTCAGGCCCAAACCAGTCTTCAGGGCCCTCCAAACCGGAGACCTTCAACGTCCGTACCGACAATATCCTCTTCATTTGCGCAGGCGCCTTCATCGGCCTTCAGAAGATGATAATCAATCGCATCGCGCGTGGCAGCATTGGTTTCAACTCCCCCTTGCGCTCCTCATCGTCTTCCTCCTCGCTCGCCACGGGGGCTAAAGATACCATGATATCTGTGCGCTCCGGCAGCGAGGAAGCCAAGACCTTTGAAAAGCATCTCCCCTTCTTCTCTCCTCAATTTTCGGATCAAGGCCCTGTGACAGAGTACAATCCTCTCGATCTGGTAGAGCCGACAGATTTGCAGACGTATGGTCTGATTCCCGAGTTGGTGGGCAGAATACCAGTGTCTGCAGCCTTAGCAGCACTAGATGAAGTTGCTTTGACTAGGGTCTTGACCGAGCCAAGGAATTGTCTTGTGAGACAGTACGAGCAATTATTTCAGCTAAGTGGGGTTGAGCTGAAGTTCACGCGGGGCTCACTAAGGGAGATTGCACGGGCGAGTCTGGAGATGGGAACCGGTGCTCGCGGACTAAGGACTGTGTGTGAAAGGGTACTGACGGAGACCATGTTTGAAGCTCCCGGTTCGAGTATTAAATATGTGCTTATCACTGAGGCGGTCGTCTTGCGGCAGAAACCGCCAGTGTATCTCGCACGTGGCCAACAGCATAGGTTCCATTCACTGATTGCAGGTGAAGAGGAAGCTTACGACGCCAAGTTGAGGAGCGAGAGGGGGTGGCAGATGATAGTGGTAGTGAAGGGCAGCAGGTTGTGGGGACGTTTGAGGAGTATAGAGAAAAGAGCAAGGCGGCGGGAGTCTTGTGAACGCTAATGGGACCAGAGATTATTATCGTGACCCATCTTTATGACAGGTACCATCACGCCATCCGCAACAAAAAACCCAACAAGCATGGCCTTAATTATTTCGATTGCGGCCTGATGCTCGGGCGATGACCTGATCATCCATAAAGGGCGGTCAATGCACACCTCTGAGTGCCCGTGAAAACCTCGACTCTGAAAGCATGCGGCCGTGGTAGCGGTGTCAGGGATGTGTTGTGGCGTAGAGAATTGACATCAGCTCACTCCAACGACTGACGAACCGGACTGCGAGGATTGCAGCGAAACGGGAGACAGCGAATTGAGAAATCGACAGTCACCGAGACAGAGCAAATATACCGGTCTGTTCTTGATTATTGGATACCTGATCTAACAACGATCGGTCGCGGAACGTCATGTTGGCGGACTCCCCATTGGCTGAGACTAGTCCAGAATTTGAGGTCTAAGCAAGAGGCAGGGAAAGCAGCTCGTTGATGATGAAAAGGGATACTATGGACGATGACTTCAAGTCGAGTGGATGAAACCTCCGAGACGCCAAATCGTCTTGATATATTCAAGAGCGTGTGAATCAGAATCGAGTGATCTTCAATCAGATCGGATGATAATGATAACGATGATCACGATGCACGCGACGACAAGGGTTTAAGGGGGGAAAAGATGAACAAAAGGAGTAGTATTCTCGCCCGGTAGGTACACGGAATATTGAATCTGAAAATCTACGTTTGGGGAAGCGCAAGATCATGCGTTGGTAAAGCTGCAGCTAGTTGCAATAGATATTTCAGACATGACAATAATGCACTGTGATGTATTTCGATGATGATGCTGTTTCATGCAACGATATCAGCGTACACTTCTCTTGGTTCTGGTCTTCCTCATTCGGCCCGCGGTAGAATTTGGGTCCCTTCTTCGTGAGAGGCCAGAACAAACATAGATTCCAAGAGCCCAAAGCGATAATGATCAAGCGAAGATCAGGTAAACAGGAGCTAATTAGGTTTGAAAGGGAATGGTGATGGTGGCGGCGACAAGCTCGAGCTCCATGATACTATTCACGTTGTATCCTCTTCCAAATTGGTAGTGATACTACGCTATCAAGAGCATATTATTTGCCCCACGCCATCAGAATCGCCTATCATAATGCCTTATCACGGTGCGAGACTGCCAGGTCTGAGGTCTCCAACAGGCTGATAGCTTGCTTTTAGGTCAAGCCTTCTCATCAGGAATTGCAAATATGTGCAAGTGACAGACCCTTCGCCTTACCTAGTGCTAGAAATCACTGTGTCTCATTGGTAAGCGAGACACTTGCTTTCCTAGGACTTGATCTGAAGGGTCTCAATCTCCAGGGGCTGCGATACTGCCGATCTGCCATTGAACACAGCCATTGTAAGACTAGACTTTGCATTAGTAAATGTCTTCCCACAATCATACCAGTGACCAGAGAATTGGCAAGGACTTACTGAATCAAGCAACCATCCACCATGCTTGTCCCCACTCGGATCGCAACCGTCCACGACCATCTTTCCCAGCCGCCTCTGACAGTCATCTCCACCAGTATTGAAAGCCTGATCTGCCTTCGTGTCTGCAGGGCAGGCCGCCAAGTCATCCTGCGAGTGGAAAGTAACTTTGATGGATACCGAATTATTCCCACCTGTAGCAATGCCTTTAGGCCACCTTCCGTCCTGGCTGAATCCGCCACTGTCATCTCTTGCAGCGGGGTTTGCTTGGAGATTCTTGCCGCAGAAATCGTCGATAGCATCGTGGGCGTCTTTGGGGCTGAAGGACTTCCATCGGTCTCTGTCCGCTTGGGGGTATAGTGGATCGGAACCGCAGACGACAGTCTCTCGGGACTCGACATAGATTTGATATATGGCGCATTGATCCGTGTTGGTGCCTGCGGCTTTGAATTTAGGGTCACCCTTGTTGCAGTCGTTGATCGTCTGACTAAGAAAGCGTTTACAGGAGGCCTAGATCGATCTTGAGACTGTGTGATAAGGGGCAGCATATCTCGACTAACCTTGTTGATCGGATATCCGTGATCGTGAGCGCCACCTTTCTCGCAGCCGCCAGTCTTGGGCTCCCAAGTAACGCTGATTGTGCTCATTAATCCGCCTACTGCTTGTTGATATTTAGCGTCCTTCCTTTCACCCTGGTTGATCCTTTGCCCATCAAAATTGCCACAAAAATCATCGATATTGTCAAGAGCTTCACTTGCTTGGACGCCCCACTTGTAATCGTCCGGTGCGCATCCGAGCGCACCAAGGTACGTAGACGGCTCTATTGCGAAGACTCGTTTTTCGGATTTCATTTTGTCGCCGCCCGTGTGGTTTTTGTCAGGCCCGCATGTGAGGATCTTGCTAAATAGATCATTACATTTTTGCCTAAGTAGAGAGTTCAGCGAAGTCTATAGACAGACAATTTGAAAGCAAACGTACTCGTCATCAAGAGTATATGTGGCGCCTTCGCCTCGATTTCCGGTATACGATACCTGAAGGACCGCTTGCATCCGATATTCATCCTGATCGTACGTGAGCAAGGGCGAGTAATTCGAGCTTGCGGTGGAGCCCTTCTGCTGCTTGCAAAAGTCTGCGATGTTGTCCTCCAGAAGTTAGCTTTGTCACCTACGTGCAGCTTGTTGTGCCTCACCTTTACGCCCATTACCCCTAAGACTCCTTTTGAAGCAGCATCCTCGCAGTCTGCTTCATGTTCAGCAGTCCCGCCATTGTCATCAATGTGCAAACGCTGATACTCCTGCCCCAAGTAAACCTGGATAACAAGGTAGTCGAAGGGCGCAGCGCTGGGGTTTCCGCTATTGGTCGTTGTCGTCAAGGTCGTAACACTGGGTGTGGGGATGGGGTGAGAATTTGTTTTGGTGGTATCAGTAACGTCACATCCTGTGGTCTTCGCGCTTGCTGCTGCCGCGCATGTGGATGTGGTATGAGGCTGGTTCTCAAAATGGAACCAATCTGTAGTGCATTCTTCGGTACATATGTTCGCAGTTATCTTTTGACATCCTTGATCATCATCACCTTCGTTCCTTCCGCCATCTACAGGTTCTCCGTCAAGCAGGTTTGGCGGTATAGCCTTGGGAATAACAAATGGCAGGGCAGCCACCGCGGGCCCTCCTAGCAGAGCGCCAACTATGGCTTCTGCATAGACAAAAGCAGTAGTGCATCCCTCTATTAACGTAGTGTCTGCAGTGACAATTGACGGCGTATAAGTCAGCGTGTATGTTGATCCCGGCTCGGTCGTAGTAGTCACAATAGTCTTGTCGGCTGACTGCTGTTCGGTTGGTTTGGCTGCAGAGATTGCTCCGACAGGGTTTCCACTGACGGCACGCAGAGAACAAGCAAGAACTATCAATAGTCTTGAGGAAAGAGGGAGACTCATGCCGCAGTATTTTCACGAGAGAGACCGAAGGCCTGTAATCATGCTCAAGGCAAGAGGGACTCATTTTTGATATATGAACATACATACAGTGCGCACATGCATCCGTCGTCGGGTCAACTTATCTGCAAATTTGGCAAGCATCAAGCAAGACCTGAAAAAGTTTAGATCAGTTGAAGAGGCCCACTATGAAATATCACTCAACGACATAGATAATTGCACTCGTGACGGAGCTATATATTCCCGTGCTGTGGAAGAGACTCACTCCCTGTTGGAGAAATTCTGGAAGGAGTATTATTAGCTAGAAAACGATGAATCGAATGACTAATCTCTAGAACTAGCTCAAGGTCAATTTAAATGCCTTTCTTGGCTTGCCTTGCCCAAGCTTGCCAAGCGACTTCTCTCTATCTTCGCCCTAAAGGAATCTAAGCAGCTGCTGATCTTATGCCTCCGATGACCGAGTCCTCCAAAGCCTAGAGTTGTAGAGGGATCGAAAGAGTATAAGTCTGATGATAGTTCCTGCTACTCATCCTATGATTTATGTGCCCCGAGGCGGAGTGATGCCTCGCATGACAATGCCCAGGCGTCTTCATCTTTCAATTGCTCCAACCATGAAACTATCAAGATCATGCTTTCAAGCACGTCGCAGGACATCTATCGTACGTCATCTTCTACTTCAGTCTTGTCTGACCCTAGATGTGGCTATGAAACCATCAGCTTTGCGGACAGCGCGTGTTTGATCTGATTATTTCAGGGCACTACAAATCAAAAATCTTCCTTCCTCAGTCAATGACCAACGATGAATAGCCTCCTGGAAGATTGAGGCTTTGGATTTATATCCTCTATGATCTATTGAGCCTTGTTATACTGTCTTGGTGGTGTGTAAAGGGGCTTCTGTTCCATTTAGTACGCTATGTTCAACAACATATGGTGAGGTATCGAATACAAGCATCTAGGCGGAGCATACATGATTAAATCTAAATATTGGCAATGCTTTTCAAATGTCAGTCGTGTGCTGGGCTTCAGATCTATATCTAGAATCCCATGTCCGGCTCAGCGACTTGCGCTACAATTTAATCTTGGCCGCCAGGGTTTCGTATTGACGTTTCTCTAATATCTACCACGGGAACATTGACTGGCTGCAAAGTACGACTCGGGTGCAATAACTAACCCACCTGGCGCTGTTACTTCGTACGTCATCTACTGTGCTCGGATCGCTTATCTTTTCTACCGCCTATACCGCACTCCAGCGTGAAGTCCAATTCTAAATTTCTATGGGTTTTTGTCCTCACATCCTGTTATCCATAAGCGGCTTTGCCATAGCAGAAGATCCACCAGCGAGTCTTGAGCCCTTATGGAAAACGTTTCCTGGGAAAAGGGACACAGGTGGCTGCGATGACGATCTTCAAAAGATCAAAGACACCTACACGGAAGCTATTTCACTTGTCCAAGCAGCCGTCAGCGCTCTCGGTGCTTTACAAGATGCGAAGCCTGAGGACGCAAAAGGTGGCCAAGAATGGGACCGACAAGCTAGAATCGCCAAATCCAATGTTCAATCTAGATTTTGACAATGCCGGAAGAACTGATAAGCGAACACTGAACCGAACGGGAGATATTCTGAGTATGTAGGGTTCCTGCCCAGGATGAAGGCATGCTCATATTATATAGAAAAGTACAAGGCCGTGAATCGAATAGCGACCAACGCTGCTCCCAGGGACGACCATTTCAAGCGAGTTTATTGCACGCCTTGTTTCATGATGTTTGTGGATAAAGGTAGACACCATGGAACGTATCCTTACCAGGTTCTAAGTTTCCGTTTGGGGCCTTTGTATGGGACGAGTGGATGGTAGGAAACCGCCTGTGGCCAGCCTCCGAACTCAAGCGTGAAAATGCGGAAGAGGACACAGACCCTTTACATGCCCTTTGTGAACTAAATAAAGATGGAAAGAACACTGGGACCTTTGCACTTCCTCCCTCTGACATGATAGTACTGTGTGATACTGCACTGGATCATATGAAGCCAACCTTAGGAAAAGATGTTCAAGAAGCGAATTCTAATGTTCATGAAGGAGATTCGTTGTTACAATCGTTGAGCGCTCTGTGGATGCACGACCTGATTCACATATTCTCCTCGCCGCTCGGTGAACTACGATTAGATCCTTAGATGGTGCGTTTCGCTGACCATGTTCCAGTACCCGACGAGCCAGTAGCTCGGCAAGATCAAGGCAAGATTACAGGCGGAGACGAGAACACTTATGGTTTCGATGAATGCGCCAATCTTCCAAAGCTTGTGTCCGACGATGCCGCAATAAATGCGGAAAATTACATAGTGTTCGCTGAAGTGAGCAATGATTGCTAACTGAAGCAAGACGGATTGCTGATCATGATTTTGAGCCATATGGCTGAATGAATAGGACTGGGGTACTGCTAATAAGGGTGGGCAAGCTGTGAAGTTACCTGATGTATGAGCATTTAAGGCAGTGAAGCCTGTCAATGCCAGGCGTAATCAGCTCAACTCAGTGGAAATAAACGACGGAAAGGTCCTGCTGCCAGACAAATCGCCAGTGGCAACAGCACCGAAATGAATAATTTTTCGAGGTGTTTGAGTATTCGGCAATGTATTCATTTCAACGTGAAAGTGAGGCATCTGTCTAATAGATGATTAAGGGTCTACATATCTATAACTAATTATAGCTAGCAAAATAATTTATCGCGCCAATCCTCATTAGCAACAATAATGTGCCGCACTACGTAAAGAGGTGAGAATATATGGCTTAGGCTATCTCTTCAAGCTTCTAAAACGCAATACTCCATTCATTTTATATGAGTACGTTCGCATTTTCCCTAAGCCTCAAAATCTGTGGAAATAGTTAATCCAGAAATATCCACCGTCTACCTTCATTTTACAAGCCAACAGAGGGGGTGTTTCTACCCTGATGTGGCTTTGCTTCCGGCGTACGAAGCAACCGTAACACTCTAAGAGAGTTTTAGTTATTCATATCCTTCGTTCCATTTTCTCAAATTTCTTACTTCTACTTACATTCGTGTCAGAAGTCGACGTTGGGCAAAGTGTATCGTCATCGTCCGATTGCAACAGGCTTTATAGGTAAGGTATCAGGTGGGAGATGGGCATGATAGATTGGACACATTCTTTTGTACGCAATGCCTCGATGCTACCTCAAAAATATGGCAGGTTCAACATGGCCCCTCCCAAAAACCCAAATACCACAATCCTAAAGCTCGATCACTTAGAAGGTAAATACACCATCTGGGATAGGCCAGACTCAGAGGATGCGGTTGAGGAGATTACGGATCAGACAGCAGAGGGCAAAGCTTTGTTTGAATTCATGGCTTGGCTCCGATCTGTGCCTGGACATGAGTATACGATGTGGGGACGAATGCATGGGAAAGATGATTGTCTCCTGATTTTCATAGGTAATGATCATAGCTCTGCGGTTTTCTAATGATTCGCCCATCCCTAACCCTTCGATAGGATGGGACGAATATACATCTGAGCCTTTTGACGCGTCCAAATCAATCAAGCAAGTCCTGGATTCTGGGCAGCTTGCAGCATTGCAGAGCCATCTCTCAAACCCGCCAGAGGTCATGAACATCCCATCTCGTCCTCCACTCGGGGAGGGGTTAGCATGGCCAAGGTTTTCATGCGAATGGGTCACGTGGAGCATGCCGTCCAAGCTGGACCCGACATACCATGAGAAAGCTGCTTCTCAATTCGATGCACTAGGCGACTCCATCAAGAGCACTCAGAGCATGCCGAGCGGTTCCAAACAACGTGATTTGGCTGGCTCTTACCGAGGCTGGCTGTACAACGACGAAAGTGCGGCGCCTGTCTCGATAGAACCGAGCGAGAAAACGCATATTTTCTGTTTCTTGTGGAGAAACTCAGAGGCTGAAATGAATTGCAAGAATTACAAGGTGGATAGAGAGCTAAGAGAGTCATGGCATGAAGATTTCGCAGCGCTTGAGCATGAATGGGAAGCCATGGGGATGCGCAGCGAGAGCGTTCACCTTCAACTTGGAGACTTTGGTCATCAGCTTCGATGGCTCGAACAGCTGGCGAAGGTCCAATCGAGGGACTTGACCGCGTCTGCTCGAAGTCAAGGAATGGAATGCGTGGTCTCTTAAGACCGAGAAGCTGTCCATGCACGTTGGCCCATGTTCATGTAAGGAGTAATATAGTTGATGCACGCTCGCATGCCATGCCTTTGACTGCCATGTGGACGAAAAGGGAAGCTTCGGAACGGGTGCATAGGGCAGCTAGCCGTCCAATTCGTGATTGGTGTAAGCTGGCCAATGGCGCTTTTTACGAATATGTATGGCGACCGCGACTGCTTCAGCATGTCTGCTTCCTATTATTCCTCTGGCTTTCAGGTACAGAAAGCTCGCAAGATGAAGGAAGTCGAGGGTTGGAAGGGGATGCGGCGGCCGGCAAGCGCCATGAGAGAAGGCTTGGCATTGCAGATCCCTCAACATTTTGCCTCGGCGTTGTGGGCAAAAACGGCTCATCAGCTGGGAAGTCGTGCTGCTGTCTGGGGACAAGATGCGCCTTTCACTTGACGTTGCCGTGTGTGTTGATGAAGCTTGGAGCTGCTCTGACTTAGGGGAAATGGCATGGAAGTGGATAGGGCGTGATTGACCAGGTTGTACAAGCAAGGAGGAAGCTCCCACGACCTCTCTCTTCCACAGCAATATTGACGTCGAACCCCGCAAGAAAACCCGTCACTCTCTCTTCAAGTTGCTTTCATCCCTTCTCCAAGACCTAAAGACCTTGCAAGGCATCAGATATGGCGCACCTCACGCTCGCAAAGGAGCTTGGGGCACCTCCTCCCCACGGAAAACCATATTCGGTTATTGTACCCGGTTCAGAGAAGGAAGGACGAAGCCCGATCTACAGGCATCACAGATTCAAAGATGGACCACTCAAGACACTGGATCCCAATGTAAGCCGATCAGCAGACCATGGGGCCGAAGAGAAGGCTGTCTAAATCTCTATCAGGTGTTGACCGCCCACGATATGTTTGAGAACACGGGTAGCGTCCCTACCATGACTGTCGAGAACCCATGCTGATAGCATTTCAGCGAACAAATTTCCCAATAACAACTGCCTTGGTTGGCGACCGTACGACTCTGTACGCAAGACGTGGGGCAAATACCAATGGATGAATTATGCCACCGTACAAAAACGGCGCGCGAACTTCGGAGTTGGAGTTGTCTCGGTCTGTAAAGAGAGCGGAGTGACCGATGAAAAGCATGCTGTGGGGCTCTGGTGTCAGAACCGACCAGAGTGGCAGATCACTGGTACGATCCTACAGCCCTAGTGGTTGGCGTGTGTCACTGAAAGAATTGCAGACCTCGCTTGCATGTCACAAGCCCTATTTTCGGTATCCCTTTACGACACGTTAGGTCCTTCCACCACCGAATATATTATCAATCATGCCTCAATACCGTGCATCGTCACATCGCTACCCCATATTCCGACGCTGCTCAAGCTGAAGCCCAGGCTACCGACCTTGAAAGTCATCATCTCCTTGGACCCTCTGGAGAATGGCGAGAGGGACGGCTGTTCAAAGAAGTATTTACTCAATGCTGTAGCTTCGGATCTGGATGTCAAGATATATTCTATCGACGACGTGGAATCTATCGGCGCTTCTTTTGGAACACCTCTCTATCACCCTCCTGCGCCCAGTGATATTGCTACAATCAACTATACATCTGGAACGACCGGCCCGCCGAAAGGGGTCACCCTGCTTCACTCAAATACTGTTGCAGCTACCTCTTGCGTACATGTCATGTTTGAGCATAGACCCTCGCGGACAACATTGTCATATCTCCCGCTTGCCCACATTTACGAGCGGATGACTGAGCATGGTCTTCTCTGGTGTGGTGGAGGTATAGGCTACTTTCATGGTGATATTCTGCAACTCGTCGACGATTTGCAAACCCTCAAACCAAATGCCTTCATCTCTGTTCCTCGCCTGTACAACCGGTTTGGGGGTGCTATTCGCGCTGCAACTGTAGAGCAGCCAGGGTTTAAGGGCGCACTATCACGCCATGTGATCGATACTAAAGTTGCGAGAATGACGCCACCAGAGTCGCCTAATGCCACGAACAAACATGCAATCTATGACCGAATATGGGGCCGAAAGGTTGCATCAGCCATTGGTTTGCAAAACGCTGAGTACATGATATCTGGATCTGCGCCCCTCGATCCAAGCTTGCATCGTTTCCTCCGGGCCGTTTGTGGTAACAAGTTTGTTCAAGGCTACGGCCTGACTGAAACGTACGCGCTCGGACTGTGTCAGGCTTTGGATGACATGACCGTAGGCAATTGTGGGGGCGTATCACCTTCTTTGGAGTTCTGTCTTATGGATGTGCCTGACATGGAGTACCTCGCTACCGACAAGCCGCAGCCAAGAGGTGAGGTGCTCATGCGTGGACCACCAGTCTTCGCAGGGTACTATCGGAACCCAGAAGAAACTAAAAAAGCCATGCTACCAGATGGCTGGTTCCGGACTGGCGACATTGCCACGATTGATAACATGGGACGCTTCAAGATTATTGATCGCGTGAAAAATGTCCTGAAGCTTGCCCAGGGTGAATACATATCTCCTGAACGCTTGGAAAACATCTATCTCTCGCACCTCAGCTATTTGGCAATGGCCTATATACATGGCGATAGTCTTCAGACCTTCCTAGTAGCTATCTTCGGTGTGCAACCGGATACGTTTGCTCCTTTTGCTTCCAAAATATTGGGGAAGACCATCGAGCCAACAGATGTAGTAGGCATCAAGGCAGCTTGTGAAGACGCACAGATCAAGAAAGCAATCAAGAAAGACCTCGAATTCGTTGGCCGAAAGAATAAATTTGCTGGGTACGAAAGGGTAAATAATTTTAAGCTGATGGTAGATCCATTTACGATTGATAATGAGTTACTGACGCCTACGTAAGACCTCTCCAATACTCTGCAGGCGTACGTTGAATCACTAACATCTGTTTCTACAGGTTGAAGATGAAACGCCCACCAACCGCAAAGATATATCGAAGCACGTTGGACCAGCTTTATGCTGAAGCATTGCATGATGAAAAACAGACGAAAGATCTCAAAGCAAGAGCGAAATTATGAGCAAACTGGACATAGAGTTACTTTTGCATAGCGTTAGGATTTAGGCTAACGACGTAATCAGACAGGATCCTGCAATGTATTATGGACATGTACTTAGGCATTGATAACATTTAGATGAAAGAAGAAGTGAGTACGCCGCTCTCTGAGTTTGCTTGGATAAGTCTCTGCATGTCTCGCTGCGTATACGCAAGAGCTGGGGAAGGATAATCCCCGTTGACTGATCCAGCTTAGTCCTTTTCGACATGGGACAATATAGCAGTCGACAAGCTCAAACCAACATCTCTATTAGTGATGCGTCACTGATGACTCGGACGCTACTGCAACGATCAGTATTGCAAGATCAACTGCGAGTAAAATGCTGCTCCGTTTTTTATCAGACTGATTTAGACCTTCTCGTGTGTGACGCCCAAATTCTTGATACTTTTGCCTCCTCCCGACTCAAGCAAAGACTTAATATACCATACAATCAGCCTTTTGCCCCCGTGGAGAAAACTCATCAGCAGGGTGACCTACAGGATGACGCTAGCAGAAGGATGGTACTTCACGCAGACCAATCCAATCCTAATTCAGAAGCCTTTGATCTCGAGGCTTGATATTGGGCCCACGGTGGCTGAAAGACTCCACTTGTTCCCGATCATTAACCAGTTTTATTCTTCATTCCCACCAAACAGACTAAATCACACCATATCTTGACCAGCTGCAACGACTTTCCCATCTCCTTTGAAAAGTACTTGACATCTCCCAACTCGCATACATGGCACCACTCTCAGTCAGTTCGAGAGCCGTCGCGACTTTCATGCTAATGAAAGAGCGTGACAGAGCGTTTGATGCTGAAGACGATCAACACGACTTTTGGGACGGATTCTCTTCATGGGATAAGATGACGATGAAGTACAAATTCATAGCATGCGTACTCGCGGCACTTGGTATGGCAATTCTTGTTGCTGTCTGTTTTGTTTTTGTGAGAGTCCGTCGAGGGAACCGGCGAAGGACAAGCGGACTTCCTTCACCATTGCCCAGCGCCCAGCGCCCTCGCCCAGGCCAGAGGGATATGCTTTCAAAGGGGTGGTTTTGGACACCTAAAGATGCCCGGACTCTTTTCAGGCCAGCACAAGGTTCGCCTATATCCCAGTCTAAATAGCCAGAGCGAATAATGACCTGTCTCAGAATTGGGTATTTTGAGCCAAAGTACTCCAAATAATACGGGAAGCCAACGTCACGATGACCACATCGCTGAAGTACACCTGGAAAGCAGCCAGTCAGACGATTCATCCGCGAATAAGCAATCTTCAGCAACCGATCGTCCAGCGAGACCTCCACCTTACACCCCATGCAGTCAGGGGTTCAACTGAAATTATCCTGCCCTGACAAAGATGACATCCATGATCGGAAGTAGGATTACAGAAGGGGGTTGAGTCTGCATATACCCGTTGCTAGAACAAGGATGAGGGAAAAAATGACATCGCAGAGCAATTACTGATTCGATCAGGCTGCAATACTTCCGTACATGCATCGGACATTATTGGAGCGACCTAAGCCACTTCGCTGTGTACCTTTATCGTTTCCTTTTCATTTTGCCTTTTGCTCTACTTTTCTTCTCCTCCCTCGTAATGCCTCGCCTACCTTTCAATCGCCCAGGATTCTGAATAAAAAGCCCAAGCTGCTTATTTTTGACAAAGACTTCGCTTCATCACAATGACAAGCACGACATCCTCATGGCGTGCCCTAGTGACAATCTATACCGACTCCGACAAACCCCAAGTCGTCAACATGACCTCCATGACTTGGATAGACAAGAAAAACATTACACATTCAATGGACTTCCCGGGCGGAACAGGCAAGCTCGGCTCGGGCAAAGCAAGAGAGTACTGGGATCATCTTGAAAATCAAGGCACAGCATTAACTTTTTTGATTCTTCTGGGCATAGGCGCATTGATCCTGTTCATGGCAAGCTGTGGCCAGAGGTGGGACCGCAATCGACGGAGGAGACATATGGCGAAACAGAAACGGCAGGAAGAAATCGAGCGGCGTGAGAAGTTGGGAGGAAATAGCCATGGTGAATGAAGCCGAGCAAGTCGTATTGAGATTCCTTTGAGCTGACTCCTCCCAAGAAATGAACCGCTTTTCTTCCATGAATCGGTTCCTCAATACACCGCAGGCAGCACGAGAGGATTTCAGAGCCATCTGATGAATAAAAATTTCCACCAGGGTATATAAGGCTTGACGACAACTGGCTAGGAGGCCAGAGAAGCTATCCTATACCCTGAATGTGGCCACTGCCCAGTATTGGCTAGTGCCAAAGGGCCTTCTCTTTCAAGAAAGGTGCAAGGATAATACCTATGGATCAGCCTGTATTTACGGACAGAACATCGACAAAGGTCAATCTTTCAGACCATTCGGTCGATGTAAAGGTCATAGCAAGCATACACCAGAGTTTGCACAATCCAGCCATATAAGCCCATTACTAGCATAATAGCTGCTTTTAGTAGTAGCTTTCGCCCAAAAAGCCACCACAGACCCACAGCTTTTGATTGTTTCGGCATTTCCGATAGATCTATCTTTAAAAGCGGCCTTTGCTTCCACTATTCCTTCTGCGTAGCGGCTTCTCTATCTTTGACTCGACAAGTTTCACGTCTCATTCGCAATAATATCACACAAAATCTGCCACTTCCTTCCAAAGACAGCGACAAAGCAGCCAAATTACTCTACAACATGCCTCCCTTCCCGCCCTTCTCCATCTCACCAGCTCAAATAACGACCAACAATACTCTCCCCTCCAACACAAACAACCACTCAAACTCCTTGCCAGTACTCACTCACGGCTTCCCCGTCATACTCACAAGCGGACGCCCGCCCCACATCGACCTTAGCGCATGGATCCCCTCGTCTAAAGACCTACTTTTCATCTTCGGCATCTTCCTCAACTTCTTCTTGGTGATTTACTGGTGGCGGTCGTGTCAGATTCAAGCGGAGCGAAGAAAGGTGGTGGATGTGATGTCGAAGAATTTGAACGGGGAGGAGGAGTTAAAGGTGCTATGAATGGTATATACGGAAATGAAACTTTTGCGTGTCAAGCTAGCCACAGTCTGGGCATGCACATGAATAGAATGCAATGACATAGGAAAGACAGGTGACGCACAAATCAGCTTCGTATCCACAGATCGAAGTACATACCATTCCACCGAAAAGCCAGCTTTTGTAAATTGCCATCCACCAAACCCCAAATCAATCAGCCTCTGCCATGGCTCCAACGGTCCACAAACTCGGATTCCATTTTCCTTTCAGGCTTTCTTCAAAAGCTACACTCATTTCCTGCCTTGGACACTGCAGCACATCTCTCCCTCCCCCAAACCCATCCTCAAACTTCCTGCCTGAAAAAACACAAACCAAGTACATTTGCAGCCACCCGTCTCTCCATCCTCATAAAACCCCATCTCACCCCTCTATACCTCCGTATGGACGCCAACAAAACCCTCAGCATGCTCCTCCCCCCTTCACACACCTCTCCTGCCTCCCCACCCCCCTCCACGCAATAACGCGACGCACCACCCTCACGATCCTCGACACGGGGATGGAACTCGCACTCCCCGACGGCCTTCAAGTGACCTTATCATCCCCACCATCACCCTCCACCCGCATACCAGACATGCTTCTTGCAAATCTTGCGCGTTTCTTTGGCTTTGAGCACTTGCTCGGTTCCGTCAGCGGATCGTCAAGGGGAGGGGCCAGTGGGGATGGGAGGGCTCATGTTTTCGTCTTCTGGTTGACGGGTGTTATGGTGGGTGTGGTGGTGACGGTGGTATTTTTCTGGTGCAGGGAGGTTTTGGAGAAGAGAAAAGGGGGGTGGCGTGGACGCAGACAAGGATGGTATCAAAGGGGAGGCGGGGGGTGCTGGTGGGCGATTGGGAAAGCGAATTGAAGATTGAAGATGTGGAGATTGGGTTGAGGGAGTGCGGTGAGAAGGGGCTTGAATTGCCAGAGGCGCGATAAAAGGCCTGACCGGTGCTTGGAGGGGAGATGATGTTGGATTTTGCCATGGATGTTGCTGAGTGTGTGAGACGTAGGTCAACTACCTTGGACGTATGGGAATGCTTAATCAAACCCCTTACCTGAGGAAATGCTCTTGTTCCAACGTGCGGCGCCCAAGCTACAGTGAGAGAAACTTACCTACTCGGGGCGGCAACAAGCGAACATATTGAGAAGAAGGAGAACGTGATGACTTTCAGTGTGATTACTCACTGAATCTCGTAATATTCACAGCTATGTCTGCTTTCTGTACTAAGCAGCCCGTATCGATAGTATGTACTGTATGGACACCATTAATCTGCTAGTAGACGCCGACAATGCAGCCATAGTTCGTTGATGCGCCATGTTATGCAAGCCAGCATGATGAACGCCGAAAATGCTTAGGAAGCGCCGAAAAATGATGCGTATAGTTTGACGAAGTTGGAAGGTACTAGGAAGTAGCTTTTGGCGGTGGCGAGGTCGTTGGGATGTGACGTTCAAGCATTGTGTATCAGGAATCGCGTTCAGTTAAGACGGAGCCTCGCCGGGTTCAATCACAACAGCTTCATCCGGATCGGTGATCTTCACATGTTTTGCTGTTTCCTTTTGTTTCTCTTTTTCCTCGTCCTTTCTCCGTTGTCTCTCCTCCTCGTCCTCGAGGATCTGCTCGTTTTTCCGCCTCAATTCTTCATCCTTGTGCTCTTCTGCCTTTTCCTCTTGCTTTTTCCGTCTCTGAGCTTGCCGATCGTTACGTTCTTGCTCGATTTCCTTGGGGGTCTTCTTCACCCACACGCGGTCGGCGAGACTCCATTTGTGTCCTTGATACTCATCGGTAACAAGCGCTTTGTCGCCATACTCACGACTCAAGACTTGATTGTAAGCATACGGTACCTTAGCGACCGCACCTTCATACATCGTTTCTCTCATTGGCCAAAGATCTCTCGTTCGATAGCGATGGTAATTCTTGCACAGCCACATGCCAGGTGAAACTTCCGGGTGTATCTCAGCCACGGCGGTGATGTCAATGTACAAGCCGTTACGAACGTCAATCCAGCGCGCATCGATAATGTTTGCGCCACTGTTCCGCATGCGAACGTAAATGGCGGGGTTCACATCGAGATGGTATTTTCTTGTGATAGGCTTCGATTTCGATGTGGCGGGATCGACCTCGGTGTCGTCGGATTTATAGTTGTAAAAGGTGGCGTTGTGGTTGTCGGCGAGGTGAAGGAGGGTACCAACGGAGATTTGAGTGTCAATGTCCCAATCCCAGGGCAGCATTTTTGAGTTCCACCACCAACCGAGGAGTGTACCGTGGGCCAGCCATGTCTCCATGCCATTTTTCCGAAAGAATTCCAGGTACGAGCGTATCAAGTGTACCTGAGTGTCTGTTTTCTCGTCATACCCCAAGACGTGATGGTGGTATCTGTCGTCGTAGTGGTTAAGCGCTTCGTCACCATTTGGTTCGTGGAAGTACTTTGGATAGGAGTCTTGGACTGGCGGTCTTTCGTGCTTGGGGGTCTGGCCCCATGAGGATCTCGAGAGGCGCGAAGTAGCGTCTGATATAGAGTCTGGGAGGAAAGCGGCTTGGGAGAAAGATTGAATGACTGATGCTGTAAGGAGGAAGGCGAGGACGGCTCTCATGATAGGGTGGAGGTATGACGGCCAGCGCAACATGAACACTCGAAGGAGGTTTCTGCGATCATTGAAGTAGACTGCGGAACCATCGGAAAGACCAGAGAGGGAAGGACCAGAGATTCCGGCGTAGAATTACGAGATTGAAGATTGTTTAGATATCCCCTGTCCCACGACGATAAGGGTAGCGGACGGTGAAGCGGGCAGTCAGTGAGCCTTGGAAGCGAGTGACAAGGCGGAAGAAACGATAAGCATCAAAAAGGAGAGTAACAAGAAAAGAGCAGGGAGTCCGAGTGATTAACACAATAATTGATGGGTGTGGTAGGACAGCAGGGACTGGGCATCATGGGGGGGGTTCATCAACCCAAGGCCCTAAAAATAATGACGGACCTGGGATGCATCTGATTCGTCCGAGACGTCAGCATCTGTCGCGTTCTCTCTTGGCACCGCGCTGCCAAGAGCGGATGATCGGAAAAACGGCCCATCAACGAAGCAAGTGAGCAGAGTCTGAACGCGCGGCCTGCAATAATAATAATGATAACATGATTATTATTTTAATTGTCTCCTACCCTGATGGTGGCCATCATTATTCGCCAAGGGACAGTCAGCATGAAGCCGTGTTAGCTTTGCATAAGACTGCAGGAGATTGCATGAGACCACTGCCATACTACTTTATCCGCCGGACTTGGCTCTGGAGCGGAACGGCTGGTGACAGTCTGGAGCGCCTGCGCTTGTATTCCTTACTACGGCGGTGCATCTTCAACAGGATCAAATTCGTAGGATAGTATATCCGAATCTGGATACAGATATGTGATCTTATCCGCTGCAACATATTCGGCGCTAGCTGCGCAGGCCTCGTCCGGTGTTATCGCCGTTCTTTCTGACCTGGAAAAGCATTGACGGAGGTGTGCGCGATGCCAGTGAGCTTCCAGAGTGCCGCTGAAGTACCACTGCTTTCCGAGTGCCAAGATCTTGAACGGGTGTGCGCTTGGAATGCCTTTGAAAACCTCAGTTGCCATCTGCTCCATTGTATCCTTATGGACCTGGTCGTAATTGGGCGGGCGATGGTCCTGGCTTACCCGAGACTCATGAAAGACATTGAGGACCTCCAGATGCTGCAAATTCTTGATGATCACCTTAGATGGTTAGTACTTTGTTGCCCACTTGCTTCCTCGAATGACTTACGATACACTGCTCTGCTACCGTCCCAGTCCTCCCATTGTCATTCAGCCGAATGGCGAGCTGTCGTAGCTTAGAAAACGGACGGGAGTGTAGCCAAGACGGCATCCTGTGTGAGTGGGTAGAGAAGCAATCGATCATAAGCGCTTGCAGATTTGTTTGACGTGCCAGTGCTCGCTCCAGCAAGGACAACCATGGCAAGTGTAATTTCTTAGTGGTCATGAACAGTTTCAGGTTTTCCGTCCGTTCAAGAAATCGCACGCAGGAATAAAAGTCTTGCTGAGGAGACACATCGTAGAACTGGATGATCAGATGCTGGACTTTCGATCTCGTCACCTCATCAAGAACTTGGCCAACGTTCCAGCAGTCTCTCAATTCGAGCCGTGTCAGTAATGGATAGTCCGACAGGCGCCATACGTCAGATCCAGGGAAGGTTATCTCCGCAAGTGAAAGAGACGTCAAGGATTCTGGGCACCACTTGAGCATTGAATCGTTTCTAGGATAGGGTACTCGCTCGTCAGGCCTGATTCGGCCTGGAAAATAGGAAAGACGGACGTTCCTCAATCTTTCTGTATTGAGCTTTTCTAGAAACCTGCAGAAAAGATCTGGAGCCGTCCATTCTGCCATGTCGATGGAAATACTGTTGAGCCGCAGCCTTTGTACTGTCGATTGCTCCTCTGCGATCAAATCCCCAAGGGACGGTGCTTCCATACAGAAATTGAGATTAGTCTCCTTCAGAAGAGCTTGAGAGCCAAAAAGGTAATTCAGGTCATCCGCGACAGGTCGTGCAGCCGAGCAAAGATGCAAGCGCGACAAGGTGTTAGGCTGTAGATTCTGGATGAGCTGCTTCAGTGGCTTGCATGTCCGATCAAGGTGAACATAGTAATGTCCAATCTCAATATCCCTTGCAAGATGTAAATGCGGGCTTTGCGCGAGGTTTGCGACACGCTTCCACTCAGGGTCGTCGACATGATATGGAATCGCAATTCTTTTGTACAAGTAGGAAATCGCGAATTTGAAATAAGTCTTAGATGTCAAGCACAATGATATCAAATCTGCGGGTAGTGAGATCTATCAATGTAGGACCAAGCTTGGGTTAGACGTGATCCTTGCAGCTACCTTGGAGGACAGAATGGCACTGTGACACTCACATATTCTAGGATTGCATCCCGTAGCTCAGCGGGCAATCTAGAGGGATCACTGGTCCGCATCTCGACTTCGAGAACATAAAAAATGGTCTATCCGTCATGAAAAAAGAAGAATATATCATGTACGAACGGCGGCTGCCTATTCCACGAAACATTGACATCTACTACCAGAACGTCACGTATGACGCGTCAGCTATGTCATCAAAGCCAATCACACTCTATTGTCCATCAGTCTCCTAGAATCTGCAAACAGGAAACATCGAATTGGATGTGAAATTGTTTATTTACTGAAATGCACTGCCCTACTCGTACACTGAAGTGCGTACCGAAAGCGTTTTGCAGAACGGACTTCCGTGCCACACTTGGTAGACCACAGGACGAGCATTTTTCTCTTTCCGCCCGCCCAGCGCGTACGAACCCTTCTCGGAGCGAACGCATTGGCTTGACAGGTTTGTTTACAGTCTCGAGGGTAACGTAGCTGTTACAATAATCAGATCAGTGCTGCTTTTCAATTCGCTGTAGGCCGCTTGCAATGCCGTGGACGTTGTCGTGCAAATTCATCGCCTTTGGCCCAGTTCAAGACATCGCATGGCGCCGTGGACTTGCCAGAAGCAAATTATACCTGTCGCCTGGGTTCATATGTGGAGCGTTGACACATTTTCAGCTGACATGAACCATTTTATGATGCAAGCATGGCCACTTGTGCTCTGCTAGCATCCACACACGTAGTACCTGTCCAGTCATTTCCTGCGGCCGTAATTCACAGACCGCGGCAATGGTCAGAAAGGACCTTGGAGCTGGTGTGGTCGCGTGCTCGAATCATTGTAGATCGTCTTTCAGACATTTCTCAAACAGTCGCAAGCTTGGCCCATTCACACAAGTCGTAGCGAACGATGGCAACCGTTGATCAGGGAGGAGAGCGTTGAGAGGTTCGATATTTTGCCGTGGTCTCTCCGAAATCGCCTTTCTCCACCGTCGGCCGAGTTCCGCGAAGGTGGGCCGAAGTGGAGCCGCGGAGGACTGCAATCATATAACTTAGGCAGTAGTATTGCTCTCTCTCTCAACCTGTAAATATAAATCTTGACATTTCGCGTCGTGCAACGCCTGGCTATAGTGTTGTTTTGCCATTGTTGGAGGCTCACACAGGATTTCGGCGGTGGCAAATGCGCTTTATGAGTGTCATGCCTTCCCCACCTGTCCCGTGGGGTGTTGTGGAGGTTCAACAAAGTTTAGAAGGGTGTAAAGTATAGTCTCTTTATATAATTTCAGCTTGTCCTCAATCAGTACTCAAGAATCTTTCATTCTCCTTGAAATACCTCTCGCTTCGACCAAGATGGAGGGCGTCATGAGGACCACTTTGGCGGAAGAAGGCTTGCGTTTGCTATCTACTGGCAAGGTGCGCGAGATCTATGAGCTCGATAGCTCAAGATTGCTCTTCGTGGCTACCGACCGAGTCTCTGGTAGGTCTCTGACCGCGCTGAGATGAACCCAACATGGCTGACATCTCATTTCAGCCTTCGACGTCGTCCTTGACAGCCCGATCCCTCAGAAAGGCAGTATCCTTACACAGATTAGCGACTTCTGGTTCAAGCTGCTATCCAAAGAGATTCCAAGCCTCAAGACTCATCTGATCCACGCCGGGCTACCAGACGCACTAGAACAAACTCTCAAGCCTGAAGTAGCCATCCAAGTGCAACATCGAAGCATGGTCGTCAAAAAGGTCAACGTGCTACCGATAGAGAGCATAGTTCGTGGATACATTACTGGTTCTGCTTGGACGTCGTATCAAAATGATGGGACATTCGTCGGCATAAGTCTTCCCTCGGGCTTGAAAGAATCACAGAAGTTAGAGCAGCCCATTTGGACCCCGAGCACAAAAGCGGAACAGGGTCAGCACGACGAGAACATCAGTGCGCAAGAGGGTCAGCTCAACCTCCATCTCGGTGGTCATCTAGCCAATTTAGGCCTTTGCTGACGTCTCCTGAACAGTCGCTAGGATCGTGGGCGAAGATCTTGCACGCCAGATCGAACGCCTCTCTCTGTTGATCTATGAGAAAGCTAGTGCCTATGCTGCGAAACGAGGAGTCATCATAGCAGATACGAAATTCGAATTTGGGGTCGACGAATCTACCGACCCACCTTCGCTTACTCTCATCGACGAGGTCCTAACTCCCGACAGTAGTCGGTTTTGGAGTGCTACCAAGTACGAGATAGGCAGGAGCCAAGTATCAGTTGACAAGCAGTACTTGCGAGGTTAGACAGATCCGCCACATCTGCCGGGAGAATACTGACTCTAGGACCAGATTGGCTTGTTGAAACTTCTCAAAAGGGCAAACGTGGCGTTGCGATCCCCAAACAGGTAGCCAAAGACACTTCGAATCGCTACAATGAGGCATACCAAATGCTGACCGGAGATCCTTGGGACGCCAAATGAGGACTAAGATCCTGCAGTCGAGGGTCTGGAAGATCGATACGCGAGAGGATCCCCCATGTTGAACCATCAACTCAGTCATCCAGTGGAAGGCTCGAGGAGCCTCCCGAGATTTTTCCCGGTCCAATAAGTGTTCCTACCGGCAGTGTAACATGCAGCGGTTGCCCTTCGAGCAGGCACCACGAATCAACCGGCTGCTTAAGGGTCTAGGAATCAAGGCTAAGGAAAGGTCTTTCGTACGTTATGCTCCGCATACTTTCATATCTGGTTACTATCATGCATGATCTCGAGCTGGCAGCTGTCAAATCTCGCGTGGATGAAAAGATCTTGGGGCGGAGCAAGGGCAGAGTGATTCGGGTTTACTGGGAAGGGTCAAGACTGACGGAAGCCATCTCGCCTTGCAGCATCTAGTCCGGACCACACATATGCATGCATCAAACACATTACCTGGACTACCAAGATGTCACAAGGGGCAACCAGAGCTGAGCGGCTCATAGTGTCGATTTACTAATCTAGTCTTGTCAATTCGGGTTTCTTCCCTACCTTTTCGCCTCCGCATTCTAAGCGGATCTCGGAGACAGCCAGCGAATGACTGTGTGCGATTGGCATTTGTGTTGCATTTACTGTTATTTTCACTTCTGTTGGGATTTGCAGACTAGCCGGGGTTGTCCATTTCATCAATCTAGCCTTTTGTGTACACATGACACTGCTTGCCAGGACACTGTTTCTGGATATATAAGAACGTACGAGTGATGCTACGATTTACCTCTCCACAGCTTCAGAAAATCTCAGAGAATCAGTCTACAGTCGCAGTTCATAATTCACAATTGACCAAATTCCCAAATTACCCTTCACAGCAAAACAATTTCAGCTATTTCAACCCTTTCAGCAATCATCTTAGCATTCATCATGTGCATCACCCAGAACATCTTCTTCGAATGTGGCTGCCTCGAGGACACCAAATACACCATGTGTGATCGAGCGATGACCGAAGTAGGCCACAGAACCCAAATTGCACCTGCTGTCACGAAAAAAGTCCTATGCCCCGACCATTTTAAGAGAGGTCTAGAGGCGAAGGCAAACAAGACAAAGGAGGAGAAGAGCAAGCAGGGTAAGAGCTAGTCACTGCTGGTTTGACTCTCCAACCGATTCTCCATTGAGAAGAGGTGGATACTTACGATGATGCAGGTCGACTCCGTCACTCGAACATGCTACCTGTCTGGTACGAATAAGTACCAATGCCAACCACATGAAGCGGAAGATGCAGGCATGGACGATTAATTTTGGAGTCGAATGCTGGTCATTTGCTAGATTGTTATATGATAATTGGAATGGTATCTTGTACAGTAGTATTAAATGAAGTGCAGTCAATCTGAACCATACCTGCAATGAAGCTTAAAATAAGGTCGCAGTTCCGACTCCGCGGTCTGCGCATTTCAGCCAGCCACCGGCACGCCAAGGCTGGAAGTCAGTCAATTTCAAAGTAGGTACCTTTCATGTATTCACCCCACGCCCTATGGCGCAATATTCTTATGTATGCGATCCATTTACGCTCTCTGCTTCTTCTTCTTTAATACTTGTTCCCTCTTCGACCTTTGAGAAGCCAACCTGCTCTCGTCCTCGCTCCTGGCTCAGATCCCTCACATCCGGAACGCTTCGGCCCTCCAGGTGCCACTGCTGTATAGTGCGAATGATGTCGACGCTCAGTTGTCCATTGTTCTTCAGCGCGTTCTCCCAATGTTTCGGGATAGCGTCGCCCAGCGTCAGATAGCGCGCCACGCTACCGACCATCATCTCACGCATCTCGTTGTCCTCGTCCGTGTTGGCGTATATATACTGGACTCGCCTCAAGCCTGGGAAGGTGTCCTCATTGTGGAAGAAATTCCTGATGAGATCAACGACTTCATGCCCAAGAGCCTCGATCTCGAGCTTGTTACCCAAGAGGTACAGATCAAGCAGTGGTCCGACGTCCTTTTCGGCTGCCGGGGCTTTGATGGCTTTGGAGTAGAGCCAGCCGACGAAGAGCTCGAAGGGCTTATCGTCAATGTCGGGGAGTCCGTAGACTTTCGTCTTTGAGGCTTCGAAGTCAGGGGAGTAGAAGAGGCGGCGGAAGAAGGGGGAGTGGTAGCACAGCAGGCGCTCGTGCAAAATCCAGTGCGTGTTCTCTTCGCCGACATAGATGTTTACAAGGGCATTGGTCAAGAGCCTAGGGGACTCGTCAGCAAGGGGATCGAAGGACGTGCGACAGCTGAAAAGATAAAGAGAGCTGTAGAAGAGGAGATGGGGAATCGTACTCGTTCAGAGGCTTGTTGGGTTTAAGGGAGGCCTCGCTAGATACCGACATGGTTGGACCTAGATGGAGGGAAAGGTGGGGCTCGAAATAGTGCAGATAGCTTTCGAGATGGAGGTGGGGGCGTTGAGGAAGGGACGCGGGTGATTGGACCAATTGGTATGATCTCGAATGTTTCTTATTAAAGCACTGTAGATTTCTAAGCAGATATATCACAGAAGAGAAGGCAATTAAGTTGAGCAAAGCAGATGGCAGATGGGTCAATAATACTACTGATCCCAGCCATTCCACGGCAGTCGTCCCAAGCTCAATGACGAACTCAGCCCCAGCCTAGGCCCAATGTGGCATCGTCTCCCGCCAGGGCATTAGTGCCTCAACCCTATCTTTCTCGCCACACTTCAAATCTTCGCATTGCCTCGCAAGGGCCTCGGTAGGACGCAACCCACAGCCAATGATTGTGCTTGCCGTCTCGCTGGAATACCGTTGATTGAAAATGCCTCAATATCAACTGTGGCTGGTGCTGGCGGCGGGATGAAACTGCCACTTGGCAATTGCTCCATCTCATGGCCTCTACGACCGAGGCCACATCCAATCACGTGTTGACTCTCATCTGTCTGCATACTATATCAATTTGGATTTCAAAGCAGTATCGCATACTCTCAGCCGCTTCGGCCGCTCCCAACAATTTGCTCTTTGTGCGGGGAAGGCCAGATGCTCGTAAATACCCCTGACCATGAAATGTCATCTCAGCTAGCTATGGACTTGCTTTCCTCCCATACGATGGCAGCGGCAACAAACGGTGCTGCGAGGATACCGCACGATTAGTGGGTCAACCGGGTTTTCATTTTTGCTATCTTTATCTGGCACGTCTTGGACTATCTGAAAGACTTCCCAATCATCTCATCGTTCTCCCTTCTTAGCCTCAAGATCGGTCGTTGGGGTCAAACTTCTTTGACCAAAAAGCCCTGAAATGCTTCTCTTGGCCTTTTTCGCTTACCTCCGTGACCTCACGAGGTGTTAGACTGAACGTCATGCTTCGCAGGTAATCGCTCAGGCGTTGTTCCTTTCCGGAAGTCGTGACCGTTACCACCCCCTGGTCGATGCACCATCTCAAAGCAATCTCACCTTCAGACACGAAATACTTCTTCGCTAGCACAGCCGAAAGCGCATCTAGTGGACCAGGCTTCGCTTTCGTTACTGCAGCGAGCGGTGCATACGCCGCTGTGGCTATACCATGCTCCTTGTGATATGGAATGAGTGGACCATGTTGAAGGTAAGGATGATACTCTATTTGATTGATTGACGGCGGCGTGGTGGCTACCTTGAGTGTGGCTTCAAGCTGCGGGATCAAGTAATTGGATACCCCTATTGATTTGGCTTTCCCCGAGGCCTTAACGGTCTCCATCGCTGTCCATGCCTTTTGCAGGTCGGCATCCGATTGGGCAAAGAAAGGCTCGTGGATGAGATACAGGTCGACATAGTCCAGTTGCAATTTCTTCAGGCTTGCGTCAATTCCCTTAGGGATGTCATTCACACTTTGCATAACCTTCGTCGTGACGAAGAGCTTCTCGCGGGGAACTTTGCTTTCTTTGATAGCAACGCCAACCTCTGTTTCGGTGTTGTAGGTTTCGGCAGCATCAAGATGATTGTAACCTAGCTTGATGGCAGTCTTTATAGCATCGACTAGTGTGCGATCAATTGACGAGTGATCGGGCTTTTTATACCAGGCTGTACCAGTTCCGTAAGCAAGCATCGGCACTTGAATGCCATCATTCAGCTTCAGAAGTGGAATTGGGGTATCAATCTTTGCCATTCTCGGACTCGATTCGTTGAAATGTCTGGCAGACCTCGATGTTTTACATTTGCGACCAGCGATTGGGAGACTACGAGTCAAGCTTGATCTGCGAAAGAGCCCGTCGTATACTAAGAAGCAATATTGATGTTCTACTTTCATGCCTTAATATAAACATAGATTAGAACGCAGTGACGAAGTCTAGACATCGGACATCCGGAGATAAGCTAAAACGAACCGTAGCCAAACCGCATGGCTCTGCTACCACTTCGATGCCACATTTGAAAAGCGACTCGTACACGCGAGGACCGATTATGAACTTGCCATTGACAATGCTGTGTTTCTCTAGCGAGCAGCAGATGTGGTCCAGATTTCGCCATGTTTAATAGCTTCGCAATATCTTGCTACGCATTACGTCACCCATATGTGCTCTAATCCTTGACGAGATGACAGTTCTTCGTCTCTAACTATCTTTACGATTCAATTTTCATCGTCTCATTCCTGTATATGCTCTCACGCGTTCTTTCCAAACACTCACATTCTCTCCTTAGACGCTTACCCGTTATGACTGCTCCTATCTCAACAAATGCGCCAAATGGCACCACTAATGGCGCATTTTCAGGCGTATCGCTCAACGATCTGCCAAAGACAAACACATTCACATCCAATCTCCCCTCGGACTCAGCTTTCAAGACACCATCTATCTCACACAAGGCGCCGCGCGATGGACTGGGCCCTCGAATCGTCAAAGGCGCACTGTACACCTATGTCAGACCTGAAAAGGCTGATGAGCCGGAGCTATTAAGTGTTAGCCCTGCAGCGATGCATGATATTGGCATGAAGAAGGCTGAAGACGAGACGGAAGGCTTCAAGCAATTTGCAGCAGGCAATAAAATCTTCTGGGACGAAAAAACGGAGGAGGGAGTCTATCCCTGGGCGCAGTGCTATGGAGGTTTCTGGACATCGTATCGATGATAGAGACTACACGGCTAACAGTGTCTGCAGGCTGGCAATTGTAAAGAGTTAAGATTCCAAAGAGTAGGATGCATACTAATGCAATAGCTAGTGGATCGTGGGCAGGTCAATTGGGAGATGGAGTAATACTTAGTCTCTGCTTAGCAAAGATTGAGCTAATTTGAAAAGCGAGCAATCTCATTGTTCGAAACAACAAATCCAACGACGAGCGCGCGCTATGAGTTGCAGGTAAAAGGTGCTGGAAGGACACCATATTCGAGGTTCGCCGATGGCAAAGCTGTCCTGCGGTCCAGCATTCGCGAATACGTTGTTTCTGAAGGTTAGAGACCCTATCATTCTGGTATACTGGGCCCGATCAATAATCTATCATCTAGCTCTCAACGGTCTCCACATACCATCGACCCGCGCGCTGTCGCTTACGCTGCTTCCCAAGTCCAGGGTTGTCCGTGAGCGCCTAGAGCCAGGTGCGATAGTGGTCCGATTTGCGCAATCTTGGCTCAGGATAGGCACATATGATATACTACGTGCACGCGGCGATCGCAATCTGATCCGGCAGCTATCGGATTACGTTGCCGAGAATGTCTACGCTGGTTGGAGTTCGCTCCCATCCGCGTTCAACGCCTCCAAATCGCCTTCGGTTGCAAGCGTACCAAAAGACACCATCCAAGGTTCAGCCGAGACTGAGGAGAATCGCTATACCCGTCTCTACCGCGCCATTGTCCGCCGCAATGCTCTCACCGTGGCCGCCTGGCAAGCCTGCGGCTTCATGAATGGCGTATTGAACACGGACAACACGTCACTCCTCGGTCTGTCTCTCGACTTTGGACCCTTTGCATTTCTTGACAATTTCGACCCTAGCTACACTCCCAACCATGATGATCACATGCTTCGCTACAGCTATAAGAACCAACCCTCCGTGATCTGGTGGAATCTTGTTCGGCTAGGCGAGAGCATGGGTGAGTTGATCGGCGCAGGCTCTAAAGTTGACGACGAAACCTTTATCTCCAAGGGTGTCACTGAGGACTTCGCACCCGAGCTCATCAAACGCGCCGAAACACTCATCCAGAACATTGGCGAAGAATACAAAGCTGTATTCATGACCGAGTACAAACGCCTCATGCGTGCACGGCTAGGCTTGAAGAGCGAGCAGGACTCTGACTTTGATGACCTGTTCTCCGAGCTCCTTGACACCCTCGAAGCAGCCGAACTCGACTTCAACCACTTCTTCCGACGCCTATCATCCCTCCGACCCTCTGATCTAGAGACGGAAGATCAATGCAAAGCCAAAGCTCCCATTTTCTTCCACAAAGAAGGTGTCCCCTCTACCGCTACGCTCAATGAAGAAGCCGCCCGCGAGCGCATGGGCAAATGGTTACGAATCTGGGCAGAGCGGGTGAAGAAGGACTGGGGCACTAATCCCGTCGGCCAGGAAGAGAGGGAGAAGGAGATGAAGGGTGTGAACCCGAAATTTGTGCCTCGAAGTTGGATCTTAGATGAGATTATTCGAAAGGTGGAATTTGAAGGGGAGAGAGAAGTTCTGACGAGGGTCATGCGTATGGCGACAAACCCATTTCAGGAGCGGTGGGCCGATGGCAATGACAAAGAAGCGATAGCGGAAGAGGAGAGGTGGTGTGGTGATGTGCCGAGAGAGGGGAGGGGAATGCAGTGCAGCTGTTCCTCATAGAGTGAGGTGCTAAACGAATGCATGTCATGATGATACTGCTGGCTTGTCTAGATTTTCAATCATAATTCATCGTCTTCGGTCGTCTCATCGTCCTCATTGCCAGCTTCATGAGCCGAATTCGATTTTCTACCAGGGTTTATGGCTGCCCCATCCAACCCCGATTTTGTTCCCCCCTCATCCTTCTTTCCAAACGGCAGATCTCTGCTTGGTGGCGGTGTGTCTGAAGTCTTTTCCGCACCGGCCGTCGTCCCGGTCCTGCGATCCAGGATATCACTTTCTTCATCGTCGTCTTCAGTCACATCCTCATCCTCGCTACCCTCCGGCGTCTCCTTTTTTTCTTCCTCACTGTCCTCTTTCTCAACCTCTACCTGCTTAGCAAACGCCTCGTCATCGTCAGTTTCCTCCTGACCCGCCTCCTCAGCCTTCCTCTTTCCCATCCTCGAAGACTTCGCTACTTGTCTATCCGCACCCCCAGCTTTCGAGCGTGCACTCTGCTCCTTCGCCAGTTCCTTCTCATCCACTTTCGCCCCTGCAAGGATCCGCTGATAATCTCGAATCTTCAATTTCTTCGCATTCAGCAGATCGCAAAACTTGCTGAGAATCGCATTCTTATACTCTTGCTTTGTAGAAGCTAGGTCCTCAAGTTGCTGGGATAGTTGCTGGATGATTGATTCTTGCTCTTTGCATTTCAAATTTAGGGCGTAGATCTCTGTGCTCAAAGTGTCGGCACGGCTGACGGCTGTGTGTGCCCAGCCGACGGTATCAATCTCAACGTCATCGTCTTGCGGGAGGCAAATCTGGCCGAGGCGTTGTGTTATGCCCTCTAGATTCCTGCGGACGATTAACTCGAGTTGGCTGCCTGAGACGGTGGCAACAAGCTCGATCTTGTCAGGTTCTTTGACAGAGTCGCCGGGTTCCGAAAGAGCTCGCTGCAGCAGAATCGATTCGAGCCTAATTGCCCATTCTTCCTTGCTCTTTTGATATTTCTTCTCGCGTAGATTAGAAGCATGGCGTTGGGTTACTTGACTTGAGGTGAGCAAGTGTCAGTCAAAACGCAGTGACGAGGGAATGAATGCCTACTTTCTGCAGCATAAGGACTTTCACCCTCCGTGGCTTGAATTGTAAGGTCAAGAGGAGCGGGCCCGTTGGCTTTGACGCTGACCAGAACGAAGTTGCCCTCGCTGTCACTTCTCGGCACACGCAGGACGTGCTCTTGGCTTGGGGAGGCCATGCTGAAGCGGGGTAAAAGGCCACAAGACAGACCCAGTGATAAGACACGAGATGCAAGTGCTTATGGGCTCGATATCGCGGGGCGTCACGTCGAGATAGGCGTTGGGCTTGATACCTGATTCGGACTTTAGACCATGGATGAAACACGCGTTTTAGCGTCCGCCTAGTGTTGCCAAGACTCGCCCGCCTCTCGATCTACTGGCGCGACCTGCCACCGCCGGTGGAGTAAGAAAGCGGTCCATGCGTCTCAACGACCACCCGCTGACTGCCAGCTGTACTCCTCCTTCCCTGAATCATCGCCCTGGCCATCTCCATTCTCTGCGTGATCTTGCAGCGGCAAGGCATTTGTCGCTCGCAGCGCGGTGCTGCCCACGGGAATGAAGCTCGCGTAGACAGTCTCAATAGAACAGCATACTAACAAACAGGTCTCGAAGATCACCTCACCCTCAATCATTTCATCATCAGATTCACAGTGAAGATGCATTACACTTCTCCGACATCATAGACACAGCGCATTGGCACCCTAAGGCCACCTCAACAACACCAAACAGCGCAGATTTGAATATTTTTTCCTTCTCCGAAAGTGCAGTCATGGCTTCTTCGATATTGAACCAGAAAACTTTGGGCGAGCAAGCTGTTGAGAACTGGGATGATGACATGGATTTTCAGGGACTGGATGCTCTGCACCTCCGCCATGCCTCCAGTACGACGATTGGTTCGACGCAACCCCACCACCGTGATTCCTTCTCATCAAGAATGTCAACAAGATCCGATCGAGAATCGATTGGGGCAGGCGACGAGGACTGGCAAGTCTTGCTCCCCACGGACGATGAGAAATCAACACTGGATGCGATCAGCTCAGCGAAGAGTGCAGGGATACCCATTCCACAGAATGTGCCAGGTTCAGCGTTGCTAGGTGGTACAATCAAAAAGCTTGGAGGTCGAAAGTTGAAAAAAGTCCTAGGTGACGATTGGGGTGATGACCTTGAGTTGCCGAAGCTTCAAGATGGTGGCTTGAAGCTGAAGAAGGCTGATGCCGCAGATTTCCCAGATTCGTTGAGATCCTTTAGCAGTGAATTCCCAACGTCCCCAGTCCCATCGAATCCCAACTCAAAAACCAGTTTCATGGACCACTTGGCATTGGTGACTAGAGCACGGACTGGTGCTGCAAAATTGGAGAAGTTCAAAGACGATGATGATGACTTCTTTGGAGATGTTCCCACCATTAAAATTGCTAAAAACAGATCCCCACAGAAACTAACGAGCATTCTCCCCTCCAATAAACCAGGAAAGCGCGAGCCTGAGAACATCGAAGAGGATCTAGAGTTCCCCACTGATGGAAAGCCCCTAAGACTTTCAATACGCAAAGACGAGCCGAAGACACCTGCTTCAAACATGACCGACGACTCGGATCTGGACTGGGCAGAAGGAAGCTTAGGCACTCGATTTGGAGGTACACGGCGGGATTTGAGGTCTAACCCAAGTTCATCCATCACATTCAGCCCCAGTGCGTCTAGTTGTTTGACAGCTGAAAGTGACGATGGGCTAGAAGGGTTGATTTTACCGGACAGTAATTTTAAGTTTGGTGAGGCCCTCAAGAAACGAATGGAGAATGTGCCTAGCGAGCAACTGGAAGCTGCTTTTGAGGGAGGAGCCCCCAAACCTCCCATCCAGGAGACAGCACCTCCAAAAGAAGACTTTTTTGCCGGCCTTGATATTGGGGATGGAGAGGTCTTTGACTCTGGCAAGCTCACTCTCAACCGCAACATCAAGCACAAGAAAGCAAAGCAGACTAGTCCAACAAGGCGACCTGCGACGACATTGACGTTCACGAACAAGATTGAGCCAGGTGCCAGTAAAATACCTAGACCTCAGTTCCATGATCGGCCTCGTTCAACACTCGAATCGGTGTCGGAGAGTGGTCCAGCGCCCCAGTATAAGAGAGCAGGTTCGCGGGTAGGTTTCCATTCCGCCCATTCATCTTCATCATCAGCCATACCTACACCATCCACGCCATCTTCGTCACACCCCACCGCACCATCTACTCCAAGCCGCCGTGGCCTCAACACAAAAACTTCGCATGAGGCGTTGCGATCTCAAAACACTACGACTTCGTCAAATTACTTAAAAGCCAAACGGTCCATGCCAGCTATGGCAAGGACTCAGCCGTCACCTGCCCGTCAGCAGACTTCTCAGCGTCCTCCTTCGCGAAGCGGTCAAGTGCTACCCTCTCGACCAAAGACACCAATTGATCGATCTGGTGCAGAGTCTAGCATGTCAACGGCAAGGAAGGCGCCAGTTCCATTCCTCCCAGCTGGCACCTCGCAGAGACAGTCGCATCATGTAAGCCTCAAAACATCCACATCGCGACAATTCCATCGGCCAACTTCATCCGACTCGAATGAGAATGCGCCAATCAACCGACCGCTGTCTCGTCTTTCGCAGCCTCGTCGACCAAGCACACCGACTAACAGCCGACTTGCACCTGAAGCCCTGGTGAAAGAAGCGGCCTCAAAACGAACGCTGACCAAGCCAATGCGGCGAAGAGCATTTGGGGATGGTAATGAGCTAGAAGTCTTCGATGACCTCCCAACTTCCGCGTCAAGCGAGTCCAAATTTCTGAAGCAGCCAGTAGCTCGAGGTGCTCCGAAATCCGTCCAAATGCGGAGTAAGCTTGGTCTCCAACAAAGCAATACATCAAGCACCTCGGTCAATGAGCAGCCCCTCCCCTCCAACGCCGTCCAAAACCCTCAGTCCAGTCAAGCAAGATCATCTTCCTCGCTTTGCTCGTGACACAAATGCTTCGCGTCTCGCTCGTGAACAACGTATCGGCTCGGTATCAGCAACTCTGCATGGAGCCTCCACGTTGACTACGGTCAGGGAGACAAACGGACCTCTTTCCTCCATCAGCACGAATTGGAGACCGCCACCACCTGTGTCACACAAGAATCTAGCTTCTCCGATGGTTCATTCTAAACGTCGTCCAAAAGCCCCGCCACAAAAGCCTCGCTTGATTAAACCTATGGGTGAAGTCCACAGCCATCCTAAAGAAGAGAAAGGCATGCACTGGAATCCTACCCTTTTTTGCTGGGAAGGCAACGAGAATGCACTCGCGCCCTTCGACGTCCCCTCAGCTTCCCCCAAAACAACTGGTCTCTCAACCCCTAAAAGCCCAGGCAATGGCGCAACTAAAGCTGCACCAGCTCTGATCGCCAACGTTGGGGCAAGCAAAGGTGTCCAGATGAGCGGTGGCATGGTCTTCGATCCGCATAAGATGCGCTGGTTGAAAGCTGGCCACACCAACTTCAACGCACGCTCCGAGTCTAACCCCATGAGCCCAAAGACAGACGATGATGACGAAGATCCATTCGCTGGCATCGACGATCTAGAGGATAAACCAAAGGCGCGTTCAAAATCTCGAAATACCGTCCGCGATGAAGCCTTAGATCCCTCTGGCCTACTAGCCTCAATATCAGCTGAGCAGGACAAATCGGACGATGCAGATCCACTGAAAGATGACATGGAGCCACTGATTGGTGAGGAGTTCGATGTGGGTCCTGAGTTCATCAAGAGATTGAGAGTCGAGGAGGAGAGATGGCGTAGTAAAGTGCAGCCGTGGATCGAGGAGCAAGCGGAGGAACGCGAAGATGAGGGATGGAAGTGGACGATCAGGGATATCACGGCAAGAACAAAATTCATGCTCGAGGCTTGACGGTGTGCATTCAGATGATTGTGACGTGAGCGGGCAGGAAGGCGAAAGGGAATTCGGCGTGCATTGTGGCGCGCAAAGCTTGGATGCCAAACCTTTGACATTATCTTATATGCAAAGCGAAGGAGTCTTCTATGGACATTACTTAGATGTGGTGATGAGATATGTGATTCATGCCTGCTAGCTAGGAGAAGGGGCGGCCATCTTGCTTTGTTACTGCTTGTCTAGCTTCTTAGATAGCATTTTCGAGGGACAGCATTGTAATGAAGAAGAACTGAATTTTTTTGTAGATAAATTTGGACTACATGTCTCTTTTCATACAAAAGACCATGTGGGACCGTTTTGTTGGGGAAGAAATGTTGCTTAATGGTTTCGTGATTTCAGTATGTACATGAGAAGTCTAACGCTGCTTATCGAGATCGTTGGACGTCATTCTTCGCCTCCTAATCCCTTGACTCGCACTCTACTGCCTTCTACAGCCTTTCTAATTTACATATATGCTGATATTTGCTTTTCTGGAGGACCATACTCTGCCTGGCTGTGAGGCTCACCAGGTGCCATCTGATGGAATGTATTAGTAAATAGCATTTGTGAAAAAAAGGGGAGGGGCAAAACATACAAAATTCGTCTCTGGGTTCTTTTGTTCTTTGGCAGCCGCACAACGAGCCATCGTCGGAGAACTGCAGCACACGAATCAGCGTTTGTTCCTTTATCGAAGCAGGCTGTCATATGAATAATATAGGGGGGCTGGGCAAGGGGAGAAAGGGTGGCAACAAACCTCCTCGAAATTACATCCGTGAAATAGAAATTCTCAATTGCCTTCCCAAAAGGCTTGCCCTCAATTCTCGATCCTTTGTTTTGATCCACAAGCTGGACCTTTGACAATTGAGGTAGGCCTGAGCCCTCAGCAATGTCGTAGCGTCTCAACGTCGGACTGATCTCTTCCATCCGATCCCTCAGTGCTTCCACGTCATCATATGGCAAGGGAGCACCGAGGTACTCGCTAGCTGCTCTGATGATCTTCCAATCATCTCTCGCAGCACCAGGCATCGAGGTCGCTGCTCTACTCATCTGCGTCCTCCCTTCTGTATTTACGTAGGTGACGTTCTTCTCCGTGTAAGCAGAGCCAGGGAGAACGACATCTGCGAGCTGTGCACCTCGATCACCATGGTGGCCCTGGTAGACTACGAATGCGTCCTTTGGAATGTCTGAATCAGTGATTTCGTCAGCGCCGAGCAGCCATATGATCTTAGGTTTCGTCTCGGCGACGGCGGGAGACGGGACGGTAAAGCCAATGTCGTATGCACCAGCGCGGGAAGCAGCGCGCTGGAGAACATTGTAGCCTTGCCATTCGGGGGTGATGAAGTTTGAGGTGTTCTTATCGACGAAGCTGCCGACTATCTCAAAGATGGCTTTCGAGTCTGGGTGTTCAGTCGCTAGACTGCCGACTATAATCAAGGGTCTTTGTGCGGATTGGAGCGTTTTGCCGAATGGACCGGCGAGAGCCTTCTTCAGGTCCGATGCAGAGGTACCGAGATGCTCGAAGTCGAAGGTGCTTTCGAATGGTTCACCTACTAGCCCGATTTCTAGATCTGACCGGAGCCATTGCTTTCGTATTCGCGCATTGAGACCAGCTGCTTCATGCCTAGGGTTTGTGCCGACGAGGAGGATTGCATCAGCTTCTTCGACGCCGAAGATCTTGCTGTTGAAAAGATAATTCGACCGGACGTCGATGCCATGTGCAAGGGGTTTGTCGCCCCCAGGCTGATCAAGAGCCAGGTTGTCGGAGTTGAGCTTGTTGGCGAGATCTTTCATCGCAACGAGTGTCTCTGTTTCCACGAGATGACCGGCTATGACCTTGAACTCGTTTGCCTTGGGGGCAAGCTTTGAGTAGGCAGTGCCAATTTCGACGAGAGCTTGTTCCCAGGATGCTGGTTGGAATTGATTATTCCGCCGTATCAACGGTGTAGTCAACCGCTGTGTTTTCAGTCCATCGCATGCAAAGCGAGATTTGTCGTTGATCCACTCTTCATTGATATCATCGTTGAGCCGTGGAAGTACCCTCATGACCTCAAGACCCCGGGAATCTACCCGAATATTTGATCCTAAGGCGTCCATCACATCTACCGATTCCGCATGTTGTAGCTCCCAGGGGCGCGCTCTGAAAGCATAAGGCTTTGATGTGAGGGCACCAACGGGGCAAAGATCGATGACATTCCCAGACATCTCCGAATCCAAAGCAGTTTCCAAATATGTTCCAATTTGTAGGTCATTGCCACGTCCCGTCGAACCCAGCTCTGGTGCGCCGGCGACATCATTGGCAAACCGTACGCATCTTGTGCAGTGAATACACCGATTCATCGAAGTTTTGATCAGCGGCCCAATATTTTTGTCTTCTACCGCACGTTTCCCTCCGACCTCATGGAATCGTCCCCGGTCTGCACCGTACCGCATGGATTGATCCTGCAGATCGCATTCGCCTCCTTGGTCGCAGATGGGACAGTCGAGGGGATGATTCGCCAATAAGAATTCCATAACGCCCTCTCTTGCTTTGTGCGTCAGTGCCGAGTCTGTCTTGACGACCATACCCGGCTGCACCGGCCAAGCACATGATGCCACTGGTTTGGGGGCTCTTTCGACTTCGACCAAACACATGCGGCAATTCCCCGCAATCATGAGCTTTTCATGGTAGCAGTATCGAGGGATCACGACACCCGCCTTCTCACAGGCCTGAATCAGGGCGGATCCAGCTATGCAATGGTCAGAGCTATTTGCAAAAGTGCAGGGAAAGCTGACGTACCTTCGATAGAGACCTGTTTGCCATCGATTGTGAGTTGCACTTCGGCCGGTCGTGTCGCGGTGGCGGTGAAGGCTCTCTGCCCGCGCCGTGCCAAACGAGCTGCAGACCTCGAGAGGTGCGTGCGCAGCATGGTAGGCTGGCTGGATATCAGGGCTCAGCAGAGGGAGATGGGAATATCTAGATGCAGGCGTGGCATAATCTTGGGACAGTTATAGAAAGTCATCAAGTGGTCGCTGATTGGTGGGAAGGCCCTTCCGTCTTTAGTGCGGTCGGTACATGAATGCAGAGAGGCCCAATCCACCATTTCTGGGCTCCTATACCCAGCCCAGTCCACCGACCTGTGCAGCGGGAAAAGACTTCCGAAGCTCAATATTAATATCAATCTTCACACCAAATGCAGTGTGGAGCCCCCTGCGTCTTGCTAGTCGGCCATCCGTGTTTGCCTGAAGCCAAGATAAGGGTAGGGATCCTTCGTCTGTCGGACGCGGGTCTTACTTGTTGCGACTCAACTTATCTTGGATGACGAAGGCAGGAGAAGCAGAACGTGCTGTCAGATCCGAGCAGCATGCTTGAGCATACTACCAGTCCCTGCAGTGCAATCTGTCTCCTCCTCACTCCGTATAAATAGCGGACTACCCATCCTTGGCCATCTCTCTGCACCGCTATGATCAGCCGCTGATTGATTCCTCTGCCCATATCCCATCTCCTTCGAACCGATGAGGCGCCATGCCTGATCCATCTTCACGTACACCAAACCTGTTTGAGCGCCTACCACCCGAGCTCGTGACGCGGATCTATGTTCACACAGGAAACACTCAGTTACCACTCACATGCAGATACCTATATAGGAGTCTGAACAACAGCAGCGCGTATATCGCCTTCTGCACCCACCTCTTCCACCCTTACAGCCCGCTGGATCATGAGACCATCAAAGTCGCACAGACTCAAGTCTTTTCTCGCCAATGGTTCACAGCCGAGATCGCAGAACAGGTCGAGGCTGCGTGTAGAAAAGGTGTCTGTGCACGACATCAACGCCTGACGCCATGGATCGAAGCCTCCGTCCCGCTGCCGTCTTACCCCAGCCACGAGTTGATCAGGACACTGCTCCGCTGGTTTATCGCTAGACCAACGCAGGTGGAACGTTCACGTATTCTCAATTCGGATGACCGAAAGGTCATCAAAGGCTCGATCTTCACATCCGATGCTAGCATCGAATCCCAAACGTTCCGCAAGAAAGACAATTGGGATCAACAACCTCGAAGCGGATTTGATTCTCACATGAAAGAAGACCCAATGCTGAAATAACCATTATCAACGACGCCCGGATATCAAGTATTTTCGCCGAGCAGCATGACGTGGATAGGGGCAAATGAAACGAATTTCGGAAATTTCACCTCATATGACAAAAGTATTAAAATGAACAATTGCTAGAAGCCCCGGAACCTTTCGCTTCGAAAATTTGACAGTCAGAATAATGCGACATGAGACTAGATTTCCACGAAGCAATTTCCCCGGCCTTCCCCTTACCCAGGAACTTTTGGACCAGGTTTTTGAGAACATTCGCCCTCTATGGGAGGCTGCATGTTGACAAATCACTCAATTCAAAAGGCCGTAGTCGAAACACGAGCAATACGGTCTGTCGCGGGAAATCTTGGTCTGTGATTGGATAAGCAGCTTTTTTTAGGGTATCATAATGCTAGACACATCTTTAATACCAATACGCTATGCATGTAAGGTAGACGAGAACCCTCCGTTAGTCAACAGCAACCAGATCTGGGACCTTTAGTAGCATCCATCTCAGTCAGGTTGACCCTCTTCTCTCTTGCGCCTGGGAGCCCCCCTGGTCCTCTGACTCCACTCCTCCGATCCTCAAGATCATATTTGCCCTGCTCGATTCCTTCATAGATCCGCTGCGCAACGTCAAGAAACGCCGCTTCAACCCCTTCCCCACTCTTCGCCGATGTCTCCACGTACTTCAATACATTATTTGTTCTGCACCAGTCCTCCGCTTCTTGAAAAGTGACGGCTCGCTTGTTCTCGCCCCCGAGAGCTTGTGACGTCGCAAGATCACTTTTGTTACCCACGAGCACAATGACAATACCATCATCGGCTATTTGTCTCAGGTCGCTCAGCCAATCTATGGCATGCAGAAATGTAGGCCGCCGAGTGACATCGAAGACTAACAACGCTCCGGAAGCACCCCTGAAATAAGATCTTGTGACAGATTTGTATGTTTCTTGCCCTGCCGTGTCCCACAACGAGAGCTTCATTTTCTTCCCCTTGGGGTCAGAACCTTCTGGAGAAGTTGGGGAGCTGTTGCTCGGCCCAACATTGACAACACGAGAGCCAAACTCGACGCCAATTGTAACATCGTGTTGGGCGGAGAAGCGCCCTTCACATAAGCGGACTGTAAGAGAGCTTTTGCCGGTGGCGGAATCGCCGATGCAGACCAACTTGGCTATGTAGTCCCAAGGTTGGCTCATAATTTCTTGCAACGGATGATGTTGATTCTCAAACCTCAGTCAATGACAAAATAGGCATAAGAAGAATCCTTATGAAGCCCATAGAGAACTCCAGGGGCCAGACTTTGAAGCGCGCGAGCGGCTGTTTTAATTCATTGAATACATGGAGCCTCGACGGTCGGATCACGATCAGGCCTTTCAGAGAAGAGCAGGCTTCATAGAAAAAGAGCAATCTTTACAGCAGCCTGTCCATGGTGAGCTTAGCTGACAGACGCGCATTGTTCGTGTGTCGTCAACCTCACAGAAAACAGCGAATGTGGATGAGGGCCAATGAGTTTTGTCTTGGCAGCAGACTAAGCCTAAGGCAGCTTTAGCGTCTGATATGTGGGCTAGACCCGGAGTGACGCAAAACGCCTATCTGCCTGAAAGCACGAGACTGCAACTACACCTACCTCCACCTTTCTGCCTATGACTCTCAACAACCTCGATCCCACAGCATGTGCCATCAGACCACTTACCAATCATGAATGACTCGAAAAGCCATCGTACATCGGTCTTGGCTTCACCATCTCTATCGGGCTTGCCCTTTTTGACTTGCCCCGCTTGTCATAGCAACATCGGAAGCTATCTGCCTCTCCAGAAGGTTTTCAGAATTCCAAAAAATTGTCTCGCAGCTTGAGACATGTTCTCTGAATGTATGTCTTTGCTTTCATGTCCCCTCTATTCCAGCTGATCGCACATTAGATGCGAGCAAGTTTCTCGCACAGTCACAATCCCGCATAAGTTTCGGTGGACAGGAAGAGGCTTCCCGAAATCCTTTGCAAAGACGACCAGCTCAAGGTACTTCTCGTTTCCAATCTACTCGATCATACATTCAGCGCCCCACTCCGGCTAGCCCTTACCAAGGCGGCGCTTCGCTATCGCAATTCCCCTTTGCGTCCCGGGCGAATGCACCACTCTTCTACAGCGCTCATGATCAGTTTAAAGAGGAAGACGACGAAGAAGAGCACGAGAGAGAAGTAGCAGAATACTACGCATTGCAGCGATCTCGAAAGCAGCTTGGTGGAAGTCGGCTTGCAGAGTCATCGGAGGCTGAGGATGGCGGTAGCAGAGGCTCGGGACTCGATCGGAGTCAGGACAGCCGGAATATGGATGGACGGCAAGCAGATACCAATGAGCCTGGTATCAGAAGCTCTTGGAGGGGTGACAAGTCACACAACGACCTCCAAGGAGCGGCTGCAGACGAAAGCCGTCAGCGGCGAAGCAATAGCTTGGCGCGTATCGACAGCAAGTCGAGCAGCACAAGCAAAGGCATCATGGAAGACGTCGGCCTGGAAAGTGTAGCACGAAGCACCACGAATGAATCAGATCACGCAGATCCGCCAGACTATCTGGCGCAGGAGATTACTCCTGATGATGATCTTCCTTCGATTCAACAGTTTCGAAAACCACCAAATGCAAGATCCGCCTATCTTCCTACAGAAACAGACCAAGAAGATATGCAGCAAATGTCATCACCAGACTCGGACACTTCGTCGACGCCTCCCGTTGTTTCATACCCTGCCGATCTTCCACCTCGCCACGACGTCTTCTGGGGTACGCTATATGTCATATCTGTTGCTGCTCTCTTCTCCAGCTTCGCCCTCGTATGGCTGCACACATCAGCACCGTCGCTCAAGAAGCCGCTAGGGGATACCATTTACTCGACATTACATGCTTCCTACCATCTCCTTGCTATCGATACCGTGGTCGCGGTCATCGTATCGTTGGTATGGCTCTCACTCCTTCGCTCATATGTGCGGCCACTGGTCTACACCATTCTTGTGGCAGTGCCTATCATCCTCTTCTCCTTCTTTCTCTATCCTTTGATCTCGAGCTTTCAAGGAAGGTACCACGGCGATAGTATTCAGGACAAAGCGATGCGAGGATTCTCCTTCATCCCTGGCATATTGGCTCTGTTCTGGGGTTTTGCTGTCTACAAAGGCCGTCATTCGCTAAGCAAGGCAGTCGGCATCCTGGAATTCTCTTGCCGCATTCTTGCAGTTAATCCAGGACTTCTCATCGTCGGCTTCGCGACTCTGATCGGCGTCACCGTTTGGAGTTGGGTCTGGCTGGGAATGTTCACACGCGTTTTTCTCGGCGGTCACCTCTCAGCAGGCGCTAAGCTCTATATCATTGACGCTGGCACCTGGTGGCTAGGCATCTTCTTCGTGCTCGTCTACCTCTGGACACTAGGCGTCATGTTTGGTGTTCAGCGCGCTACCACAGCAGCAACAGTGAGTCAATGGTATTTCCACCGCCTCACCGCCCCCGCTCCTCGATCAAAGGAAGTCATCAACGCCGCCCTCAACCATGCGACAAGTACTCTGTTCGGGACTATCTGCCTCTCGACCCTCCTCGCTCTAGTCATCCGCCTACCTTACCTCATCCTCCCACGTCGTGTCCTTGCCCTAGCAGGTCTCTGCTCCTACACGGTCCTCCCCTCCACAATCGCCACTCTTACCAACCCTCTCACCCTAACCTACAGCGCCATCCACTCGCAACCTCTAGTCACCTCTTCTCGAGCCCTCGCCCGCCTCTCTTTCCTCGCTCCATCATCCAAACATCCACATTCAGCACAATTCCACGCACGGAATACGCCCACCCAGACGCCTTTGCACTCTTATACCCTATCCCTCCTCCTTCTCCGCGCAACCCGCTTCATAACCTCCTTAGCTCTTGGCTTTGGCGGGTGGGTCAGCACCGCACGCTCGCTGACCCTAGCATCTGCGAACGGAGGGACTACTATCAAGGGAAGTCTGTATGCCTATGTAGTCGGTCTGATTGCGGCAGCCATTGGGTGGGGAGTGCTCGGAGCCATCGATGGGGTCGTTGCTGGGGTTGTGGATGCAGTGGTAGTGTGCTGGGGCAGTGAAGTCGGACGCGGCCAGGGAGTGAGATATTGTCGCGAAGCTGACGAGTTGTTGGGGAGAGATGATGGTGGGGATGAAGAGAGTAGAGGCTTTTTAGGAAGGCGGTAAGATCTGAGGTATGGAACAATCAATTGGTGGAAACGGTTCTTGGCAAGGCGTTGGATAGGAAGGGCTTCGCATAGAAAAGGGGTTGTTAGGAGCAAGTAGAGAGCTAGATAAGAATCAATGGTATTGATCTCAATACAAATTGTCTAATGACCGACCCAAATGGGAACTCCATGCATAGAAATACATCTGCGAAATATCATCATGTGGTACTCGCTTCTGCTGGGTAGGCCCATCGCAGGCCTATCTTATATTTTGAAGGACTCGTATTCTTGCAGAGCCAAGATATAGTCTTCTCATTCTGCTCCCCCCCAAGCCCATAACCACCTTTCCACTCGCTCAATCCGTGATCCTCCACCGATCAAACCACTTCAAATGCCTCCATTTCTTATTATCTCCTTCCATCCCAAACACCACTGCCCTGAACAACCAGAACAGCATAGTCACAGCCACGTAGAAGACCCCGTATACCGCCCACTCAAGCTTCTTATCCTTCCTCTGCAACGGCCTGGTAAACCAGTCCATCACAAACCCCATCGTGAGTATCGCAAAATACAGCGCTGGATAATAATGGTGCACGTACGTCACTCGTGCCATAGCCACAAACGGCGCATAGTGCAGAAACCACCCGATCACGGGATACAAGCCCCCATAATGGATATGATCGATTTCCTCGGGCTTGAGCTCATCATATCCCCTTTGCCAGCGGATGGTATACCACGCTACAAGGGCGCCGAAGATGACGAGGGAGGCAGTGGAGCCCCAGTAGACGAGCGGGTTGCCGAGAAGAAAATATTTTATGATGGTATCGTCCCAGCCGCACATACGAAGGCCGACGTTCAGAATGGGCCACTGCCAGAATTGCGAGGCGAGGTCATCCTGTTTGTCGGGATCGGGGACGAGGGCGTTGTTGGAGGTCATCATGGCGACATTGAGGTGGACGAAGTCGCGGAAGAAGGGGGATTTGTAGGAGCCTGGGTCGCCGGCGGGGACTGTGGTAAGCAGCGATTAGTGCGGTGCTTATAAATGGAGCATGAGATGGGAGGTGATAAACTCACGTCGGTCGTTGAAGTGTGCTTCGACGTTCCAGTGGGTGTAGACGTCGCGCGGTTTGTTCTCTTTTACGCAGGTGACTTCAATCTGTTTGAAGCCCCACTGGGGGAGATTGACATTTCCAGCGCGCAGATAGCAACCGAGAGAGGTATGCCGTAGGCGGAAGGCTGTTGTTAAGGTGCGGATTTTAGAGTAGTCTCGAGTGGCGGCGTCGTTGACAACTTCCATGGTCCAGTGATCCTTGTCGTCTCCGACTGTGGTATTTCCATAACACGAAACTTCATTGTCGCCCTTTGTGACTGGAGCAGAGACAGAGTGAGAATGCAGGTTGCGCCCGGTCTGGGAGTGTATGAGACGCATCACGTCCCCATTGCTGACATACTTGATTGGATCGTCCTGCGAGGGCAATGGTTCATTTCGATTGGGATAGAAGAACCAGTCATTGTTTGCATCTTTGTGGTGATAGCAAGTAACTTGTTGCTGATTAGATCCTTCGGGAAACGTCTGAACGTGAGAGTGCAACAGTCCACCTCCGTAACCCATGTTCTTCAGTGTTGCTCTTGATCCGTACGCTACTTCGAGGGGGCTATCTTTGCCGACTTCCGTTCCCTTGAGATTTGCTTGAAAAAGAGAGCTCATTTGAGCATCTCCTGGACCGCTGTTCTCGAGAACCAAAAAATGGATGTAGAATGAGAACATGTACACGATCATTGGAATGACGATAAGGCCTAGGATACGAGCTCCTAGATGCGCCCCAAGTCTCGCCTGCGATTGTTAGCCTCGTTCAATTCACACCAGCAGAGTTTTGTACCTTTGGCATATTGAGATCGCCAAATTTATTCCATAGATCCTCAGCGGTGTAAGCGCCGACGAGAGCCGTACAGAAGAGACCAACCCATTTCACACTGCACACACAACCAATATTTATGCCGGTCAAGGTAAGCCATAAGAACCATTCAGCAGAGAAACTCTCCCGCCTCAAATTATGGAATCTTGCCCAGCAGAGGGTTGTGGTGAATGTGAAAAAAAGGAGCATTGAGTCCAGCAGTATAAATCTTGAGATAGTTGCGTATGAATTTTCGAACAACACCATCATTGTCACCAGCCAGACTGCCGGCCGCCTCAAGTTGAGTTCCCTTGCTGTGAAGTATGCCAATGGCACACACATTGCTCCGAAAGCTGAGTTGAAAAGTCTCATGAAGGTATAATTCAGCTCTTCTGGATATTTCTCGCCCGACTTGAATTCGAAAGATCCGTTGTATCCAGCCATATAGCCTGATAGCCCTACTAGCATCTTCCCCAGCGGAGGATGTACGTCGAAATAGAACTCCCTCTTCAGGTAATGCGAACCGAATTTGCCAAAATGTGCTTCATCCCACGTCACTATATTTGAGATGCCGATTCTGTACATTCGGGTGAAAAATGCGAGGGCAGTAAAGATCAAGGGGGCGATCAAGAATTCATATTCGTCGAGATAGGATAGAATGTTACTATGACTCGTAGGCTGTGGAAGCATTACTATTAGCTGCTGTGTACGGAATTTCTTTCGCTCGGCGGCATACCTGGACGTTCTTCTTATCATCCACTTCTTCCATAGGTGCAATTGCAGACCCATTTTCCCCTTTGCCTGGGGTGTGTCTTTGCCTTAGGTTGTGGTCTGTTTGAGCTGCTCCGGAGGCATGGCTTGCCTTGGAGCTAGACATTGTGCCTTCGAAACACAATGGACGGAAGTCCCTGCAGTTTTGTGGGCGTGTGTGAAAGTGACGGTATGGCGCAAGGAGGGTGGGCGCTGACAGAAGGGTATGAATCGCGGCAACAGGATATTCGCTATTGCTATATGTGTTCCCCCATTTCTTCGGGTTCGGAGTGGTACGGGGAGCTTGCGAACGAGCCTTGAACGAGGGTTGAGTGGGCGAGCTGGCCTTTCCAAAAGACTTACGAATTTGCAAGGCGGCGTAATTAGAGTTGCGCGGAAGATGCCCGAGAGATCAGAGAAAGGGGAACATGCCAAGACCTTCCTTCAGCCATTGCTGGAGATCTTAAATCCAGCCAGTGTACATTGGACGCAGTCCACAGTGGTAATGACCCCTAGGTTAAGTTCTTTTGAACGTGTGATATAGTATATAAACCACCAGAAATCGCTCTACCACCAGGAAGTCCGGCGCTGGGAATCATGTCTCCACCCTTTCATTCCCTGGTGTGAGAGACAAGTCTAATCTGAATTCGTACCAATCATACCTACATTGAAGTCAATTGCTCATCTATACTTGATAATACAGCTCAATCATCTTCTCGGTCTTGTAATCGCCCATAGTCCCCACCTTTGTCTCGCTTTCCCTCACCCCTCGTCCTTTGCGCCAGCCGCGATATCCACCCTCCCAAGCCTTCGCTTTTGGGAGCGGGCGGCTCTGATGCCTTCCCATCGCCATCAGGGGGATTGATATCAAGACCAGGTATGGCGTTGTCCGCGGTAAAGTTACCTAGACCACGTCCATCACGTCGAATATCCAGTGACGGGACTGGTGAACGCCCGCTCATCAAGGAATCCACCTCAGCTTGCTGGGCTGGAGTTGGCATGGCAGTCGTGGCATCGCCAAAAAGCTGACTCATATCTTCCAAACGTACATTTGCAGTTTCTGGATAGATGAAATATACTGCTTGAGGTCAGCGAAGCTGGGGTCTGAGAAGGGCACACAGCACCGCTTCTCGGGATGAGCTTACCAAGGACGAAGCTGGCAGCACAAAAGAAAGCGTGCACGAGGTACAGTCGCCACTTGATCCATTCTTGCAGGATAGGCGTCATCTCACCTACCAACCAGTTACAAGCCCAATTCGCTGCGGTGCTCAGACTTGCCCCCTTAGCTCTTATGCTGAGAGGTAAAATCTCCGGCGGATAAAGCCATGGAATTGGACCCCAAGAAGCTCCGAACGCTGCGTTATAGATCATCACAAATATCACGGTCAAAGCTGGCGTCGCGTGAATATCAATGAAGATGAAATATGATATGGCTGACAAGGACAGTATCATTGCCAGTGCGCCTGATAAGAGAATAGGGCGTCTCCCCCATTTGTCGACAACATACCAGGGTGGTACCGTAGAAGCCAGATAGGTCAGGCCATTGATTCCAGTCATGAGAATAGCGTCGCGCCCTACCCAGCCTGCGGATTCGAATACAAGGGGTGCATAGTAAGATATGACATTGATACCGTTCAATTGAGCCATGGCTTGAGCAGACATAGCGATGAAGACACGCTTAGAGTATTTGCGGAACATCTCATAGTATGTTCTTTCGCCTTCTTGGCGCTGGAGTAGCACATCCATTTTGATCTCACGGTATTCCTGTCGCGCTTTGTCGTTATGTATATCGCCACCTCCGTAGAGATTAGCTATCACAATGATACCTTCTTCGTCATGATCATTGTCAAGCAGCCATCTATGAGTTTTTAGCAAGGTCTACCACAATCACAAAAGCCTCTCTCACCTTGGTGACTCGCAGATGATCAAGGAGCCAAATCCAAGAAGCAAGCCCATAACGCACTGTAACAGTAGCGGTATCCGCCAAGCATAATCATTATCTATGAAGCTGCAGAAGTAATCCACCCAAACACTCGCTGCGTAGCCGCTTATGTTGCCTGAGAACTCGATACACGCGAGCTTCCCTCGATTGTGGGGCGGCGATATTTCGGATTGATATACAGGGACGATAGTCGAGAGAGCACCGACACCAAGTCCTGCGATGATCCGTCCAAAGATCATCAGGGGCATGCCATTGGCGCAGGTCTGGAAGACGCCTCCAACAAAGAAGACCGCCGAGCCGTAGAGGATGGTCCTTCGCCGACCAAGCACATCCCCTATTCGTCCCACGCCCAACGATGCTATGAAGGCTCCGACTTCAAGAATAGCAACCATTGTCCCTATTTCTGCTCTCGTGGGTTGATTAAAGTAGTCTTTGAAGAAGGAACCACTAGATATGTATCAGTGCCGGCGCTGGCGCATGGTGGGAAGCGCCTCATACGTTATAATACCAGACATCACGCCCTGGTCGTAACCAAAAAGGAAAACCCCTAAAGAAACAAAAACACTTGTAAAATAGCTACCGGCAATCAGCGTATGCTCTTGATCAGATACGACATTATTAGATTCATACAGCAATGGTTTGCCCACCAGGCCATGACTTTGTGCTTTCTGGCGGTTGCCTGTCATTATGACCGCCAGTGACTTCTCAACGAAAGAGATCTTCCTCGGCGGAGGACTCGGTATTTCAATAGCCTCTTTGTCGACTCCAGGTTTAGCACTCCTGCTTGGCGAAACGGTATCGAGTGGATAGTGAACGTGTTTCGAACGCTTCTCTTGCGCTCTTGAGCGTGCAGAGCTCTGATCTATAGAGCCCCGTAGATTGATGCGGAGAGGATCCTCCTCTTCAGCGAGCTGCTCAGCGAGGTCACCGGTATCACTCCAGAGGGAAAAGTCTGAGCCTGCAGAGTCCGTGGAGCGCCGGTGACGGAGACCCTCCTTCTCGTCTATCGAGGCGGAGTCCCTGTCTGGTCGCCGGCTAGGGGATAGAGTGCGGAGAGGGATCGTTGCGGAGTCGGGACTCTTTAGGCGAGGAATGTTGGCGGTGACAGGTGGGCTAGCCAGAAGCAGCCCGTTCAAGGAGAGGAGGAGGCAAGGTATCCAAGCAGTTGGGAATAAAAGGTATTGTGAATTCTACCAGTGGAGGGGGGCGCTGGGGTGGATCCACGGGGCTCCAGGGGGAGGTCGAGTCGCGCGCACACGATCACGTTGGAGGAAGAAGCATTTGACTTGTGCAGGCGTCTCTACCCAAAGCAACAAAGGAATCCTATGACTGGGCTGGCTAGACTTCTGGCAACAGTGGCACGAGATTCCGCCGAAAAATTGGTGGTAGGACTGACAATGGGATCCTTTCTCTCACTTGCTGAGTCTCGTAGGGCAGCTTTTTTTCACGCTAAAGTCTTCACCATACAGTTGGCTCCACTGAATCTATGCAAATAAGATACCTCTCATGCAGCTACTCAGGTCGCGAGCGGGGGAGATGTGCCACGGTCAAGGTATGAATTCAGTCTTGTTTCCATGCAAGCGATCGAGAATGGAGAAAGGTAGATTGAAAGTGCACCACCAGAATTCCAATTTCGGCTGCAACGACTACATCCTTCGAGGCTGAGTACAATATGCCCTACATGAAACACTCGTAGTTCTAAGGTGAGGCGGGAATTGGGTGGAACGCCGCTTGGGAAACGTAGGTAGGCCGGCTACATGCCTCTTGCCTGCATTCACCGCCTAACTCATCTGATATCAGAAGACAGGTAAGAGGAGCTTTGGTCTTGAGAAGGCTTCTCTTGCCAGTTGCTCCGAAGCGTCTCGCATTATCTCTGTAAATATAAGTGGCAACTGCCTAGCATTCGCGACTCTCAGATCGATAGCTTGAAGGAGCCGAGACTTACTCATTTAGCACATTGTTTGTGCAGATACAGGCCGTCATGAAGGCCTGTATTTCCAAACCCATGCTTTATCACTGCTCATGTGAAGACAAAGGCATTCATCTTGTAGCGCTTCTACATGGTCTTCATTACTGTCACTTGTTGGCGTACCAGAGTTATACGAGCCTGCTGCGACCCATTACCGGTAACATCATTCGAGGGCAAGGTTGACACTATTCTCTGCCATCCAAGTCCTGTCCAGCAGAAGGCATATGGCGTAGTCGTGGACGCTCACGGTTCATGAGTTGAACCCAAACTTAGAAAGATCATCGAGCGCGGCATGTAGGCAAGGCAACATATTATTGCCAAAACGCACGTAGATCGTCCCAAGAACTCGTACTATTTTCAAAATGATGCTGTGTATGCAGTTCTGAGTACAATTGTTGTAATGATGGTCCTTGCATCATCATGATTTGGGTCTTTCTTGGTGTGGCTGGTGACGACGGTGCCGCTGCAATTTCGGCAAAGTCCAATTTCCCCTGCAGCCAGCCAGTCATTCAGTCGCAACCACTCCGGAGGCTCTCAACCACACCAGCTCTCCATCGTCTTCAACCTCGAGTCAGCACTCCTCCACCTCGCCATCTACCTCTTTAATTCTGTGCTGCTCGAGGAAGAAAAGAAAAACCTTGCTTGGAAGGCATCTGTACTAGGTCCTGCCGCCTCCCGCCTCGCTCTTTCCTGTTTTTCGCTTTCCCTACCACTTCGAATCGTCACCGTTTGCTCTCTCGACCGACGTAGAAGCGCATCTTCTCAACGAGGAACGACTTGCCACGTGTAAAAGCGATACAATCGTTCTACTCTCTCCGTCATCCTCTTAAATAGTGCACTCGTTGGTTGGATGTGACGACGTTATACTGGTCGACCCAAATCACGCCGTCTTGGCTGATGCAATTTCAAGATGGGGAGTACAGCATTTGGCAATTTTCATGTAGGTCGGAAAAGCTTGAAGCTTGGAGGTCTTTTGTCGCTAACGGCTCGCTACCAATCTAGGACTTCTGTCGAGACTCGACACTACCTGTTTGCAATGTATGCTCCCTCCTCTCAGACCTCCCTAGCAACGACAACTACATACGCAGCAGCTCACCTCTGACAAATTTCTCATAGCTTTTCGATGAGTCGCCAACGCAACAGAAAGCGGGCAGTCAATTGAACGGAGCATTGGATTTCCGTGGGTGTGCATTGAAAGGCATTTCATTGAGCAATGACCGTAATCTTGCAAATCTCGGCACGTCCCTCTGCTCGGAGGAAGGATAAAAGCACTAATGTATCACAAGGCTCAATACTACTCTGCGGTATAGCAATTGCCGTCACAATCTTCTTACTGCTACGGTCAGAACTGAAAAGAGCTGCTGTGGGCAGAAGGTTGGTCTTATGTCTTGGGTTCTAACAGCGAAGGCTGACTTGGGCTTTAGGGAATTTCAATTGTTTCTTGTGGGCTACTTAATCGTCTCGCTTTGCGAGATCTTCACTGTTGGCGGCTTTCCATTAAACAGAAGTGTCCGTCTGGTACGTTTTAGACTCACCACTAGTGGGCGCTCAGCGCTGATACTTTTTCCAGGCTTTTACTGCGGTGCACATTGGTGCCATCGTTGCGACACTATGGGTGCTTCTACTAAATGGCCTAGTTGGCTACCAAATACTGGACGACGGCACACCAATCTCGCTGGGCCTCATCCTAATCTCGGGCATAGCATTCTTTGTGGGTGCGGGCTATGTCGCACTCGACACAGGCTTCGGTTACACGGATACCTTCGCTGGAAGTCGACAGGCACCGAATTACAATCTTGCATTATACGTCCTCTATCAATTGTTCCCATTGATTTGCTTGTTCCTATTCTTTGTACTGGAAACCGTCTTAGTTCTAAGGGTACTTGGTGAAAAGAAACCTATGTGTACGTCTTGTCCCTTTAGTAGTGCCGCTGTTGCTAACGAAGTCAAGTGTACCTCTTTGGGGCTGCCTTGCTTTTCGCCATTGGTCAGATCTTCCAATACATTGTCAGCACGCATATTTGCCAGGGAACGAATGGGAAAATCGACGGCGCTTTGTTTGAAACATTATTTACGCTACTCTCGGTCGTGATGCTGTGGGTATTCTGGTCAAGTATTACAGAGGACGATTGGCCGATGCCTGTAGCAGGAGAGGGAACATATACGTGATATGGTGCATATCGCGGCGTGTTATTCATGACGATTGATGTTATTTTAGCGAAGTCCTTTAAGCATAACATATCCTCGAGTTGCTATGTATCAGAAGATAATGGTTCGGACCCGGCAGTCGGCTTTTGGAAGAGAGTTGCACTGAGCCAAGATGACCGTCAAACAGTGCAGAGACCAAAGGATATCTAAGGGGTGGTTCTTGTCATGCATGGCCCGGGCAGGAAGATGTATACTAAAGCATAATAACAAAGAATTACGACGTAGAACGCTTGACGTACGGTCAAGCTTGCCCTACAATGCCTTCACAAATTCCATCTACGGTTTATCCGGCTTGAAGCCTCGACCCCGAAATGTCTTGGCATAGACAAGGCGCGCCTAATAAAGCAAGGCGATGATTTTGTCACCACATCATTCAGGATGATCGTAGCCATATCATCCCCGATCGCTCTATGTCAGAAATAGCAACAGCCAGTCAAATCCCCTGATATAATGGTCAATTCTGACGATGACTACGTGCAAGACATATCAGATGAAGAGGTGGAAGCCCACCAAGTCACACGAGGCGCTGGCGAAGGTTCTACGGCAAGAGGGACCGGCAGGAAGGGAGGCGGCTGGGAGGTCACAAGAACATGGGAAAACGTAGTTGAGGGTGCTGATGGAACGATTAATTCCACCGTCGAAGGTCTACTTGAAGCAGATAAGCGGAAGAGGTGAGAAAAGCACGGTGTAGAGCCAAGATGGTGACCTTCATTCTCCCCACACAGCCAACAGCATGCGATGAAATGCGATGCCCCAGGCGCACAAAATAAGAGCACGATATATGAGCGTCATGATGGTGCATCTGACTGACAGTCTCCAAATGCAGACTTCTCAAAGATACAACGCCGCTGCAAAGAGGCATAATTCGACATCTTTTGATTGTCTTAGACCTCTCAGATGCGATGGCAGAGAAGGACCTACGTCCGACGCGGTACCTGTTGACCCTTCGCTATGTGCAAGAGTTCATCAATGAGTACTTTGAGCAAAATCCTATCTCGCAACTTGGGATCATCGGCATGCGAGACGGTCTAGCTTTGCGCGTCTCCGACATCTCGGGCAATCCAAGTGATCACGTTTCCAAGCTCCAGGAACTACGTAAAGATGAGCCGAAGGGTCAGCCAAGTCTGCAGAATGCACTAGAGATGGCGCGAGCAGCGCTCTTTCATGCACCCACTCACACCACCCGAGAGGTCCTAGTGATCTTTGGCTCCTTGCTCTCCTCTGATCCTGGAGATATACATACAACAATATCCGCTTTGGTGAACGCAAAGATCACGGTGAGTGTTGTTGGGTTGGCAGCTCAAGTCGCTATTTGCAATACTCTAGTGACGCGGACTAACCCCTCGATCTCTTCCACCGAAACCTATAGCGTCGCACTCAATGAACAGCACTTCCGAGATCTTCTCATGCGTGCTACCGTTCCCCCAACGACTACACAGGCCAAGGACGCGGAAGAAGAAGCTAGCAAATCCAGTCTGCTTATGATGGGGTTTCCGTCCCGTATTGTAGATCAGGCTCCAACTCTGTGCGCGTGCCATTCAAAGCCCACGCGGGGAGGATATTTGTGTTCGCGGTGCCAGAGCAAAGTTTGCAGCTTGCCAACGCAGTGCCCAGCGTGTAACCTGACGCTGATACTCAGCACGCATTTGGCCCGAAGCTATCATCACCTCTTCCCGCTCAGGAATTGGAAGGAAGTCTCCTGGTCACGTGCCCAAGCTTCTCCCCAAGCCAAGTGTTTCGGCTGCCAAACGGGGTTTCAAATCCGATCTACGGTCGCTGCGCCAGGAGAGAGGTCGGGAGCGGTGGGCCCGCACAATGGGATGACTCTGTCGACGAGCCGAGGGAAGGCCAAGAAACCGCATGAGATACCGAAGTCTACGAATAGTGGAGTGAGCGAGAGCGGGAGATATGAATGCAGAACTTGCAAAAACCACTTCTGCATCGACTGCGATCTTTTCAGCCACGAGGTCATCCATAATTGCCCCGGCTGTCAGAGCCGAGAAGGCGTCCTCGTTGCCCAGGTATCAAGTCATGAGGCGGACCAAGTGAAAATGCAGGGGGTGGAGAACGGCGGATGATACTACGCGAAGCTGTGCAGATTTGATTGCTACCATGACCTACAGAAGCGTTGGCGTTGTATGGCGTGCCTGCCACTGCTGAAATGGCATTGGGAATGAGATTGGACATGACTGCATCACACATGATACCCCAGGTCGCAAGTCTGCATTGAGGTTAGGATTGGAGTTATGATTGGAGACTCAAGCTAGGTTGATGAGTGAGTCCTAAACGTCGAAGATGAAGAACTGCCTTGGTTGTGAAGCTACATGCCGTGTCGCTCTGTGGGTCAGGTATCAAACCCACCAGACCCAAGAAGGAGGGATGACGGGTTATCGGGGTCTGTTTCGTCTGAACAGCGTGTCATGCTAGTGCCCTTCTGAACAGCCATATGGCTCACTATGAAGCTGAGGCTCGTGACCTGCGACAATGATCTGCGACGCAAGCAATCACACGTTCCTGGGGCCTAGTCAAAAGCGAAATCCCCGTGATCCTTCACCGTTATGGGTCCCTAGTGTCTAGTGTGTATCCTCTGTGTGTAGTAGCTCTCCCCAAGGCTGACTCGAGTCACTCGACCATCCGCCTGCAGTTAGGGGAGCTTACCTAGTCAATCACCGTGCCAAGCTTGAAACATAGAGGCAGCAATGACTGTATAATTAATGCTCCATTCCACGCCTGAGACGCCTTTCCAACCGGTCCAACGCTCAAGATGACTCAACACGGCAATACTCACGATCTATACTTTAGACATTGGAGATTAGATTTGACAACACCGGCTGGAATGCCCCAAATAGAGACATCTAGTCGAGCATGAGGACTAGTGAAATCTCTTGATCGATGCTGTGCCGCTCCGGCTTGTTTTCCCAAGCCAGAAGGCTGCTAGATGGACTAGATGGGGCCTTATGCACGATTTGTAGACGCGCTGAATATAGTGGGCGGTCTGGCTGGCCCTGGGTGCTGTCGACCTGCTTTCAAGGTTATGCGGGTAATTCCAGTCTGCTAGGACTTTTTTCCTCCAATGACTGACAATCGCGATGCTACCTCGCCGTGTCCTCCTGGCTTAATAATCTGGATTGCCTGCTGCCCGTCTCTACTTTTCCTTCCGACATACACTCCGCATCTGTGGGGAGGTCTTCGCGTAAAATTTGTTCAAACGGCCGCCGTCAGTCAGATCGTAGCTCTTGTGAAATCCCCCCACCCCCCAAAGCATACAGAACCAAATAATCCTCTCCTGGCCCGCACTGTTCGCCCAACCCCAATTTTCGCGTGAGACAGCAAGCGCTATGCGATGAGAGGACTCGTTCCGAAACATGATGCATTCAGAGTGGCTGTGCCTTGCCGTCTCGAGCGTCCAGTAGAAGGGAAAGCGTATCAACACCTGTTGGTGGTGCGGCATTGACCATGAACCATCCTTACTATGGCGGCTCTCATTCTCCATTGGCTCGTAGAGCGACTATTCCTATATCATCTACTTTGGCCCCTTCAGTGTCTATGATAGATCCGGCTTTGGAAACCTCGAATTTTCAATATCCATCCACACCCATTGCTCAGAACAATGGACATTTGCTGCCGAATCAGCTCCATATGAATATGGCTAATGAATTCCCGCCGTCGCCTCAACACCAACGGCAGCAAGCGCAGCAAGCGACACAAGAGGTTCCACGGGCACCGTTGGGGTCACCAAAACGCAGCCTCCCATCTAAAGAGGTCAATGAAGACAATCTCGACGAAGCTTATGCCAAGTTCATCCTCTACTGCAACCCATCAATCCCACTGGCCGTCGAAACTGAGGAGCTCAAGAAAGGATTCCGCAACCCACCGCGCAGTGATGGCAACATCTTCTCAACATGGACTCTGTTTGTGCTCTTGCAGAAACTGGAGAAGAAGGAGATCAAGACCTGGGCCCATCTTGTCATAGAGCTAGGCGTAGAGCCACCGGATAGAGAGAAAAATCAGAGCACTCAGAAAGTACAACAGTACGCTGTTCGGTTGAAAGTATGATCTTCTAATGCCCATCTATGTGTTGTTTTTGTTCCAAAATATACAAGATATTTTCAAAGTGCTTATGTTTCTGGTCTAGAGATGGCTTCATGCCTACCACGTCGATGCCTTCTGCAATTATCTCTCATCCAAGCCAAGCACCTACTACACCGAGAGGCCGCAGACAGACGCCGAACTTGCTGAGACTGTCCGAGAAGGAGTCCCACCAGAGGAGGACCTTGCGGTCCGGGCTCTGCTCCCGGAATGGCGTCCTAAACGTGGTCGGCGAAAAGCTGACGACGTCGCAGAAGGCGAGCAAGGGATAGACGGTACCAATTCGATCAATCAGCATCATAGCATTCGTGCGAGTAGTGCTGAGATATCAACAATGTTTGAGGACCATTACTCCGCTGCCCCTTCGAGCGCCGCGCCTTGGAGTGCGTCACCACACGTGCCACAAGGCGACGTGTGGCAAGCAGCACATGTAGCCATTGCACCAAAAGCTCACAGCCCAGCGCAGCAGCACCAAACTCTCAGTGCCCATCCGAACAGTGCGACACAGCGGATGTGGCAGTTTCCGCGGACGGGTGGGAACACGGCAGAGACTCCGGCTTCCCCTTATCCGCAAAGCGCCATCACCCCCCGAGCTCCTTATTCTGCTGCTCCAGCCTTTGGCGAGAATGAACCAAAATCAGCCCTGCCAGGGAGTGGCACTGGCAGCGCCAGATCGCCAAACACCAAGGTTCGGAAACGTCATGCTTCTGCCATCTCCAGCGCGTGGAATCAGGGTAGCACATCAGGTGGGAAGATTAGGGGAAGACCACCGAGTAATCGCAATGTGCAAGACGGACCCTTTGGCACCTTCCCTGTGAACCCAAATGCCAAAGATAGTAATACATCACCAAACACCCTTCCAACACCCATATCTACCACCACTTCGCAACCACCGCAACATTCTAGCCTTAGCCCACCTCAACAGCATTCGGCTCAGATGTCGCGCCCAATTCCTGCGTCTTCGCAACATCGGCACACGCCAACGCCGCCCGGCGACAGCCATGTGGGTGGCCGCAAGCCCTCGAAACTTCAACTCCAGGTACCACATCAGCCAGGCAATCCGGTCCGTCTCGCCACTCCACCTCGGGTCCTGGTCAACGGGGAGTCACAGCTTCAAGCGCCGGTCCACCAAAGACAACCATCTGCTGACTTTTTCGAGACGTTGGGCGATGTATCCGAAGAGGAACTAAGTAATATTGACCCGAACGAAGAGGATGAGGGTAATGTGGACTGGAGGCGACGTTGCGGCATCCTAGTGCGGAAGTTACAGGAGAAAGAGGAGCAGCTGAAAAAAGTACGGAGGGCGGTTTTGGATGCTGTCATGTGATGCGTTCTTGGAGATTCAAGTGTCATGATCTAACGAATGATGGCCTTCGCATTGAATCACTCAGCCTGATCTGCGCTGTCATGCTCAAAAGCTACATCGATTGCTATCTACCCGCAGGCTTTTCAGGCTCGACTCTGCACATGTTGACGAGTCCACAAAAGGTTGGTGCCGGACCTGTCACGGGGTCCTTGTGGTTCCTGGTGATGGGTTGTGATGGCTAATCTCAGATCTAGTCCCACGCCGTTTCCTTCAGCATGTTCGTCTTCCGGCCCATGAAACGGCTAGGAGGATTGCTCAACTTGAAACGAGTCTCTGACGGCAAGACGCGCCGGTTACCCCAGGCATACACCTACTATGTCCGAATTCTCAGAAACGAATGAGGCCTGAGCAACGTTGCCTCCTAGCTTCGTGCTTGATTTTCGCTTACATAAAGAAAACGGGTGCTTTCTCCGTATCAGACCACCCAACAACCCACGCACCAAAGAAATTTTATTAAATGACTTGGAAATATCTCGAACCTGGATGTGGAAATCGAATCGACCAGGAGGAGCTAGAAATATAAAGCAAAGACAGCATTTCTGGCACATGAAAACAATAGAGAAGAGCAAGTGATGAACAAATGACATCTACCTAGAATTAAGCATTCGGAGATGATGACCAGAATGACTACATATAGCTCCCAGCAAACGCTGAGAAGGAACACGTAGACAACATGATACAATATAAGATTCCCAATACAACATAATCACACACAGAACACAGAGAGATCAGATATCATTTGACTCGCTACGCTAATGTCTCTTATACAAAGGCCGAAACTTTTCCGAGTCTTTATCCTCCGTCCTCACGATGAGGAGGACGTCCGTATGCAAGTGCCGAACAATCCCATACGTTGTGTTCTCCGCTATGCATTTCACTTTCGCTCGCTCGTTGTCGACTGCGTGATATATGGCATTAAGGCGCCAGATTCAGCTGCTTTAACATGAAGCGATCCACGATGCAGGCCTTGCCACATCCGTCAATCCTTCTCCCCGTCTTCCATCATTTCCATCGTTGTTCCGAGTTATAGATCGAAAGCTCAAGACTCATGGCGCGAAAGCCATACGGACTCAAAGCATACAAGTCGTTTACTTACGTCTCGCCGCCACCACCGCCAGCGCTTGCACCTCCAGCGCCTCCGCCTCCACGACCTCCACGCCCTCGATAATCACCCCTCCCGCGTCCGCGTCCGCGCGCACCACGTTCACCGTCGCCTCTGAATCCCCCTCCACCACGTCCTCTGCCCCCTTCGCGATCTCCTCTATACCCACCACCGCGCCCCCTCCTATCTCCACGCTCATTGCCCCCACGGCTCCGACTTCCACGGTGATGATGCCGCTGCACTTCGCTAAAGCCGTCTCCGGTAGCACCTTCCTTCGCACCAGCGCCAGTACCGCCCTGTGCATAAGCAGGCGTGCCCATGACATCAGTGTCAGCCTCTGGAGCCGCAAGCGGGACGTCTTCGGCCCAGCTCTGCGTCCCTCCTGTCCCGGTCAGTGTTCCGTCGGTGCCGGTGTCCGTCTCCGCTGGATCACGCGGTACTTGGACCCAATCGTCGCCTCCCCCGCCGCCACGCGTCGAGACTTTGGCTTCCCAATCCCCTCCACCACCTTCGCCTGAGGTTTCCTCTCCGCCACCAGCTTTATTAGCTGCGTCGGCGCCGATGCCGGAGGCGCTGGGGGCATCGTGGGCGTTTTCGTTGGGGCTACTCACGCCATTGGTTTGATATGAAGGTGGTGGACCGTCAGTGGTTTCGAACTCAGTAAGGCCAGCATGGGCGACGGTTGGGTCGGTGCCAATCTCGGCTGCTTTGGGTTCGTCGTCAAGAGTGGCGGTTGGGGCGGTGGGGGAGGATTGGGCGACTTCTTCTGCCCATGCTTCTTCGGCGCTGTAAGGGGCGTAGGAGAAGGAGAGATCACGGACTTGTTGGACTATAAGGGTCATTAGTCAGGATGCGCTTTGGAGGGGTGGGGGCAAAGGATTAGAAGAGGGCGAAAGGGATACTGACAGGTGTATTCGGAAGGCGTTGAATCCACCGTAGGTACTTTCTCGTCTTTGCCAGCAACGAGGTTCTCCATGGCTTCGACTGCGCTGGCTTCACCTCCGTAGACCAGCAGCAGCGCACCTTCAAACGCGCGATTCTCGGGCGAGGTTTCATCTCCACCTTGCCTCTTAGCAGCAGCTGCTCGTAGGAATTTGCTCAATACCAATAGATTCTCTTTAGCTTCCTTCCGGCCATCTGCCACAGCTGCCTCAACTGCTGCCTCCTTTACCTTCTGAGCTTTATCATCGCTCGAGGTCTCCCAGGCCGACTTCTCTTCCTTTAACCTCTTCTTGAAATCTTCGTCTAACTGCTTGAATTGACTTATCTGTTCTTCGTATTGTGCAAGTTGAGTCTGTAAGCCGGGTTTTTTCTGGGCCTGAATTTTTTGGTCGGAGTTGATTTTCTTGCTCGCAAGGAGTTCGTCAAGGCTTGTGCCAGGGTTCTCGGCAACTATAGAGTCGACCTTTTGAGTCGCATTCTGGGGTGACAATTCACGTCAGCCTGAAATGGAGTACCAAGCAATATTGCTGAGACTTACAAGCTTCTTCTTGATATTGCGAATGTTTCTACTCAACGTCAACAACAGTCTTCGTGATGGAGTTCTTTGGCGTCCACCTACTTTGCTAGATCTTTGACAAAAGGGCTCTCATAAGCATCTGTTCCATTTGTAGCATTTTCAGCGCCTGCTGAAGCATCTCCCGTATCAGGCTCCGCTACGGTTGGTGACTGGGCTGCGGCCTCAGCTTTCGCTTTCTTTTTCTTGGCGCTCTTTGATTCGGAATGAGGAGCCACGTTTGGAGGTTGAGCAGAAGACATTGTTGAAAACCGTGCAAGTAGCGGTGTGGGGCAATTGAAAGCGTTTTCGAGAGGCACGGCACGGAGTGTTTTTTCGAGGAAGGACACCGAGAGGATCTAAGACGTTCAACCAAGTTTTGCGAGGTTACAAGTTTACGAAATTGTCAGATTTGAGAGGTTACTTCTTAATTGCGGTTGAGTTGGGTCAAGAGCGGAGAATGTTGAGGTGTATGGGAAGAATTGCAGGTAGGGAGTGTCATGCAAACACTTAGCGGAGCTGTCAAAATACGTAAATTGCGTAGGGCTGAGATCGCCCGCTACGAGGGATTCAACAATAAAGCCAGTAGCCTTCTCGAGTAGCCTTCTCCTACATCTCGCACGTCAGTCCCGTTACGATCACAGGATTCGACGGGTTTGGGTCATGTCTTCAACCCACCCATTGCAGTGAGGGGAAGAATTGCAGCCCCCGCTTTTCGAAGTCTCCGTAGACGAAGTTGCTTGTGTCACTTGCGAGAGAGGCAATCTAAAGCACAGCCATAAGGATATGCCTACATGTAGTTCAGAGAGCCCAATTCCGGTCATTTGCGTCGGCCATTTGCGACTGCCTAAGAAGACTTGAAATGAACAAGAGTCCAACGTATGATCGTAATCTGGCCTGAACTTGTGCAGAACGAGATGCGGAACACAAAATGAGAAGCATCAATTGGTTCTAAATTCACGGGCATTAGAATACTGTCACAAGTCCACACTGCTAACTCTGTCAGAGTGAGCTCCATGGCAGTGCACAGTCTTGGTACAGCAATCTTCGCGAAGTTAAAATGACTTGCTCAGGACGCTCGAAACGAAGTCTGCTGCAAAGGGTTTTGAGAATGATTGTATTTTGCAAAGCAGAATAAAACCGACGGGAGAGCTTATGACTGATGGGTCTAGCAGCACCATGCTCATTCGGCATTACTCTTAGAATCTTCCGTGCCGTCTGCTCGATCAATTTGGCAACCGAAAGGACGCGCTCGGAGACTCGGAGACTTGGAGACGTTGTGGGTATGCCTGCATGTTCTCACTTTGCGTCTTGAGGAGAATGACAAAGATATCAGGAATGAAGCAAACCCAACAACACACGAAAAGGGGTCGAACGGCTTGAATTGCGTGCATGACCGAGCGGGCGCTAACCGGGTGGCTTGGCCCAAAGAAGACTAGCGGTTTCTCACCCAGAACTTCACCTGCTGAAGGCGAACTCCGCAAACTATACTATCATACACATCTAATGCGATCCTATTTATCGACATGAAATGCCAGAATCACCGACACGCTACTGGATCTGCCTGTACTCACTGTTGGTCCCTTTCAAGGGCGGTGCCGCCGCTCCCTCACCTGCTTGACGACCAATTAGTCACTGGGGACTCGAGGTACCTATCGCGTGCATAGACACCTGCAGATCACGCAGTGATAGCTTTGATCTTTCTTTTACTGGGCGCTTCTCACAATGGCTGCAACATCAATCATGTCTGGAGCTATGTCTCCCCCAGCCGACGGGGAGGCAGATGTTTTTGTGAAGGCGGAGGAGGAAAACACAAAGCCCGCGCTAACTCCCCCAACGAGCGAAGGAACCAAAGGCAATCGGGACGACTCTGGTTCTGAGCTCTCGGACCTGGAGCCTGAAGAACCGCAAATTACAAAGCCAGTTGAAGCGCCAAATAGCGACGATGCTAACGCTGAGATTGTGCCGGATCATTATTACGAAGATGGAAAGATCCCAGTTTTCAAGCCGGTAGGTGGACTCAGAAGAAGCTATTCGATGTTCAAGATCATGCAGCAGCTTATTGACATGCGCCTTAGACCATGAATCAATTTCGAAGCTTCAAAGATTTTATCAGCAAGATAGATAATTATGGTATGAAATCTGGTATCGTTAAAGTCATCCCACCAGAGGAATGGTAAGATCAAGAAAGTGACTTCATGATTGACCATTGGCTGAGCAGCTTTAGGCGAGACTCTCTTCCGGCCCTTGACGAAGCGGTAAAGACGATTCGCGTCAAGAACCCTATCACTCAGGAATTCCATGGAACACATGGTACATACACACAGGCCAACGTTGAGAAACAAAGATCGTACAATTTGCCTCAGTGGAAGGGCCTGTGTGAAGAAAGTAATCATCAGCCACCGGCTAAAAGGGGAGAAAGAAGACGTAACCAAGAAAAGCCTACACAAGCCCGCTTGACTCGCACGAAACGGGAACCTTCACCAGCCCCGACTGGGAGGAAAAGAGGACCTGGTAGGCCAAGGGTAAGACCCTTGCCTGCTCCCCGGGAGCGAAAGAGCAGTCATGATAGAGCCACAAGCGAGTCGAGTACTCAAGTGCCCCCAACCCCAAAATCGCCTTTGCCAAAGACGGCGGGGAAATCAAAGAAATCAAAGAAATCAAAGAAATACAAGCCTGCAGATGATGACGACGAGCCTAAGTCTGGAGGTCGACAGCCAAAATCTGTCTCCTCAAGACGGCTCAACAACAAGCGTGATCAAGTAGATTTTGTAGACGAAGAAGCTTTCCACGATTTCGATTACCGAATTTACAATCAAAACGAATGGACGACTGAGCGGATGCAAGAACTGGAGACTGCTTACTGGAGGAGCCTTAATTTCAATAATCCAATGTACGGAGCAGATATGCCAGGCTCCCTTTTCAATGACTCGACAAAACACTGGAATGTTGCTCATCTGGAGAACCTGTTAGACGTACTTGGCCAGACGGTTCCAGGCGTCAACACAGCGTATCTATACCTAGGCATGTGGAAGGCTTCCTTCGCGTGGCATCTTGAAGATGTCGACCTGTACAGTATCAATTATATCCACTTTGGAGCTCCAAAGCAATGGTACAGTATTTCGCAAGAAGATGCAAGGCGATTTGAAGGAGCCATGAGAAGTCAGTAGCAGATGTTGAATACTCCAATTCAGTTTTGCTAACGCTCGACAGGCGTGTGGCCGACCGATGCCAAGAATTGCGACCAATTTCTTCGGCACAAAACGTATCTCATCTCACCGCAGCTACTTCAATCGCAGTACAATATCAAGGTCAATCGCTTGGCCCATTTTGAAGGCGAATTCGTCATTACTTTTCCTTATGGGTACCACTCTGGATACAACCTCGGCTACAACTGCGCCGAGTCGGTGAATTTCGCGACCGAATCATGGCTTGATTTTGGCAAGGTTGCGAGAAAGTGCAACTGCGAAGCTGATAATGTTTGGGTGGATGTACGAGAAATTGAGCGGAAGCTCCGAGGCGAACCAACCCCTGAATACTACGAAGAAACGGATGATGATGATGAAGACGATGAAGATGTCGACTCAGGCCTGCCTACGCCTCCGGGCAGCGTGAAAGGAAAGCCCAAGCGTGGACCTAAGAGAAAGCGAGCAATTAACGAAAAGGAGAGCAAGCCCAAAATCAAGAAACTTAAGATTCGTGTCAAAGCACCCGCCTTCGAGCCTTGCATCCTATGCCCGAACGACAATAAGTTTGAAGAGCTACTACCTACAGATAGTGGACAGCGCGCTCACAGAATCTGTGGCTTCTACACTCCTGAAACGTACGTCTCGGATGAACCTGACGGAACATCAATGGTTCGTGATATTGTCATGATTGACAAAGCCCGCTGGGATCTTAAATGCAATTATTGCCGTAGTCGGAAAGGCTCCGTCTTCCAATGCTCCTCCAAAAAATGCACGAAGGCCTATCATGCGACATGCGCCATGCCTGCTGGTATACAAATCGATATTGGACCTACCTCGGTTTACGGAGAAGATGGTACGGAGTACGTACATACCGGCCAAGACTTCCGATGTCGCATACACCGCAGTAAAAGAAGCAAGAACGCTGACAGTTGCAACCTCGAGAATAACGAACTTATCTACTCGAAGGCCAAGAAGCTTTGTGTTGGCGAGGCAGTGCAAGTGCAGTTCTATCAAAGTGACATCTTTGCTGGCAACGTCATTGAGAACAGGAAAAGCGAGCAGAACGTCTTGCTTGATGTTCTACCGAATGGAGACCGACTTGAGGTGGATTGGAAGTGGCTGCTTTTCTTTGACCCTGTCAATTCACAACTGCCGGTGCCATCAGAGGACGCCAAACCTTTGCCAGCGGACATGCTCCGGAAAAATAGAACTACCGCTGAAGACCCTGCTGCAAAGGTCGATAAGCCCAAGCCTAATGAGCCGTTCTGCGACCCCAACACCATCTACAAATGGTCGGAATTTGAATCTTGTCGGCCATTCTTCAACAAAGCTCAAGAAAAGATCGATTTACTGAAACCTGAGCAGCTTTGGTATTTCCTTGGTGAAAGATCGACAGAAGCGAAGCAGTATTACACCCATGATCCATCGATCAGACGTCATAATCAGAAATCCAATTTTCTGGAGCTCGAGAAACTAAAAGAAGTTGCCAAGTCCATGAAAGCCATCAAAGACCAGAAAACTTTCTTGCCTCCTCCTGGTTCCGTCAATCAGCATGCCATAAACGCTGCTCGAGCCAGTCATACCACCAACAGTCACTTGACCTACTCGCAGCCCAGCGTCCAGGCAAGACCGCCAACGTCAAAGGAAAGGCCTTACACGGGTAAATATGCTATTACTGATCCTGTAATCCCACAAGCTCGTTCCAAAAACAACTACGGCAACACAGATATGCAGGCCCTACAGAACCAGAAAATGTTTCAACAACGAGCGGCAGCTGACACCGCGCATCAATACCGTCCGAATTTTTATCCGTACGACCGCTACAACACTTCATCACAAGGAATGCACTTGCCGAACACATTGCAAAGGCCGACAGCTCCTACGGCGCCAATGATGCCAACATTATCTGTAGCTCCAACCCCTTCGATATACTCACCTGACCCTCAATTCGATGCCGCAGCGCTGCTACGAAAAGTCAATCTTCCTGCCATGAGCCCAACTCAAGAAGTCTCGCTTGCTCCAATTACACAGTCCTTATATCACCATCAACAGCCCTCAAGCTCCCGACCACCAGCACCAGTGGCAAACATGATGAGCAGCATGCCTCAAGAAAGGCCGCGCCAGGTCGAATACGATGGTTTTGAGCGACAACCAGATTCTCATCCCGCTATGTCAACACCACCTCATTCGGCGGTATCAACATCGTCTAGTGTAGAAAGCGTGGTGCAAATGGCTGGCTCAGCCATATCTGCTCCAGCAACGAAAGGGGTGTCGCATTTGAAACTCGATCCAAAATACATCTATCTTCATGAGGCTGAAAAGGTACGGCCTCGATTTTACCAGTCACCCTATGCACAAGGAGGTGGCTTCACGGAGCCCTATCTCCCAGTCGCTATTGCAAAAGAGAAGTCTCGCCCTCGAGGCCAAAGCATGAGTGAGGCCTATCTCATGGCCCGCACCCCAAGTGAACAGGATACTGTAAATGCGAAAGTCTCTCAGGAAAAGGTCAAATTCCAGCAGCAGCAGCAACAAATGGCAAGTCAACGGCGACAAAGCATTGGGCATCAGCAACAGCATCAACGACCCTCCTATCAGTATCACCGTGCTGCGCAATCACAGCCCTCCCATCTCCCAATGTCAGCAATCCAACGGCCTTCTTCAAACCATATGCATCCGACCCCGTCGTCATATTTCGATATTCATACGCCCATCTCCCCCTCGTATCCAACGGCATTTTCGTCGACTCCAACTAATTCCTACTATCCACCGTCATACCATCCTATGCACCATCAACCACCAAGTCAGTATAATCAACACCAGCTCCACTACACCAAACCCGAACACAACGCCAATGCGTACTTAAATCAGAGGCCTTCCCTGACTTTTCAATCCACGCACGACTTCCAAGAGCAAATGAGACAAGAAGCACAACGCCCTTTCGCACATGAATCAAGCTTCGAACGTTTCACGCAGCAATTAAAGGATGCTGGCATCAACAATCAAAGCGGCCATGCAGGAAATTCGCAATGGGGTACTGACGGGTATCATAGCCGTGATGGGAGCAGCAGTAATGGTCACAGCCACAGTAACTCGGGGCAAGCGGGCAGCCCTCTTCGATACGAGCTTGGTATCGGAGGAGAGGAGATGTTGCCAATGATGCCTTGAAGAAAGCATGCGGACTCACATACAATGGACAAATTCCGTAATCGAGGAATTACATTTAGAATAGACCACTCCCTCTCTTCCTGATCGTTGCATGGGAGTTGTACATAGCCTCGATCTTCGCAGTCGTGGTTTGCAGTATTGGTGCTTTTTGGCGCAATCACATTGAGATACAGGATTTAATGATATTAAGATGACTGGTCAAGGGATGTGCTGAGCTGGCTTCACGGCATTCCGGAACGACAATAGCAGAGGCACATGTATGCCACAGCAGAAACACTCTGTGTATGATAGGGTCAGCTAATGCAGGTGGAGCATGTACAGCGATAGCTCAAGTATCATCATAATTGAAATGTATGATTTGTTCCTAAACATCGTCGGCAGCCGACAAGAATCCAAATCGTAGCTCACGATACCGGATCCACCTACACAAAACTTACTGTTACATCTAGCTTAAGATAATTCATTCAATCACTTCAAGTCCAAACCCTTGAAGCGTCAAACAGCCCTAACACCCTCCGCACAAACCTCAAACTCGACCCCCTTCTCCTCTCCCCTGGTCGGCTCAGCCCACGGCGCAAAAACGAGCTTCATATACCTCCTCCACCGTCTAGGCGCCCAATCGACCTCATCGTCCTCTCGCCCCATTGCGGACCCTAGTTTCGGACCGCCACCTCTAACAAAATTTGCCTCCTTGATCACAGCAACACGACAAGCGATCTGATTTGCCCACGCTAGTCCCAGCGCTGGCGTCTTGTCTCCCTTTCCTACTTCAGCACTTTTACTAGGCGAGTCGCCCCAACCTGTAAACCAGCGCATTTGGTGGTTGAGACTCTGTACTGTTGGAACCGTGGCCACTGACGGGAGGCCCCATGGCTCACTTGGCGGCTGTGTAGGAAAAGCTGGACTTGAAGAATAAGGGCCGGAGGAGCGTTGCGTTCCTAATCCTGCTCTTGCGGAAGATGAAGGGCCGGTCGCGATGGGTTGAGGAGTTGGCGCGAACCGGTCACTGACTTGATTGGCGACTACAATCGCGCAGTTGTGTTCACGGGCAAGATTGCGGAGAAGGGAGCCGAGACGGACGAGCTGCGTGTTCCTCCGAGAGAGAGACTCGAGACGCTGCTTCTCTGCCGATGAAGTGGAGCTGGAAACAGTTTTCTCGGCGCGGTAGTTCGCTGCTATGCTGTCAATTACGACTAGTCCGATGTTGTGGCGCGCAAGGGCGACGGGGACTTGATACTGGAGAATGTGGTCTTGAGTCTCGAGGTCTGAGGTTGAGATGCTGAGAATGTTCGAGAGAGTGGGCCGAGTGGAAGGTGGGAGTGAAGTGAAGAGCGGGTGAGAGTTGATAAGTTGAGTCAGGCGAGGAGTGGGCAGGGCGTGCTCGGTTGATATGTAGAGCGCTGAGCGAGAGAGACCCTGCGAGGGTGGTAGCTGGACTGCTAGGAGGAGGAACAGGAGGATCTGAGTCTTTGCTGCTCCGCTATGAACCAGACGAATCAGTCCCGACAAACGATTAAGGATATAGACAATGTGAGACAAACCTCTCACCCACAAATTCTGTAATATATCCAGTGGGTATCCCCCCACCAACTATATCATCCAACTTCTCGTTTCCAAGACTGATCGTCTCCCATGTCTTCTTCAAAAGTGACGTGCCGTCCGTTCTCAATCGTCCCCATCCCTTTTCACCCCTCTGCCGCACATCCTCAAATTTCTTCCCCAAGCCTTCCCCATGCTGCGCGCTTTGAACTCCAAGCTCTGATTGCAAGCTCAGAAGCACGTGCGAGATCAGTCTTTTGAGGTCCAGCAATGGCAATTGCGCGCGTCTTGCAACTTCTAAACTGTCAAGTGTGAGAAGGTCGGTGGTGGTGATAAGATTCTTCTCTAATGAGGGGAGGAGGTGACTGTACTGGGCATTAGGGAACGATGGCAATATTGTGAGGAGATCGGTCATTGCCCATCGTTGCTAGAAGATACTAGCCTGCAGCGCATCTTTGACAAGAAGATCTGATCTCGAATTGCTCATTTGGGCGGGACGGAGCGCCAAGCATTGGGATTGCCCGCTTGAGGAAAGATGTAAACAGTGGCTTCCATGCGACAACCACATCTTCCACGGCAGCGTAGGCTTTACACATACCGCAGTGACATGGTCACATTTGAACCTGCGAAACCGAGCCCATCTGTAAGGCCAACATGGCCGCCAAACGCTTATACCCACGCTCTACAGTGAAAGGCATTGTGAAGGCGCATTCAAATCGCAAAATCGGCAAAAACGCAGACATCCTGGTAGGAAGCCTGAGTACTTCAGGTGCACTGCTAATAGGCCAACTCAGGTCTTTCTCAACTACACAATGTTCATGCAAGAGTATACTACCAGCTTCATATTCTAAGGAACGTAACGTCACTGATCTGTGGAAAAGTTTGATGCACGAGGCGACTTTGCAAGCGAAGAAGAATGGAACGAAGAAGTTGACAGCTGCTGCCGTCAAACAGGCCTCCCACGTATGAAGCAAAATTTATTCGCAAGTGTGTACACGGCTGATTAGAGATGCAGAAAAGTTTGATGAGATTCAAGGCTTAGATGTTTCTGATGGAAGAAAGCGAGGACATGAACCCAGTGGCTGTGAGCATGACGATGGTTGATGAAGATCGAGAGACTTTGAAGGGCAGGGCTTCATATGGCCCCTTGAGTTGCAGGTGCTAGTTGAAGATGTATGCTATGCGCTATTGTTAGGTGGTGAGAGTAAAGCACGTATTTGATGTTTATATCCAGGCCGTGATGAAGCCAGCTTCCACGGATGTAGGCAAAGCAGCCCCGACTCTGGGTATCACTCACGTCAGATCTTTTGACCTTCGCTTCAGTTCTCTTCCAATTTCCCTGTAATTTATCCTTCAGCGGCTACGGCACCACCACCGCGTCCTCTCGCTCCACGACCGCGGCCAAAACCACCTCTTCCACCACGGAAGCCTCTCCCGCGACCACGACCTCGAAAGCCACCACGATAGCTATCAACGCTGCCTTGTCCAAATGTCTCCATGTTCTTCTTTTGCTCCTCAGTCCTGAACTCTCGTCCACCGGGCCTCTTGCTACCACCGTCCTCTCGATCTTTTGCCTCGCTCGAGATGTTATCAAAGAATGAGGATGCCCTATTGTAGCCTGCGTTCGAAGACTGATTCAAACTCGTTTCGCTTTCAGCCTGTGTACCATTGACTGACTCGCTTGGTGTGCCATCGACTGGGCTACCAACAGGCTCGCCGCTAGCTATGGCCTCCTTTACAAGGTCTTGCTTGTTAAACTTTGCATTGGCTGATTCAAAGTCGTAGTCTGTCTTCGGCATTTCAATTTTCTTCGTCTGGGACTCCGTTCGGGGTCGCCCACCACGATATCCACCCCTCCCCCCACGATTGCCGGCTGCGTAACCACCCGTTCCAGGTTGCCTCGATACTCTGGCATTCTCATTCGTCCGCATCTCGTTTACTTTCTTTGTCAAGTTATCCATAGCACTCTCCTCACCACTTTGCTTCTTCTGCTGGCCTGTCCCAGGACCTAGCTTAGCCATGGCTGCGGCTACTGCCGCTCTTGCGTCCCGGTTGGCATCTTCAACGACCTTCCTCGATGGCGGAGCAGTTGGCATATCATTCGCTTTCCCAGGTGTAGGCCCCAGAGCATTGCTTGGCGCTTTAAGAGATATCGGAGCCGAATCAGCAGCAGTACCTGCCCCGGTGTGTGTCGATGGTGTACCATTCATGGCTGCTTTTGCTTTCGGAATTGGGCTCTTCATGGGTATTGCTGGTTGTATGCGACCACTTTTCTGTGTACCGGGAGTCGATTTAGGGGCTACCGGTTCTGGTACTGAAGATTGACTTGGCGGAGCGAGGGCAGCTGCAACATCTGGCTTTGACTCAGTGGGAGGGGGAGGCACAATTTGGGAATTTGCTGGAGATCGACTTGGGAGTTTCACAGCTGCGGCTGGCTTTTCAATTGCTGCCGGCGGCTGTGGAGGTTGCGGAGCATCATTAAGTGCCTCTCTACCTGGCGTTGCAGGCTTCGAAGCTGGACCGTGCTGCGGAGGAGGCTGACCTGGGAAATGTTGTTGCAGGTGCGGTGGCATCATCTGCCCAGATGGACCCTGAGGGAAGCCTTGTCCGTGGGGAGGGTACCATCCAGGTGGTGGCCCATATTGCATTGCAGAATAGCCCGGGGGAGGGTAATTTTGAGGAGCTCCATAAGGTCCTGGTCCCGGTCCTGGTCCTGGTGCAGATCCAGATCCAGGCCCAGGCCCAAAACGTTGACTCGGCGGAAGTCCGTAGCCTCCATAAGGATATGGCAACTGTTGAGGATATCGGGGAGCTTGACCTCTACCTTGTGGAGGTCCATACTGGGGGTGTTGCGGCATCTGTTGCTCGGGTTGAGAGGGGGCTGATGGGACGCCCACAGGTCGGGCATTCTGGAAAGCAAATTAACACCTGTACATGCTAGTTGAGCAAATGCAACCAAACGCGATGAAGTGTAATTGTCAGAAGGAAGGCAACGGAAATATCCGCATGGTTTTGCGCTCTCGGTGGCATGAATGTATGTTTACATCCGAAATGCTTCATCATATTGACATGGTGGCTGTAATACACGTGCGTATGGAGGTGGATTACTTACTCCTAAAATTGCAGGATCATCAGGCACCTGAGGCGCCTGTGTCTTTTTTTCTGGTTCTTTCTCGATTCTCAAATCTTTCACGTCGCTCCCGCGGAAGACAATATATTCGTAAACGTTATCGGAAGGTGGTACTTCCTCTTCTGAGCGTCCTTCGGTGCCATACGATTTCACTTGCTCTAGAGCAACTGTGCTATTTTCGGAATTTATTTCGTGAAGGGTACCGACATAGCTAACAGCGTCGTTAAGAGCGAATCGAATCAATCGCAGACTGGAGACTTATACCGGATGTCACGCTTTGATATGAGGGATATTCTTGATCTATGGTAGTATCAGTTAGCTTGAGCAAGCCTCTGCGACGACCTCAACCTCACCCAATGTATTCAGACATGATGTCAAGCAAAGTACAGTGGGTAGATGATGCTGGAGGATCGAGAAGGCAATATAGTATCGGCAGAAAGATCACACAAGTCGAAGATGACGCTCTCGGAGTGTACGTCTAGGGTACATGAATTATGGCATGGATTGACGTTGCTGTGAAGGAAGCAGTCGCGCGGAGCATTTTAGGCTAGCCTTGTACAACTTTTATGCAAGCCTTGGCATCAGGTCGGTGCGAATCATTCCACAAAACGCTTCTTCACTTTGCATTGCTCGAGATGCTCTGAGATGTAGATCGATCGTTCACTTGAGGTGCCTTCAAGTATCGACTCTATAAGTTGATTTTCTTCGAGCAAGGGTGACAAATTGCCAGGGATGGCAAGAGAGAGATAGATCTCGATATTTTACTTGATCAACGCTCAAGGCTTCCGGGATTCCGAAGCAATACTAGGCATAGCCAAGTTGCACATTTTGGGCTCTCCGTCTGATTCCCCTAATTACTTGCACTGTACAGAATGAAACAGGCTGCAAAGCTTTCTTGTGGGCTCTATAAGCTGTTAGCAATCGTGGATTAGACGGCATCCTGAGTACTTGTTGCTTGACATGAGGGATATCTAGGAGGACTGGACAATGGCATTTTTACAACAAGAATCTCTGTCTGCTCCACCAACAGGGTCGAGTCAGGATTTGTTCCTACAGCTAGAATGCTACGACTTCTCTAGGGACCAGGACTTTCAGACCGGTTTGCAGTCCATCTTATCATCTAGTAGCTCCAAATCAGAAATCGAGCATTTGACCCTTCGCGCTCAATGTTTTTATCTCTCTCGAAAACTCGCTATACCAATAGATTTTGCTGCTTACAAGGTGTGGCGGGAGCGTCAGAGAAGGCCCCAAGCCTTACCAAATACGAATAATATTCTGAGCGAAGGCTCTGATGTAGTCGCGGAAAGCACAGTATTGCAGTCTGGCTTAGGAAATGGGCAACGAAACCCTTCTAAGGGGATCAATGAGGAAACCTCGGCTCCTTATCCCAACAGCTTCAGCCAGATAGTCGAGCTGATTAGTAGTGGCAAACCCATTTCAGGAATCAGAGATATCCCTAGCACCATATTAGAAGGGCAGGCCTCACAGTCCCTGGCTGAGAAAAGAAAAAAGCCGTGGGAGAAAGAAGACTTTCCATCGAAGCCAGATCAGCTATCAGAGAATACAAGCAAGACATAAGTCAACATCAGACTGATTGCCTATCCATGCCTAAACATTGATGAGGCGATTATGCGCAGTACAATTTGTCTCGGGCACTAGCATGATGAAATATCTCTAAAATACATGGTCTCATGGTCACACAGCGACTCTTTCACTAAAATACAGCTGGAGAAAATACTGCCGCGATCATACCCATCTTCTGCTCACAACATTTCTAGTTAATGTATAGTAAAGTGCCTGCACAGACAACGAAATTCAACGAGACGCCTAGCTGGCAAAGAAGTGCAATCTTGAAGCTCAGCATGAACGCATGTTTGCCCTGCCGATACTAATGTCCGTCACCCCGGGGGAAAGCTGGTCAGTATCGATCTAAGAGTGTGACCTTCGTCTAGCCTTTTCCAAGACTTCATCCGGCGGGGACTTGCTTTGTCTTTTAAGTCAAGAGGCTGTTCTGAGCATCCATATGGTGATAAGTAGGATACCTTAGATGAAATTGAATGCTTTCCATGCCAAAAGGATGCCGTTAATGAATTCGATCGCAAGCCAACACCGATCGACTGCTAAGATTAATTTTCGAGAATGACAGTAGTTCATTCCAAGGAAATGAGCAATTGGCGAAAGGAATGGTTGAGGTTACTATCTTCATGTAGCGAGACCGTCTGCCAATATGGTTTACAGGAAGGAATGTCCACAATTGAAGAGCGATGAACAATAAAATGTTCAGCGGTAGCCACCGCCGAAGCGAGGCACGTTCGCAGGTGCGCTAGAAAAGCGATTACTGGCAGCACCAGTGGGTGCGGGCCCAGTTTGACCGGCGTAGGTTTGGTTGCTGCACAGCATGGCAACCCGAGAGCCGAATTTAGATCCGCGAAGGGACACCATATGTTTCCTATGAAGCAATTAGACTCGGGAGCGCTTGGGTGTGTTGAAAAGACGAACCGAATCTGAGATGCCACAATCTCACGATGAGTTGGATTTGCATGTGTCAGAATATACTGTATCAAGTAATTTCCATATTGATCACTCGCAACTATTTTTGTTAGTACTCGAAGGCAGCCAGTATATGTATTTTACCCACTATCGATCAGGGGAATGCGTGGACGATCAGGCCGGCCTTCACAGACACGCTCGAGATAACGCTCCAGAAATTCAGAACCTCCAATTTTGAGACATTTTTCCACGACTTTGGAAGCGAACTGATCCATACTGTACTCAGTAGCATAACGGAGAATATGTTCGATGGCGCGGCTGCGGTCAGCTGGTGCACCATGCTCGCAAACGTGCTGGATGCACCAATTTCCAAATTGGCCATGAGCAACAATATCGATGCTACCCAGTACTTCATTGATGCATGGACGCTTGGAGGAATTCAACATTAGCAGGAAACTTCTCGGAGAGCCAGCGAATCATACCTTATCTTCTTCCAGGCAATTCTCAAAGATGTTTTGCACGACCAGACTACCTGTCTCCCCTAGGGCTACTTCGTGCCACATGCCGCGGAGAGCCTCATTGACGAATTTCATGATTTGTGGTGGCGAGTCAGACCAGCGTAGCTCAAATAATTTTTGCCACACATGGCAGGCGTAGCGATGGATTACAGTTTCTGGAATACGACGGAGTAGCTCATGTACCATGACAGCTTTGTACTCTTCTGGGACCGTATCAAAAGCTTTTTGAACCACATGACAACCAAATGGATCCATACTCAAGCTCAAAGTGTTGCCACGAATGGCGCTGGCAATGGCATTGACTTGCTCCGGGGTGCCATGCTATTCCTCGTTAGCACTAGAGCCACTCAAGTGAATGCAGTAAGCTCACTTCAAAGCAGCGTTGTACCAAGAAATTTCCAAACCGATTGACCATCAATGGATAAGCCTGCGCGACAATGGACTCAATGATGTCGTACTTTTGTTCCGCTGTTCCAACCTTCAATTTTTGCTGAAGAAAGATCGAGGCCTGTTGATCATTGTTGCAGACTATCTTGTCAACGATGTATTTCCAGTTGCAGGAGACCGAGCGATCTAGAAGACGGCGGTAATTGAGTGGCTCCATAGGTTGGAGGTAGGTTTGTCCCGGAGATGACGGAGGCTGTGGCTCTAGTTAGCTGGTCAAGACTTTCAAGGATGTATCAAACATACTCCCGAGTTCCACGGATTTGGAAGTGGGACGCCGCCAGAGCTGAAGGTGCTCGCCGTGGGCGAAAGTGGAGTACCGATTGGTTGAGGCTGATAGCCTTGATATGCTCCCATGTTTTGAAATGCTGATCCAGGATTCATTCCGCCGAGGTTATCAGCCACCGAAGGCGTATACATGTCAAAATTGCCACGAGGTGCAAAAGCCTGATTGTTCCGATTATCTTGGAAATTGAATCGACCGAAGCCACGACCCATATTCGAATTACTGAATCCTGTCGAATCACTCATGACACGGCTGGCGTTGCTGCCTCCAGGAGAAAGTGGTACGGCATAGTTTCGCTGCTGAAAAGAGTGCTCTTGTGGCGGAGGCATGGGGCCTGCGTTGCGTTGATTATATGCTCGCCCTCCTGCAAAGCCCCATGCCGAGTCTGGTTGCATGCCCATACTGAAGCCTTGGCGAGGAGCAGCCGACCATACATTGGATGAGGTGTAAGAGTCTGAGAAATCAGAACGAGCTTCGTCACTGCTAACCCAACTTTGACGTGGAGCGCCTGCGAAGTTGCGATTGATTACTGTCGGACTTAGCCCTCCGTCAGGGGCTAGGGGAGTATGGGTGTCCAATGTTTGCTTCGGGACACGTTGATTAATCTCTTGTGCTTGAAAAGCGAGCCGTTCTTTAGCTACATCCAACTCTCGCTTCAATCGAGAGACTTCAATAGTCTCGCTATGCCCGCTCTTATCGTGGGTCTGAGAACCGTAGGTGTTGCTGCGAGCGTCCGAGGCTGGTGTGAATAGAGCGGAGCTGTTGGAAGAGCCATCGGGAGGCTGGATGTTTTCTTCATCAGAATTTGTAGAAAGAGCAGATTGCTGTTGAGCCAGCTTTATTTGTGACTCAGACAATTTGGTTAGTAAGGCGTCTATTGCTCCAGACTGCGTCTGTTCTGCACTACTGGGTGTAGTAGGTTTGACCTATAGAGGCTATAAGGCATGTGCGTTCAAGAATGCGAACGATGCAAACCTACCGTAGCCGCCATCAGTGTGACTTGCTTCCCAGATTCTGCCCCAGACTTTGCTTGCAAATTTCTGAGCTTTGAGGTGGACAAGGGTGATGGGCCTGTGTTACTATCGTTTTGATAGGCTTGTTCCTGTCTCGTGTTAGATCCCCTTTTCCCCTAGTGTCAAAAGATTGCTTACGCTGCCAATACAGCTCGCAGCTCCAGCGGTACTATGTTTGCCTTCCTCTTCCTCGTGGATGGCGAAATGGCTTGATGCACGTCCACGCTTGCTAGGCGATCCGGCCGACTCAAGACCGGCCATGGTTCGAGATGAGTCAATAATGCTTGCGTTTCTTGACGGTCTGTGTAAGCGTGCAAATTACGCGTCGTAGATTCCGTACGAATGTGCTTCAATTTGCATGCGTATTGCCAGGAATGGACCGAATGTCCAGAAGCCTTGTGCAATGAGGTTGGTGATGTAGATGTTTGCAACGGTAGTAAGATCAACGAAATTTAAACAAACAATTAGAGGAGATTGCAATTAAAAGTTAGAGTTGGCGAAGTAGATGGCAGTAACGAAAGACAGGGAAGGAGCGTTTGATAGAACAAGGCTCTGAAAGAATGATGGCCTTGAACCATCCGACCTTAGTTGTCAGGAAGACCGTTGTTGTGGAAAGGCGAAGATTTAGAAGCCGCTATAGCTAAGTTGACACCTTAAGTGGGAAAGAGCGTGTAACACACGCGTTGGGGCAAATTTAGCAACACACACCATGCTTTGATGGTGATGAAGCGTGTCATAAACCTTTTCAAGTGAATAAGGAGCGCTCTTGTATGGCCATCAGTCTACGAAGATATCACGATTGACACATACCAAATCTTGCAAACGCTGTTTAAACAATGCGCCAGGCATCTCTGTCTCCAGGTCGATAATATCAGCCCAAGAAAGCCTACCGATCAAGAGACATAGGACGATTCAGAAAGCCTCCAGGATTTGGTCAGTGAACCCATTGCAACAACACCAGCAGAACCTTGCGACGCACATCTCTTACTAACGATGATCAATTCTGGCAGCCCGACTCCTGTAAGCAGCGGAAGAAGGCGAGCTGCTTGTCGAAGACCGGCTTCATCTGAGCCCCATACCACAAGCTCGAGCCTTTTGTTCGTGGCAGGGCGCAGATAGACAGCTCCAATCCCTGACTCACGGGCAATGGTGGACTCGCAACCATTCGCTCGCTTGAGAATGAGATACGAGTCTCCTATGGTAACTGGGTTGGCCTGTTCGCCTGATTCTAGGTCATCTTGCCCAATCGCTATTTGGATGAGGTTACCACTGGAAGTCGTCGGACGGTTTGCCTCTAACAGAAATTCGACGTCAGCCGCAAAGTATTGATGGAGATTTCTTGCGACTTGTAACGACACAGCTGAACAACCCGGCGAAGCTGACCGAATTGTGAAATGACCTGGGGATCGAAGGATGGAGTTGAGAGGGCCTGATTGAAGGCCATATCGGAAGTCGTTGTGTCGTGGAGGACTTCCAACCATCTGGCAAAGTAAGCATTGCGGCTAGATAATGGACGTCAGATACATACACTCCATCGCCCATTGGCATGAAGTACAAAGGAATGTGAAAGCAAGACCGCGTTCGACAACCTCTCGAAAAGTTCTCCGTCTACTATTAGATTCGACGGCCAGTCACGGCAGTAAGAGCCAGATACCAGATGGAATTGGCTTATGTTACGAGTGGTCAACGTCCACGAGGAGAAGGCTGGATTCCGTTCCACGATCATTTTTCCAATCTGATCGGGCGTTTTGAGAGCATCTATTTTCAACCCCGCTCTGGATCCTATGCCTGCTGGATCGGGTATGAGCATCGTAAAATGCAAAGGTATCGGAGGGACGCAGCTTTGTCTAAGGGTCTTCTCGTAGAATTGCAATAGAGGTGGTGTGGTGAGTGCCCCCTCAAACCAATGGCCTTTGTTCTCAAGCTCAACATATTTAGTTGAGCTGGACCCGTTCGTTTGCGAGATGAGCTGGTACATGCGACGCGAATGAAAGACAGGCACGTTCTCATCATCTTTCCCATGTTGTATCAGTATAGGTATTCCTGCAAAGTTACTCACTAGGGTCTCATGCCGCGAGCCAAGCAAAGCATTCTGAATGCAGAGTTCCACGCAAGGATGAGCTTCATTCCACATCCCATATGGTACGTATGCTAAGGTTGATATAAGCCTCAGGACGGAGACAGTTCGAATAAAGAGCACCTTGAATGGAGGAGTACCCGGACAGTGGAGCCGCACCGATGATTTTGTCGGGTTTGTGAGTCAGTATGTGCCAGACACCTTGTCCTGTACTTCTTTAGCAAATCTCCGAAGCACCTGATTGAAAAATGTGTCTCTACCTCCATTAGAATGACCAATCACTAACCACCGATTTGTGTCGGCCGATACGTGGTCCCAGCCTGAGAGTTCGATCCAGCTCGAGATTGAATCGATGGCAGCTTCAACATCAGCTGAACCCCATTCGTCTAGCCTCTTGTCAGCTTCGCCCAGATAGGGACTCAATGACCCTACGCCAATCGTCTCCACTCCAGGTCGTGACACCGGAGGGCATCAATACCCACCCGGGAAGATCCGGACTTCCATCAAGCGATCGGCGTGTCATAGAATCATTCACGTCAACTCCTGCGCCGTGTAGGACGAGAGCAATTGGCATTGAACTTGTGTGGCCGAGCCTTGCACTCGCACCCACACAAGCTTTTCTTGAGGGCGGTCGCAGAATAGCGTACGAGACGATGCCACTGGGATGCAGGAATGTGACTCGGTGCGGGACGTATAAAGACATCTGCTTGATCTGTACATTCACAAGGCCGTATTCGAAGATGGGTGAATTATTCGTGGTATAACAGATGGAGACCTTGAAATCGGCAAACCTGGAGCCCAAAAAGGAGATACGAATTATCAATGGCCTTGACTGTCCGGGTAGCAAAAGCAAGGGAGACGCCTGCTGCATAGCAAGTGAAAAACAGCGCTTCGGAAGTCAGTCAAACTGTTCACATATGGACGATCAATGTTACTTTGGATGGTAAGGCGGTTTCCAAGCAACCAGTATCTTGTAAATCAACCTTCTCGACGCGAATAATAGAACGAGTTGCATTGGTGAGCTGAACCGACCCATATTGCCCAGCTGGCTTGTTGTTCACCGCCTCTGGAAATAAACATGATTTCGAGTGGATGAGCAACGATTCCTCTACTACTGCTCCTGTGAGACAGCAAACCAGACCAGGATGCGCGATTCCTCCAAATAACCTGACATCGCGCACGAGACGAATGTTGATAACATGGTCTCCGGGGGCCAACTGTAGGATCAGCGGCTGCCTACGATACGCATAATAGTCACCACCAAAGAAATGCTCGTCATCCAACCAGAACTCCAGAACATTTTCGACATATAGGCAGACTGTGATGATTTCTGATCCATAGCAAGTGAGAATCCCTCGTGTCCAGGCTTGCCACTGTAAGGCAGCCCACCCATAGACTGATTGTAACGATAGCCAATTGACGCTGGGGAATTCGACATTGAGCTCGCCTGAAACATTAGCAGACGCAGGGATATCTAGCAAGCTGTTGTCTAAAGGATGCCTTTTCCACTGGTGTTGCGACCAAGAGACGCTACCGTCCGGGGCTAGAGAGCTACGGAAGGTCGCATTACCATCGATTGATATGTTGCAGAACCCGCCGATGTGTTCTAGAGGATCTGCTCCCCAGGTTGCCTCTACGCGCGATCAACGACATCAGCCCTTGGATCGTCTTGAGAATACCTCGAGTTCCAATCTGAAATGGTCCGAGGACATGCCAAATCTCAGAGAAGCTCAGCGGATTAGCGGCATTCTTGTACATTATCGACATATTCTTGAGTAACGCTAGATTTATTTTGCGATCAGTCGTAGCTGTGGCGAGATACGAATCTTCACAAATGACATGATATCCTTGCCTTCCGAGCAATTGGCAGCATTCACATTTCAAGATTGGTGCAAGTCAGAGTTGCCTGCCTCTTTCGTTGCATGGAAAGGGGATTTGCAGAGCAAGTGATTGGAGCTAGAAGAGCCGCGACCTCTATCATTCGAGAGAGTCGGGGGAGGTCAGGAGGCCTGCCAAGCACGGAAAAACTATCACCCGCTGTTCTGATCGAATTCGGACAACCTCGTAAATTGTTTCAAGACCTCTACAAACTTGCGCCAACCTCTCTCTTATCACGTGTTGTACGTCGTGAAGCTACTACCAACAGCCCGACCATGGTCTCTACACAAGCTTGAGATCTAATATATCAGACATCTTTCAATCGTTATAAATCTGTTGCAGCAGGCTGCTCAAGAAAATTCAACCTTGCAGGATCTCCTTCTTTGACGGCCCTACGTACTCCTCACAAAACGCTTCTACCAAAAGCCAATATGATGACATAGACAAAAGATAAACGAGCGTATGAGCGCTACTATTACAATGCCCTCTGTTGCGACAGAGCGGCGAAGGTCTTCCTCATGTGTGAACGAAAGATTTCCAGACTTTGACCCCACGATCGAGTCCAGCAGCACATACTTGAGTGCATATCAAGAGCATAGCCCCGTACGTGCGTCTGCCCGGGCAATTAGTCCGGGCAGCGTCAACCGTGCTCTGCGCGCAAGCACTTCCCAGTCACGCAACGAGGCGCACCTAACCTGGGGAAATGGATCGATAAATGTTGCCGGACCAAGGCATCATGGCCCGCAAAAGGGTTTAGGCGATGCGTTCAGGAGCATTCGAAGACGAAGAACTAGTGTATCTGAGGGCGCGCAAGAGCTTGCCGAAGCATTGAAGGCTCCTCTCTCCGTCGAGCTTGTTGTAAGTTTCTGGAAAGAGCGAAAGCGGCGGAAGGAAGCTGACCGAACCGCGCCTTAGGTCCTTTGTCTCATCTGGTATATGAGCTCCGCCCTTACAAACACGTCCTCAAAGTCGATTCTGAACAATTTTCCAAAACCGATTACCCTTACAATCATACAATTCGCCTTCGTTTCTGGGTGGTGTATTTTCTTCGCATTATTAGCGCATGTTTTCCCACGACTCCGCAGCATCATACCCGCACTAAAGCATGGCATTCGCCCTCCGAGTCGCGACGTGATAGCGACTACCGTGCCTCTCGCTTTATTTCAAATTGGTGGGCATATCTTATCCTCCACAGCTACAGAAAAGATACCAGTGTCACTTGTCCATACAATCAAAGGGCTTTCACCGCTCTTCACTGTTTTGGCTTACCGTTTGTTGTACGACATTCGCTACCCTTTGAACACATACCTCTCCCTAATTCCGCTGACGCTTGGAGTTGTTTTGGCTTGCAGCGTTGAGTTCTCAGGCAATCTATTTGGCATCATTTGCGCCTTTGGTGGGGCACTCGTCTTTGTCACGCAGAATATATTCTCCAAAAAGCTCTTCAACGACGCCGCTCGCGCTGAGGATGACGGGCCTTCAGCAGCTTCAACCTCACGCAAACTAGACAAGCTCAACCTACTATGCTATTGCTCTGGTCTCGCCTTCCTGCTGACACTTCCGATATGGCTGTGGACAGATGCTGTTCCACTCTATTCGGCCCCCCTCTCGCTCACGCCTCACATAATTCGCTCTTATCGTCAACCATCCTCAATGTACCTCCCTCTTGAGTTCTTCTTCAACGGAGTCTTCCATTTTGCCCAGAATATACTGGCTTTCGTACTTCTCTCCATGACCTCTCCGGTCACGTACTCGGTGGCTTCGCTTATCAAACGAGTCTTCGTTATCGTTATGGCCATAGTCTGGTTCGGCAACAGCACCACGCCTGTTCAAGCTGCGGGCATAGCCCTCACCTTTCTCGGCCTCTACCTTTATGACCGTACAAGCGATGCCTCGAAAGCGGACCGAAGGGCAAAATTAGAGCTTTCCACCAAACATGAGCCATTGCTTCCTCTCGCAATGAAAGACACTAGCATCACCGAATCACCAGTGGGTTTAGGTCTCAGCAAGATGTTTGGCTCCGCAAGCGGGCAAATAACAGGGGAAGAGAAAAGATCAGATGCGACTGGACCCGGAAGACCAAGAGCTGGAAGTATGAGTGTCAGTCCGCACCCAGGTATGAAACAAGAAGAAACATGGCGGCCTCGAGACCATAGCGTCAATCGTACTGTTACTGTGAGATGATGAATAAATGATAGAATAACAAGATTTTAGAGGAGATGGTCTCCACGAACACGGTGGCCGTTCATGCATATGAGGTTAATGAAGCTAGAAAAGATAGATAAACTCATTTCGGTCAATAATAATTTAATGCTCAAACAACACCTTTGCAGGTACAGTAACGAGAGGCATCCCGTGATAGTATGACCTCAAGTACGCATTGAACATGGCGAGACCATGACTTGATAGCCATCAGCAAACGGAGCGTCCCCGAGATGTTGCCGCCGTTGGTAAGGAAATTTCAACTGCATTAGCCTCTTCCAAAGCCTTCGTTCTTCCAGCTACGACGCGATTTGCTCTTGGATCATCTAGCAGAGGAAATGGAAGTTACAATTTAAGCTTCCACCTCCTACAATAAAAATGTCCGCGAATGAGTTGAGGGAGAAAAGCGAGAACTCTCTGCGGACGCTTGATGAGGGTAGGGCGGAGCTAGGATAAGCTAGCGCCAAAATACGGTGGTCTGGAAGAGGTGATATCCCTAAATTGAGGGGGGCTTGGGAGCATTAGGACCGGGCGTGTGACGTTGCCTTGAGCTGTTAGGATGGGCAATCTGCAACGAACGCGTCCTATTCTATGTCATATTCCTGACACTACGTCTTTCCGGCGAGCAGTGAATGGAAACTTCGCGCCAAAGAGCTTCCTTTCACCCTATCCTCCACCTGCTACCTGCTACCTGCCAGGGCCTTTTGTCCGGTGAGGGGGCCATTACCTCCTGGGAGCGTCATCTCTCCGCCTGACCATGCGCGAGCTGCAACAACCGCATGGGCTTCCATGATATCCAATCGAACTTTGCCAGGTGGAGATACCTGAGATAGTCTGTCCGCTGATTCTGAAAGCCTTCGGGTATGTTTTTCGCCATGGGATTCTCCTTCAGCCTTCCCAAATCCCTGCTTTCTATCCCAATCCGTACTTCAAAATCGTACAGTCCCAGAGATTGCGCCTTGATCCTACTCTTTCCCCAAGAGTGAACCCCTCCAACAGTACGAGATGACTTTGCCTCTCTGCAACAATCAGAGCTATTAGAGATGCCTGCGTATTATCTCCAAGATTGCCACTACTTCTATCGCACTGCTTTGAAGCTGCTATCTATCCCTACCGTGGTTGCACCTGCATTCCATTGAAGAAAAGCTCATTCATCATGGTAGCCCACAAATTCACTAGGCCTGGCTCTCTTGACGGGTCGCTTGAACAATCAAAATTCGAAGGCAGCGATATGGAGCAAGCATCTGCTCAAAGCGTCAAGGAATCTTTTTCGCCTGCCCAACAGGAGCCTTTGGCGCAGGATGGTGTCATTCGGAAGCCCGGAATTACGTTTGCTCATCAAGACAAATTACCAAAGCTGCCGATACCGGAATTGGAAAGCAGTCTGAAGAAGTATCGAGATGTATTGCAACCACTACAGGGGGCAAGAGAGCAGGCAGATACAGCTGCAGCGGTCGAAGAATTCCTGAAGGCAGAGGGCCCTGAGCTGCAGTCAAGGTTGAAGAAGTATGCAACGGGAAAAACTAGCTACATTGAACAGTTTTGTAAGTGAATGTACATATATGAGAGTATCAGTGATTAATTCTGCAAACCAGGGTATGATTCGTATCTCAATTTCGACAATTCCGTAGTCCTAAATTTGAACCCTTTCTTCCTTCTAGAGGACGACCCTACGCCAGCTCGAAATAACCAGGTCACTCGCGCAGCGTCCTTGATTGTCTCTGCTCTCTGCTTCGTTCGTGCAGTTCGCAAGGAAGAGCTCCCGCCCGATACGATTCGAGGCCAGCCTCTATGTATGTATCAATTCTCCAGACTTTTCGGCACCGCACGTGTTCCGACCGATAATGGCTGCCATATCGCCCAAGATGGCGGATCGAAACATGTGGTGATGGCATGCAAAGGTCAATTCTACTGGTTCGACGTCCTGGATGACAATGCAGATCTGATCATGTCAGAGAAAGATCTAGCGATCAATCTTCAGGTTATTATTGACGATGCCGAAAAGACCCCTACTCAAGAAGCTGCGCGGGGAGCGCTCGGAGTCTTGAGCACCGAGAATCGAAAGATCTGGGCTGGACTACGGGATGTGCTCACTAGAGATGGGGACTCCAACAATGCCGAATGTCTCAACACTGTCGATTCTGCCATTTTTATTGTCTGCCTAGATTACACGGAGCCAGCGTCGCCAGCAGAGCTCTGCGGAAACATGCTATGTGGCACGTCAGAAGTTGTCAAAGGTGTGCAAGTTGGGACTTGTACAAATCGCTGGTATGATAAGATGCAGATCATCGTCTGCAAAAATGGGTCTGCAGGCATCAATTTCGAGCATACAGGTGTTGATGGCCATACCGTACTTCGTTTTGCGTCTGACCTATACACGGACACGATTCTTCGCTTTGCTAGATCTATAAATGGCCTTGCTCCGACCCTTTGGGCGTCTAACTCTCCCGATCCCTCAAAACGAGATCCTGAATCTTTCGGAGATGTTTCTACCACACCGCATAAACTCGAATGGGATATGTTGCCTGAATTGTCCACTGCCTTGCGTTTTGCAGAAACCCGCCTCGCAGACCTTATCCAGCAGAACGAATTCCAGACTCTCGAATTTGGAGGTTACGGGAAAAACTTCATGACATCTATGGGGTTTTCACCGGATGCCTTTGTGCAGATGGCCTTTCAAGCCGCTTACTACGGCCTTTATGGCCGCGTCGAGAACACGTACGAGCCAGCAATGACAAAGGTCTTCCTTCATGGACGCACTGAAGCTATTCGTGCAATCTCCCTTGAATCTGCCGACTTCGTGCGCACCTTCTGGGCCGAGAAGTCACCAGCAGAAAAGATTGAGAAGCTTCGCAAGGCCTGCGATCAGCATACCAAGCGCACCAAAGACTGTGCCAAGGCCCAAGGCCAGGACCGGCATTTGTACGCTCTGTACTGCGTCTGGCAACGCGCTGTAGACGAAGATGGCGCCGAAGCCGCATCGAGCAACGGATTTAGCAGTGACGGCTATGCCAGCCCGACAGAAGACTCTACCTCATCGCCAAATCGTCGCCGCTCCCTTAGTAAAGGCTCGGACAACGATGCCAACCCAATCGATAGCTCACGGAGCCCTTCGCGCCGCCAACATCAGCCCTCCCAGGCAATGCCCGCCCTTTTCGCCGACGCCGGTTGGGACAAAATCAACAATACCATCCTATCCACCTCCAACTGCGGCAACCCTGCACTACGCCATTTCGGCTTCGGCCCCACTTCCGGAGAGGGTTTCGGTATCGGCTACATTATCAAAGATGACACTGTCAGTATTTGCGCGAGCAGTAAGCATCGGCAGACCAAGAGATTTGTGGACGCTATTGAGAGCTATTTCCAGGAGATTAGGAAGTTGCTGAGGGGAGGTGGGGGAGGGACGAAGAGTAAGCATGCTAGTCGGGCGAGAGAGGCAGAGAGGGTTGAAGTGTTGGGAAGGAAGGGACGAGTGGTGGGGCAAGGAAAGGAAGTGGGAAGTCAGGATCATGGGGATGAAGAGGTTGAGGATGATGAGGATGGGCTGGGAGGTTGTGAGTAGTCTCCTTTATTTTCTCCCTTTTGCACTTTGCTATGTTGAGAAATTGCTTTGGGGATATGATGCTAATTTTCTGCCTTCAGATGGTTTCTTCGATGCTGGAATGCTGCTACAGGCGCTCAAGGCAAACCAAGACGAGAAGGACCGGCCTAACGAGAACTCATTTCCTCGGCGACCGACCGTGGGCAAGAAATTGACTTTGCGAGAATATTGACGCTGAATGTTGTGTATTTACTCTTCATACAAGTAAACGGTAAATGAAAATTTGGACAGCGGCCATCGGCTTACCCAAAGTCATGTTGCCGAAGCTACGATCATTATCGCTTCTTCTATGGATATGTTTGTAATACTGCGTGCGTGGGACAAAATCCACATTTTACGACAGGGGGAAGTGGCAGACCAAGACGACGAAGGGGAGGAGGAATCTGAGCTTATGAGACTGCATTCGTGAGCAAGGCAATTAAATTCCGATCATGCTGTTGCAGCTTGCCTATTCCCATGGCTTGAGGCGACAAAGCGTTGTATAAATATTTGATCAGAGTGATTCGTCAGGAATACTTGTTAAGACAAGTTCAAGAATCGAAAAACGGTATCATACTACAACTACAAGAACGTTTTGGTCTACTTTCCCCAGTAAATAATGCGATGCTATTGATGGTGCCCATCCGCTCAATGCTTTTCCCTTGGTCTCATCCCAGCATTCCCCATCACACCGGCAAATTGAAGCGCTTACCCTGCAACACCCTACATCAAGAAGTCAGCTCCAGGTCCGTACAAACACTTCACAATCTCGTCTATTGCAGCGACAGACTTTAGATTCAAGGGGGGCCTACTTCGTATAATATATCCAGAAGAAATCCGAGTACAGCACCGTCTGCACCACCCCTGCGATCCATGGTATCTGGTCCACGTAACCCTCAGCAAAATACCTGTACAGCCAATTCGGGATATATAGCGCCCTGTACAGCCCCAACGCAAACAAATAGTGTGTCGTTATTGTCTCTGCTTCGCCTGTCCGTTGCAACATGAACAGTTGCGGTAAGATTGCGACAGATTCAAGCCAGATAGAAAATGCCCATAAGATCTCAGAGATCTCGTATTTGTAGGGAAAGAGGATACCGAGGACGGCTGAGCCGCCTAGGAGATACTCGACTTTAAAGGTATCGATGTTAGGGTCGTGGGTTGGTTTGTAGTCATTCAGCATGAGATAGACGGTGTAGGCTTGGGCGGAGAGGAAGAGAAGCTTGAAGATGGTGTTGTAGAGTGAGCCTGAAGTCAATGTCCAGAAGATGTCTATGTTTGGAGAAAGGGGGTAAGCAGATGTTGCGGATGCGCTAGGGTAGGAGAGGCTCTTAGAGATAAAACCTGCTGACTGCGAGACATACCGAGATATCTGGTCGAGTAGACAATCATATAGAGCGCTTGCGATTTGAAGGATATGCCGGAGCAGCTCTGAATGGCTGTCAGGAAGGGCCAATTGAAGGGGGAGCTCTTGGAGAACGTACATGGGAGGATCGCATCTTTTGGAGGAGGATGAGGATGGAGATGAGGTGGGACAAGTCCGCTTGGATGATAGCATCGTCAGCGCAGATTCTCCAAGCTTGTGTCCTGCAAGAAGTATCGATAGGTATGATTGGTTACCTAGAATGCGGAAAATGTTCATAATTGCGCGAGTATTTGCTTCTTCTCCGCCCAGCGGCGCCTCGTGTAGCACGTCAAATAATACTAGTTATCTGGATCTCCAGGTCTTGCAAGTCAGCCATCAATTGTACGTTCGATAACGTGTACTGGCCTTTTGGAGCTGCCCCGATTTACAATTTTCAACAAAATGACACGCATGGGCTTGGCAGACGCGTACGGCCCGTCTTTCGCCCGTAGTCAGACACATTTAGACCCAAATTCTATTGCCTAATTCGGTACAGTCTTCCAACGCATTGATAGTGAGCTTTGACCGGTGCACCTCGAGCAATCTGGCCGAGAGAGTCCTCGCTGGATTTGCATGGATGCGCTTGGTATATCGACTGCGCGTTAGATTGAGACTTATCACTTTGGCCTTATTAGTGCATCAGCCACATCCTGCGGAACAATAAAGCCGCTGCATGACAGCCGCTAGCGTGGTGCCATCCATATCAGCCTTTCAGCCCATCGTCGCGGCTGATCAGGCCCATAAAGTCAAGTCTTTGTTCGATACTGGTTAGTGCTGTGCGCAACAGGAGCTGCATGACCGCAGAAGTCAGGCCCAGCTCACATTAATTAGCCAATACAGATACCATTTAGACCCCGGGTGCTGCACACCAGCCACCAGTGGCTTCCAGTACTCGATTATTGCGCCTTATGGTCACGGCCACGGCGACGTGTATCCCGGCAATGTTTCTTTGAGACTGCTCTACGATACTGATTCAATGCTGCAACCTACACAGCTTTATCAAACAATTGCCATCTACTCCTCAGTCGCAACCACAATCGTCACAGGTCGAGCAGCTTTGACAAATGCAGTCGACATGTCGAAATAGATCTTCTTGAGAATACAGGCTTATAAAAGATACCCAATGGCTCTATCAAGTCGTGCAGTACATTGATCTACGTTTGGAGATGGATTGAGTACCTTGACCGATACCGCTTGGAACGCCGACCTCGACTGGCAATGTCAGTGTCCTCAACTCAAGGCAAACATCCCGCACAGACACCGCCAGGGTCAGCCAAAAGAACTAAATTCGCAAGAATAAAAAGCGCTATCGACGCCCAGCTCGATGAAATCATTAAGGACATTCTCCCCAATACACCCTATATCCTCCGCACTCCACGAGACAACGGCAACCCAATCTCTAAGACCCACTCATCACCGTACTGGCTACGTGGAACGCCATTAGTGCCTGGCGAACAAGAGCTGCAATATATGACCTTCCGTCAATCGCCAGAGGGTATGCTACATTCCTTGGGGCTGTGGGATGATGGAAACGGAGGTATCCCTGCACCGGAGAGGCCCCTGAGTCGAGCAAGTAGCGCTCATACTCCAGGACAGAGTCAGCCGGTGAAAAAGTTGAATTTCACTGAGTATTTGAACCGAGAGAAGAGCAAGAGCGTAGGCAAGGATGCTGCTCCACAACAGAAAACAAAGGAATTGGCGAAAGGAGAAGCGAACGGTCCGGTTGAACGGCAGCATGATATTGAGCCACATGCTGCAAAGACCAATGGTCAGAACCCTACAGATAGCGAAAAGCCGTCTCGCTCCCCAATTGGGCAAAATCAGCCAGGTCAACAACGTAGAACGGTAAAGCAGCCAGTGGTAAATAGACAGTCTCTTGAACACATGCCACCGGGCGTGTCTGCTACTCCATCGCCACCCGCGAAGAAGCGGCGACTATCCTCTGAAAACAATGTTATCACTCAATTGGAAGAGTCAACCCAGAAGTCACAGGACCTATCCGAGCAGCAGGTCAAGACAGCTGATGATGTTAACAAGTCCTCATATGCCAATGATCCTTCGCAGGAGAAGCCTAAAGCTGCGCCGTACTTAGTTGAAGATACAGATATTACGGCTAGCCGGCCAGCATCGGCCAAGGAAACCAGCAAGAAAGATAGATCGCCAAAACTTCCTCCAATGCTTTCACCGACCCTGCCGACCGCCGAAGCGTACAGGCTACCGCCTTTGCTATCTCCTACATTACCAAAAGACGTGGAGGAAGCGATTCTTGAACTCAAAGCTAAGGTACAGAAAGCGGCCGACCAAAATGCGAATTCTCTAAATCGAGCGAAAAGTCCATCATTGCATGCTCCCTCTGGAACTGATCGCGTCAAGGCGCCTGGAGAAACAGCCAAAGAATCGAAAAAGGGTGTCTCTCCAGCCGCAGCTGATAGGGCAAATCATCTTAATGGAGTCTCAAACCCTTCCAAGCTTCGCGAAAATGAGGATCTCCGACCCACCGAAAAGATGAGAAAAGTATCATTGATTGTAAAGCTAAGAATCAAGCGAAAGCAAAGTCGTCGAGAGCTGAGTCAGTACCTCAATTTGAGACCGACGCCTAACAAGGTGCACTGGGAGAGAAAGATCTCGCCAGAGCACCGTGCGTCTTTCACACCTTCCAAGGAGCCGGCCTTACCAAGTTTGAAACGGGAGAGAATTTGTTTTGAGGAAGGCACGGCCAGGAAACGGCGGCGCGGTTCAGACTCCTCGACACTGCACGCCGAGACACCATTGCCACCAGGATCATCACCACCAACAACTAGACCTCTCAGCGCTCAGAAACCACGCCTAGACGCTCGTCCGACATCAGCCGCAATGCGACGCGCAGGTTCAGGCCAAAGTCTTGCGACAACACCCCAAGGCCAAAGTCGACATGGTACGCCTAGTGTAGCTGACAAAGAATCTCCGTCGAAGCAAGAGCGACTGCGAGTAGAGTATCGTGCTGAGATGCTCCGGCTTGCTAACATAGGTCGAGACCTTAAACACGAAGCTGACAGATACTTGAAGCCTGAAAGCCGCACCGAGGACGACGTTAAGATCGGCCTAGTCTTGGGTACTGAAGCAGTGCTGGCCTTCATTCTTGCGGCTGCGGTACTCGATGAACCTCCTCGACGAGAAGGCTTGCCTGGTCACACGTCACAGTGGAAAACTGTACTACCACTTCTAGGAAGCCTCACCTTCAAAGCAAGCTCGTATCCATACCTTTTCGGTCTCCTCTGCCAGCTCGAAGGCCTAACACGCGACGTGATACATAATTACGAAACAATTCACTTCCGAGCAATTCTTCGCGAACAGTACGCACAGGGCGACGAGCCCCCTTTGCAGAAAAATCACGCTTTCATCAAAGAATATGTAGAAAATGAAATGAGAACTGAGAAGCTGTGGCCTGAGGGCTACGCAAACCTCTGGTTGCCCGATTTGCAAAAACATTTTCCTAAAACGTGGGGAAAGGCAAGACAGGTTCCAGGCAAGGGGAAAGCGCAGGACAGCATTGACTTGAAAGACTACACCAAAGACGGCTTTGCGCTGCCAATGGGCAAAGCAACGAGTGCGATTGAGGGCGTAAACGCAGGCATGTGTTTTCTTCAGGAGCACTGCGAGCTGGAGAAACTGGATTGGAAGGCGAAACTAATCTTGTAGGTGACCGCTACTTTACCAAGCGCGTCACTCTCAACTGCTTGCAACTTGCCGAATGCACCAAATGACCGGCCGGCATGAGGACGCAAGACTAGAAAGAGCAAGAAGTTAAACAGGTCTATTAAGAGATTGAGAGATGTCACCGTTCGCTTGGACTGAGAGTTTTGATGATTACAAGGCATGATTTCTTGAACTACCATATAACCCGGTCTCCAGTATGATGATACTGTGAACCAAGCGACCTGATAGTAAATTGCAATGATACTTTTTCAATGTTCAAACCGTAATTCTCACAGGGGTCAACTATCGCACATTTACTTCCAATTGTGCATGCTATGGAGTATTTCATTCGGATTGAATAGCAACAGAGACCCTTAATGCACATTATCAGACTGCGCACGTGGAAGAATCATCCTCTGCATTCAAAGAGATGGAAGAGTTGCGGTAAGCTCGTGATACCATGTGCCAAGGTGCCAAGGTGCGTTGATTTTTAGGTTGCCAAGATTTCGGCCCGTGCTAAACCGCACGCCTTTCCCAAAGTGGTATTTGGGCTTTCGACAAATGGTATCCAGGCATCCTTAAATTTTTGTTCTTGTCATGCCAGCAGTCATTGTGAAGCACATCTCCTGCTGTAGGTTTGATCAACTATATCATCTTCCATCTTCCGACTTCTTTTGATCCTCCGAGCTGCTCTCTTGAGATCACGGATCTCGGCACCCACCCTTCGTCCGTCCCTTTGAACACTCTCTTACTATGGCTAATGATGAATACGATGTGAGGCCTATGGTTGAGACCTGATATTGCGTCATACTAATATCTGTATAGTTCCTATTCAAAGGTACCGTACTCGATATGAACCAGAGCTTGTTGAGCTTGGGCGGGCTCTAGGCGTGTACTGATCACCCCGAATCTCTAGTCGTCCTGATAGGAGACTCCGGCGTCGGCAAATCGAACCTACTATCCCGTTTCACACGCAACGAGTTCAATCTTGATAGTAAATCAACAATCGGGGTCGAGTTCGCCACCCGCTCCATACAAGTCGATGCGAAGACAATCAAAGCGCAGATATGGGACACTGCAGGGCAGGAACGGTACCGTGCCATCACGTCAGCATACTACAGGGGTGCAGTAGGGGCACTTCTGGTATATGATATTAGCAAACACCAGACATACGAGAACGTACAGCGGTGGCTGAAAGAGTTGAGGGATCATGCGGATGCCAACATCGTCATCATGCTGGTGGGCAATAAGAGCGACTTAAGGCACCTACGGGCAGTCCCTACAGAGGAAGCAAAGGGATTTGCAAGTATGTGCTAATCTTGGAAATTTGCACTGGTGCTACAGAGCAAGTGTGCTAAGTTCTCAATAGGCGAAAACAATCTCTCGTTCATCGAGACCTCAGCCTTGGATGCAAGCAACGTTGAATTAGCATTTCAAAACATCCTCACTGGTAAGCAAAGGCGCCTTGGATCTCAATGAAAACCCGGGCTAATACATCTATAGAAATTTACCGAATCGTCTCAAGCAAAGCGCTTGATAATGGGGACGGCGGCCAGAATCCAATTGGGGAGAGGAAAGTATTGGAGATCAGCAAATCGGCGGAAACAGAACAGAAATCAGGAAAGTGTTGCTAAGACTTTGAGCAGAAGCAGGGCGCTTGTTCAAGAGTGTTACTGACATCTTAATACTCGTATGAAATTGATTTGTCTATTTGGCCTTTTTCCGAAGTCTTCTACCCTCGCGTTTCCAGAAGGAAAAAAGTAGTCTTCCTTCTTACCCATCCGTTCATTCTCTCTATCTTCTACTCGACATTACCATTCTTAGGGAACCGGCCACGCATATACCAGGAAACGTCGGCTCGCAAAAATCCGCAAACAGTTCTTCGTCGGGCGCTGTCGTTGAAAAAGACGAAACTGCTGCTTGCATAGATCCCACCACTTGTCTTGCGGAGGCGTACTTTCTCACGTCATGCTCTTTGTATTATCGCCTTTGATTATCAGAACGCTCGCGAGAATGAAGGCTGTGTCGATAATACACTGCGTTACTACGCAAGGCTTTGTGGACAATAATTAATGGCCACTCCGCCAGTGCCGTTACATTTGAGGTTTCTATCTTTACCTCACCCTTTTCCAGTCTTAACTCTTCACTAACAGACTTTCAAACGCTCAGGATTTCCGGCTGAAGGTGAAAGTGAAAGTGAAAGTGAAAGAGAAAGACTAGTGCCAGGCCAAGAAAGTTGAATGTCACGTGCTCGTGCGGGTCACTGGATGACCTCGCTGCAATTTCCTTCCTCACTCCCAAGATATCAACATGTTCATTTTTCGATGACGAATAAGTCCTTGGGCAAGACACTCTACTCTTCACTCCGCTCCCAAGGGCCCTTCATCAAGTCAAACTCGAATGCGCTCTTCAAGCGTCTCCCTCACCCATGGATCAGAGCTTCAATACCATCCCGGAACCTCGCTCAAGTCCGACCAGATCATGAACTATCTCAGGAAATGTGGTTCACACCATCAGGACCCCCACGTCAAGTCCATGATGATCTCAAATTCAAGGACATGAGTCCACCAAGTCAGCGGACGTTAAAGCTGGGCAAAAGTCGTTCCCCACCTTCCCCTCCGCCACTCCCATCAATATGCAATTCGCTAACAATTTCAACAGCACTCAGTACGCTCCAATCTCGCCTTCCTAGCCTCCTGGCTTCCCCATTGCCACAGAAAATACTTTCCCCCCACATTACTCTCCACCTATTCCCCTCGACGCACCCCCACCTCCCAACAGTCACTGGCAGAGTCCCCTACCATGCCGCCCTCTGGACTGCCCCCATGGCCTGGGGCCGTGTTCCCATCCTCGGAAACGTAAAATTGATCATCATTTCCGAGCGCATGGTAAAACACGGCTCCTCTTCTAACATCACCGACACCGGCACCTCAGTGCACAACGAGCGCCTCATCGTGCGCTGGAAGACCTGTGGCAAGACTAAAGGAAAAGGGATGGGCGCGCTGTACCGAGGCATCGGAGGGAGTGAGCAAGTGGATAAGATCACGGAATGGTTGGGCGGCGACGCGAGAGATGATGAGGAGTTCTGCGGGCTCTTCATCTTCGAGTTCGATGAGGAGGGCAGGATTCTGACGCATACGATCGAGCATGCGGAGGAGAGCGGACCTTTGGATCGGACGAGTAGGGTGGTCAGCGTGACGGATTGGCTGTTGAGTCGGGTCAATGGGAAGAGGAAGGTGCCGGAGATGGCGCTGGGTTGCGTGGAGGGAAGACAATTGCCACCCCGCTCATCAACATGGCAATCTAAACCTGGTTGTCTCGCTCCAGATGATCCTCTCGCAAAGCCTCACAGTTCTTGTCACGCGCTTGCAACAGGCTTCTGCAACGGTGAGGGGAGGTAGCGAAGAGCGAGTGGAAAGGAAGATGTTACATTGTGTTGCCCTAAGTAGATACACTATCCTCCAACAAGATGCGATTACACAGACTCCTTATTCTCATTTGTGGCTTTTGTTCCCATAGAGGACTTATGCTCAAAATGGAAAGCCAATAGAACAACAAGGTCATAGCCTCATGTACAACGGACTAATTACCCTTCTCCAAATCTGCGAGGATCTTCTCCCCCTTTTGGCGCGCAGACTCGAAGTCACCGACCATATAGAAAGCACCTTCTGGAAGATCGTCACCCTCTCCGTTCATGATTGCCTTGAAACTAGCAATCGTATCCTTCAAATCGACCAATTTACCCTCAATACCAGTGAACACTTGCGCAACAGTGAATGGCTGGCTCAAGAATCTTTGCAGCTTTCTGGCACGCTCAACGGTCAGTTTGTCAGCCTCGGATAATTCGTCCATGCCCAAAATGGCGATGATATCCTGCAACGACTTATATTCTTGCAACATTTGTTGCACACGGGAGGCAGTTTGGTAGTGATCTTCGCCTACGACCCTGGGATCAAGCATACGAGACTTGCTGTCAAGCGGATCAACAGCTGGATAAATACCCAATTCTGAGATTCCACGGGACAAGACGGTAGTGGCGTCTAGATGGGCGAAGGTGGTAGCTGGAGCCGGATCCGTCAAGTCATCAGCAGGTACGTAGACGGCCTGCACCGACGTAATGGAGCCTTTGTCTGTGGTGGTGATTCGTTCTTGCATGAGACCCATGTCGACAGCGAGGGTGGGCTGGTAGCCGACGGCAGAAGGAATGCGACCTAGGAGAGCGGATACCTCGGATCCAGCTTGTGTGAAACGGAATATGTTATCAATGAAAAGTAGCACTAGATCGGTAAGCACAAAGCAATCGAATGGCGAGAAACAAGGTTACCATCTTGGCCTTCCTCGTCTCGGAAGTACTCAGCGACGGTCAAGCCTGTCAGAGCCACACGAGCGCGGGCCCCTGGAGGCTCGTTCATTTGTCCAAACACAAGTGCGACTTTAGACTCGCCGTCAAGCTGGATGACTTGCGTTTCCTGCATTTCGTGGTATAAGTCATTACCCTCGCGAGTGCGCTCCCCGACGCCTGTGAATACAGAATAACCACCATGAGCCTTGGCAATGTTGTTCTAGTATCGTTAGCATATGATCCGAAGAGCCTGTGTTGATGTCGTACAATCAATTCCTGAATGAACACAGTCTTGCCGACACCAGCACCACCGAAAAGACCAATTTTACCACCACGAGCGTATGGGGCAAGCAGATCGACGACCTTGATTCCCGTGACAAGTACTTCTGCCGAAGTAGATTGGCTAATGAACTCTGGAGCATCGGCGTGAATCGGCTTCTTCAGGGTATGTTTGATAGGTCCTCGCTCATCAATTGGATCCCCTGTGACATTGATGATGCGCCCAAGTGTGCCGGGTCCAACGGGGATCATAATTGGTGACCCCGTATCACGAACAGAACGTCCTCTGACCAATCCCTCGGTGCCGTCCATAGCAATCGCCCGAACAACGTTCTCACCGAGATGTTGCTGACAGACATGAGCATAAGTTTCGGCCAGCGATTGTATGTACTCACAGATACTTCGAGGACGAGCTTCTGGCCAACATTTTCGGTTTCTAAAGCGTTGAGAATAGGTGGTAACGAATCTGTATCAAACTTGACTAAAGGGTGGAAACTGGGTCAACGGTCCATAACCTTCGCAATCAAGCGGCTTCCTGTCTTGTGAGGGGTTTTCCTTACCGTCGACAACAGCTCCAATGACCTGATGTATTTTGCCATCCCCAACAGAGCTTGCGAATCTTGCCCCTAAAGCGGGCGTAAGGTTCTTTCTGATCGGTTGAAACGCGTGTCGAGCTGGTGTAGGCCGTGGCAGTGAGGAGGTTCGCAGAGCTCTTGAAAGGCCGCTGTTACAATAACTTGGTTAGCATGGTCACGAAACTGCATCAGAAGCTTCTGACCTCTTCCACATAATGGACGTTAAGAGCAGAAAGTCTAGAGGGAGTGGAGTGGAAAGGAATGTGAAGCAATTGATATGCAAACAGCTGTTAGGGAACGAGAAGATGTCGGAAGTAACATTTTAGTCTTGGCGCGCTAGCAAAAATCGCCTAAAAGTGTAAAGAATCATTGCTACATGCCCAACTCCGAGTTGCTGTTGCCAGCAGATGCGACCCAATTGATCGACACAGGCGACGTGGAGCTGCGACTCTCTCCTTCGAAGTAGTCCCTACCTATCGCCGTCGTCACCACCCTAGCAGCGGCCTCCCAACATGCTCCGGTCGCTCCCTAGAGCACTTCGTAGCTCCTGTCCTTCGAGGACTCTTCCAATACATCCACTTCCCAGCACACCGGCAAATCCGATTTCAGCATGCTTGAGGTTGCGATCGTCATTGCAGACGCGATTGGCGACAACTCACGCTATCTCGAATCCAACTCTAGCAAATATTGAGAAGAGATGGGAGACCATGCCTCCCCAGGAGCAAGCTGAGCTTTGGATGTCATTGCGGGATCGGATGAAAGGCGACTGGCATGAACTGACATTATCGGAACGGAAAGCTGGTATGTGGCCCTGTCATGCGCTGTTGAGAATAGGAGAACCTTAGGAAATGGCTCCGATCATGCAATCTGGAAGGACAATGACTGCGCAGTACCCAAGCACGCAACGGATTATATCAAGCTACATCTACAAAGTGTGTGATGCTAACGCTCAATCTCACCAGCGTTCTGGATAGCATTCGGACCCCACGGTCCCCGCTCCGACTATCCCCCAGGAATGGACATGTATATATTCAAATGGACAACGGCCGCTGTTGCTCTCGCCCTCGTCATCTTCGTTGTAATTGGGCAGTTTGCAAGGGAACCTCCGAAAACAATGAATGCACAGTGGCAGGAAATGACAAACGACTATCTTAAGGTAAGTGATCTCTGCACGCCCTCTTCGGGCCTAGTGCATAGATATTGCTGCCTCAGGCTTTCAGCCTCCCGGATGCTGGACTACTTAGATCTCCTCGCTGACATATGCACCCCATCACAGAATCAAAAGACGGAGCCAATAACGGGAATCTCATCAGAGGGTTACACAGGTACGATGGTGCAGAGTAAACCCAGAAAAGGAGGAGTTCCATCAGATGATGACGAGTAGTGGTATTAGATACTGGCGTCTTGCAAAATTAGTTGATCATTAGAGAGACGGTGTATGCTATGAAGAAGGTACATATTCGACTTGAAGCTCCGCTTTGAAGCGAGGAATTTCTCCCAAATTACAAATTGCATTATTTTCTGAATCCACCAGAGCCTAAACCCAGCCCTGCACACTTTTATGTCTTCGAGGTCGCCATACCGTATCTGTTCGTTGTCTATTCGTAGTGGAATGCAGCTTAACCGAAATTCTTCAACCATGATCGTATCGTCGTTCATAAGATGTATGGTGCCGCTCGCAAGCCATTTTGAGGTCGCTAGCCTAAAAAGATCGTCTTCCTGATTACGCACGCCCCTGCAAGGGCAAGCTCCTCTCCATTCTCGCTCCCTCGCCGCGCCTCATGATCTCTAAGCTTCTGGGAAAGTACTCCCTCAATCCTAATTTACTCCTTAGAAATTGGCCTGTCTTCTCCAATCGCTTAATGTCTCTCCCAACTTGCCAGTTCTCTCCTTGTGATACTCCTCCATTTTGCACATGAGGAGCGTCCTCGGGATGTGTGCCCCCTACGCCACCATTCCCAGTTGCGCTGTCAGAATCCTTCAACCGCATCTTAACCACGTCCATCATGCATTCATCCAATCGTGCGTAGAAGTCTGCGCGCGATGCAGAGTCTGCGTCGTTGTTCCAGCCTTCATCTCCGCCATGCGAGTTCAAATTGCCGCCGAGCTTGATAAGGAGCTCAAAAGCAAGCGGGGAGCCGCCGGGCAGGCGCGAGAGCTCCTCAACTGGTGGGATCAATTGCGCCAGTGTAGAAGCAAATGTTGCGGTAGGAAGGTGAGTCGAGACGGAATCCTGCAATCGGTGTAGGTCATGGTTCAAAACGGTCATTTTGCGGTCGAGTTGGTAGTTGAGCGTAGCGGCAGCGGCAGGGTCAACGTTCATTGCTGAAGAGATCGAGGGAGGCACGTCTATGGAGATAGCGTTAGCAGACTCAATTTAATTGGAAAGTAGTGCGCTTACCGGCGCGGAGACCACGTTTGTCGATCCACGCGTGCATGTCTGCGCGCTCGTCCTCCAGTGTTTGTAGACGATAGGCAGCGTCTTCCACCTGCCCGCGGAGGTCTTCTATCTCCTCTTTGTAAGGCCGGATTGCGTCATTGAAGGCTTTGGTCAAGGGGTCTGGCGCCGGGTCCATGCTGCGGCCTCTTGGTTCTGGATCGTGAGTTGTTTGCAACGGAGCTGGATGCATTTGGCTGTAAGATGGTTCGCCTGCAGTAGCTGGTCGATATGTCTGCAATTTGTCCTGAGAATTAAAGTCTGAAGAGTATTGGGTATCTTTGTAAGGTTGTGTAGGGGAACTGTCTACATTGTGCGGCATCGGGCGCGAAGGCATGGGGAGATCGCCGTGATCTTTGGATGAGCGATCCCTCGACAATCGGCGAAGCCAGGAGGTCATGTTAAAAAGAAAGGAAAGCTGGCAATGAGCGGACGGGCCGGTAGAAGAGTCGACCCAGGTTCTCTCTTAGCAGACACGAGGTTGGGGATGTTAAGAGGATGGAGAGGTTGGGCGGAAAGCGGAGGCTGGGGCCCTCGGGCCCTACCCGAATCGGGTGACTGGGCTTCCGAAAAGATCTGGGCGCTAATGCACGGCTGTCGCCCGGCCCGCCGCGAGACCTTGATCCACGCCGGACTAAGACCTTTTTTTCGTCTCGTCTGGTTGGCCACCCTTATTCAATATCAAAATCTTCGGCTGGTGAAAAAACGATACTCGGACGCGCATGATGCATTTGACTCGGTAGCTTACATCATACACTCACACAAGTCTCCAATCGCGAGACATCTCTGCAAGGCGGCCAGGATGGCGCCCGCGGTAGTGGAAATCGCTGCGCAATCTGCAGCCAAGGACTTCAAGACAGAATCGGCCACAGCGAGACTGCTAGGATCAGGTAAATGACTCCTGAGGCCCTTCATAGACTTATCCTCAAAGCTGACCTGACCAGGTAGTGCTGGCATCGCCGAGTTGGCCATCTTTCATCCTGTGGACACCATAGCAAAGCGATTGATGAGCAATCAACAGAGAGTAAGCTCTATATCACAACTGAACCTAGCAATCTTCAAAGACAAAGCACATGATTCCGCTGTCCGAAAATTTGGCTCTCTTTTCCCTGGGTTAGGCTATGCAGCAGCATACAAGGTTCTGCAAAGAATTTATAAATACGGTGGACAACCCTTTGCAAAGGACTATCTAGCAGCACATTACGGACATCAGTTCGACAGAACTTTTGGCAAGGGTAATGGTAAAGCTGTCATGCACGCTACTGCGGGAAGGTGAATTGCACAGCAATCAGCTTCAAGAGTAGCAACGTGTTGACTTGATGTAGTCTTGTTGGGATAGGAGAAATTGTTTTGCTACCTCTAGACGTGTTGAAGATCAAAAGGCAGACAAATCCAGAAGCTTTTCGAGGTCGAGGCGTGGTACGAGTCTTTGCCGACGAAGGCTTTGGTCTTTACAGAGGTGCAGGTTGGACTGCTGCGAGAAATGCCCCCGGATCTTTCGCTGTTTGTCTCTTCCTTCCAATGAGTATTCTGACACAAATCTGACTTTGAATGCTTAGTTATTTGGTGGCGCAGCCGCAGCAAAGCAGTATCTGTATAAATTATCGGACTACAACACCGCCTCCTATCTACAGAACTTTGTTGCCTCCATCGCTGGCGCCACGTCCTCGATACTTGTCTCTGCGCCCTTAGATGTCATCAAAACTCGAATCCAGAACAGAAATTTTGAGAGCCCCGAGTCCGGCTTCAAGATCATAGGTAGTATGATGCGTCAGGAAGGTTTCCGGAGCTTCTTCAAGGGTCTCACCCCGAAAATACTCATGACTGGACCAAAATTGGTTTTCAGCTTTTGGTTAGCACAAACTTTAATTCCTGCTTTCAGCAACATTGTATAGTCAGCTGGCTTATATGTATATACATTGTAATTTGTTAAGGTTTGTTCATTAGCATAATCAAATAAACATGGCTACTGCAGACTATCGAGCAGAGTAGGAGCAGTCTCATGTATACTCTGAGATGTCGTGTGGGGCTTATTAGATAGTGGGAAATGTTGTTTACGCCATTTCTGCTATGTGTCAGGGTCTAGGTGGGCGAATCACTTATATGTGTCGTTTTTCGTTGGTTTAATAATTCAAGAAGAAATAAGAACGCGGTTATAGCAGACGATTGAGCAAAGCGGAACTGGTTTCATTGGTATCTAGAAATGCTGTTTAAGACTATACTAACGAAAGAATTGGGGTAGCCCGCCGCTGCGGGCCTACCCAGAGGCGTGAGAGGCCGAGGAGCGCTGCCTGAGTTGGCTCCGAGAGCCAGACGGACGGTTGGCGAGGGGGAGGAGCGGGATTGAAGCGTCTGGCGCTTCCAGCCAATCATCCTCGTCTTGCGTAGTCCACTTGACAAACAGGGCTTGTACAAGCCCTGCGACACAGGAGACGAGGCAGCAAAAACCGAAGACCACACCGATTGTAGCCCAATCTAGGCCTGGGCCCAGCCAAGGAAGCCTGAAGGAACTAAACAACATAGCAGAAGCGACCGTAACCACCAACGAGGCAACAAGTTGCCAGGCAGGCCAAGCCCGCCGGCCAGGGCCAGAAGCTTGTTGCAAGCGCGTGACAAAGATTGTGAGGCTTTGCGAGAGGAACATCTGGAGGAAAACAACCAGATTTAGATTGCCATGTTGTTGAATCGGGTGGCATTTAGCATGAATACCTCCGTCTGGCGTCATTTTGCAATTTTTCTTCATTGAAAAAAGGCAGAAAAGAGAAGCGGCAGCCAGGATCGAGCCACGAATCAAAGCTAGAGTCCACATAGTTCTGGTTTCCCAGCGAAGCGGTCTGATTGGAGCAGGCACGTTATCGTATGCGATTGGTATAACAACCAGATCGCCGAATGTAGCCATAATAGAGACGCCAGGTCCGCTAAGAGTCTCGGCCCAATTGAGGTACCAAAGAGTATAGAATAGGATAGCATGGACTGAAATAGTCATCCGATATGCGATATATGCCTGCAATCTTGAGAACACTAGTCTGGAGAAGCCAATTGCATCTGTCAAAGCTCTTAAACCTGGGGTGATTAGGACCATATCTGCGGCTTGTCTAGCAGGCGAACTCGCGGTCTCGAGTGTGATTCCCACATCTGCTTTGACGAGAGACGGTGCATCGGTTATTGCATCTCCAATAATTGCTACTGTCGCCCCGTATCGTTGTAGTGCTTTGATAGTCTCAAACTTTTGTCCGTGTGAAAGCTCTGCGAAGCCGTCTGCGCACATGATACGAGCCCCTGGTTCCTGGGAATGGGTAAGTATATGCGTAAGTTTGGCGGAATGGTGAATCCTAGAGCCCATTCCTGCCTGGATAGCTGCCTCTTCTGCGACGTCAAGGGCATCTTTTGTGAGCATTCTGACATTCAAACCCAGGTCTTTCGCTTTCTGAACATTGAAATCTAGCGTATCAACCGACGGCCAGCGCGAAGCTTCGTTCCTTTCATTCATAGTCATCCTTGAACAAGTCAGTTTCAAGTCATACATAAAAAACCTGGAGGTGTACCTTTCAACGCAAAGAACATTAACGCGGGCGAGAGCTTCCATTGAGAACAAAGTCCTGACAATAGTCTTCTTTCCGATCATGGATTTAGCCTGAATTCCGACAATGATTATGCTGACTCCCATCAGACCAAGAGGGGCGCCATTCGCAGTAAGAGCACCAGTAAATCCCAGCAAATCAAGCAATTTGCCATTCATGAACCACTTCTGGCAAAATGTGAACAAAAAGCAGATAATGGCGAGGTACAAGACGCCCATTGCAATGGAGTTGATAAGTGTCAAGTAGGAATTAGTCCTGTGAGTTTCTTGTGCAAGTGCCCTGCCGAGCATTGTATCATTGCCTGTCGAGGTCACTTCCATAAGCGCATTTCCACTAGTCAAAATTGCTGATTGACGGATGGTTTCGCCAAAGCCTCTCAGTACGACACCGGTTTCACCTGATAAGCCTGACATGTCGAGTTCAAACTCAGTATTGGAGATAACAAGTCCATCTGCAGGCACCTCAGAGCCGGTCACAAGTTTGACGATATCTCCAGGGACGAGGTTGCGGGAGCGTATTGTTTGAGCAGCTGAGTCCCGGAGAACAAGGCATTTGCGTTTCAGAGAGAGTGCTTTGTAGCTTTTGTTTGCATGCAGAACCGAAATGAAAAGTCCCAAGAGCAAGAAGCTCGAAGATATAATAGCGGAAATGTAGTCACCGGATACCAAGAGAAGGATGATGTTGAATTGCATTGTGTGGGCAAAGACGCCTTTGGAGTTGGCGATGACGCTTTGCATCGTACGAGCCCAGGTTGGCGTGAATTGGTTGTAACCGTGAACCTTGCGGGCCTCTTGCACCTCGTTCTCTGTTAAACCGGGATGGCGGTCCAATTCATGACGAGTAGGGCCTGGCATCTTGAGGAGCTCGTGCTGAGCGGCAGCTGAGGGAAGTCTAACAGCTGCTAAGCGACAGTGAGCAGAAATGAAGAGCTGCTAGGCGGTAGTTGAGTAAAGTCGAACAGCTGCTAAGCGGCAGTGATCAGAGATGAAAAGCTGCTAGGCGGTAGTTGAGTAAAGTCGAATAGCTGCTAAGCGGCAGTGATCAGAGATGAAAAGCTGATAAGCGGCAGTTGAGGGAGGTCGAACAGCTGCTAAGCGGCAGTTGACAAGTAATGGAGAGCGTCAACACGGCAGTTCAGACGGAGATGATGTGGAAATGTGGTATGTCAGAATAGTGAAGAGGGGTGGAAGTGGCAGATTGAGGTAGTGAGGTAAACAAAAGTGCGTAGCCCTAACAACAAAATCCACCTGCAAGAGGCAGGCACGCAACAGGGAACCGCAAAGAGTCCCTTCCTATGAGCAACACCACTATAGCACCCGGCAGCGCCTTTCACGAATACAGAAGGAGTTACTATGTTGAAGCCTTGGAATCGAGACATCTGACAGAAGGTATCAGGGGAAGTAAAGGAAAATGCCATCTTTTAGGCTGGAGAAACGCACATTCGGATGACTTTCACTATTAAAGTGGAAGGAGGTACCCTGTTCAATCATTGAACGCCAGTGCATCTGGCAAGACGCTTTGACGGAATCTTCAAATTCTCCACCCTTGAGCTTTGGAAAGCCTGGCCATACAATTCATCTGTATTTCATATGAGGATTTTCGGCAAGGTCCGTTACCAAGGGCTCGAAAGACGGCAATCGCCAAGCTTTGGAGAGTCTACAAATGCAACAAGCAGGCCTTGATCATCAGGACAGCCGAAACGGTTAATCAACGAGTATCTCAAAGGCTGCCATCTCCGAGACTCGCACAGCCTATGAGTATGACGGAGCAGTCTCGTTAATCTCGACGTTTGATGGGTTTCTTCCATAGAGGCTGTACAAAAAGGTGCATTTGAGTCGTGGGAGGCCGCAGATGCTAGTGACAAAGTCTTCAGCTGCCTTGTATTACATTGCCAAGATCTAGGAAATGATATCAATTCTGGGGAAAGTTCGGTGGCATCTGAAAGCCAGTGGGTATTGGAAAATTGAAGGGAAAATTAGGAGGCGGTGGGGACCGGTTCGATTTCGGCCCATGCTGACCACTTTTGTCAGTGACCATGCGACGCGAAATTGCTATACATTACGTTAGTCAGGTTCGAAATGACTAGGGCCAAGAACTATTTGCCTTTTGATGATACGCCAGCTCCAATTTCAATGTCTGGCTCTTCCACTACCATACCACCCTCTAAAGTCTCCCCACCAGTACCACCGTATTCGGCTGTCAGCATCCATTTTTGATCCGCATCTGTCAGCTTGTATACTGGGATGATACTGACGCCCGTCGAGTAGTCGCTGCAATCTCGTGGGCCGAAGCCAACTCCCCATCGCGTCTGTAAAGGGTTGTTAAGGTGGTGCTATGACAAGGATTTAGAGGGCATAATGAGACGACAGCAGGCTTACCCTGAGTTGCATATCTTGGCTTTTATAGCGTTCCATCCCTTCCTTCGCTGAGATGGCATCCTTCCGCGATACCATTTTGACGAAAGCGTGGCGTTTGTCAACATTGACAATGCAAGTTTGAACAATACCATAAGGGTGGAATATTTTCCGAAGTGTTTCCTCAGAACACCTGCACCAGACTTAGTACACCTATGTTGCAGAAACCAGGCTTCGAGGGACTTACGTGACTCCGCCCACAAAAAGTGTCCGACTCAAGACTTGATTTCCATTAGTTACCGCGTTAAAGAAAGCCGATAAATCTGTATGACGCCATACCTTTGATATGCTCATGAGGTAAATTCTTATCCCAAGTGATAACTTTCGGCCCAGGAGGTGGTAATCTCCTTTCTCGGCCTCTTGGGCTTTCACTGCGCTGGCGATACGGGTTTCCGCTACGACGCTCATCTCCGTGACCATAGCTTGGACTGTCGCGACGGCGACGAGGGCTGTCATCTCGGCGCTTCTCGTACCCTCTGGGTGAACGCGACCGAGAACGTCTATATCGTCCAGGTGGTGAGCGCATACCAAAATCTCCGTTTCGATCACGCGTTGAATTGTCAATAGAACCGTACTGGCTTTGACTGTATGTTTGTTGACCTGGGGGCGCCTGCACTGAATTATTCGTCCCAGCAGCCATAAGCGCTGAAAGAACAGCAGCCCATTGCTCTTGAGGAATGCCTTGAGCTTGAAGCATTCCAATAATCTGGACTTGCTGCTGCAGCTGCTCCGGTGATGGGAGGTTGCTTTGAGGCGCAGGGGCAGGGCTGCCATGCACATTTATTGTCCCACTCTGCGCTTGTGGTAGTGCTGGTAGCGAAGTCAAACCACCACCTATTCCAGCATAAGCATTGCCTGTGGTTGGAATGCCAAAGGTATTCTGAGCTTGTGCATGAGCGGGAGCATTAGTGAACAAGGCAGGAGAACTTTGATCGTAGGAGGTCGAGTTGTTACTTTGCCCTACTTGGTGAAGTTGCCCTGCAATATTAGAATTGCTCTTGGCCATGCTTGCAAGAGCTTGTAAAATATTCGAGGTGTTTTGCTCCTGAGGAGCCATACCAGATGCATCATTCAGTGGAATGTAATCTTTTGGTGGAGATCCTTCTGGAGTAGTACTGTTCAACGCTATGAAGGATCAATCAGACGATGAAATCTAAAGTACGGCAAAACCTTGTAACCGTAGCTTACCATTCGTTGTAGGGACCGCTAACTTGTTTCTGAAGCCAGCCAACATATCTTGTGGAAATGTAGAAGAACGATCCCAGATATCGACAAGTTTGCTGATTCTACCCTAAAATTCACAGAAAATTGCGTAAGTCAAATTTACGCAGCATACTTGGAGAAGGATACTAGGACAGAAATTCTCGTCCTGCGTTTCCATACAGACAATGATGCGGCAACAAGCCGTTCACTTGCAAGGGATCTCAGATGTACGTGCAAAGGTGCGGTCTAGCAAGCATACCTTCTGTTCTTCAGGGGCTCTATTTATAGTTTCGTTCACGAAAGAGGGCAACATCTCCGTGACAAGTTTGTGGCCGGCAGCATACGTTCCGTCTTTTGTTTGTTCACTTGGGCCAAGGGACTGTCCATTCTTCTTCGCCTGTTCTACCCAGCCCCGTGTTACAGAGTCTACAACATAAAGTACCCCAAGTTTATGGGATGGTGGAGCTTTTTTGATGTGTGAGTATATTCGCTGGATGAGAACAGTTGCGGACTTTTGAATACAGATAGAGGTTAGAGACATTCACATTTACGTTGGGGATGAAGGACACTTACTTGAATGTTCGCATTACATAGTGATGTGAGATTAGTGATTTTACTTTGGGTGACTCCAGGCGGTTTGAGGCTCAACATTGACTCCAGGATTTCGTCTAGCTCGCGTGCTACAGGAGCCGACATAGTTGGGTGAGTGTACAGAATACAGACTACTCCAAGGGATCACGATGGATCAGGGGGAGGTGAGAGGTAATGACTACGGTCACTTTGACCCAGATAGCTTTCAGTACTAGGCAGACACAGCTAGAATGAAGTTTTAGGTTCAATAGTTGATGAGTTGCTAAGATATCGGACACAAGCGTGCTGCGAGTGATGCAAGTTGTTTCGCAAATTCACAGTGCAATGTCTGATCGTTGCAATACCAGCACTTCATACCATGCTGCCAGGACGCCCCATCAACCAGCAATCCTTCCAAGCTTGTTCTGTGAAGATTATGCGGATCGCGTCAATGGAGATTCAGATGGCAAAGAATGATGGTTGATGAATTTGCGAGATGAAAGATGAAAAGACGTCGGAAAGCGGTAGACACGCGAAAAGCCAAGATTGGCCTGCCAAGAGCAGTGTAAGCTAAGCCAATATAGGACTAGACTAAGAGGCCATCGAGTCTCTTTCGTTGACATATGTTCAAATCAAGTATCTCCAAGACTTCAGCCTCAAAACATCACTCCGCACTCGGAGATGCTGCATTTAGGTCGGCCAAGTACACTTCAGCATCAGTCACTATCTTTGCATGGCGCTCTATTATACTTTCTGGCTCCACCAAGTGGCAACAGCCACGATGGCTAGGAAGCCTTAGGTAGGAGGGCGGACTACCACTGAGTGGACCCCACCGAGTCTCTCTCTCTCTCTCTATATAAATATATAGACAATCAATCGTTCTCCTGGGTCTCTCATTTTTTTTGTAATTCCTGGTATCTGAAAATTCTAACTTCAGTCTTCGGCTTCAACTATTTCTTTGCGGGCTAGTGCTATTCCATTACCTTGTCTTCTTTTCCTGTTCCGAAGGTGATATTTATTGCCCATTGCCAACATGATTTTCACCTGGTAAGAGTGCTTCGCCATTAAACCAAGTAGCAAGTTAACGGCTGCAAGCGCCCTACATCTCCTGCTAATATCGGTATCGATTGCTGTCGCAAAGCCTAACGCCACGGTGACGCCCCATCCAGGAAACAACGGTATCACGCCTCGTGCGGAACTCGACGCCTCTGATGGGTGGCCCAAGATGCCCGGCGACAAGTATTTCGGCAAGGACGATGTGACGATTGGAATGGGTCATGGAACATGCTGTAACAGACCCTTCAAGGAACTAGGCAGATGCATCGAACTCATGAATTTTGGGGGCTCCATCCCTGGGCCTGAAAGCTCGTGCGCAGAGGATTGGGACTATTATTACTCCTGCCGGGTAAACATGGGCATCACCGCTGATGGCCAGAAGTGGATGGCCTGTTACCACGTGGCAGTGCCTGATAACAGCTTTACCGTCACGCAGGGAGATGTGGATACTATGCAGCATCTAACATCAGCATTTGCGTCTCAGAGGAGCAATGTATGGTGTCCTGATGACATAGAAGGATGTCCGTTAGGTCAAGGTCTGGTTGCAGGTGCAAAGCAGAATTGGGGCGATTTCGAGAAATTCAGCAAGCAATGCGTTGAAACGATGCAGGAGGCGGAAGCATCTCTATTGGATATAGATGTTCAGATGACAGGGCCGCGGCGATTCATGGAGATTTGGGCTTGTCATGATAGCTGGAGGAAAAGTGAACAGCTTTACCTTGTGGACCCCCATGATGGGGGTTCAACGGGTAGTGGACTGACTGACCCTGGTAGATGCAAGAATTTAGGTAAAAACATGAAAGGATAGACAGACGAGTAATGAGATCCTGAACATGCAATCTTCCAATACTTCATCCCAATGCTTTGCGTGTAAAGACAAAGCCAAAGGCCAAAGTGGTGGATACCATGTGGAGCTTGACACTCCAAGAATGGGTACCCTTGCTTTTGCTTTGGTGGCTTAGTCTGGTCAGCTCGGCAAGGATCGGTGTGAGAAAAGGGTTTTCCGGGATTCAATAATAATAATGGGAGCTCTCGGGGAGACTTAGCGGGAGATCTGACGTTTTGCTTTGCCCAGCAAGATTTCGTTTCTTTTCTTTATTTGAGCTTCCCAACACCGCATTGCCCGGAATCAATTCTTCCTGTGAAGATGATCCTGGCAACCAGGATGAACAGCGCGATTGCGCTGCAACGAACACTGCGTCCAGTCTTCCACTTGACGCAGCCAATTGCCATAAACGGCTTCCGGGCCTACTCATCCGCCCAAACGAAGGTAGAAATACTCCGAGAAAATGTGCTCACCGATCCTAACATTTTCATAGTCCCTCAAAGATACCTTTGCAGACAAAATTCCCAGCGAGATCGAGAAGATCAAAACACTAAGAAAGGGCTATGGCTCGAAAGTAGTTGGCGAAGTGACTCTGGATCAGGTCTACGGAGGCGCTCGAGGCATCAAGTCCCTCGTCTGGGAAGGCTCGGTCCTTGATTCAGAAGAGGGTATCAGGTTTCGGGGCAAGACCATCCCAGAATGCCAGGAGCTACTACCAAAAGCGCCAGGAGGAGCTGAGCCACTCCCAGAAGGTTACATCTATCTGGTCGAGCTCATTTATAAATACAGCTAACACGCTTCAGGCCTTTTTTGGCTCCTTTTGACCGGTGACATCCCAAGCGTAGAGCAAGTACGACAACTGTCAGCGGAATGGGCTGCCAGAGCAGAAGTTCCAGGCTTTGTGAAAGAGATCATCGATCGTTTGCCAAATACGCTTCACCCAATGGCCCAGTTTTCCGCCGCTGTAACAGCCCTCGAGCATGAGTCTGCATTCGCCAAGGCCTATGCTAAAGGGATGAATAAGTCAGAGTACTGGGCTCACACTTTTGAGGACTCAATGGATGTGATTGCTAAACTGCCCTCAATTGCGGCTCTGATTTACCGTAACGTATACAAAGATGGCAAGGTTGCCCCCGTACAAAAAGACCAAGACTATTCGTTCAACTTTGCCAACCAGCTGGGCTTTGCTGAGAACAAGGATTTCCTCGAACTCATGCGTCTATATCTGACAATTCACACCGACCATGAAGGCGGAAATGTCAGCGCTCACACTACACATCTTGTTGGCAGTGCTCTCAGCTCTCCTATGCTCTCACTTGCTGCTGGTCTCAATGGGTTGGCAGGTCCATTGCACGGCTTGGCTAACCAAGAAGTGCTCAATTGGCTTCAGAAAATGAAGAAATCTGTTGGCAGTGATCTGAGTGACAAAAGCATCACAGACTATCTCTGGTCTACGCTCAAGTCTGGCCAAGTGGTACCAGGTTACGGCCACGCTGTCCTACGCAAGACTGATCCACGCTACATGGCACAACGCGATTTCGCCCTCAAGCACCTACCAGATGACCCAATGTTCAAATTGGTCAGTCAAGTGTACAACATTGCGCCTGGCGTCCTGACGGAACATGGGAAGACGAAGAACCCATTTCCCAACGTTGATGCTGTGAGTGGAATTTTGCATTAACGGGAATCCATGTGCTGACTTCAATAGCATTCTGGTGTTCTCCTGCAGTACTACGGCTTGACAGAGGCTAGCTTCTACACAGTGCTGTTTGGTGTCTCACGTGCCATCGGTGTGCTGCCTCAATTGATCATTGATCGCGCGGTAGGCGCCCCTATCGAGAGACCAAAATCATTCAGCACGGAAGCTTGGGCCAAGTTGGTTGGTGCTACGTTATGATTTCGAGGGATCGAGGGATGTAATCATAAAGGAGCTCGCCCATTTCCAGATTGTCATCGTCGATCAGAGTACTCATCTATATACACGCTTTTCGAGGGAAGCGAAGGTCGGTTTAAAGCTTACCATTTGAGGGCAGAGGCGTAAGAGTTGGATTTGGGCGATTGCTCGCTGTATCTCTGTATTATGCTAGTGGTGTGTTGAGGCTGTTGGGAATCCTGAGCGATGCTTGTAGTGGAGCCCCTACACTACGAAAGGAATTGTCTTCACCCAGTCCGGACACCGAAAAGTTTGAGCCGCTTGAAGCCGAGACTATGATAATAATGGATATTTCCGTAATGCATTGAGTTTTCTTCCCGGGCGAACGATGCAGCTTCGGGGGCTCAATATTAGGGCTGAGATTTAATAGCCAAGCGCTGTTCCCAAACTTTTCTACGCTAGAGATCCACCGCTACCTAGGCTTGGCGGGTACCAAAATAACAGCATATCCTAATTTCAAGAATCTAGCTATATATAATCAACGAAACGTTTTTTAGTAAAATTTTGTATACGAAATATCTTCTTGAGATACAAATCAGTGACTTTATACGCAACAATATCGCTATTAAAATAAAATTAAAGGTAATATCTAAGCATATAACTTTCCGCCAAGACTAGAATATGCTGTTTTTTTGGTACCCGAGGGCTAGGGTGCTGATTAACCTGGTCCATCGGCGACTTGCTCTACGAAATTAATCGTCTTTGCGCGTTGCCCCCCATTTCCAGTCACTTCGTCCTCACTTCCCCGTCAGAACTTCGTAGAATCTCCTTTTAATCATGGCGACGGTACCAAAAGAACCCATCCTGGGCGGCGGCCCAAAGACTCTGGAAAAGAAACCCGTCAAGTTTAGCAACCTGCTTCGTGAGTGCTTGAAAGGATGTAGGAAGGCCGAAGACTGATGAGATCCGTAGTGGGAGCTGGACTCAACATGTTCGAGTATGTAGCGAGGCAGGGAAATCACATTTGAATATGCTGACGGGTCGCAGAGTGACAACTTTGGGCCAAGTATGCGCATTGTTCGATCAAAATTTTGCAGGAGCTGCTGTTGACGTCCTGCCTCATTAGCCTCTCGAAGTCATCAAGACAACCATGGCTGCAAACCGGAAGGACGGCTTCACAGGTGCTATGGGGCGGATATGGGGCAGAGGTGGGGCTCTAGGCTGTACGCATTCTCCCACTCTCACTTTCGTACCGTTCATGCCGAAGGAACCTTGACCTCCCCAATACCATGAGCTGATGTCTGCCCATAGATTTTCAAGGCTTGATACCCTGGGCCTGGATCGAAGCCTCAACCAAGGGCGCCGTCCTCCTCTTCGTCGCCTCGGAAGCCGAATACTACGCCAAAGTGGCCGGAGCCAATGATTTCACTGCTGGCATCGGAGGGGGTATGGCAGGTGGTGTTGCTCAAGCATATGCGACCATGGGCTTCTGCACCTGCATGAAAACAGTCGAGATCACGAAACACAAGATTGCCGCCTCTGGGCAAAAACCACCGGGCACGATGGAGACGTTCATGGATATTTGGCGTCGTGAGGGTATCAGAGGCATCAACAGAGGTGTAAATGCGGTCGCAATACGGCAGACGACGAATTGGGGGAGCAGATTTGGGTTGAGTCGGCTGGCAGAATCCGGGATCAGAAATGCGACGGGCAAAGAGGAGGGGCAGAGACTGTCTGGGCTTGAAAAGATCATAGCGAGTGGAATTGGTGGTGGGATGAGCGCTTGGAATCAGCCTATCGAGGTCATCCGGGTCGAGATGCAAAGCAAGACCGAGGATCCGAACCGACCGAAGAACTTGACAGTTGGGAAGGCTTTCCGATACATTTATGCTAACAATGGTCTGAAGGGACTGTACCGGGGTGTGACGCCTAGAATCGCGTTGGGCATGTGGCAGACGATCTGCATGGTGGGCTTCGGTGATATGTGAGTCCCCTCCTTTTGCTGGATACTCGAAGGCGGATGATACTGATGACATCACGTCAAAAGGGCCAAAGAAGCCGTAGAGAAGCTCACTGGTGACAAAGTCACAGCCAAACACTAGCCCCAGAGAGAGTGACACTCGTCTTCTTTATTTTGCTTATAAAGAATACTTGCAGAGTGGCGTCAGATGGAGGTGTCTATGTTGAATGCCACCCGATTCAACAACATGGCAATCCAAATCTGGCTGTTTCCTTCAGATGATCCTCTCGCAAAGCCACATACTCCTTGTCACACGCTGCTTCCATTAGGAAACTTGCGATGAGTCAGTTTCCAGGTATAACCGGCGTATTGCAGGAAAAGCATGTTTGCACAGCCCAGGCGTCAAGGTGTAGCTTGGGAGGATTTATAGACTTATGGCTTTGTTCGAGTTGTATATTGCTCGTTGATTTATAACCCAGGATAGAGATCAATTATGTACAATGTCAAATATCCCTCGACCACCACCACAAGATGTGGATGGGGTATCATGGCCCGACGGCGAGCATCACAACTAAGTACTGGTTATCTGCCTATGCTAACCTTTCCTCTGCAGGCATCAAATAATCAATTTTCTTCGAAAGATGTTTTAGCTAATTTTATCAAGTGATGAGAATAGACGAGTCCACAAGAACGTTCAGAACGCCGTCCTGCCGTTCACATACCACAGCCGCAATATGAAGCGTCAATCAACAGGCGAATGTCAAAGAAGGCCGCTCTTGGCTATGTTCATAAGGGTGGAGCCATTCCTCTCTCATTCTCGCCTCGTACGATTGGATGCAGATTGGCTTTTATCTCAAAACAATGCTATCAAGGAATTTGAGGCAGCTACAGGTTCCAACGCACGCGCACAACGCACCCTCGCCGAAGTACGCCTTCGTGCTTTTCTCTAACAGAAGCCGGCGAGATGGCGTTCAAGGAGGATCGTCTTTGTGACTGCAACGATTAGATGAAATTAGCTGCTGTGTCGATGTCTTGATGTCTTGCTTTCATACGTAAAAGAAGGATTTGACTCCCAATCTTCCCCTGCTATTGAGGCTTTCGCCTAGCTATAATGTTTATGATCCCCATGCTGGCATGAGGTAGATTGCTTTAACAAAGGGCGAAAACATCAAAAAGGTACACAATCTACAAGGGTATGAGCTAAATGTGTGAAGAGCATGTCCGATTATACCTACGGATTGTTTCGGCTTCAATTAAGAAGATACAAGCAACACACAAATTGAAGATGATTGAGAATATTTACACTTAGACGTCGATGGCCATGGTCATTCTCGAATACTACAGCTGCAAAAGGCTTCTTGACCACCCTCATGTGGTTCGTACTACGCGCTGCGTGCGACGTGGAAATTCCTAATCATGACTTTCTCATGCTAACACTGATAAAAGCGATCTTTTCCTCACCTCCTCTTCCATTCTGCTCCCCAAACCCAACGCATCATACAGCAATTGAAGCTCTACCCAACAACTCATCAACTATCAAACATGTGCCTTTACAGGTACTGTAATTACTGCTGGCAAATGGACAGGAAAGTCCTCATCTCCGACAAATATCCGAATTGCGCCAATGCAGTCCGTTGTTGCATGTGCTACGTGCTCTTCCAAGCCTGTTGTCAGCCCGCTTCCGTGGGACCTCACACCAACCTCTACTGCGACTATCATTTGAATCAATATGAGCGACGTCCGGTGAGCGAGCCAATCTTCGAACCACCTTATAAGTGTTGTGGGAGACTTCCGCCGCCACTTCAACCTCCCAAATAACAGACTCCATGAGCTGTGGTTGCTGGTACGAGCATTGGCGATCTCGTAAGTACACCAGAGCAAAGACTATTGACCCTGGCTGTTTTGAATGAGATTGCTCCTGCTGGCGGCTTCTTCGGATGCACTGATAGCGAGAAGCTCCTCCTCTTAAGGTCGACGTCGACCAACAGGCACTGATGATCGTGAGAATATTTCTCTTCTAGATTTATGCAATGAGAAAGTCAGACAATCAACTTGATGATCAGTCCTACTCCTGGTTTCTGATCCTCCTTGAATTTGGTTCGGAATGGACGACAGCACCGGCTGGCATTGACTCTTACGGCTTCCGGGACGTCTATCGAGAGGATTAAAGGCACATGATGGGATTTTAGACGACACAGGCCTTGAGAAGATGCAAAAAGAATAAATTTGCTTGATCTTGCTAGCATATGCTTGCAAAGGATTACTTGAAAATAGGATGCTTTAAGTAAGAGTCGACTGTCTACGCACTCTTTGCCTCCCTTTCACGTCGCACCGGCTGGCCCTCCAGCTACGCTTGTAGTTCCTCCCTTATCTGCATTCTTCCCTTGGTCGTCTTTTGCCTCTGTTGGAGCGCCACTCGCCTTGAAAGATTGCTCGAAATCGGCAACGATATCATCAAAATGCTCAGTGCCAACAGATATGCGGATCAAGTCTTCAGTCACTCCACTATCAGTCTTCTCCTCATCGCTGAGCTGCTCGTGCGTCGTCGACCATGGATGGATCGCAAGCGTCTTCGAGTCACCAACACTATCGACCTCAAAGTCAGCTCACGCACTTGATGTCCAACCACAGCAAGGGGATACCCACTTGGCCAAGTTCGAAATCAACTTAAATCCATCCACGATCTTCGCTCCCGCCTCACCTCCACCCTTCACCCCAAACGAAAGCACGCCACCGAATCCCCTCTTCAAATACTTCTTCGCTAATTCATGGCTCCCATGGCTCTCTAACCCAGGATAGCTAACCCAACTGACCCTCTCATTCGCCTCCAACCACTTCGCCAATTTCAGAGCATTCTCCGCATGCCGTTCCGCCCTCAACGACAACGTCTCCACCCCCAGAATGAATTCATGAGCCGCAAATGGATTCATCGACATGCCTAAATCCCGCAAAATCTCGACCCGGCACCGAATCGCAAACGCGATGTTCCCGAACGTCTCCCAGAACTTCAGCCCATGATACCCTTCACTAGGCTCATTGAATTGCGGGAACCTCTTCGCATTAGCCCCCCAGTCGAACTTGCCCCCATCGATGACCACACCGCCGATGGTCGTTCCGTGGCCCCCAATCCATTTCGTGGTCGAGTGCACCACGATATCGACCCCGTATTCAATCGGTCTCACAAAGTAACCCCCCGCACCAAAAGTATTATCCACCACAACAGGAACGCCTTTCGCATGCGCCACCTTCACAATCGCCTCGAAGTCCGGGACATTGTACCGCGGGTTGCCTATACTCTCGATATAGACCGCCTTCGTCTTGTCATCGATCGCTTGCTCGAATTCCTCTGCGCGATCGCCCTTGACGAATTTCGTGGATATGCCGAGCCGTGGGAAGGCGACTTTGAACTGGTTGTAGGTACCCCCGTAGAGGTTGGAGGTGGATACGATGTTGTCGCCTGTGTGCGCGAGTGCTGTGATGACCATCAATTGCGCGGCTTGGCCTGAGGAGGTGGCGATGGCGGCGACGCCGCCTTCAAGGGCTGCGAGACGTTTTTCTAACACGTCGACGGTGGGCTAGGAGGAAGGAAATGTTAGTGGGGGGGGGCCAGGAGCCAGTGCAGAAGCCGGGGATTGAGTGGCTAGCAGGAGGGGAGCGTACGTTCATGATACGGCTGTAGATGTTGCCGAATTCTTTGAGCCCGAACAGGCGGGCGCCGTGGGCGCTGTCATTGAAGGCGAAGCTCGTTGTTGCATAGATGGGGACGGCGCGGGCGTTGGTCGCTGGGTCTGGTGTTTGACTGTGCAGCTCAGTCAATCAGGCTTGCTTTCCCGTCTGAAGATAGAAACATGAGGCGGGGAGAAGTTGGCATACCCAGCGTGCAACTGCAATGTCTCGAACTTCTGAGTGGGAGGCTCTTCTGAACCCATCTTGAGGACTTAAACGCGCTTCACCGCCGGTGGTGTGTTTGCAGCGAAATGAGGAGTGAACGATGGAGATGGAGTATGCAGGAACGCGTAGAGGAGAAGAAAACAATCGGGATGTGGGAGTAGAATAGTTCCCCCACCTTTATTTGCCATGTGGTCGAGGGTCGAGGGGGTTTCTCAAACCATCTCCACCTAGCACCAGTAGCGCGAATGATGCCATTGCACGTGACTAATTGCTCTGACAGCACCGACAGTGGCCTGACAATGGCCTGATTCAGAACAAGAGAGAAAATAGAAGCGAGATCAGAGCATGGACTAGTGCAGAGGCTCACTCTTGACAGACAAGCGGTCAGAAAGCGGGAAAGCAGTTGCGCATATTCCGTGTATTCGTTTTTCAGCAAGAAAAGTATTGTATGTACAACAGTCACCAAACCGTAGTTCCTTCCCCTAAAAAAGCCTTACAGAGGTCGAATGGTTGCGCGGGCTCGTAAATCTTCGGGAATGTAGAAACAAATCGCTCATATGTTCGAAAGAGGTATGTCCAATCATCAAGTCATTCATCTTGTCCAAAGGTTTCGCGATGTTTTTGAAACTCTTCAGTCTGCGTTGATCATGTCTAATGATGCGCAGAGCTGCTGCAGAACCTTGCTGCGCTGAGTCTCTTCCTGCCGAGTCTATCGGCTTAGGCGCTTGCCTTGAGCTCTCCACCAACCCAGGTCTCGTGGTGGGTCTGCTCGGCCGTGGGGGCATTGCCACGGGTTCGGAGAACGTGGAGAGAAGCTAGAACGGTTGTCACAAGGTATACAATACTGAGAGAACACATTAGCTCGGACGATTCTGATATCGACTTCCCATCCTTAAGGGAGAAGTCAGAAGAGCATCAAGACTTACAATGCCACAGTCCCAAGAGCGGTACCCCAGCCCATATAGCCGCACACATGGCCGCCACAGAGGACCAGCTTCGATCGGAACACGGCCAACCTGATGGTGCTAGCAAACCACAGTATGCACAACACTGCGTCCAAGGCGAGGACAATCCATTTATTGAAGAAGCGAGGATTTGACTTGCGGTTGGCGTGAGTGATTTGTAGTGGGGCATTGAAGGTCAGGTAGGGTAGCGAGAGGAGTGTCAAGGCTCCCACAACCAGGAGCAAGACCGGGGCTTGTGGGCAGATGGAGGGTTTGGTGTGCTCTAGGTACCATTTCGTGACTACGCGAGGCACCCCATCAGTGCGCTAAGCGGATGCTTGGAGGGAGGGACATACCAAAGCCATTGAAGCCAAGAGTGGCAATTGCAAGAGCGGCCTGCAAGGCGCGCAGAGGGAAATTGAGGTTCAGCATTTGGTGCGGTATCAGGAGGTTGTCAAGGAGGGTGGAGAGCAGCTGGGATTGTTATACAGCTGGTCTCAAGCTTGGGGATATAGCTGTTGTGAGCGCGGAAAGGTGAGACAGGTTGTTTTTTTTTCTTAGGCGACGACAGGGGAGTTGAGGTTGTACTTTGTCGCAATATGGACGCTTGTGCGGTGGAAGAGAGCGATGATAATCTGTTCGTATGGATGGAAACGTGATTTTGTACCTGCAAAAAGACTGTGATAGTGGATGAATGCCGTCGAGGCTCTGATGAAAGCGAAAAGAATGTGGGGGTGGTGCAGAGGAAAAGAGAGTGTAGAGGTTGGTTGATTATTGTTGGAAGGGGGGGGAGGGAGAGGAGAGGGATGGAATGTAGAAACCAGGCGGCGGCTTGCGCGACTTGCCTTTGAATCATCATGCGACAGCCCCCCTCGACCCCCTCGACCAACAGCCACTAAATCCGGCTTGGTCTAAAACATAGAAACACCAGAAACCGGGCTCTAGAACCAATCACCCCCAGAGATTCGTAAACTCTGCCTTGCGGCAATGTTCGAAACCATGTCCCAATGGTCCTGGATTCTTCAAATTTAGTTGGTATTATTATATCTATCATTATGCATTATGCATCGTGCATCATGCACAAAATGCTGCACAGGATGCCAATCATTTGCATTCCATCCCGTCGACCTCACACACCAGCATCAAGCGCCGGGAGGAACCTGTGGGCGTCGCCGCTCGGTCTCCCGTATGAAGATCTCTGAAGTCTGGGGGAACGAGGGGGAGTAGGGAGTGCAATAATTCATGCATCAGTCACACAATAGCTTGTCACTTCATTCATTGCACACCTCGTGGTCCCATAGCCTTATCTATTTCGGCTTTACCCAACCAGGGCCACCAGTAGTCCTCCTCCACCAGCTCTTCCATCATTTCCTGCTCCGAAGGCAGCTGTCCAGCCCCCCGAGCGGCCTTCCGAGCAGCCTTTCGAGCAGCTTTCTTCGCCTTGGAGTAGCCACTGACCACATCCTCCCGTTGAATCACCCTGACTCGCTCGCCCAAGGGGACGACATCCTTCATTGCATCGCCATTCCCTGCTGTCTCGTCATCCAGCAAACACTTCCTCATCTCTGCACATGCCACTCGAAATCCCGCCACCTCCTCGTTGAGCTTGCCGTCCTCATCCAAAACTTGCATCCTGGCCGTGCCTTCGTCAAACCCCCCCAGAATTCCCTCCCCCTCTCCTGGCGTTGCCCGTCTTTCGCAAACGGTCCTGTGTAATGCCTGCCTTTACCTGGCCCGAACACCGGATGGATATCAAGCTGACCCGAGCGAACGAGCTCTCTGGCAGCATCAATGCCCTCCGTACCCGGGTTCTGCTCTTCCGTGCATTTACCACTGCCGTCTGGTGCACGTACGAGCTGGACTGGACCCACCTTGGCGGGTTCATCATCGTCCGAGTCATCCTGATCAACTTGTCCATAGGGCGCAGAGGACAGGAGATGAATGCCCCCGTCTGCATCTCCGACGAGTAGTTGAGTGAAGTCGGGAGAGAATGCGCCATCCTGGATTGCAGCACCAACTTGAGCCACGTTCCGGATGAGGACATCTTCTGGGTGTCGCCGGATGTCCCATGCTTTGACGACACCATCTGAGGATCCAGTGTAGTATTGCCAACCTTCTGGGCCCCATAGGCTCATGCGAACCCCTGTATCCGTATCGCCCCTCGGCCGATCAGGATCGAGCTCTAACAAAGGACTATCATGTCGCAGACAATGTAATGCCATATCTGGCCGCCTATAATCCCATACAAACGATGTGCCATCGGTACATCCTGCGGTGACGATGTTTTGATCTCGGGGATTGTAGGTCACGTCCTGAATGTCGATAGCTGAACTCTCAAATTCCGCCACAAACCGTGAGAGAGACCGGACGTCATAGGTGCGTACTACCGTCTTCGTATTCCTCTGAGCAAGTGATCCACCCGGAGCTCCGCCCGTTACAAAGAAGGGCTGCAACGGGTGCCACGCAGCTGCAGTCACACTTTGCGAGCTGGGAGTGACTTTGATGCTTTCCCGTTTGTTGACATCCCAAAGACAAAGATGGCCCTCGCGAGCATAGTCACGGTCGCCGATCTGATCCCATTGGGAAAATCCGGCCAGGAGCAGATTTCCATGATGCGCCGCCGGGCCCCAATGTATACATTCCGGCAATATTCGTAGATTCATTCTTGCTCTGGCACGTTCTGATGAGAACGATTCATCAGACTGGATGACCCCATCGTCGCGCTCATGAAATACGGAGATAGGATACTCGACACTCTGACAAGCTGTGGCAAGGATGTTTACAGATGAATTATGTACGACGTCTATGTTAGTGACGACTTCGGGATGCCGTAAGCTTCCGACACACTCTTTCAAGCCATCCTGCACATTCCAGACTTTCAGAAATTTGTCTCGACTCGCTGTGAACAGGTAATGCCCTGCAGCTGAGAACTTGACAGCATTGACAGTCTGATAAACCATAGGATCGCAAGCATCATAGGTCTCTTGATGAGAGTTAGGCCCAGTAGGGATGCTATCCGGCTTCGGTCTTGTGGTTCGATGATCAGGTAACTCCCACATCTTATTCTCGTCAATATTGCCCAAAAGGAGATTGAGTGGCCTGTTGTATTGAATGTCCTCCGCATTGGTATGAGCAGCGGCACCCACAGCATAGGACACCGAGTCAGGTGCCCAAGCAACGTTGACTATATCGCTTGAAGCGCCTTTCCAAGCTCGCCACTGCTCGAGCCGCTCAACAGTACGCAACTGTAGGTCGCTAGAGATGGGCCTCCCCATAGCCGGGTCAAGCTCGCGTCGTCGTAGTAGGGATGGTAGCTGTCGATCATATCTTCTTGTGGGGTCAACGAGTCTTCCCTGGAGAGTAGTCATCCATCTTCTTGGCCCGTGTCCTTTACTAATAATAGATCTTAGCATAATTTCGGATGTTCGCATCTGTTGTTGGTCTTCATTAGATATTTCTATTGTGTCGAAATCATCTTCAGTGACAGATATTGAACGATCGTCTAGCACTGCAGTGGCGATGATATTTTCTAGATGAGGATCAAATGCTGCTTTTGGATCACTCACCCGAACAGCTGTGCCAAGAAGCGTCGACTTCCTGCTAGAAACGGGAAAACCGGTATTGTCGGCCATGTGAAGTGCTTGGAAGGGCTTTGAACCGCTTGATGTTGCTCTCCATTTCTTGTTACTCGTAATCTTGGATGTCTCATTAAACCTGCCTTGAGATTTTGATTTCCCATTCAAGCGTTCGATGTAACCTGCTGCTTGCTCGGGAAATCTATCCAATAACTGGCGTCTGAAGCTTTCTGGCGGCAGCGATGCAAGATTGTTGTGGCTATCCTGGGGTCTTTTCTGTCTGTCAAACACTTCCTTCAATACCTCTAGATTGGCGACGGCGTTCTCTCTTTTCGACAGTGTTCGAGGTTCCGGAGATTCGTGATTAGTTGTAGAGACTGCGGCTACCGGCAAGGCAACTTTTGGCTGTTCGTTCAGGACATTCATCTGGGCATTATCTGCTAACCACCGTTCCTTATGGTTTGTCTTGACGTTTGAAGGCACGTCAGCCCAGGCAAATGTCGGAGCGACGGCATCATCTGAAGTTGACTTTTGCCCTTGCTGGCTCTCAGATGCAGCCAATGCCCTCAAGGTATATATATCAGAGATCTTCTCCAGTATGAAGTCTTCTTGTTTGTCTGTCAATAGAGGGTTGTTATCACGAAGGAAAATCCTAAGGTCCTCACCCACGATATCATTCATCATGCTTGTTTCTAATCGCTCGAGCGATCCATTAGATAGCTTCTTGCAAAACCTTTGACGGTGGCTTTTGATCGCAGGTGCTATGAACGTCAAACAAAGTTTTATTGCTTGGTCAACTTCCTCTCTCGTCCATGAGTTTGCTGGAAGATTCAGACCATCGCTTGCCTGCGCACAACCCTTGGTCCCTACCAGCATTTCGTCTGTTCTTCTCGATGGCGAAAGAGGATCGCATTCGGGTGATGTCCTTGTCTCCAAACCGCTTGGCCATTCCTGAAGTTGTGCAAAGCCATTGTCAAAAGATTCCCAGGACTCGTTCTCATTGGATGAGTATTTACGGAATCCGTTAACCCTTGGAATTCCGTATTTCTTTCCTCCTCTCCTTCTCCTCTCCTTGGGAAATCTTCCACGGTCAAAGCCAGGTAGAAAAGAGGGGATTACAGACTGATCGAAACTTGTGTCATATTTCTGGGTGAGATCTTGACCAGCAGAAGATCTCCTACCATCGATGGATGACAATGGCGAGAGGTCAGTATTAGCAGAAGCTTCTGCCCCACCAATCTTGACCGATCTTACATGACCTTCTAGTCTAGATGGTTTGGAGGAAGGGATTGATTCGCGTGGAGCATACACAGGGACGATCGGGGACACTTTAGGAGTTGGAACCAATTCAAAGTGGGAACACGGATGCTTCGACGGTAATTGAAAAGGTGCGGGCTTTGCGCTCTCTGCCGATGGTCTATCTATGGTTGTAGGGAGCGTAGAAGGCGGCTGAGGTTCCATCCAAGTAGATGGTCTGCTACGGGCAGCATTGCTTTCACCTGATTCCATTGATGGAACTTTAGACCGTCGGCTTCCATCATCATATCGTGATGACGGATTGATAGATAGGGCTGAAGTTTGAGGTGTCGAAGCTTTTGACACGCGCCCCGGTATTAAAGGTGTCATTGACAGCGTCTTTTTCGCTATCGTTGAAGCGGCGTCACTCTTCGTACGGATTTCATGTGGCATGGTTAACCTTCGGTCAGACGATCGCTTGCGTTTTTTCGGTACCAGATTTGACGCTACATCACTCTCTTGCCTGGCGTCCCCCACTGATGAGAGCTTCCTTGCATTCTCAAACGTGTCGGGAGGTGGGCGAGTTATACACCCATCCTCAAGCGATTGGCGTCCAGTTGACCTCAACTGAAATTGTCTTTGCCTAGCTTTCTCGCCGACAGGCCATTCTTGTTCATAGCTTCCATGCCAGGCGGCGACCCTATCAAGCCACGGAGCTAGACTTTCCTTCGTAGGCGTCTTCTGAACATTTTCTCGCAGGCTAAAGGGTATTGTTTCGTCGAAGCTATGTTTCGATCGGGGTTTGAAAAATGCAGTCTTATGCCTTGATTTTTTTTCGGTTCTCGGCGTCGAAAGATCCGATGGTCTTCCGTCAGGGCCATTCTTCAGCTTGTCTTTGCGTGGTGTCTGCAACGTTTTCAAATAGGTGACATCTGCAATACTGGATTTTGCTACCACCGATGCACTTTGCTCGTCACCTGGATGTTCATCATGTGTCAGATCAACAATTTCGATCGCCATTGGTATGCCTCATTACGAAAATGAAAGGCGAAGGGAGATTCGTGGAGGGAACTGAAGACGATATCGCAAGTTTTGCATGGCCTGCGTTTATCATAAGCCTTGCTCGGTAGCACGTTTTGGAGAACGCCTCTTAGTCTGCCACTTGAGCGATGGGGGAGCATTCACATTCACATACACATACCATGGACTGCTGACGCTACCTAAATGGCGATGGGGTTGGTACAATCTGCACAGGATTCACTTTCATAATTTAGTGGAGAGCGCGTGGTCGCGTCCGCCTAGGCCCCTGCACTCCGGGATGCACAAGCCACATTTCAAAAATCATCATTAGAAAGATATCATAAGCTTAAGGGATCCAGAAGTATCTTGGAACCGAGAGACGTGCTACATAAATACTTGAGGGACCGAACACTATTATAGCCCATCGCCCGGCTCCCAGTACTTCATCCACCTCTTATCATAATCACTGCTAGGATCATAGAAACGAAGATCTGTGCTGAGCCGAATTCTTCCATCTTTGTCTTCGTTGCGACTACTTCCATGTATCGTGTACGGATCGTGAAAAACAACATCCCCTGCCTCAAAATCACTCACGAGCCATTGACCTCTTCCACCTGCTTGGTCGCGATGGAATTCTCCAGCGTTGGCCGAAAGCTGGCCAAATTCGCCCATATGAGCATTGAAGGCTGATACGCGTTCTGCCTCGGGCAACTCCTTTGCGCGTGCGGCAAAATCTTCTTCCATTGAGTGACCCAACGAAATAGAGTCTGAAAGATATATTAGGCCGCCTCCATTAAGGGAAATGTCGCCTGTGTGGAAGTCAGGTTGTCAATGCTCGACAGCTAGGATATCGAGCCTTACCGATCGGGACCCATGCAGTAAGAAAGTAAGCAGATCCTCCCCGCAGAAACAGCTTATCGTAGTGAACGCCCGTGCTCAAGCCGCCGGGAATGTTATGCCGCAGCATTGTCCGTTGGAGAAGAATATCTGCCTCCCAGCCAGTGAGGTCTCTTACCATTTGACGCAAGACTGGATGCTCAAGGAACCTCAGATAGTCCGTATTTTTGTGTGACGCGATCATTCTGTGCTGCTCGGCCTCGTTCGGTGGAAGAAGGCCGGCACCAATGCCAGCGTGGTCGCTAGGTACGGCTTCTCTGTTGAAGATACCCTGCTCCGGCGAAGTACCTGGTTGAAGCATCCCGAGACTTTCGTAGTACTCAAAGTAGCTGCATAGATCTGAGCTTGAGTGCAGTCTTGTCGTGTTGAGAGATTACCTTTTCCGAACATCCATAACGTCTTGACGTGGTATAAGATGTTTAAGAAAGAGATATCCATCGTCCTCCAGTCTTTTCCTCAGTTCTGGCAGCGGGGTATCTTTGCCCATAGGTCGCAACCTCCCCACATACTTATCGTCGATAGTCCCCTGAACACCCTTTACAGAAAGTTTCAGGGGATTTTCTGTTTCAATTTCCACGGTCGTTGTCATATCGAGCGCTCGATGATGAGTCGGTCGCCTCTAGTATCGAATACTTTGCAGTTTTCAATCGAGACTGATTAAAGCAGTCTTCCCCAAGACCAAATTATCTTCAGAGCGATTTTATATGTAGCATGTAGCTATTGCATCATAGGCGACCTAACCCCCCACTCTCCTTTAGCAGCCGAGAAAGCAACCCATCATCCCTGTACTTTTAAGCGCTATATAGTCATTTTGTGTTCCTCTAGGCTCACGTGCGTCAAACGCTTAATTTCTCATTCAAGTTGGGAACTTTCCATCTTGAGACTCGCCGGTCTTTCACCAGTTGAATGACGGTAGATTTTCTATGAATGAGGGCGTGTGCACTAGAATGCTCTGATTTTGACTTGAAGAGAACAGATTAGCAAGTTTTCTCTTGGAGCTGTCGTCATTTGATAGAACGTAGAGGTGCTCTCAAAGAGCCGAAAGCAAGGGCGCAAACACCGAGCATCCCTATACTGCCAAATGCATATGCTCTTTCCCGCCCAGCCCACCAATAAAGTGTGCAGAAGGCAAGAGGTCCAACAGATCTTCCAATTTGTCCTGCTCAAAGATCAATCAAAGCTTGCGCAGGACTAGGATTGTGGCTCACCCCAGCTACGATGATGACCTAATTTCTCTCCCCTTTCCGAGTCTCCAGATTCGAAGCTGCTTAGACTGTTCAAACCAGTGACGACAGTGCCCGTGGTGACTGCGAGCAAACCTGCCGCAGTCCAAAGTTGACTCTCAGTATGCAGTTGACTGAGTAGTATGAAGCTTGCTGTACATGCGACTACTCCGACTTGCACCACGCGAAGAGGATGCAGGCGCCGAGTAAGTGAGCCTTGCAATAGCGATGCAATCAGGCCCATAAATCCAAGAAGCCTCCCCGTCTGGGAGGATGTATATGCGAACAAATCATACGTCATAAAAGGGAGTGAGAACTCCATGCCACTGAAGAATAAAATAAACACGAAGTGTGTGAAGTTGAGAAGAGCATGAGAGTTAGTACGTGCCGTTAAGGGCGTCGAGCTTTTTGATTGTACAGACGACCCATTTGAGGTTGCTTGGGGCCTAGATGATGGCAACGTTTCTGGCAGGTAGAAATAAAGATAAAAGGTCTCCACAACTACAAGAAATAGCGAGAAGCTTGCAGCCGTTGCAAACGGGTTTGCAACCAGTACCTCGATGTTGGCAAGTGCTGCACCCAATGCAGGTCCGAAGGTAAAGGAGATGGAGAAGCACACGCCGACCAGTGCCATCGTCGCGCCACGCTCTTTCTCGTTGCTCAGATCAGCGGCCATCGCAGTCGCTAATTGCACGTTTCCCTCGCTCAAGCCTCCAACCACACGACTAGCCAAGAATGTGCGGAAGTCTGTTGCAGCGACCCAGAGGGCGACTGAGGCTATGTTACCAGCCATAGACCACAAGAGGGCGGTACGACGGCCATACTTGTCGGACAGTGCACCTATTACAGGTGAGGCTATTGCTTGCAAGAACGAAAAGAGGGAGCCGAGAGCACCCCCAAGTAACACTATATCATAACGGTCGCTAATGGGACGTGAAAACGATGATTTATAGCTATTGAGCCCATAGAAGATTCGATTGAGGAATGAAGAAGAAGCTTGCGATCCTTCAAGGTTCCGATAAAACTCAAGGAGTTTGGGGAAGAGGGGGAGGATGAACGTGAAGGAGATCTGTTGACAGGAGTCAGTATGCAAGTTTGAACGAAGTCTAGACAGAGGGTCTTACGAGATCTAAAAGTAGAGAAATAAAGATGACCCGAAGAGTTTGCTTCCTCTTGAGAGGATCTATCGGACCCATGTTGACCTTGAGAATGAGATGACGGGGACTTATACATATGGAGACGCAGATGGTGGTTTGGAAGCGGTTGCTTTTCCGGGCGGGAGCGGCCCTTTTCTCAGGAGATTTCCCGAGGGGTTCCCTCCTATTTCGAAACCTCCCTCACCTCTTCGCCTGATGTTAAGGATATAGCTGAAGGTGACAGCTCCTCTGCGCTGCACTATAGACTCACGTACCTTCACACAGCCTCACAGACGTTTGAGCCTGTCTCTTGAAGCTCTATGATGCCGAGCAAGCCGTGAGCCTTTCGTCCTAGAAGGTGAAATGCTGGTCTGAAGCGACCATTAACGGCATGACACAGGTGTCTAACCCAACGCTTGAATAATCCTGATGGGAGTAGCACGCCGTTCTGACGTATGGATGAACTCGTATCAAAAAGGGTTCTTTCATGGAAAGGACTAAGTGACAAATCACGTTGGCATTGATGTCATCTACCTGGAAAAAGTTGACGTACCGGCCAAAAACACGGTCAAAAATAAATGACTTTTCATCTTGTGCGCGTGTATAAGATTTGGACGTTAGTTGTCGAAATTGAAAATTGGTCACTCCTGTGTTTCAGTTGCAATGCTCTTGCAAAATTGTCCATGAGGCCACTTTGGGAAGAACTCGCTTGCGCCCAGACTCCTAATACTTCTTTCTGCATCGAGGATCAGCCACAAGCTGAGATGTGGATGGGCGACCATCCAGTCTTGCCCGCCAAATCCCTCGATACTGGCGAAGAGCTTCCTGCTCTTGTTGATGCCAACCAAGGGGTTCCTGCTCGGTCCAAAGTGTACAGAGCAATTTGGGGGCGTCTATTTCTTTTACCAAAGACTCTAAGCATTGAAAAGACATTTCTGTTGCAAATTCATCCAAACAAAGCGCTTAGCGAGAAGCTACACAAGGAGAACTCAAGTTAGTTTACAGACCCCCAACACACCAGAGTGAGTTAGCAAGAGACAAACATTTATTATCGGAAACATCTTTGAGGTGATGCAAGCAGTGATCCCTTCTTTCAAGCTGTTGAGCACGATTCACTTTCGGGGATTCAGGGACGCTATCAAGTATTATCTTGCTAGTGTGATAACGTAATTAGGATTGCTATGGCGTCGGGGCCTTTGGAAGTTTTTGATGTACTACCAGGTTTGAAGCGCATTCTACTAGTACAACGTGCGGAAAATTTGAATAGCGAAATGTTGAGAAGCTTGTATCGGTTCATATTCCAGGCCAGCGAAGATGTGGTGCGAAATTGCCAGCAGACAAGGCAAAGCCGGGAGATCAAGCATACATTTCAGGTTTCTTACTGAGATTGCAAGATCATTTTTCAAAAAAAGACAATAGTACATTGGTGGCATTGCTGTATGTGCAGGGGTATATCTTACCAAGAATGGCGTTCGAAGCACGGAAGTGTCACTATGAGTTATCTTCGTCCCGACATTGGCGATGCGATCTATGTTCCTGCCTGAGCGCCATACGCATATCTTTCAGGGAATGTTGTGGAGTGTATGGCTCGATCCAACAATGTCCTCAACACCGGTTATGATTGATTCTCAATAGGAGGGAATAGTAATTAATGAAATTCATACAGGTTTCGTCCTCACGCAGACAGGGACAATGTGGCGCTGTTCAGCGCCGCACTCAGCTTTGCCCCTCATGATGAGCAGGGAGTGCATTTACCCGCGACGAAAAGCAAAAAGAGTCGGAAGGGAAGACCGAGATTTACGCTCGCCCGATGAGCGAATTTGATATACTTGGGGACAAATCTAACGGCGAGACATATCTATTACGGGAAGTATCTTCAATGGTCACGGCCTCGAAATCCAACTCAACGGACGTTCTCACGCTGAACGGGACATATGAATCCCTTTTGCGGAACAAGTCATACTCCGAGAAGAGAAGAGCGTCGAGCATCAGCATAGAAGAGAAGACAGCTCTATAGACTGCAACTAGTCGTAAATGTGCAGCCCATGTTTGGTGATGGCTCGCTGTGCCTATGCCTATGCCTATGCCGATGCCCCTTATCCTAGTCTCGAACGGTACTAGTGTTCCTCGAATTGGGTGAAGGAGCGCGGCAAGCTGCCCGACACCAATGACCAACGTTTTCCGCCGAACGACCTCCTCCTTCATCTAACCACCTGAAACTCCACTATGAGACCACCCCTCCCCACCAAGCCGCCGCCCTCTCGCCCAACCGCGACTCAAATGATCGTCACTGGTGGCCTGGGGACCATGTTCTGCGATCATAGGATGCGTTGTAGAGGACATCGCTCGTCACAGTCCTTGAGCTTCCCGAAATCATTAAAGAGCAGGTTATCGGATGATGGGCTCACCTGCCATCCAAAGAGGTGAGGGTTGTGCCTCAGGGGCAATGCCGATAACAGGCAGTAGCGCAATTGCCCTGAAACCTGGAGGAACTCAATCACCTTCCTGCGTCTCAGCAAGGTAGATTTCGCATTCATGATCGCCTCCTGTGCACACGAGCTTGCTGCTGGTGAAAACTGCACTCTCGCTCATGTGGCATGCTCTCTATATCATGCTCTCGCTGTTTGTAACCATCGGTCTTTTGCAAGCATTCTATATCACAAAAATAGCGAGATGACTTCAGATCAAATCATTATTGTTCGCGACAGTTGTGCTCCTGCAATTTAGCCCGTGTCGCATAATTGGTTCATCTCCTCAAGCTTCAAATAGCACCCTCACCCCTCCACCCCAACGATCTCAACGACCTTTACATACCGACGGTCTTCGCCATTCTCTTCTTGTCGCCGGTTGGACCGGTGACCTCGCCTTTGCTCTTTGTGGCACTTTCACTCTTTTGAACTGTACAAATCCATTCGTTTTTCTTCTTGCACCGTCTTGCTAGCCAAGCGGAATTCTCTGTTTCAGACCAACCCAATCACCACCTTACTTTCACCCAGCATTCAAGCAGGCTTAGAGAACTTGGATAGAGGTCATAGGACGTATTTCCTGCATCCGTAGGGCCGGCCTGGACATTGTTACAACGTCTCTAGGCTTGAAGAGCCCCCAATATCAACATGCGGTTGTTTATGATCATTTGTGCGCTAGGGTTCAGGACGCGTGCTCTGGCTACTCATTCGCTCGAAATGCAGAATGTCCAGGAAGATGCCGCCGTTCACCAGCACAATCACCTAGACTTCCACCTTCTCAAATCGAGACAGCACCTTGGGGTGAGAGCGCTCGCTCCGGGCTCTCCCAACCAGGACACCACGACTCACACAGACAACACCCCAAGTCAGGATACTTCCCCTGTATCCCAGGAGAATACTTCCCCAACTCAGCCAGACACCCCAGCCGATCAGCTCATTGATGAGCTTGACAAGCTATACGGGGAGTCAATTGGTACCGGATCTTGCGACGATTGGGCTGGCAATCCAGACGGCAAGGTATGCCAAAAACAACAGCCGCAGCCCAGTCAACAACCGGCGCAGAACCAGCAACAATCTCCAGCTGGTCAAACCCCTCCAAATCCGGCCCCAAAGCATGTGAAGATAGTAGATGAGACAGTGATTGTGGTGGTCACTAAGACAATCGGAGACTCGCCTCCACCTTCTTCACCAGCCAGCTCTTCGTCTTCATCTTCCTTGCCGCCATCACCAGCTGTACCCCCCACTCAGCAGAAGCAAGACACTGCTCCGAAACCGGCGCAGCCGCAACCACCAGTCCAGCCCAAGCCTCAACCACAACCACAGCCGCAGCCACAACAGGCTGCTAAACAAGAACAACCAAAGCCTCAACCCCAGCCTCAACCTCAAGAAGCTCCAAAGCAGGAGCCAACAAAGCCACAACCGCAGGCGTCTCCTCAGACCCAAGCGAAGCCACAACCCACAAAGGAACAACCTCCAGCGGACAACCCTTCGGGCTCCGGTGTCAACACCGATGGGCTGCCCAAGGATTTTGTGGATAATCTGGACTGCAACGATGATATCTTCAAGGGTTTGTCCAAATTGCACCACGACATCCATCGTACGAATCACTCGCTTCCTTTGCTTGTCTGGAATGACACGTTGTTTGAATATGCCAAGGAAACGGCGGAGAGTTGTATTTATGGGCACAGCCTGTCAGTCTGCTAATTCAAACTTACTTCAATGAAATTTGCATATTGACATGATCTAGGGCACCGGGTGGTGGGGGGTATGGCCAAAACATTGCGTCTGGAAATGCTCCCGGCAATATCTCCGCAGTCCTTACCAACGGCTTTTACAATGCAGAGATCGAATTGTTCAAGGAAGCTATTGCAGGTGAGTGGGGTACCAATGAACCAGCAATGAATAACTTCGAGGAATGGGGCCACTTTACGCAAATTGTTTGGGAAGGCACCACCTCATTCGCCTGTTACACCGCAACATGTTCTCCACCAGGTGCCGACCCTCTTCAATGCAATCCCGCAACAGGTGCATCATACTTGAAGAATGTAGGGTGTGGCAATGGAGGTACTAAGGCGTATAACACGGTCTGCAACTACTATCCGCCAGGTAGGTGGTCGGTAAACCAGGTGTTTGAAGATTTGCTAAGCTCTGAGCGACAGGAAATTATGCAGGCCAGTATTCTTCGGTTCCAGGCCCTCAGGACAAAATGCCATTCGTGCAAATGACTGGCAATGGCATTGTGGGCCTTTGAAACAAGTCGGGCTGTGGGGGTAACTTCTTGTCAGGCCAGTTGCCCACGTGGAATAAAGAGAGCAGTGCTTTCAAAGCAACGACGGATGCTTGACTTGAGGCGTTGTCAGCGGAGAAATCCGATGAACCTCGACTTCAAAGGGTGTTTCGCGATGTACTCAGGATAGTCATATGTAGATATTCACTTCTTCAACCTTCGATTGCCGGTAGGCAATCAGATTAGCAAAACGCTTTTGCTGCTACACGATGAGTCAAGGTGTCAAAAGCTAGCAAGTCAAAAGCTATTCATGAGGACCAGCTACTGTTTAAAGCCAAGATCAACACCGCCTAACATACATCGATACCGTGCCTTTTTTGCCCACGTTAAGACGGATCAGGATAAGCTCCTTAGGTAATCACGGCTAGCGGGCCGCTCTATCGGGGTCCTTGCAATGGCTGTGATGGCATGAATAAAGCACGCTGAGATCAATTCGTCCAGATCCTGAATGAGGCCTTCACTAGTAAATGACGGTCCGCTCGTGGACAATCGCTCAGAACGGTCGAGCAGTCCAGAGGTTTTTGAGCTCTAGGCCTCTTATTATCACACGCAAGTGGACAGGTGCATTACCATACCGGGCTGCCCACCCGCCACTGTTGTGGAGTTGCTGTCGCCAGTCCGCAACAATGGCTTCCGATTGTGGTCCGCAACAAGCTTCAGATAGCTTTCATCTGGTCAACCGGCTTGACGCGAGCCGTAGCCCGTACGTACGCTAGTCCTACGCCTTCGATTTTTGACTGTCACGTTAACAGATTGGACGGTAGGTACGAGGACACATGAATAATCCTGTAGCGTGGCAAATGTGGGATGAAGAATCCTTAAATGTTGCGAAGAAATACAACAAGCTGTTGTTCTTAAGCATTGGATATGCTGCTTGCCATTGTGTGTTTTCCCCCCAGCCTGTATCATAAGTGAAAACGTCTGATGGCATACGAAGGGTGTCACGTCATGGAGCGCGAGTCCTTCGAGTCTCCCGACGTTGCTGCTCTCCTGAATGAGCATTTCATCCCTATCAAGGTGGATCGAGAAGAACGGCCCGATATTGATGCCGTGTATATGCAATATGTCCAGGCTACTACAGGTTCCGGAGGCTGGCCTCTGAATGTCTTCCTGACTCCAGATCTAGAGCCTGTATTTGGCGGTACATATTTTCCGGGTCCTAGCGAATCATCTCATGGGTCCGCACTTGCAGATCATGTTGGCTTTTTGGACATTCTCAAAAAGCTGAGGACCGTGTGGGCGGAGCAAGAAGGAAAATGCAGGGATAGCGCAAAGGATATCATCTCGCAGCTAAGAAAATTTGCCGAAGAGGGTGTCCACGGTGAGAAGATGAGCCAAAGGGAAGGTGAAGCGCTGGAGATTGAGTTGTTAGAAGAGGCTTGTTCGCATTTTGCAACACGATTCGACAAGGTCAATGGCGGTTTCTCATCTGCCCCCAAGTTTCCCACGCCAGTGAATTTGAGCTTCCTACTACATTTAGGGCAATGGCGCGAGTCCGTGAAGCACGTCGTGGGCGAAGAGGACTGCGATGGTGCTAAGCACATGGTCCTTCATACCTTGAGATGCATGGCCAGAGGTGGTATACGGGATCAAATTGGCTATGGTTTCGCCCGATATTCGGTTACCAAGGATTGGGGACTTCCACATTTCGAAAAAATGCTCTATGATCAATCCCAACTGCTCAATGTCTACCTTGATGCATTCCTTATTAACCGTGACCCAGAAATGCTCGGCGCCGTGTATGACATATCTACTTATCTGACCACGGCCCCCTTAGCAGCGTCTACTGGCGGGTTCTTCTCGGCAGAGGATGCAGATTCCTATCCTACTAGGACTGCTGCGAACAAACGGGAGGGGGCTTATTACGTCTGGACTTTAAAAGAGCTTAGGACCTTATTTGACTCTCATGTCAGCGACATTCTGGCAGGTTTCTATGGCGTCAACGAGGAAGGCAATGTCTCGCGAGCTCATGACCCCCATCAGGAACTTGTTGGACAGAACGTGCTCAAAATTAGTAACACCCCTTCGGCTTTAGCCGCCGAATTCGATAAACCGGAGTCCGACATAATAGCTGCTCTCAAGTCTGGACGTCAGAAGATTCGCGAGCATCGAGACGCTCATCGCCCACGACCTGCTCTCGACGACAAGATTGTCGTCGCATGGAATGGGTTAGCTATAGGTGCACTAGCCCGCACCTCTGCTGCATTGCGCTCCATAGACACAAAGAAGGCAGATGTTTGTCTGAAGTCTGCAGTTTCCGCAGCTGAGTTTATCAAACGCGAGCTTTTTGACCGTGAGACACGAACTTTATACCGTATCTACCGCTCAGGTCGCGGTGACACAAAGGGACTGTGTGACGATTATGCCTTCCTCATCCACGGTCTCATCGACCTATATGAAGCAACTTTCGATGACAGCCATCTTCAATTTGCGGACGATTTGCAAAAAATTCAGCTTGAGAAGTTCCGCGATGTTGAAGGGGGAGGTGGATTCTTCACCACCCCGTCACCACACCCTCCGGATCTCTTGCTGAGGCTAAAGAACGGAATGGATTCTGCGGAGCCGAGCTCGAACAGCGTAAGCGCAAATAACCTGTGGAGACTGAGTAGCATGCTTGATGATGAAGATTACGCTAAAGTGTCTCGGGAGACTGTCATGGCCTTTGAGGCTGAGATAGAACAATTTCCGCATACGTTCGCAGGCATGCTTGGGTCTGTTGTGATGGGTCGACTCGGGGTAAAGGGCGTTGTACTAAGCGGACAGGTACAAGAGGGGGTGATAAAGAAACTGAGGGAAAGCGTAAGGCCTGGTACTACTGTCGTCGCTATCGGAAACGGACTCGGCGAATGGCTTAGAAAGAGGAACGCACTGCTCAGTGCTATTGATGCAGAAACCCCGAATATAACGGTTTGTGAAGGCCGCGTTTGCCGACAAGGCTCCGAATTTTTATGATCATGTAGTATGCCATGTCTAATGAAGTGTAATTGAATATACATTGCTGGGTAGCTACGAGTCATCAGTCATCATCCATCAGCTCAGCTAATTCCCTTTCCTCCTCTTCCGTTAGCATACTCTCTTTCTGTTTTTCTCCTGTTTGCTCCTGACTGCCTGTCCCATCCACGGCGTGCTCGGCCTCCTTCTTCGCTTTCCCCAGCTCATCCGCCCTCAAAGACCATGTCCTCAATGTCTGATCAATCCCTACCGTCACCAGTCTCTGCCTGCTAAGTAGGAGGCACGCCGTGATCTCCTCAAAATGGCCCGAATAGGTATGCCACAACTTCCCGCTCCCCCTTTCCCACACCTTTAAGTCCTCGTCTCGCCCCGCAGTAATTACCCATCCTCCAATTTCATCGACAACCACCCCCCTCACGTAATCACCGTGCGTCAGCACTGTATCGGCCGCCCACCTGCGCTCGCGGGACAGGCACTTTGCCGTTCCATCAGAACTCGCAGTCCACAAATCTTGATCCTCGTCGAAGAACAGCGAATTGACAGACGTGTCGTGCTGCAGAACAGGCGTTTCGGCGTCCACTTCTTCAGCAGACGTCAAGTCACGCTTTATTTTCCATCGTCGGATATGAGGATCGCTTGCTGCCGAGAATACCATCACGTCCCTCGATCCACCGTCTTGCCCGTCTCCGTCTTTCCCAATGCTTGTAGGGGTCGCAGGATCCACCGCCAACGCTAACACCCCCCTCGTATGCCCATTCAGAACATGCAGCTTTTCCCCTGTGCTCACATTCCAGGCTATAACACTCGTATCCGCACTGCCAGACACCAATACATCCTTTCCGCCGGCACCACCCAGACCTCCATCACTAGCTCTGAAGCAAAGCAGGCATTTCACGAAATCCGTATGCCCACGAAACCTCCTTCCGCCCTTGCAAGTAGTCGTATCCCATGACCAAATACTTTTATCCCAACAGCCCGCATAGATAGTCTGGCCATCAGACGAAAGTGCTAGGCTGGTTGCCGGGGTTGAGGGACCGCGATAGATGTGGGTAGTGTCTCCAGTCTGCTGCAAGCGTCAGTGGGTCGCACGCAAGATGCCTTATAAGACGAATCAAGATAATGGCGTGGAAAGAGCGTGAGCCATTCAGATGTGCGAAAGCGATGGCCACAGGAGAGCAGACGGCAAAAGGTGGAATCTCACCCACTTCAATAGCGATCCTCCTCACATTTCCGACGCTTTCTGCAATGAATACCACGTCAGGATCTGAAGGGTCGGCATGAATGGCGAGAAGCTTTGAGGGTAAGCGGATAGGAAATCCCTGAGTGTTTTTGGATTTTTGGGCCTTGCGGTTGGTCTCTGCGACAGAATGACTGGTCCAAGCATTTAGAGAAGGAAGGCTACGTGTGAGATATGGAATGACTAGTGGGAACGAACCTTGTCTGGAAGAAGTAGTCGCTATCGGAGGGAGGCATGGCCAAGGATTGCACGACTTAAAGGAAGACTGAGATCAGAATGCGGTAGGACGAGAGAGCATATGGAATGCCCGAGACTCAAATGTCGACTTCTCATTATATGCATCATACTCGCTTCTCGGTTCGAAGTGTTCTACCTAAATCAAGAGATTCCCCAGCCCAATCCTGGTCCATCTTCATGATACGACTCGAATGTTGTCCGCGCCCCCTTCTTTTAGTGATCATAAGTATATTGGTAGACTCTGGCCGACATTCAAACTCGCTAGCTGTCCTACGGCTTCCCAAGGCTACCGTCGTTTGCAGCAGATCGTCTTCCGAAAGCGACGGGGCTTGCTAAGCGGAGGGCTGCTGAAGGAGGCAGCCTACGGTCTATTGCCCCGTTCATTCACCTGTTCCCCATCTTGTATGTCCATTTGTGGACGAGATATTGTTGTTCCGCGTAAGGAAATTGAACGTTCTAGCTCGACGGTCTCTGGCCCTGATCGTACTGTGCTGGACAATGCCCGAGGCAAGTGGTAGCCCAACTTGCCAGCAGGAACGCTCAATCCATGAACTACGATGCTGCAGATGGCGAGAAACCAGACAATTATTGTGAGTTGATCTCCTAGCTTGACGGTATCCTCATGATTTTTTTCGTTGTCCTCGATACGCTTCAAGAATTCAAGGGCAAGGTACAAGTAGAAGACAGCGCTTACCCCTATCGGACCGAAGAATCCTGTAAATAGCATGGCCTGAACATCTTCAATCTGCCAAATCTTCCAGTGCAGGACGGAAATGACAGGCAGTCTGCGAAGCAGAAGAATGAGGACGCCCAGAGGTACAAGCCGATAGATCGGGATCACATCGTTATGAGCGAAGCTGCCCCATGGGGCAACAGCACCAAACCACATAAAAATAGATAAGTTGAGAAGCATGTCGATCGTCGGCTGAAATGAGTCGTCAAGTGTCTCGAGCCGGAACCAATCGTCCCACGTGAAGAAGTTTCCCGCAATGAAGCATGCAAGCACGTCGTCGGTGCCAATCATACCACAAGTGCCAGTGACGAAAAGAGCTAGAGTGATTGCAAACACTAGAAAGCTCTCTCGATCGACAAAATTCTTCTTCTCCGCCCAATGCAGTGCTTCCTGCGCGATCCAGCCCACGGCTGCCCCGTACACGACGCTCAGCATGATAGTATATGCCCAAGTTTCAGCAAACCAGTCTCTCATGGCGAAACCCACTCCATGAACTCCACCAACGCCGTCATTACCTACATACTTGATGATGTACAAGGCAAGAAAGAGGAAAGGGTAGCCAAGCCCATCATTCGCACCGGACTCGGCGATGATGATCTTCTGCAAATCTTTCGCGATATTTTGATCGGCGAATTTGCCTTTGACAATTGAATTTGATAGAACTGGATCAGTCGGGGTCACGCACGCTGCAACAGCCAGCGCGTTCAAATAGCTCAAGCGCGGCACCAATCCCCAAATCAGTAAGCTACTACATACCCACATGCCCGTCATGCCAGGTCCAAGCAACAACGCCAAGCTTCTCCAGTTCTTGTAAAGGTATTTGCTTGGGAGCTGAACACCAGCCAAGACTAGTTGGACGCCCAGAACGAGTCGAGTGAAGTAGAGTGTAGCCGTGGCCAGCTGCTCTTCCGACCCAAAAGTGTAGTCCAGGGGCTTGATGAAGCCAGTCCCATGGGAGAAAAGTGTCCCTGCGCTCAATGCGATCAAAGCTTCGGAGAGGTAGAAGCGTTCTTTGCACAAGTAGCTGACGAGACCAAAGACAGTGACGAAGCCGCCCATGACGGCACAGACGACATTGAAACTCGAGATATCGAGAGTCGGCATTGTTCCAGAAGGTGAATACGTCCGTGTTTGTCATATGTCCACTGATGGCTGACGACGCGCAGATGCTCAAAGAGTAGGCAGTTGGGGTACATGTGAAATCTTTCGATTGTGAAGGTGTTTGCTCAAAGAGCGATTTGCACATTCATGAGCTTCGTTTACTTTTTGCATCAAGCCTGTTGTCACTGTCACGGGCCGTAGACGAGGAGGAGAGGAAAAGCCAATGTGTATCAGAAACGGCCAGTACTTGTATTGAACTATTCTTACTAGTGGATTTGGAACGACATGCTGATGGCTTGATTGCAAAGAAGAGGCGGTAATTACCTATCTGTGGCGCCGTCCATCCTTTTCCCAACGTCCCAACACCCAATGGCAAGAAGAAAAGCCTGGGATAGATGATGCGTAGAAGCAGAAGGGAGGGCAAGCCAAGCCTTGACACAACCTAAGACGTCAGGGCGGGGCGGAGGCTAGCATATGCGCCCTTCCGAATGTTCGACAATGCCACCCAAGTACACTTTGATGAGAGTGTTCGACCTCACCAAATAGCCTACGTCTAGGCGCAGCTTTGTTCATGGAACGCCATTCCGATTCAGCCCAAGCCTTGGCTGCATCCACAGCCACCCACTAATGTGCTTCCAACCAGTGCAGCATCATCATCGGGGTTCTGACCTGTCTTCATAGCGTTGAGCTTGCATCATGAAGAAGCAGCCATTCCTTTCATCCTTATGAACCCGCATTCCCTTTCCTTGCGCCCTCGTTAGCGAGCTTGTCTACTTGTATGTTTCCAGCTTCGCTGGCATGCCCCTTGACCCATTCAAAATTTGTCAAGACCCTCAAACGATCCCTCTCCTCGATCTTGCAAAGAATGTTTTCGATGAGATCCTTATTCTCAACTGCTTTTCCCGCTGCGTTCTTCCAGCCATTTCTTCTCCAAGTTTGGAACCAATTCGTCAAACAATCAATAGAGTATTTCGAATCTGTGATAATTACAATGTCTCGATTCCTAGGAACAAGTTCGAGCGCTCGCTGAACAGCTGTAAGCTCTGCTCGCTGATTGGTCTGCTTAGGTCCTTGCAATGCCTCCGAGATGTTTCTACACCCTGTGTCAGCTAGGAATGCTAAGGCAATATATCGCTCCTTACCTCTTGTCGCCTCGTCCAAAGTAGACGCCTATGCCAGCGAATGCGCCAGCTGTACCATTGCCAATCGAGCTGCCATCCGTATGTATTCTAATTGGTCCAATTTGGCTTGAGCTACCAGGAACTGCCTTTGTGGCTTGTCGTTCTTCTTCACTTTTATACACGATAGTCCCAGTCACAGGATCCAGCTTTATTCTCGGATCAAAGCCATCGGTAGCTCCTGAAGGTAAAGGACCATAGCCAGCCTGGTAATCGCTCTCACAATACTTTTGAAGAGTTGAGGGTTTCTTAGCGCTGCCATTCGTAGGCGTCTTCGTTTTCTTGACCACGATAGGCATAGTCTTAGCATTTGGTCGCTCTTCGGTATCATTTGATGTAATGAAGGTACTCCTGCCGTCTAGAGACACGAGGGATTGCTCGATCTTCATGGTGGGTTCGTCTAGAAATTTCTGGGCTTCTGATTTAGTCCCGAAACAACGATGCTTAGGTTTAGTCCACCCCTTGATTTGCTCCTGAACAGATTGCCAGTCCGTGTATATCCCGGGAGTTCTTCCATTTTTGACGGCATAGAACTTGGGCGTTGAAGTGGCTTGAAAAGGTTCTTCTCCAGCAACAAACCGTTCTGCATCAGTAAGGGTCGGAAACGATTTGACTATAAGGATGGCTTAGTGTAGCAAGCCAAGGGTCGGTTCAATGCACATACACGTAGCCTTTGGGTAGCCCTTGACTTGTTGGAGGCAATCCGCCCAAGAAGAGTACACTCCAGGCGTGTGTCCTATGCGTACGGCGTAGAATTTGATTTCGGATCCTCTTTTTCTCTTCGTGCCATTCGACGTCACTGAGCTTGCTTGGGACTTAGACATGGCGAATGTATGATCTTCCATGGCGTTTAGAGTAAGGCAAGCCTTCCACCAGGGATTCCAAGCTTGAGTCACACGGATCGGCTGCCACGACAGCGACCAAAATCTCAAGTACGAAAGGATCGCCGTCTCTGTGAAGACTAGAGTGCAACTTAGAACATTGTTCTACAGGGTAAGGCCCCTTCTACATCGCGTCACTCGCGTCACAGGTGCCAAACGTTAGCACCATGGGCCCCGAGCTCTCCGGAGAAAAGAGGGGCCGCGGGGGACTAATGGTGTCTTGTCGATGGGCTCACAAGCTCAGTCCAAGATGTTATAGAAATACCAGGCAACTCCACATAGAGCATTTCCATTCAAGTTTTCAGCGATTGGTCAGTAAGTAGTATTCAATCTACCTCTATTGTTTCCACCCAATCCCATGCCAAGAAGACAAATTTCGTCTATGCAATTACATAAGCACCCTAGAATGCAAGATGGGTATCCATTGCCTTCATCGTATTGGTTACCACCAGACACCACGCTATAGCAGCATTGATTTATGACAATGTTCAATCTAGTCAGTAAGAGGTCTGTTGTTTAGTCGCCTGTAACTCATAATCTGGGACAAGGTCAAACCACTCGGTCTCTGCATTATACCGATATGCCTTAAACTCGACCCCATAGGGTTTCTTGGAGCTGTTAGTGACTGTCTTCGCCTCACCTCTCGTGTTTTACTCACCGGTTCAAGCATGTACAACATTCCCAAGGGAGCAACCAAGTCTGCAACATCCTCCCGCTTCAAGCCCATAAAGTAGGCCAGAAGCACTCTTGCTACAGACCGATGGCCGACTAGGAGAACATGGTCAGTCATCCGCTCCACCTCGTGAATCACGGGCCGGAGTCGATTGATGATGTCGAGGTAACCCTCCCCTCCCGGACCTGGGTATCGGTAGTGTAGTTTGTCTCGTTTCCTAAGCCTACTCATCGTCAATCACGAAGTCCCTCAAGAACACTAAACTCAGTGAAACGGTAATCAGATACGGCGTAGATCAGCCAGGACTTACTCGTAATCTGCAGCATACTTTTGCCGTATATCTTCGTATGTGAGGCCTTCCATAATGCCTGCATTCAACTCGTCAAGCATCCTCATTTGTTTAATCTCGAACTCTTCTTCATCGAAATACTGAGCCGTCTGTATGCTTCTTTTGAGCATCGAGGTCCACACACAAAAGCTTTTCACACTATCCTGACTTTCGCTTGTTGAATATTCAGGATTCGGAGGCGTAGTATCGCCAGGCTGAGGAGGAAAATGAGTAGAGACAGCTTTGTCTTGCTGTCGAACCTCCCAAATTTCACGCTGATCCTTGACAAAGGCCGTCAGGGTCTTTGCATATGCATGACCTCCTTCAGTGAGGTCGGAGTCGCCCCCAATCTTTCCCATGATGTTGTCTCTAGATTCACCGTGCCTTGTAATCCAGATCTGTCTAGGCGCCAAATTGAAATTCAATAGAAAATAATTGGTTTGTGCACTCAGAAATCCTCGTATCTGATGAGATATGATTTTCCGACCCACGTCGATCATCTGAATATATTGCATGTTGTTCTCCTCCTCATAATTTCCAAGTGATACGTAGGTCTTTCGATACATCGATACACGCTTTTTAAAGTCTTCCAAGGCCAGGACTGGATCTTGCTCCTTGTAGTCAGGACCAGAAAGCTTCAAACGCATATTAGATTCCAGGAGTGTCTCATCAATACACAATGACTCAAGGAAGAGAATGCCCAAATCGGGCCCGGCTCTTGCCCGAACCCTGTCCATGATGGCTTTGCGACGTTTGGGAGTGCTGTTCGTGGCATCAAAGATTCCTACAGATCCTCCTCGATCCAGGATGTAGTCCAACATTTCGTCAAGAGTCTCCATTGCAACCTGCTCCCGAATACTGGCAGCTTTCTCATTGCTTGGGTCGAAAAAGCTGGCCGTCTGTTCCAAGGATTGACCAGGTGACGGATCTCCAGCATCAGCTCTTGCTTCCTCATCAGGACATTCAAGATGGTCCGCCTCGGTGTTAGCCTTACTTTCCGACATTTCAAGTGCGGCTGGGGGCAATCTCTCGAGAGGTGGCGTTTCAGGGGGCATATCTCCGTTGATCAGGATCCGAGTGGAGGGTGAGGTTGGTGGCGTGGTGAGATTCTGTTCACGAAGAAGGCCGTTCAACGAAGCTGTCACCATACTGATCTCTCTCAACGTAATGGTCTGATAATGACGATCCGTCTTTGACCTCGTCACCGATGGACCAGCCACGCCACGCCGCCTTTCGCCCACGTTGAAGATTCTTGTGTCGTGCTGTAACCAATTCAGATAGCGCGCGAGCTTCTTGGTGATGTAGCTTTTACCACGAGCAGGTAAACCCACCATGACAATCACAAGCTTCGAGCCTACATCTCTTTGCGAGATTTTTCCGTCCGGCGAAACTTTGGATTTTGTAAGGCCTGGTATGTCAAGTGTAGTAGCGGCCCGAGGGCGCAATCGAGGAGATCCTGAATCGCGGCGTATCGGCGGGCTGTCATTTCCAAGCGCTATTTAGGTTTATCATGATAGTCTAGGGACGACGGACTTACATTATCGGGCTGTTCGGCGTTGTAGTGGCTGGTGTGCTACAAGGGGTGTCGCTCAAGGCCTTTCCATCCACGACACCAGCCTTTTTCGCACCATTGGAAGGACTTGTCAGCAGGCCCTCATTAGGACCACTCCCGTGAGACTGTTGAGCCTTTGCTCTTTCGGCGTCTGATGTACGAATGCTTTCTGTGCTTGATGTCGAGAAATGGCTCATGATTGCCGTCTTTGCCATGCCTGAATGCTGGCTGTGTCGATGTGAGCTTGCAGGCTTCTTCCCTGTATTGTCGCTTAGATCTCCGATATTCTGATGGAGGTCATGGGCGCGATATTGGCCATTGGATAGCAGTGGCATTGCAGCCGACCGTGGCAGATGTTAAATGCGAATCAGTGGGGGCCGTAGACTGTTTCGACAGAGGAGAGAGTCTCGTTTCGAGAGAGGCCGTAAAGCTGGATGCGGTGTGCTTAGTCGCACAAGTCGTCAGGTGAAGGTTGGTTGAGCACAATGGTTGATCAAGCTTGAGCTTTGTGGTTTTGAAGGTACTGAAAATCATTTAAAATAATTTATTGCTCTTGCATCACAGGAACGCTTCCAAGGGTCGTCCCGCGAAGGCCGGGGCGCTTGGCGCAAGCCCCCCTGAGCAGCAGGAGCAGAGTGCAACGTGATCTGCTTGTTGCCAATAGCCCAGACGAAGAGTGGATGATCACAGGGAGCCCCTATGACATTGAATGATATGTCGCATCAGCCTTTCGAACAGATGCATCATGCTGGTAATGCAGCCCGCCACCTATGCACGGCATAGCTTACTCGCAGCAATCACAGCTCCCGCCGCGCTCCACAAAAGTGACCAATGGTATTAGCTCATGCCACCCACGTCCCTCGCGCTGAGCTTATCTGGCTTCGGTGGGATATCCAGAACGTCCAGTAACTAGATTGTTGCTGGACAGCTGGACCGGGTCCTCATGAAGGTGCAATAATGTAGTCTGACAAAGTTTTGGCAACTCTGTCCAGGGCGGTACCGTCATCGTTGTAGCACATCCTCATCGATCTGCGAGTCTCAACGTGAGGATCAGTAGGCAAGAGTATGCCGCAATAGACAGAGCAGTTAGAACAACTACCACGTTGCCACTGGTGCGGAACTTGCGCTGGTTAAGACCATCTTCGCCAATCTCGGAGAAGAATTGTTTGTTGCCTTGTTGTCTTCTGAAGAGACTGAGCAGTAAAATACCGGCACCGTAGACAGCAAAAAGAGCACCGATGGAATAGAACTCCGAGGTAAAAATCTTGAGGATGACCAGCGAAAAGGAGAATTGTCCCAACGCAGTGCGAATGTAAGCCCCTTCGAAGGTTCTTTGCGCGGCTCGAATTTCGACAAGTTCCTACCTCATCTGTTAGAGCCGTCTCGAAACGACTTATCAGCGATAATTACTACCTCATCGGTCAAAATCACTGACCGCGCCCTGTGCGCACGGAGGCGATAATCATCAGAGCCATGCGGCTTTCATAGATCAAGTCATTTCGGAGTCATGGCTTGAGCTGTCAATAACTTACTTCGAACATGCTTTCAACCCTTTCCAATACAACGGCAACCCACTCAACAGCCTTCGAGAGTTTGTAGTATCGTCTCCTCCCTCTCCTCTTCGGTATAAGACGAAGATTTTCCCCGGAGCACTAGGGTCTAAGCCTAAACCCAATTAGGACTTACACTAGCCAGACAGAAATTTTTCGGTGCTCATTTCTAGTATAATGTGCTCTCCATGTTTGCATTCCAGACTATGTCCAAAATGCAGAGTAATTACATGAGCATGTACGATGGGAGCACAGGTGGGAGTAAGTACATTGATGCTATGTTAGCCTCAAGCAAATCGTGTACGATTTCCTATCGATGCAAACCCACGTAAATGATCATGGATTACATTGATGGATATCCTATGCTGAACTTCGATTTCCAATATGAAAGATTGCTACGCATGCCAGGCCTCATGGCAAGCTCTGTTACCAGGTTCGCCTTTCTCGTCCCATTGCCATGCCAAAAACTTCCAATTCAACGAAGGCCGCCAGAAAAGCCCGTAGCCCAAGCCGTCTATCCCTTCGTGCTCATACGCCTCTGCCACAAGGGCCCCTGTGCGTGGCATTCTGTAGCCGAAAATGACTTTACTGAAGCGAGAGTGCAACATCGCCATACAACACATGACACAGGGTTCATGAGTTACATACAGCTCGAAATCCAGGCAGAGGTAACCGCCAGGTACGAGGCTGGATTGGTCATATATTTCTTTCTCTGATGCCGTAAATGTAAAAACCCCAGATTGCTGTACTTCTTGTCCACTGATGTTGGACTCTGCTGAACATGCTTTTCGTTTTTGTGAAACAAGATCAATCGCTCGCATGACTGCATGTGCCATGGCATTACCATTACCGGGCTTCTTCGGCGCAGAGATCCCCTTCCAGCGAGCGTCTCCTGCTGCAACTATGACTGAGGGAGCGTTATGGTCGCTGCGATTCACGATGAGCGCCCCAACTTTCTCTCCTATGCCCTGATCGCATGCATCAAACCCTACTCGCTCGGCCAATGCCATGAACTGCTGCACATCAGCACTTATCTCTTGGGCGGCCTGATCTATCGAGCTGTGCTGTGGGCCAAGTGGATTGTGTTTTTTATACACAGCTGGCCAGTAATCCCGAGACCACTGATGAGCTTCCTCTGCTGAACTTGGGGATGAAACCGGTACTGTAATCGTAAATACATTCGGTTTCAAGTCATATCGGTCAAAAATTGCAGACTCCTGCAGTAACGCAGAAACTGCTTCGTGTGGCATGCTGGACTTGACGCAGAGGAGCAAACATAAATGCAGCGTCTTAGAGAAGTATGAAGGCTCTTCTTTCGCGACGAGCGTTCTGCTAGCTCCTATTCCACATGCCTGCTCTTGCGCCCCGCAAGATTTGGATGTGGCGACAGCATATTTATTCTGCAAATTCAAAGGCAGGTTTTCCTTGCGAACGACTCTCCGCAGGTGAGCAAAACCTGCGCGATCAGTAGCCGCAAGGGCATTGTCGACGACCCTAATCAGAAGAATTAGGCAGCAAATCACTCTAAATACGAAGAACATGCCTTAGGATTGCTGCAGTATCCGTCGCCGGAGCTCCGACAACGAATGCCTCTCCAAGCTCAAACCGGGCATCGACTTCGGCTTTTGTGTGCAGGGCCGCTAGATGTCTTGAGGACGTGGCAGATACACTAGGATTTGCAGATGGTCCATCGTAACATGCACGCTGGGCGTAGGCTCCATCCACCATAAAAATCGGAACATGCCCAAAACGTGCGGCTGAAGAATCGAAGATTTTGGCATGGCGGATTGCTTCCGCTCGTTCGCTTCTCGCCGGTGGTCCTCCGGGTGACTGGGAAGCTTCAAGCTTCCGAGCCCAACCTCACCAATGCCTTCCACCATAACTTTCGGATTTTTGCTTTGACGAAGATGTGTGTTGCATAAGGAGACTGGATCAAGTTCGATCCACTTTCATCACGCCTTTATACCTCTTCACCTCCCTCAGCTATAATCCAATGGCTCCCATTACCGACGACACGGCCGAAGGCCTTCGCACTACAATACACAAACTTGAAGCTCGCGTCCGACAGCTAGAGAGCAGGATTGGTGGCGGATCAGATGATGAGCATCAAGTCGGCAACTCTCCACGATCAATACGAATGATAATAATGGGACCTCCTGGTGCTGGTATGGATACTCTACCTGGCGCTGAAAGCTGTGAAACGAGGCTGATGCTACCTACAGGAAAGGGTACTCAGGCCCCCAAGATTGAGGAGAAATATAAGTGTTGTCACCTGGTAATTTCTGTTCTCGCAGTCTTTAGACCATAACATGCAATTAATCTCCGCACAAAGGCTACAGGTGATATGCTCAGGTCCCAGGTGGCGAAGAAAACTGCTTTGGGACGTGAAGCCAAAAAAATTATGGATCAGGGCGGGCTGGTCAGTGATGAGATTATGGTCAACATGATCCGGTCTGAGCTAGACGGGAATGAGAAATGCAGAAAAGGGTAGGCAAGCTTGATTGGCGATTGCTATATCTGTCTTAATAATGGCAACAGGTTCATTCTTGACGGCTTCCCACGCACAGTCGCACAAGCCGAGCGGCTGGATGATATGCTTCGGGGGAAAAGTCAGAAACTCGAGCACGCAGTGGAGCTCCAAATCGATGATGGTCTGCTGGTCTCTAGAATAACAGGGCGCTTGATTCATCCAGCCACTGGCCGCACCTACCACAAGACTTTCAACCCCCCAAAATCTACAATGAAGGATGATGTGACTGGCGAGCCATTGATCCAACGGTCTGACGACAACGCTGAAACCCTAGAAAAGCGTCTAGCCACGTATCACGCCCAAACCTCGCCTGTTGTGGCATACTATCAGAAAACTGGAATTTGGAGACCCATTGATGCAAGCCAGGAGCCTGGCCAGGTATGGAAGAGCTTGTTGCAGGTTTTCGGCGATGAAAAAAAGCCTCTCTCAAGTGGAGGTTTGCTAAGTCGAATCGGTTTAAGAAGCTGAGTGTCTTTTCATCTACTGCTGAACATGAATCTGGGTGGCGCTTGAATACCAAAAAGGTGCAAGCGATTGTCTGTATCAGAAAAGTACGAGGCGACGCGTTTATACCAAGTGTACCCCTGTTGTTGTAGCTCAGTGTAAGATACACCATTGGACAGCTACAGTCGAGTTGCCAGTATTAAATCGCTCTGCTGGATGTTCTACTGCCTACTCATCATCCAAGCGTGATAGCGGTTTAAGAAGTTTTCAATAAGATTTGGGAACAAATCCAACCGCGGATCCTCTTTCCATGATAACATGCATACACTCAGGGCTGCTCGCCGTTACGGTATATGCCTTGATCCTGCAGCGTCATTCACATCTAGCTACTAGCTGGGCGACAACGCTGGTCTCAAGCTTTACGTGCTTAAATCCCCCTTTGCAATGGCGAAACTATAGTTTGACCTATAACACGTCCTCAAGAGACCTCAGGAAGTGGGGAATATAGTGATCCTACGAATGAAATCACGGCGCGCACGCATCAAGTGTAGAAAGATGAGCCAAGAGTTCAGTGGCAGCAAGTGAGTGACAACATTTTCGCAATCTATCTTGTTACTATTGAGAGGTCATCAGCGCATTGTTTGTTAAGCCGCGCCTTTTCCAGTCAAGCAGTCACTTGCCACATCTATGGGATGAAGACATGGATCGCTTGATATACTACACAGAAGGCGAAGGTGGATCAACAACTGGAGAAACTACTGACCATTTGAAGTGGCCTTGGCCTGCGACATTGTCCAACGTCAGGCCCCATGATCTCTTCAGAAATGCGCGACCAAGGATGGGCACTCAAACAACGCATTACGGCTTTGGTTGCAGAGCGCGTTGCTTGCCTCGAACAAAGATACAACAATCATTTTAAGCAATGCATTAGGTAGCGGCAGCTGTGGCCAAAGCAAAAGCCAACGGCTTCCTTCCCGCATGAATGGGCGCTGATAATTATCCATTCTTGACCGATCAAGGAGCAAGTAGTTGAAGACTCAAAATGACAAATATGAAGGTCTTCCGTGCAGAACAAGAAATTAGGCCAAAGATATGTACGAATCGACGAAGCGGGACGTTATGATGAAGCAGGAGGAGGTTCGCTGTCAACACGATGAATAGAGAAGTCTCCCCAAAGTCACGCCTGATTTGGATTTTCGTGACGTCCAAGTAGATGTTTGTGAACACGAGACGAGGTTTCAGGATACCCGAAGAAGCACTCGATTGTAAGTCTCCTGTTTCCTCAATATCCCCCAGTTTAGAAAGATAGAACAACACCTCATCCTACACACAGCATAGCATATTCTCAAACTTTTGCATATACAATAGCTCATTAGCTCCATTTACTACTGCCATGAAATCAAGTTCCAGCTTATGATCCTTTGATAGCCCAAGCGCGCTTGCGAAATGCTGTCCCTCTCCGGACCAGCAGTAGCAAGCTCTAGAGCTAGCAGTCAATGGGGGTGTTTCCAAGAATTTACTCCTGTGACGGTCTTACAGATTGGGGCCTTTCCTGTCCCAACTTGGGAGAACCATTTTGTCGACCCTATGGCAGAAGGGACCCTTGGCGAACAGCGGCACCGGCGGAGCCATTCATCACTCCACTTTAATTAATTTCCCGATCTCCATTTGATGATTCCACACGATATAGATACCGGGTAGGTGACATAATATTGATGACAATGGTGACACTCCTGTGAACTCCTGTTTCTCAACGTATGATGAGGTGCTGGCATCGGATAGTCGATTCTTTCATTAGCATTTCCTGCAAGAGAAGTGTTTTAAACGTGAACAAGCGACTCAAGTCTTTCCATCATTATCAATAGTCAAATTATGAGATTGAAGTCATCAGAGCTAGAGGAGATGTCATAACAGCGCGCTATTTGCCTCTCAATTGCGTAATACCTCTATCCTTCTCTCCAACCTGCCGCCCAAGCCCCAATTTCCTCTCGCTCAACAACCCTTCTCTTCACCCTTGGCCCCGGATTTCCCATTTTCTTAGCAAGAACACACGCAAGTAGGTGCTTACAGACCGGGATATCATTTGGATGCTTATCCCGCATCAACCCACCCCAACATCCTCCCTCTCTACCACCATCATTTGGTGTGTCTTGCTGCAACTCGGCTCCACTACCTATTGCCCAATCCTCGTCGTGAAATCCCCCATCCTCTTTAGAAAAAGCAGAGAAGGCAAAAGCAGCACATGTGCAACTCCAAGCCGTTGGTCTCACCTCGTAACTGACATTGTCCGTCAATTTGCGATTGCCCTGATGTACTCGAGATGAAAATGTAGGGGCGTTGGAGAGGACGTAGTAGACGTCTCGGCCCTTGGAATCCTGACTAGCGACATTCGCACTCGCATAGTCTACTGAGTCGGCAGGATCGCGAATCTCAGCTCTAGGAATAGTTGATGCCCCGGGACTCAGAGACAGGTCTGTTACTAAACCTCGGTCGAGTAAGTCTAGGGCCGGAAGCAGAATGGTGGGGAAAAGAGCGTGCAGGGTCAATAAGACTGGTTTAAGGGGTCCTGCGTCTACCTGCGGATTTGTAGAGGGCGAAGCTGCGACACTGCTTTGAACGGTGTCCAGGAGTGCGTTGATCAATATACTCGTGCTATTGATAGTTGAGTGGATTTTCATAACTGTAGTGATCTATCGCGTAAGGTATTTCTAGCCAAGTGCTGATTAAATGCTGCAGAAACTACTGTTCTACACGTAGCATGTTGCCATCTTTATCGTCAGTTTCGAGCAGCCATTACAAACTTCAAATTTTGGCTTTTCAATCTAGATATTTGATGTTTAAACACTTCTAGGTCACGATAATGTGTGAGTCATGCTGGTTAAATGAACGAATACGCTCTCTTAGTAAGTGTTCTTCAACCTTTTCCCGGGTGAATCTCCTTGCGTCCATTGTGTACTACTATTTGTTTTTATTCTGTGTTTTCGATGGTTACTTTGAGAAGGGAGAGCTTTGGACTCTGGAATAATATGACCTTCAGTGTCATTAGGTGATAAATGACGTGGTCTGTTAGTCGCTATCCGAGTGAAAAAAAGTGAATAAGGAGTCCAACTGCCCTCTGGACGAACGGCAGTCGAGACGCCCACAGTTCTCACAGAGCCATCGTCCAGCACCTCCCATGCTTCATCCGAGCGTTTAGCTACACACCTGTAGTGGCCAGTCTCAAAAGAGCCCATATGCTGTACAACAGAGACTAATTGGTATCTCGCAGGGCCATCACCGTCGACGAAGGCAGAGAGGTCTAACTCTTGGCTAAATGGTACGACTCTAGCATTTTTCTTGTATAGACCGTATCCCACGCGTTCGAAGCGCAGAAAGTCTAGCTCTAGGACTTCGGGAACAGCAGTCATGCGAGAATGCTGCACGGCGGTCGAGCGCTTTCTGCATTTCTCACAGCGGTAGTCATGCACCGAGACCCTAGCAAACGTATTGGATCGAAGAACATCATCCAGTGCTTGCCCATACTTAAGTGCAACACCCAAACGATATTCGTAGGGAGACAAGACACGTGACTCATGCTCACACAAGCGACAGACAGTTGTACGTGCTGTTTGATGGCCAAGCAGACTCTCGAGAGATTTCCGGCTACTAGACGTGTTGATTAATTTGACACTGCGTACTACAAAGATTCCATCATGTCCTACCTAGAGTGACACTCCAGCATCGCGTTGATAACATAAAGGTAGAACTCATTGGCATCCTGCTGTCGGTTCCATTTCCATTTTGAAAAGTTTGAGCACGCACGTAGTGTGGATCCAAATTCGTGCAGGTTTCGATTTGCATCTTTGGAATCGTGAGCCTTACTCCAGTAGACAAGAGAAAGACGTTGAAACGCGCAGATTGCACATCGCTGGGTCTGATGGCCGTGAGACTGATGGTCTCTCAACCACTTCACAATTTGCGGCACATGTAAGAGTGCTTGGATTGTACTGTTGCGATAGCACATCACACCGTGATTCCAAAAGCCGCTGGATGATGCAGATGAAGCTTTTGTTCCCGGCGGCGCTTGCGAATGGGGGCATGTCTACAGGTTTTTTTAAGTCAAGACCTACTCGGGAAGGCGAAGCTTACTGTTGTAGCCTTGATACCCTGGTTTTGGGATGACTGAGAGGTACCCTGTACGCTTGTATGTAACCGAGTAAGTGTCATCCTTCTTTCATCTTCAATGGTCCGTTCAGTTGCCGGTACAAAACGGATTGGGTTTCTCAGAAGTGTCTCAAAGACTCCAGTCATATTGGCCAATCTAGCATGCGAAGTTTCACCAAGATTTTTGGAAGCGCCTTCGCGACCAGCAGTATGGGCTTTTCCTCTGCCCCCTATCATGATCGGCTTCAACTTACACAAACCTGGTTATGATTCAATGCGACCACCTTGAATACTGAGAATTCTTTTTGCGTATGCTAGACGGAATATGACGAGATTCTTTGGTGGGCGGTAAAGGATATAAACGCCCTTCCTACGAGTTTAGGGCTATATAGATCAAAAGAAAAAGTCTGCGAGGACACCCTTGGCAAGGCAATTGCGCTTTGAAAGGTGCAGACATTGGCAAGAGGATTAGAAATAGGGAATTGAGAACAGAAGACATGGATTTTGGCAATTGTTCGGAGGTCAAGAAGCGTTCAGGCCCATTCAGGCATTCCATTATTGTATTTTCGGGCTGGCTTCGAAACTGAAATAAGGTTGGTGGACTTGGCATTATAAGCGCGGGCGCAATGAACCTTGTCCTCATCCGAGGCTTTCCTTACCTCAGATTAAGGTAAGCTAAGGAAAGGTAGACCCTTGTCTTAGTTTGTACTTACAATGATGTCGGTCTGACGAGTTGACAACATCTCGCTCAGGTCTCCTTTAGCACAGAGGCATCTCCACTATGGCGCATGAGAATACTGGAGTCTGGCAGCAGTGTTATGGAAACATCCAAAGTCCAAGGTATACTGTGAGCACAAAAATGAAGGTAACCTTGACTGACCTCCCTCGAAAGTCGAATTCAGTGATCCGGCTGGACTATTCACCTTAATTCAACCGGTGCTACAGTCTTGCCTTCCTCTCAGGGACTTGCACTGGAACTCATCATCCCGACCGCTCAGATCTATCTCATCCCTTCACATCGAGCTTGTTCCTGACACAAAAAATGCCATTGGGGATGTGGATGCTACAGTTCAGGAGAGCTCCCAGGACGAAACGGGCCCCAGACATCGTACTTTATCTTCAAGTGGTGTTCCCTCAAAGAAGGAAAGGCGGCATCAATTTCCCGGACTTCGACAGACGCCCTATCTGAAAATCTATTTGCTATCAGGTACCGACCTTGAGGCATACAAGTCACAAACAAGACCCGATCTGCAGGAATGGGTGAACCGCCAGACTTCTGCTAGACAAAGCAATGCATCCATAAATAAGCAAGAGAAACATGATGCATTTGAATGGCTCATTGTCCACATCCTTGTAGATACTACGGAGCTGTCTGAGGTATATGCTAGTGGTAAGGCTGATTCTGAAAGCATCCGAAAAACTAGCTCCTCCCGATGGAAAGCTCGAAGTTCGAAGACCGTGATCGAAAAGGTCCGTTCAGACTTCAATAGCCCATCCAAGCATGCCGCCGATCGGGTTACTCAGATCCAGCTTCCCAGCTCCCAGGAAATCGGCATCAATACGAAGCGTGACTCACAGGAAGATCAAACCCTCCTAGAAGATGTTGTTAAGAAGATGAAAGCTCTGATATTGGCATCCTTTGATCGACGTGTGCAGCAATATGAAGAAGACATTAGGGAGAAGGAGCTTCAGCGCAATCTGCCTGGATGGAACTTCAACACCTACTTCGTCCTGAAAGAGGGACTTGCGATAGGCTTTGAGAGCGTCGGTCTTATAGAGGATGCGCTTACGGGATACCAAGAACTCGCAGCCGGTCTGGGGGCGGTTGTCGATGAACAACTCACTGCAAACTCCGAATCGGATGCCTCTCACTTTCAAGACCGTACAGTGGAATTTCAGCATCTTCTTGAGAAGTGTCTCGCAATTTCAGAAGACAACAGCACCTCGTTAGAAGTCCCCCAGGTTGAACTTGCAAGCCTCGGTTCACTAGTCTTAAATACGGACAGGAAGGCGTTCCGTAAGCTGATACTCGAGAATAACATTTCAATCTTCGATTTTCAATGTTACGTCTTTGCGCGGCAGGTCTCGTTACAGCTTCGTCTAGCAAATGTGCCGTTTCTTGTAACGGCCACCCTAGCCAACCCCGCGCAGGCTACTCCGTCTACCAATGGAAGCAACACAAAAACTACACTAAATGACGCAGGGCAAGTGAATCATCAGAAGCTCGCTCACATCTGTGAACTTGCGCTTACCTTTATTGCGTCTTCAACGTGGGTCATTCGCCAAGACGTAGAAGCCTGCTTAGACTACGCTACCGAGCAATGTATACGTGACGGGCGCACGCCTTGTCCCGCCATGAACCACATTATCGTCGAGAATATAGTTGCTTCGTGGACGTTCTCCGCATGTCAGAGTATTTTAGACTCTACGTCGACACGTGTGCTTTCGCCTCACCTCGAAAAGGCCCTGAGACAACTCAGACGCTCTTCGCGAGTACATCCTGAATTAGTCAATCGCGGCGAAGAGAGATGTGATGATGATACTCGACGTAAAAGTTTTCCGATGCGTGCGTCTTCGTTATCGTTCCGAAGTCCGTCTACAGCATCAACTCAACTATTTCCGCTGTCAGAAAGTTCCCATGCGGGTCAACAGCTTGTATCATTGTCGCTATCCCATGGAGCGGGTGAACTTGCAAGCTCGCGAGGCGAGCTTCTAACTTTAGCGAAACGTACGCTTGCCACTCTTGGTATGTTTTTGAAGACATGGAAAATAGGGTCTTCGTTCACGACTGAGCATTCTGAGACTGAGTCCTCTCTTGAGGACGTCGATCTGAACGATCAAGCAGACGTGGACGAACGCTCACAGTCGCCTTTCCCTAGTCCTAAGACAACTACACAAGGAATTGAAAATGCCTTCTTGCTGAGGGCCTTGAGCTCCAAAGACAATTTCTACGCATTGTATGAGGTAAATACAATTCAAGCAACCGATTGCCCCTATTAATTTCTTGCAAGGACTTAACAGCCTCGACTTTAGCACACTATGTCATTTCCGACCAAGCCAAAAAGATAGAGGCTACTACAGCTGATCTAGCGATACTGTACTTGTAAGTAGAGCCACTCATTACACACATGAGCACTAGGCTCATCTTTTTTCAGTCATCTCGAAGATTTCACCACAGCGGTTACTTATTTCAGGCAATTAGCACCCTCTTACGACGATAAAGAGTGGTCTAACTTAGGAACTCTAATACTTGAGATGTTAGCACATTGTCTGCGGCATCTGGGATATGACAACGAATATATAGCTGTAGCCTTACGCGCCTTGAGACGACTAAAACCCGATGTAGAACCACGGCTGACCTCGTCGTTGTCTCTGGGTGAAGTATTCAAGGCGTCCGCAAGTCTTAAGGAGCAAGTTACACTTCCTTTTGACGCCTTTTTCTATCAAGGTACGCTCGAGCCTTACATCCAGCATGTATTTGGCCAAGATACTTTTGAGATGCACTTTGACTTTCAATGTGGGCTTGCAGAGATATTCGAAGCACATTCACTGTGTGTGCAAGCTATCGGAGTCGGTGAGGAGGATTTCAAAAAGTTCAGCATGTGTAGCGGGGAGGGTATTGCGGTCAAACCAGGTTTAAATAGGCTAAAGATACGATCTAATGTGCGAGTTGCATGCAGTCATCCTCAGTGATCAGCGCTGACGATGAATAGACGATTAAACCTGGCTGGTACGTGGTGGATAAGATTCGCCTGCTTGCTGGAAACATCGTCTTCGAGCAACACAACTCCCAGCCAAGCGATGCTCTTGTCCTTCCTGGGAACAAACCAGCTGTAATCGAAAGCAATCCTCGGGCGCAAGACTCCAGACAATTCATGGTGTGGGAAACTTCCGAAAGCCTTGCTGTGAAAGTATCACCCTCTAGGTACATTAAACTCTCGCAGCCGCGATCGATTGACGTCGAGATTTTTAGTGGCTGGAACGATATCATAGATGCCACAATACTTGTGCGAGCCGGCTCCGCGGGGCTTCGAATTCATACAGCCGAAGCGCAGACAGCTGACCGGGCAAAGCTGGGCAGCGACACTTCACAGTCTGGCAGTATTCGATTCGATGACTTGGCTCGCGACAAGAAGATTGTCATATCTATTCCATATGAATTGGAGGCCGATTCAGATGAGATCCAACTTCGAGTCGAAATCTCCTACAGAACAAAAGATGGTACTTTCACCTACGCCTCCAGGATCAAGGTTCCCTTGAAGCTTGCTATCACTGTAAATGTTCAAGAGAACTTCAAGAAGAACTTCCTTTTCTCGCGCTTTAGTATTGGTCCAGCGACTTTGTCGCCCATTCGACTAATCAGCACAGAGATTACAAGCAACGTTGATTACGACGCACAGCTCTTCTCGACAAACGCAGACCACCTAAGAATATTTGATCGTCAACCCTATTCGGCAATTGGGAAGATTCAACGCAGGCGCAAGGATGTCAGAATAGATGCAGCCAACCGAATAGAGCCACGGATATATATGAAGATCAAGTACCTGCTCGAAGATGCAATGATTACGAAGACTGTTGACGTGCACTTATCTGAAGCTTTAGCAGCCGCCCAAATACAAACCTATTCTCGTCTGCTATCACAACACTTAATTACTCGCTTACGTAGTAGAATGTCAGCCGCAGATCTCGAGATCTTTGCATTGACGCAGACAGTACCTCTTGGCTCTTTCGCGGATTGTGGGTGGGACGACGTGTTACAAGTCTTGATACCCAGTCAAGTTGTTAGACTAAAACAAGTGTTGGAGGGCTGGCATCAGGTGGGTGGCATTGAGCTACGTTATGGGACCGGCTCATAAGACCCTAGAAATGCGCGTGTCTGCCTTTTGACCCCAAGGAACGTGAACCATTGCAACGGCAGCTCGATGTTCCAGTCGATATTCCAGATATGATGGTAGTACACACTGTACAGCTCCGGCTTGACGAAAGCATTGCTCATGCCTCCAAATTTGGCACCTGCCTGACTCAAGGTCAGACTATCCCGGCGGAGCTTGACATCGAACACACCAGACAGTGGAGCAGAACAAGTGCAGACGGCGGACCACTAGACTTCTGCTACAAAATTATCGGCAGCGCTGATGATTGGCTTGTTGGGGGCCACCGCAGCGCAACCTTCAGTGCCAAGGTAAGCAAAAGTGATTGATTCATTGCTCCGATGCCATGCTTCTAACTGTTCATAGCCCTCCGATCGGCATTCGTTCTCCGTGTTTCTGGTGCCTCAAAAGACTGGTCACCTACTTCTGCCTAATGTTCAGGTTCACCAAATTACACAATCTTACCCAAACGGTGACGAAGATGGCGAAAGCTGCGTTTCGACTAGCTCAGTAACCTGCACAACCGACTATGTGAATCAAGGGGAAACGGTTCACGTCATCCCCAATGTCAGCAGCACTACCGTCAGCTTGGCACCAGACAACGTGGCTGATGGCGTATGGCTCCTCGAATCGCAGCAGCGCGTGGAGTCAAAAGCGGTCTAGGACATGAGTCCCATTACGAGGACTAGGAAAACCGAATGAGCCATTTCGTCTATACCATCACTACCACTATTAACACTCCGTTGAGCCTTATTCCTGGCGGGAGGGTTTAGCCCAAAGAATACGGCTGAGGATATACAGCTTTGTATCGTTGTGTGAAGAGCCAAAAGTGGCGTTGCTTGTCAATACCGGTGCTAGGGCGAACGACAGGTGCATGAGTAGGCCACCTGAGAGAGCGATCAGGCCAGGTCAATTGGCGGTCCAGATCAGGCCTGTCAGAAGCCAAGCCACTGAAGATATCCGTATCGCGCCAATCTGGCGTCATTGAGTGGAGCTAGGGGGTGGGCTAATCGGAGCTTCTTACCCAGCGTTTTAGCAGCTCAACAATATCTCCTCATGGTCCTTTTCTTCATACAGACTTTGTTATCCTCTTAGTAGCTGAACAACAAGCGACATGGGCGCTGTCTCCGAATATCTCCATAGCCCTTTCACCTCGACCGCTCCAATCGGACGGGTGCGGGCATTGTCTACCACTCCATGAGGAGCTAGAGGCTTCCCATGCTAATAGTTAGTGAGGTAAGTGAGGCTGGTACAGGCTGGTTGCGAGACTGGGGTAGGAAAGTCAAAGGTCGAACTGATGGGGAGCCGAGGCGATAGTACTAGTCAATGACAACAGTGAGAGACAGGAGCCCAATAAGACTTCATCTCAGTCGATGCAAACCGATGCAGACCTGATGCTCGGAAGATAGCAAAGATCATAGATGAGAGGCTAGACAGTTGTCATTTGCCCTCCACTGGCAAATTTGAAGGCATAGTCTGCCCATTTACACAGGGGTCGAGGGGGTGCAGATCAGGCCCACGGGGTGCGGCCAAAAACTCTTCCCACTTTAGCTTTTGCCCTTCCGCACCATAAACCGGCCTCAGAAAAACCCCCCAAAAAACATTCTCGCCCCTTTGCTCCCAATTCCAACATTGCTTGCCATTCAGACATCTTGTGAACCAGCTTGACTGTAGCTTGAGTATATGTCATTCTGCATCTCCTGCCCTGATGCACCTATGTCGTACCATGGCTGATTTCGTAAGGTAGCATCTCGACCTATCCCGCTCAACGTTGGCCGTTGGCAACAACCAGCTGAACGACGATCTCCATGCTCCTACTCATATAGTATCCACGCACTCCACAATCATGCCAGCCAGTGCCATCTCGCCAGCGGCGAAAGCAAGTTCAATGGATCAATCAGCCCCACTGTCGATTTCCAAAGCCTCCTCTTCGTCCCCTTCCCCAGAGTTCACACCAGCAGACCGCTCACAATCCAACACCTCCATATCATCAACAGACGAGGATACCACAACAGTACACCCTCTCGACCTGGAAAGATTGGATGCCAAACTCACGTCTGCTGGAAGGAAAGAGTCCACGCAGGGGCTGAAGGTGGGGCATTCGTCCGTAAACACGAAGCCATCGAGCAAGGTGCTGCGTGACACGTATGGGAATGAATTCGAGCTACCAGAGATCTCGATCAACCAAGTTAGGGCTGCTATCCCAAAGCATTGCTTCGAGCGCTCAGCTCGCCGAAGCTTGGGATATGTTGCTCGAGATTTCGTGCAGCTTGCCGCCAATTGGTACCTTTTCCGTCACATCCTGACACCCCTTGTCGCCTCTCCAGTCGCTTCGACATTACTATGGTCCACTTTCACAGTCATCCAAGGCTTCATAATGACCGGCCTATGGGTCTTGGCCCATGAATGCGGACACCAAGCTTTTTCGGAGTCCAAGACAATTAATGATACCGTCGGGTTCATCCTCCATTCCGCACTTGGTGTTCCTTACTTCTCCTGGAAAATCTCCCACGGCAAACATCATAAAGCCACTGGTCATCTAGAAAGAGATCAGGTGTTCGTCCCGGTCACTCGGGATGTGTATGCCAGCAAATTCGGGAAGCTTGCTCATGAGGTCGCGGAGCTAGGTGAAGAGACGCCGATTGGTACGGCCTTGCACCTGATAGGCCAGCAACTGGTAGGTTGGAATCTGTATCTATCGGCAAATGTGACCGGCCACAATAAACATGAGAATGCACCTGGTGGCCGTGGAAAAGGAAAGATGAATGGCTTTGGGGGCGGGGTCACCCACTTCGATCCTGATAGTCCAATCTTTGAGGAGAAAGATAGACACTTGATCTTGTTGAGTGACTTGGGTCTTCTAGCGACTATCGCGGCCTTGACCTTTGTGGGCATGACATTTGGATCCTTTGCCCTCACAGTCGGCTACATCATTCCGTACTGCTGGGTCAATAATTGGCTTGGTAAATTTGCCTCCCTGACCTCCTCTTTAAGCAAATAGCTGACAGTCTGAATAGTATGGATCACCTACCTCCAACATACAGACCCGACTCTCCCCCACTACGAGCCCAGTACGTGGAATTTCACCCGTGGAGCAGCTGCCACCATCGACCGTGAATTCGGATTCATTGGCCGATACTTCATGCATGGGATTGTAGAGACCCATGTCCTCCATCATTTTGTGTCGACGATCCCCTTCTACAATGCCGATGAGGCGTCAGAGGCAATCAAACCGATCTTGGGCCGCCACTATCGCTCCAACATCGAAGGGGGTGCGCTAGGCTTTATCAAGTCCATTTGGACCTCTGCTCGTCATTGCAGCTGGGTCGAGCCGAACGAAGGCGCTGAAGGTGAAGGAAAAGGAGTTCTTTTTTTTAAGAATCGCTTGCAGACCCAGTAGAGGTCTGTAGTAAGAAGATCGACTAGGCCAACGGAAAACAGTGCCCTCGTTGGCTTCTAAGCAATCAAGGGGCCTAGACATGAATGCAATATGAGTCACGCCATCTTCTACGTGATGCCCCGGGGCTCTTTCGTCACTCCGTCGTCGTTTGTCATAGATTCTTGAGCTCTCACATCTGTTTCTCCTCTTCAACTTAGAGTTGGCATAAAGAGTGGCAAGTGTGCCAATGTGTTACGTTTTGGAGGGTCGTCCTTGTCCGCGAGTGTTCGCGAGCATAGGTGATTCTATTACATCCAGGAAGATGTTCCATGTTAGATATTCAGATACCCTCGTTAGATCACTTAATAGATTCACTGACGAAATTTACCCAGTCTTCTCTCATGCAAGTTGTGACATAACCTGAGCATTTACCAACGGGGAGGGTCACACGCTTAACCCGCCTCTCGAGCGGGATGCTGCCTAATCATCTGATCTCAGTTCACACGCACCAAAGAGAGGTAATTGTTGAAACATATTTCCATGCCAAAATTTGCACACTAGAACAGTATTTACTTAACGTCATAGAAGCTAAAGCAATGCCCCTTACCCCTCCCTTGTCGCGACTGAAGCTATGCTGCTTGTAAAACGCCCCAGACTCATGGTCACGATGTTCCTCATACCTGGGATTGCGTACTAGGAAACATGAGGTTCTAGTTGCCATAACAAAAATGCCCCTTCTAACTGTCATAACGAACTTTGAGACATACAAATCGCGACTTTCCTCGAAGGAATAAGCTTCCCCTTGTGACGTAACGCCCCTTGAAAGCCAGATGACTCCCGGAGAACCGATTCTTTATCCTCTGTATACAGCGTAACGGCAAAATAGGCCGGTAGCAGCAGAGAAGGGGTATATGAGAACTTTTATGCTGGAAAGTAGACCTTGGAGATCTTCGGAAGAAGCCACCCATCCCAAGCGGTGCTGAGTGATAAATGAAACAGTAATTATCAGACCATATAGTGCGATGTGAGAACAATGTGTCAAATGGTACCCCAAGCGTCCGTAACTCGTGATTTTGAAAAGTCGTACACAGGTCTTCCTAGCGGACCATGTTGCGACTGAATTCGAAGGCTCCTATCTGGAACCTTACGCCAATCGTTCACCAGACACGTAGCGAGTGCTGACTCATCGTTAGCGTATCGACTCTAATGAATCTTGCAAGATAGTATGACTCACCTATCTCGAGGACTCGGACACTTTTTAGCCCTCCTCGAACCATCTGCCCGTTTGTATATTAGGGGCCCTGTCAACTCGTCCAACTCGCCGTACGCCTCCGTTAATTCTCCGTCGGCCGTCTCGATCTGCGGAAGATCGTGAGACTGCAAGGCTGTGCTTGGGCGCATGCCGCTGTGCATAGGCTGACTCATATGACTGGAGTCAAAGACTGAGCCATAGGTTCTTTTCGGTTGGTGGGTCGGCGCGTGAGTTGCCCCTTGTGGAAGGCTTGGAGGCTGGTTATGATAGCCTCCAGTCGTGTAGCCAGATGTGGAGAAAGGGTTGGGAGGGCCTTGGGTCATCCCTGGATTGGCCGACTTAGGCTCGGAGATTGGCGGCTCTAAAGGTGATTGATGTACTAGGGCTTTAATAGATGGTAGGGGGCCCTGATTTGCCGTGGTTGTATTGAGCGGAGTCAGGGAACGTAATTGCGAAGACGCCACGGACGACTGGGTTGGGGGACGGCTCTGATCGTACGGCTCGATAGCTGTCTGTTGACGACCGATTGACATTGCTCCTGAAGAGCGCCGTGAATCTGGGTAAGACCGCTCATCAACATACGGTGGGGGAACGTATGAGGTCTGTTGGGGTGGTTGGCTTGGATATACGTAGCCCTGATGCCCTGACATTTGCCGTGTGTGACTTTGAGGTCCGTAGGTGTACGCTTGTTGGTACGTGTGGGACATTGGGGGGTGAGCAGCCATTGTGGGCGTCGAGTAGTGCGGAGTGTTAGCTGCCCCAAAGCTGAGATGGGATGTGTAGGAGCTAGCTGACTGCGGAGGGGCTTGTTGATACGCAGCAGTTTGATAGTAATTGATATCGTGCACCGACGGTCGCCGATCTGTACTGTAGGAAGATGCGACATCAATGCTTGCATTACTGGTTGATCGCGGCCTGTCAGGAACGTGTTGACCAGCCGGATAATGATCCAGCACAGGATGAGATCCTCCGTCTACCATGTCCTTATAGCCATCCGTCACTTTATCCCGACGTCGCATGCGAACATCACGACGGATGCGCACACGACAGCCCTGCTCATTGACCAGTCGGCTGAGTTCCGTGCTTTCGGCCAACCCAGGAAATCTTTTTGCGCTGAACACAGAGAATGCGGCCGACTTGACTTCTAAGCGGTAATGTACAAAATTGCGTGGGCCACTTGCATTTCCAGCAGTCTTCTCACGAAGCCTTGGGCTGGTTGCAGGCGATCCCAGGTCTGCGTCTTTTGCCGGATTCTTCAGCTCTTCATATAGATTGAAGCTCAGGCGATACTTTCCCTCATGGCGAATGGACAGGTCTGGGAATATGAAATAGCCAGCGGGCTTCGGGCGATCAAGGTAGGCCATTCCGGCAACAGCAGTACCTGTAAGGACGGCCAGGGTATTTGCATTCACCGGCACACGACCCTGATTCATTGGGCGGGCATGTTCAAGGGTCGTGAAGAGGAAGAAATTGGCTTCATGGCTGAATGTGATATCCTTTTTCTCATCACCGACCCCTTCCAAAATGCGCAGCTCGACGATTGGGGGCGGGTCGACCGGTCGTCGGTCAGCAGAGGCTACAGAGCAGTTTGTCAGTTCAGCGAGGAGCCAGAAGAGTTCAATCAAACGTACACTTTGCACCGGCGCCACAAGCTCGTGCTCTCTCCGGCTGTTGAACAACAGTCATCTGGTACTGTAATGTCCGGCCGTCCTTTGTCCGGCGCGTCATACTGCTGGTGGTCTCGTTGGGAACCATTGTGAGGGTTTGGAGGGCAGCCATGGCACCGGGATTTCAGAGAGCAGACTGGAGTACTTAAGCCTTGGCGCTGAAGAAGTGGAATCCGGACACAACTAAAAGGCCTTGAGTCGTGTGATATGCCAAAGAATGTTCTAGCGGAGTTTGTGCAGGTTTCTTGCGCTCCAGAAGATTTGTCCAAGTGTCGCGTAATATGCGGACCACAGCTATGACGATCGCCCGAGATCGGGGCTCTGGGATCGTGTAAATTGTGTCTCCCAGTATCGCGTCGCTTTCCGATGGATTATGGGAACGATGGCGACGACGTGTTGAAGGTGGGCAACGTCAGAAGGACTAACCAAGACGGCGGGTCCAAAGGAGTGGACGTGCGAATGGCAATTGGGGCCGAGAGGTCAGAAATGATGAGAGCCCGTCAGCGGGGCGGTGAAGCTTGGGCGGGGGAAGCACGTCCTGCAGGAGCCCACTGGCGCTGGGTAATGCTCTGGCTTGATGGCTTGTGCGAGTCCAAGGTGCTGGTAAGGCGCAATCTCTTGGTGGCCCAATCGACTTCGTTGTCCAGTCCAAGAACACAACGTAATGAATATGTGCATGCGTTTGTGGCTCCGGGTTTTACTCTCTGCCTCAAGTTTCTTCCTGCAGGGTCACGCAGCGCCTTCGAATCTCGAGGTCAGGTCCAGCGGCGTTTGTTCTCAATGGCCGCTCCTTAGTCAGTACTCCTCGCGCCCACCAACACAGGGGTGCGAGTACAAATGTTGTATGGGCGTATGGAGGAGGGGACTGCAGAACTTCAAGGGGATTCGTAAAGGAGATAGAAAAGCACAACCGTCGAGCTAAGATTCAGCACACCAACTAAAGTACTACACTAGGTAGAGCGTCGCTCCCTATCCGTCTTCCCCTCTGGCTCAGGGCGATCATACCCCTTGTCAAATCGCTAAGAGGACTCCTCCAACCCTGTCCACGACTGTGTCCAGGGATTGGATGGAGGCAATCCACGAATGACAGGCTTCGAATGCCTCCACCCTCTGCTGGATCGCCTAAGCACTTCTGGCCTAAGCTGGGCGGGGTGGCGCCCATAGACAGTGGTGCACTTCTTAAAGCCAAGCTAAAGTAGTCATGAGGGAGACACCCGGCCAAGCCACCACATCATGCCGAAAGTCTTTCACCCCCTAGCACCCAACTGAAGAAACCAGTAGACAGCTAGTAGCTACATGGGCAAATAACAATCACCACTAATTAAGTAGATTTATGCTCGACTTGCACAGCAGGGAGCAATGAGGACCGACTTTATGGAGTGATTGGCTCCGAAGAACCGTCAATATTTGGGAACATGGAAAGCTGGGGAATACGTAGATCGCTCTCGCACGGGACGCTCGTATAAAACGTAGAGACGGCTTCCGATAGTGTCGCGTCCACTTGGAGTGGAGACGGACGAATGAAAGAGACGCCTTTTCATTTCTTGCTCTTTAATTGGAAGTGTGACGAATAACGATTGTGTGACCGGCTATTCAAGCCTTAATCCTTGAATGGTCGGATATTTAAAATTGAGCTCTAGGTACAATAAATAGTACACCAAATAGTGCAATTTAGATCAATTTGAATATCATGTACAGAGATAAGGTAGTTAGGGCATCTGATCGAGTCAGTGGTACGCGGGACTAATGTCCTCTCTGATCATCGCTTGTCTAGTCATTGAGCGCTTCTTCGTTCCCTATCACGCAGCTCAACATCTGTAAACCGAATCAGCTCACCTTGACCGCTCTCGGCAAGAGGCAAACACGCGTGGAAACATCCACCCATACATTGCACGCTGGCTTCGTAACAAAAACCAGTCAACCTACTTACATTCCTGTGGAGGATGATAGAAAACAACAGACGGACAACGTCAAGGACTACACGTACTGCTGCTGATCATGGAGTACGCGCCTCTCTTGCCGCTTGCCCTTGCTCCTCGCGAACCGCGAGCGACCGCTGCCTGACCTTGCCACTGTCGATCCTCCAGATTTTGTTTTTACTCTGCGATTGAAAGACATTACTGACAGCATGACTACGATAAGCATTTCTTCCGCTGACGCCTGGGCCGTTCAGAATGATACGACATCAGATAAAACAACCAATGAGTAGCTCAACCACACAGCAGGTTTTCATACTTCAGCACTCAATAGCTGTAGAGCAAAGCTTCAGGTGACGATCGTCGGTATTCCTCAGCCGACCCGCCTTATGCATGACCGTTGATCAACAGTATGGCGGAACCCGTCGGTGTCTTTCCGGCTCTTATGCTAAATGCACATCGTGCGGGCAATGTCGCCGAACCAGTTCTAATATATGTATTTCATTGCAATTATGTGGATTCGACGAGAGAGCCACAAGACTTTCGCATTCCTTCTCTCCGTCTTTTCTATCTCGCCACCCCACAGTACAGACGTTACCGGGACTGCGGTAAAGGAGGTGCTATTAAGGTCACCTTGCAAATCTGAAGATGGCCCGAGTTTCATATGTATTGTGTCTGGGTGTTCCCGACAATCCTGGTGGGATCGCATAGCCGCTGCGAAAGCCAAGTATGCGCTCCAGACCTGGCGGGAATAGATGCAGATTAGTAGTATATCACCGTATTCCATCAATCGGCGCGCAGGTAGGTGTCCTAGCTACGCAGCTCTAGATCGGGAGACATTGGCAGTACTTATCTCATAAATCATCTTTCTTCTGAGATCATCAGCCTGAAATAGCAACAACCTTTAGATCACCAGAACGACAGGTGTAACTGGTCTTGATCGTCGCGTGTGTACAGACGCGTGAGCTGTCCAGGATCTCTTGCTCTTTCCCTAGTCCATCGCTGGGCAATCGAAAAAGCATCTGAAACCCAGAGACGCTTCAGCAACGAGGCAATAAGATAAAGCGTTCCAATCTAGATGAATGAGCCTATTGGCCGTTGCGACGCATTGTATGAAGGCATTTTCTGCAACATTCACGGTTGCGACGACTTTCCTGAGTGAAAATTGTACGAGCCTTTTGATAAACCGCCTCGTGCATGCGTGAATTACGCACTCTTCATCAATAGAGCATAGCGTCATCTCGTCTTTTTATCACTTGCGATGACGAAGTAGTGTTGATGCGCCATATCGCATACATGAGAGAGCTTCAAACGCGCTCGAGGACACAGCCAACTCTATCCATGCTTCAACACAAACACACGTCACGTACGAACTGCCTTCTGATGAGTACTAGTGCACGTGATTCAATCGCCTGCGTTTGTTGTTGCGAAGCTTCCATTCGCAAGCAAAAGGTAGGACGTAATGCCCAGAGGCACTGCTTTACTGCCTTGGTGCCTAGATATGCCAGGAGATGAGCAGGCGCTGTGAATCAGCATTCTGTGGCAATTCTCGGGCCTACCTTCTTCTCTGTATTGATTTATGGACAACGCTATACATAGAAGCCTAGTATTTCATGCTACGCTCCTATCTCGCAAAGCAGTGAACCGAATACTACAAGCCTTCTTGCAAAAACAAAACATGCCGTAGAACTACACAGCCATCAGAAGGCTGCCTTGCGTCCTTATGAAGCCATCTGTCACGTGGGTCATCTCGGACAAGGATCTCGAGTGGAGTCCGGTGCCCCTATTGTATTATATGGGAAGCATTCTGTCCAATGTTCAATTGATTTCTGCGCCTTTCCATGGATCCAGATGCCCCCACTCCAATTCAGTCGACCCAGTCAACACTTTCTCTCCCTGAGGCCGTCTTAACAATTTGAAGCAGACTTGCACTTTTGACCATCATCAAGAGAGCGTCGATGCCGCGCCACATAAGCGCAGCATCTGTATCCAAATGCAAAGCAGTCTTGACCTGCAGGAGGTAATATTTTATGATGGATCAATCAAGGCCAAGGATTGGCTAGCGAGTAGTTGCTTATGATGCCCATCTGCTGCGTTCACAATTGCATTAGTAAGGAGGCGTGAATCAAGTGAAAGATTCAGCTGAACGGAACAGAAAAGCAATCATCAAGCATCATCTAGTATGAGATTGGATCTCGGAAAGCTCTTTGTCGAAAATGAGGCGTCAACAGATGTGACTGGCTTCAACAACTGGATCAATAGCGAATACTCTACCACGAAAAGCGACAGTGGGTTCTCTCAAAGAGAGTGAATCATAATTTGGAGTTTCGATCGGTTCATTGGGCCATCATACTAGTGCCCAGGGATGATTGAGGCTACCATCTGAGGCCCATTTTAGTCCAGTATTCACGTTAGCCAAGGATCTGAGCTCATCACGGATATCAGCGTCGTTTTTGAGGACTTCCATGGGCCTCTAAATTTTTCGCTTGTCACACAAGAAGGTGTCAGAACACAACATTAAATCAAGCTGCAGCGTCAATCTCGGCTCTTGCTAAGCAAAACAATGTCCCTATCCATCAAGTATACAGGACTTCCAAACCAATGAGACCGCCTTTCCGCATCGCGGATGAGACTTTATTTCCTAATATAAAAACGCCAAAGCACCGACGCTAGCATTATCTTTGCCCTTCCTTAGCTCCTAATGAGCATAGGTTGAATTTAAAAAGTAACAGTGCAATCCTCATTTGGCTTTTGCGTCTTGGCGACGCTGTTAACTAGCAAGGGAGATATAGGCTTGAGAAGCAGAATTCCAGATTGATGACATCCTTTCCTTGAGAACTGCGAGCATGATGATGAAGAGGATCGGGATCTGGGCTCGTAAGTATCAGCAACAGACGTACCGCGAGATGACTTACCCAAATAAAAAAGAGATTACGGTCTTTATGAAGCTTTTTGACTTTCTGAGCATGCGCTTTTCTAATTTGTTGCTGTTGCGCTTCTGTGAGAGCCTCACGGCCAATGTTGAAGGTCTCCTCATTGGCGGAGATTTCCGGTCGATCATGCAGCAATTCGCATTTCTTATCCAGCACAGCCTCACCGGCAGCGCGGAGAGCCATAATTTCTTTCTCGTTACGTTGTTGCTGGTCACGCGTTTGATGTGGGTAGATCTCCTCATAAGAAGGTGGAGATGAGGGTCCAGTGATAAGTTCCCACCAGCGATAGTCTCCATCCTTGAGTTTGCCTGTGTTGTTGTCGGGATTCTCAACGCGAGCTCCACGTTGAGGTACAAGATTACTTATACGTCGCATCACAGGATGAGTTTGATAGTCTGTGAGGGCTGGCATGAGCGGCAGAGCGCGCTGGACACTCTGCTGGAGCTGCTGAATTTGTGTTGATATTTGATCTCTCCAAGCTGACAAGGCCGGACTTGCAGCAAGCACAGCAGCATCGGTACTGAGATCGTGCTCTTGAGTAGGCTTGAGAACAACATTGGTATTTCTACCAAGGGATTCCAAAGGAGACTGGAGCCTGGGAGCCGGCCGAGCCTTACTGAAGCCCAAATCATCAGTACTCGGCGTCCCACGACATACCTCAGAGACTTTGCCCGTGTTGGACAGGATACCGGAACCAGATCTGTTAGAGGATACGCGGTTCAAATGCGGAGTCATCAGTCGATCAATTCTTTTATACGATGGGTCGAGGTTGAGATCATCAAGTGTTGCACGCACTTCCTGCGTCCCTGCAATTTCAGCTGGTCGCATACCGTTCAGACTGCGAATAGTAGGATCAGCACCGCTGGAGCGAAGCTTGTGGACCATCCTAAGATTTCCATGAAGAGCGGCTATGTGCATAGGAGTCATGCCATTGTTATCTCTCACATCTGGATGGGCACCACGTGCAAGCAGACCAGCAAGCAACCGATAGAAGGAGAGCGAAGCGCTGGTATGGAGCATTACTTGGCCATTCATCCCCCTGAAATTGAGATTCACCTTGTTCGGCTTGTCGTCAAGGTCGATGATTTCCAGTGATTTCAAAACCAGGTCTTCTACATCTCTAGATTCTGAATTGATGTATGGAGCAGCAGCATATTGGAGGTTTTGGGAGTATGGAAACTGTGTGCCCTTGCCAAGTCTTGAGTTGTTGACGCCAAATGATGTTAGGATGCCTCTGGCAATGTCAGAGGCTTGTGGTGGTGGACTACCTGCAAATTGCTGATGCACCAAATGTAGTGCGTGTTTCAATAGGTCTTGTTCGTCCGTGTTCACATAAGTGAAGTGAATCGGGTTTTGCGAGGACAAGGGAGTTCTGGGGTCGGCGGATTGACGAACAGTGACAGTCACGGGACCTGGATGTACAGCTGGGGGCAGGACACAAACTAGCGCGCTTTCACTCCACACGCTTCTTGTCGTAGCAGGAATGTCACCGAAAAAGATCTGTGAGCTTGAACGAAATCCTTCTCCCAGGCAAGTGACCTCTACACCACCAGATTGAGGTCCGTCGGCCGGAGTGGTCTTGCAAATGATGGGCAACTTCGGCAACGCCCTCCCGGGCATAGGTTCATTGCTTGGATTCCGATGCCCTTGGGCTTGAACGTGGACTTGCGAATATGATTGAGGACTAGATTCGGGGCTAGGAACTTGGCTTTGCCAGGCGGAACTGGGCGCGGAGAAGACATCCTGAAGGCTCTGAAGATTCTCGACGCTCTGTGATCGAGGAAAGAAATTCCCAGTAGCAGGCCATGGCAAATTTGGGCTAGCTTGCATATGGCTTGAGGTAGGTGGAGTTGATAATCCGTGCGTCGATGAATGATGGGAAGGCAGAGGCTGCGGAAACTTCGAACCAGGCGGACGAGACAGGCCTATCGGCACGCTGCCAGCTGCTGGAGGACTCTTCATTCTTTCAGAACTCATCTTAGTCATTGTAAGATCGGGTCGCGGCCTGCTAATCGCATTACCACTTCCCTTCCGCCTCTTGTGCTGGGGTCCAGGCAGCGCCGTAGGAGACGCGGGACGAGAACAGTTCGTAGAGGCAGGGTATTCTGGATTCACTAGCGATGAATCCCCAAGACTGGGAAATGAACTCTGTGATTGCGAGTGCTGGTGTCGATATGATAGATTTAAACTTTGAAGGTCGGGCGTAGAGAATGAGTTGCGCCCATCCAACGACGGCCCTTGCAATTGTTGATAAAATCCTGCGCTACTGGAGCCCAAGCTCCCGAAGCTGCTCGTGCTTTGGAATTCACCTGGGATCTTTGTAGCCTGTGGGGTCTTATGGTCGTCTGTGATAATGACGCTACTTGAAAGAGTTTGCGCTATTAACTTGTCATCGCTATCTTTTACCGTGAAGATGACTCTGGATGAGGTTCAGTAATAGACAAACTGCCAGTAGTAGAGCAGACTTTACCGATATCCCACTTTCTCCCCATGATGACGGCTATAGCATTGTATTCGCATTGGGCAATGAACTTGCATCGTGTTGTTTGGTAATTCTTCTTTACTTTGCCCAACCAATGTGCTTCTTTCCCCGGTCTCTTCGTCCTTGTAAGACTCCACATTTTTCCATTCAAGCACTTCTGCTTTGTTAAAGACAATAATACGCTTAGGTTGGTCTGTTCGCCAGTTTTCTTCGTCCTGTTCGTTTTTCAACTTCTTTCTAGCGATGCGTTTGTTTTCTCTTCGAATGCATTGCTCGCCTGGATCGTCGTCAGCAAATCCGTCAGAACCGAATGAAGGGTAATAGACCGACAGATGTAGACGAAACCACCACTGCTTGGCTTATTTAGGTCATTCTCTGCCATTTCCAAGCTTCGACTTGGAGGATTGCCAATTTCTTTACATGGATCATCCTCGCGCGTTGACTGGGCAGCTCGATCAAACGCACGCTGCCTCTTTTGAGGATCCTCCATTGCAGTTGCGGAGACGCAGTGAGCATAAAGCTCCAGCATGGAGGGGTCCTTCAAAGGAGGTGGCTTCATAACTAATTTCGTTCGGGCCATGGTAAAGCTCTGGAAGTGGAGATTTTTGATGCCTTGGGGTAACGACGACATGGTTAGTTTCACATGCATTTGAGTCTCTACCCTTTGAGTTCTCGGCAATTCGCTCACACGCAATCTCGTGTGATTAGCCGGCGTTCGTTTTGGTGCTTGAGAGAGCTGAGCGAATGAATTTGGTGGATTTGACTGACGCAAGTGCGGATGAAAGGCATCGGAATTTTGAGGGAAGGAACCATTCACAAATCGAGGTTGCGTGTAAGACGACTGGCTGAGGTGTATATGGCCAGATAATGATTGTTTTGAATGGGTTTTCTAGGATATTCAACGTTAGCTGTCTGAAGCAGAGGTTATCTGTGTCAATTGACGCACTCTGACGTTCCCTATTGGGGGTCCATATCCCAGGTTCGGCGCACCATTGTTCTGTGCAGCTCTGATGGGTACTTTCGGTAGGTTATGATTCAAGTGCTGATTGAAGTTGGTCGGGCTGCTGGCAGCGCTTTCGAAGTCAAAGAAATCATTACCAAAGTTGGGATCATCTTGCAAGAATGGTCTGGAACGCTCCGTGTTGGGTGGTTGCTGCTGTTCTGCGTAGTCGGCAGGAATTGATATCAACGCGGGGGCATTAACTTGGTTGCTCATAAGAACATCTCCAGACGAATCATCAGAAGTGTTGGTGCTATTTGTTTGGGAGTCGCTTGAAGACTCTTGAGTCGAGGCGCCTCTGAATGGATCATACAGATCACCGGCATTGGCAGTCATAACCTGAGGTGAAGCGCCTTGACTGGTAGTATCGGATAGTAAGTTGTCGAGGAAATAGCCAGGAGAGGGAGAAGCGTATGAATCATCGTGATCAGTCTTCAGCCCGTCCATCATTCCTTCGCTATATATTCGCGCTGTTCGTGAATGGATACGGAAGTATAGATGAAATGTAGCGCGTCGACAGAAATGTGAACGTAGCCCTGCTTTAAACAACCGGAGAGGTCGTTCCTGATGCAATTCAAGCACCCAGGTTAGAACTAAGTGCACTCATCCTCAGAAAAGGCACGTCGCTTCAGTAAGGGCATCAAAAGACTCATGCCGATATAGTCTTGTAGTCATATTCTTATAGGAAGATGTCCACAAATGGATGACCTCTATGGCCAATGTCTGATAAACGCAATACAATACGCGGGGAAGTTTGCTCGACTGGGGTAATCCCAGGTTGCACCATAGGGCTGAAGTGGCCCGCAGCGAGAGTCTTCCACTACAAAACATCTCCCTTTCGGCCGTTGATATCACGCTTACTGAACAAGAAGGCCTCTCCCGCCAGAAACGTATTGCTACATGAAGGTCGTGGAGGTGGTTAAATCGATCAACTGTATGAAATAGTAGAGGAGCCTGTATCAATAAATACCGTCACAATGTCAAATTTCTAATGTCAGAAGGAGGGTGAAGATCGATTTACATTCGATGGAGGCAGCTGTAGTTTACTTCATGACAGCGACTGGTCGTATGATAAACAAGACACGGATGTGCGCAGGATTTTGTTGAAACTTAACAATATCGGTGTTCCAGGAGACTCTGATGAAGATCAAACGACGTCATCTCTAAGACCTGCTAATCGTGTCCGTCATAAGATATAAACATGGCTCTTCACACGTACATCCTTGGAGTTCGTTCAATTACTGTTGAACTTTCCACCAAGTTTGCTGTTCTCATTGTGGCCCCGTTTTGGTCTACATCATCGCAGCACATTTCAAAGAGCGGAATTTCCCTCGCGTAGGTGCAGCCAAGGCAGCATAATGGCTCTTCCAGACGCGGATTTACACCCCGTCGCTACTGGCAAGTGAGTCGCAATAGTTGTGATTTCATGTCTCGAAGGATATCTAGGCCTATGGTTATACACGGAGAGCTGACCTTGCGCATTTCTCAAGAGCGAAGGAATTGGTCGACAAGCATAGCGGGCCTCGTAAGCTTCCTGTAGAGCTGTCCATATTCATCTCTTTAATCGACGTCAGAGCCCTTGAAACTATACTCGGGCTGGTTTTGCCCCTTTGGTACGTCGCCGACGCGAACAAGATTTCCTACGGAGCCCACAGTCACTGGCGCTTACACTCAACAGTGCAGAGGGTATGGACTGTGCTTGAAGAAAAGGTAAATCGTCAGCTCTGCGCAATCTTTAAGCGAGTATTGATTTTACCAGTCCATCCCGTACCAATACCTAGAAGAGAATCCGTACCACAAAACAGACAATCTTCTACGTCTGAACCCTCGAGGTTGGCGTTTCCCACTTCCTCCATCAATCAAGTCATGGCCAGCTAGCTGATGTCGCTTGGCAAGGCCTAGTACCCACGCTCGAATTCGAAGGCAAACCGTTATATGAGTCGACGGTCATTTGCGAATTTCTCGAGGAGCAGTATGCCAATCATGGCACACCACTTCTTCCACCAGATGCTTTTGAAAGGGCACAGATGCGGTTATCCATCGAGTACGTCACGACAAGAATTGTTCGCAACTTCCATCAATTTCTTCAATTTCAACCTAGCGAAACAGCTCCCTCCATCGAGGGCAGCAAACAGACGTACCTTGACAGTTTGAAAGAACTTACCCGGAGGATGGACGAGAGAGGACCGTTCTTCACCGGCAAACAGTTGCAGCTCATTGATATTATCGCCGCTCCTTGGGCTTTGAGAAATTGGATCTTCGATCATTTCAAAGGTGGCCTTGGCATCCCACCAGAGGGAGAAGATGGTCAAGACGAGGAGGTTTGGCAAAGATATAGGATGTGGGAAGGTGCAGTCAGCCAGAGGAGAAGTTTGCAAGAGACCACAAGTGAGCGAGAGTATTATCTCCCGATATACCAGCGATAGTAAGGCTCGGGTTAGGCTGTGTACTGTGAATCAGGCGCTAACGAGTCTGACAGTGCCAACAATACAGCCCAAAGTGAAATGGCAAAGGCTACGCGAGAAGGTAAAGCTGTTCCTTAGACAGTTTGTGCTCGTGTGAAAGCATAGTTACGCAATGTTACGCGATCGTCTTTCCGGGGACTGAGGCTTCTCCGAACCATCGCTTGAGCCACAAAAGGGAATGGAAAACTGAGGAACTCGGCGACATCTCTTGTCGTTTCTGCCAAGATTACTTTACACCTTGTTACTGCAGTCTTAAACAATGCAAAAGTTCTTTCCTCACCTACAGTCTTCTCGGATAGATAGCACTCCGACCTGTTGTTCGAAGCCTACGTTCTGGTACTGGTACGGTGGCAATCGAAAAGTAGCGACTGAACTGCGCTGGCGTGAAGGTCGTCTCTCCGTAGTATCTGAGTTGGCAATCAGGGGTGAGGTTTTCTATTGGGGGCGCAGCGACCTCACTTCAATCCGGGGCGCCTTGGCGAGTTTTCCTTTCCCTTAGTCTCGTCTTGCCGCTCTTTCGACCGGCCCTCCAAAGCCCTTGTACGGCCACTTGGCTCATGATTCGTCGCCTTTGCCAGCTCTTCCTTAGTAAGCGGGATATTATGATTGGGACAATTTGGCAGACCCAGGGACCTGCCCTTCGTGATTCGTCCCAGGCCAGATTCCGCTGCTCTTGGCTCTCTGTAGCTCCTTTTAGCGGCGGGAGAAGAATGATGTGTCAGGGGCAAGAGCGCCAAGAAGGGGCCCCGTCTTGAGGGCTAGCGGGTGGGTGAAATTAAAGCAGCCATTTCGAGAAATGGTGCAGGGAAATTGGTCCTCTCCTTTATTGCTCCCCCAGCGCCCAGCCTGCTTCCATTCTTCCCTTCATCGTCCTTCTTGTTCTTTGGAACTCCTACACTCCTTTGGCCCTTCTTGACGACTGCGACGACACGCGATTTACTGCTCGACGCAGAATCGCACTTCCACTCATTTAACACTCCCTCGCCAATATCTAATCATTCAGACGCCGTCGGTTGCCAACACGCTCTTTTAGCCCTCACCAAAAAGCCACATCATTTACATTCCACAAGGACTTTCCGCGACCAAGAGGTGTACCATGAAGTCTCTTGTTGCTTCCGCAGCGGCGTCGACCTTGGTGCTGCTTGCCTCTGCCAATCAGCAGATTCCACAAGGGGCGGTGCGCCAGGATGGCTGGGGCAATGCGATAGTGATCAATCTGTGCTCGGAAAATGCCTTTTACGTGCTTGACAACAATCCTACCACAGCGACCATTAGCCCATCGGCGACTATGTCAGTTCCGCTGTACACTAAAGCTGCGGACGGTGGTGGTGGAAGTATCAAAATGTTCACCGATCCTAAGATGGATCTCTATGCGAAGCCAGCCAGAGCTTGCACTCAATTTGAATTCACACCCACCAACGAGCAGGTCTTTCTCGACATCTCGAACGTGAATTCCAACAATGGCGAGGGCCAGAATGGGAATGGGGAATCATGTGACGACTATCCTCCCTTCATGAAGGGTGGCTTGCAGCTCGTTGTCCCTGATTTGGAGGATATTCTGTGCCCTCCTGGACAGAACCCTTGCAAGACCGCGTACTCAAAGTACAACGACGACTTCGCTACCACCGCTACGAGTGTTTTTCATGACATTAAACTACTTCTCTGTCCTAACGGAGGCTCCACCGGCGGCCAGATTGGAAGTGGCAAGTCTGATGGCTCAGGGACGAAGGCCGCATCTCAATCCGGGGATGACCAGAACGATCAGCAAAAGGATCAGTCACAACAGTCGAAGGCGAACGACCAGCCCAAGAAAGACCAACAACAGTCACAATCACAATCACAATCACCACCCCCGAAGCAAGAGGTAAAGGTCGAGGACAAGCACGCTCAATCGCCATCTCCGACGGAGGATGACGATGATGTTGTTGTAGTATCACACTATGTCAACGCACCAGCAGTCACCGTGTACAGCTACGTATACGCAGAAGGGGAAGGGAATGCCGAAGAGCACAACAAAGAGAAAAGACAAGAACACGTCCACCAGCACGTACACAACAAAATCCACAAACGAAGGCACGGTGCATAAGTCATTGCGATGTCATGTGACTTTCTCCTTCTTCGCGTTATCGCTATCCAGCGCTCTATATCTACACTCTCCCGATCTAAAGGCCCCCGAAGCGGTTGGGTCGTTGACCATGTAGGACACCTTACAGGGCAGGTTCCTTTTGCGTTCATTCTCCGCGATTGGCATAATGTTTTCAAGTCAGAAGACACATTTAGCTATCTAAGTGGTTCGCGGGGATACAGGCCCACCTCATCTTTTTCACATTTGCATATTGGAACGATCGGTTAGCGGAGAATTCTTCTGAGAAATTTGCATCATGACACAGCGTTGGAGAATCTGTATGTGGAAAGAGGTCATCATCGCCATATTCTTTAATTTTGTGGACATATCTCTGATATTCCGGCTGGCGATTTATTGCAAGGATTTGCAGTGGATGCATGCATGTAACGGAGCTAGCAACAACAATCAAACATTAAAAATTCACATCTCGTTGCAGTGTCTTTTCGTTTGGGCCCCAGTATAATTTATTTTCTTGAAGTCGTTGTGTCCTTTTCCCATCAAAAGTCCAGTGGTTATGTTTAATGATGGCTACGCTCTCAATCGGCTTTCAAAAGCTGATCCTGCTCTCAGATTGATAGGAATGACCAACTGAAATGCAATGCTAAAGAAAAGCCAAATGATATTTTTGGCAGAGGTATTTGTACAACGCAGTCGACTCATCAGCCTTTCTTTCCTCTATCTTTACCCTTGCTCGGTTTTCCCTTCTCGTCTTCCTTCCCTTCCTCACTAATTCCATTAGCCTCTCCATCCACCTTCGTTCCTTCCTGCTCCTTCTGCGTCTCCTCGCCTTCCTTCTTCCCCTCGCTTTCCTGCTGCTGCCGATTCTGTATCTTATTCTCTATCAGATCATGGAACGCTGTAATGGCCCTTATCAGACTACTCAAATATATACTCATGAGTTGATCGTTCGTCTTCACACTCATCGCCCTTGTAAGCTCCGCCCCCTGATCCTTCCCGTTCTCCTTCATTCCTTCTAACTCAGCAGATGTCGATGCAGTCGGGTTGCTTAAGTTCGGCAGAAGATTGAAGACGTCTTGCAGATTGGCCAGAATCGCGTGGTTAACCGGTAAATCCTTATCGGTGACTTTCTGTAAGTAGGTACCAATGTCTCGGAGGCGAAGGTGCAGGCCTTGTAAGGATTGGAGCTGGGAGGTAATTCGGGTGGAGAGGGTTCCGACTGCGATGTCTCTGATATCGCGTAAAAGATGCTCGACACCTATCTCTTCGGCCTCTTCAGCCTCTATTATGGAAGGCGTGTGGACAAAAGTTTTAGTCGTCGTAGTTCCATCCTTTACTAGGCCGTCAGTCTTTTCTTCAAACATTGTAAAGACCGAGCAGCCTGATAATGACGAACATCTTTAATCTCTTCCACCGCAAAATAAGCATCTGTGGGTACGCCAACCTCCTTCGGCTGAACGTCGATTATAACGAGAAGCGGGTTGGGCGTATATCGTTTGAATAACTCATTGATCTCAAGATCTGACGCACGTAACTTTGGACCAGAGTGGTACCATCCTATCAATTTTTCCCTCGCGTTGACCTTCTTGAACATGTCGTTCATTGATTCGACATAATTATGATCTAAGAACCATACTGAAGGGTCCTTTTCGTCTTCTTCGAAAGGAACTTGAAGCACTGTCAGTGAGCGAAGGATTGAGAAATTCTGGTAATATTACAGACCAGCGAAGCTGTTTGATACTCTGACGTTCTTGCCATCATTCTGGCCTAGGAGAACGCCGACGACCCTTTTACCGGAGCCTTTACTCGACCGACCAAAATGATCTGCGGCAGAAAGGAGGACGAGAGGAGCCACCGAGACATTACGCGCCACTAATGAGAGGGTCTCGGCGGTAGTAGTAGGCATTGTAACGCACGTAATGAGGTAGAGACAAGTCCGTACTGTTTCTAGATAGTTGTAGCTTCAAGCTCGAGCTCGTTAAATGTTCAGGACACTAAGACATAAAAATGACCTGATTATGGCTAGCGTCGTTTGATGCCAAAGCATGCATAAACACCTTTTCAGACAGTCGCAAACTCTGGTCTACACTTGCAATGTGAGGGATAGAAATGGAATTTACGTCAATGGCATGAACATTTGTTGCTGCCTACAGTATCACGCTGATCCGTTATGGTGGCGGTAGAATTTGCGCGACGTGGGTTCCGTGGCTCCCATTTGCACTTCAAACACCGGTCACAGCTTGTCAACTGGCGGGCACCTCATGCCAATCAATACTCTGGCAGACTAAAGCAACCTTTACCCTACAAAGAGAGGCCGGAGCTGAAGTCTCTTGCGCAAGCCCACTCAGCAACCTCATCCAAACCCTCCATCTCTCCACCTGACGGTGGTGATCTGGTTAGCTTTACGAAGCGCAAGCGAACCACGATCTTTTACATTGCCATTATCACAGGCGCCGTTATCGTCACATCTTTCGTGTACCTCCAGGTATGAGTCTATCCTGTTGAGATAGTATCGTTGCCAATTGACGGAACAAGTACGCTGATCCGCTACGACTCGAGAACCCTACTGTCGCCGAACGAGACACGTTGATCAAGCGTGAGAATGGAATTACGGCCTCCTCACCAATGCGTCTTCGCATGGAATCCCTCATCAAGTCTGAACAGCAACGGATCGTGAACGAGCTGGAGCGATTTGATCCGACACATAGATTCCGCGTTGATTCTTGGTCCCGACCAAACGGTGGGGGTGGCCTTTCTTGCGTGCTTCAAGATGGTAAGGTGTTCGAAAAAGCAGGCGTAAACACATCGGTCGTATATGGTACCCTGCCGCGTCCCGCAGTCCAGAAAATGCGAGTCAACCATAAAGCGCTTGACCCAGACGTGGAGAGTCTTGAATACTTCGCTGCGGGCTTATCTTGTGTGTTACACCCCGCAAACCCCCATGCTCCAACTGTGCACTTCAACTACCGTTATTTTGAGACAATGGACAAGGACGGGACTTGCAATGCGTGGTGGTTTGGCGGTGGCACTGATCTGACTCCAAGCTATCTCTATGACGAAGATGCTATACATTTCCACCAGATCATTAAGGGGGCTTGCGACAAGCATGACAAGTCCTACTTTTCGAGATTCAAGATCTGGTGTGACAAATATTTCACAATTCCGCACCGGAAGGAGGCAAGAGGCATCGGCGGAATATTTTTCGATGATCTAGATGAGCAGGAGAAGGATCAGGAACAACTGTTTTCATTTGTGAAAGATTGTCTCCTAGCCTTTTTGCCCTCTTATATGCCATTGCTTGAGAAGAGAATCAATACACCTTTCACATCTCAGGAGAAGGAGTGGCAGCAATTGAGACGTGGTCGTTACGTTGAATTCAACCTGGTGCACGATCGGGGCACGAGCTTCGGGCTCAATACTCCCGGCGCGCGGGTAGAGAGCGTGCTGATGAGCTTGCCGCTTACTGCGAGATGGATATACATGCATGAGGTTGAGAAGGGTAGTAGGGAGGAGAGACTTCTCAAAGTGCTGCAAGAGCCAAGAGATTGGGTTTGAAGCAATTTTGGTATCATTCACCGCAAGGCCGGTAACCTTGCTCACATTTTCATGGCACCGACATGCCATTTGGTGCAGTCACCTCTCAAATGGTCTGGATCTTCCGTTCCGTGCGGCCAACCTGCCTTCATCTGTAGGTGTTATAAGTTGTCGTAGTCCCAGAGCCAAGGGTTTCCGAAGAATGCGATCTCGCATTTTCATCAGGGGCTGCGGGTTCAGCGCTAGCGGTGGACGACTGTCGAAAAGAGGTCTTGCATGAAGTCGCCCTCCCTATCAACGATGCTGGGAAAGGTGGCGTTCTCATCGCACATGTCCATTCCGAGCAGGCGCTTGAAGAGCGAAAATGGCTTAGGCGTAATGAGTTGTAAATATGTAGAACTTATTCGCCATAATCCAACAATCTATCCATGGCAGCAGTCTTCTCGCACGCAATGCATTTCTGCAAAGCTGAAGCTACCATGCATACATGCAAATCCCAACCTATCCCAGAGTATTTTTGTTACGCTCTAATGAGTTTCAAGTCCATGCTGGGAAGCTCATCAACCTAGGATCACACGTCAGTGTCCAGCATTGTAGGATTATCCAGGTTTACTTACCGCTTTCCGCTTACCTAATACACTATCGGGGGTGTCAGTGCGAGACGGGGTGGCCTCTCGGCTTCGGTTTACGATAACATCGCTGTGGCAGCTGTCATGATAAATCCTTGATCCAATCTGGATCGCATCCATCCAAACCCAATCCGAAACCTCCTCATTATATGACGCTGTAAATTTTTCCTGGCATATGGGACATGGCTGATTTGCTAGAAAAGGATCCGTTGGGACAGCCACGAATTTCTGCTTCTGTTTCGAAGGAGCGATTGAGGTTGACTTTGCTATCGTGTCTGCCGAGGGATCTACCGGGTTGCCCTCTGGATCGTCGCGTGATTTGATCCATTCTAGCTCATCGACATACCAACTGCGATTTTGAGCTCGCCTCGCTGCCTCATTCATTCTTTGGTTAGTCCGGAAATGCCAGTCATAGTGACGACGCTTCTTCTCTCGTCCTCCGTCATCAGCAAGGAATCTTCTCCCACAAGTAGTACATTGATTCGGTTGTGAGTCATAGAGAAGGGAGACTAAATGCAATCGAGGCCTAAAGAAATCAGTATTGATATTTCTAGTTCAGACAGATCAACATAACCCACATTTTTAGCGATGTAGAGTTTAGCTGAACACCTTTCAGTTCCTGGCGCGATGGAATTACTGTTGTTAGGGGCGGAGTTCCGTAGGGGGGGTTTGAGTAGTACTTGCAACCGACTCGCTTAAGATGCCAGCTCTCTTTAACGATGAGAGTAAATCAGAAACTCCTCCATTAGTAGAGCCTTGAGATGCATTGCCGGCATTAGTCTGTACCGCGGATAGCTGTAGCGGCGTCACAGGTTTTTGGGCATTTGAGATGATGTCTGCCAGATTTTTAGACATAAGGGTCTGTATATCAGTAGACGATGGTTCCGGTAGCTGGACTGGGATTTGTGGTGCTGGATTAGATTGCGGAGAGGGGCCGTGATACAATGTAGGCTGTTGTGGGACTGAAGGAGCATAGATTGTAGGACCTGCGATCGGCAAGGTAGTGGTAGCTCGTGGGACTTTTTGAAGCTGCGTGACTTGATCTCTCACCTGTTGCAGCTGGTCTGGGGGGTGATATTGCTGATGTAATATTGTCTTCAGAGCAATCAAGGCATCCAAGCGGCCTTTTATGGACGAATCGTATGGATAGATTGCAGATTCCCCAAGGGCTAGTCTGATTAGCTCATCAATATCTGTGTGGAGCAATGGTAAATCAATCGGCGGAGACCCCTGGCGATTTGCGTTCGTTGCACGAACAGTATGTTGTGACGCTGGCAAAGATGGCGAAGAATTTGTGTACTGTGCCGGCGGAAGATACACTTGAGGCTGCTAATTGCCCCGATCAGTTGATTCCACAAGATGCCGATGGTCCAGGCTTACCTGCTGAAAAGTCCCAGTCGGCATATGATATTGCTGCTGGCCAGGTGTAGGCAAGGGCTGTCCTGGAGATAGAGGATAATGGCCGTTTGCCTGTGGGGGTGTTGGAGAATTTGTGTAGCCGAGATGCTGTTGAGGTGTTTGTCGACTCCGGGCGGCGGCCTCATTCCTGTTTTGCATCGCTTGGCGATGCTGCTGTTCGAACGCAGCATTTCGGGCTTTGGTAAGGGCTTCTTCTATCGGCCGGACGACCTCGTGAGGGAAAACAGACTTTGTTTCTAGCGAACCTGGGTTAGGAAGCTTCCACGTTTGAAGCATTTCGTCTAGCTTTTGGCGTATTGGAACCCCAACCAAGCTATACGCATTCATAAAGGTGGAAAACAGATTGCGGCTGAGGAACAAGGTGTATGGTGTGCCAACATTCTTGACGATCGAATCAAGTAGGTACAGGGCAGGGAGCTTGCGGCTTGGAGGAGTCTACCAACACAGTCAGGCGGCGAGATCCCAATTGTAAGCCAGCAACACACTGAAGAAACGAGTGCGGAATCGTTGAAAAACCATTCAGAAAGACGAACTGATGACTTACACTCTTAATATGATTCTCCAGAACTCTCGAGATAGCAGATGCATGCTCAATCATCTCTTTCGCAATGACTGTTAGGTTGTTGATCGCCACTCTTGAAGTGTCAATGAGATCCTCGAGGGAACTCTTGTAGTCTTCAGCGGCTTCGTCAGATGGAAGTCCAACAGACATATTGAAGATGGGCCCTGGAAGGGTGGAAGAAGGATGCAGATGAGGGTAGAGGCAGATGGGGTGGGAAGATGCCTTCCAAATAAGGCAACGATGGTAATGCAAAATCCCAATAGTAGAAGCTTTTTAGCTTGCAATCCCGTCTTCTAGCAAAGAGAAATGCCACGGCCTCAACAGTACGCTCGTGAGAAGAATACTGGCACTGATTATTTTGAATCACTGCTAGTCTACCCCCGACCAGGTCTCTATACTTAGTATGTGTAGACCGTGAAGATCCTGCTCCTGAACTCCAGCAATTTTTCTGCGACCTACGACCTCATTTTCCGTAGGAGAGACATCGAAAAACCTTTGGTGGATCAATAGGAAGGACGGTCGTCGGTCTAAGAGGTGCTGGTATAGAGAGTTCGGTTATGCGCAATTTTGATCGGATGTAATGTGTACAGGTGAAGCCAACATGAATAAGCCTATATTAGCACCATGTCAAAGAAGGAGGCATAAACAAGCAGCAGACGTAGAGAGTCGAGGTGTTTGATTAATCGGGAATGAATCTATCTTGCCTTTCAAGTAGATTTCAAAACAAGCGCTTACTGCTAGCGCCCTTAGCCTACCCGAGCTTCAACATGATCCTTTCCTTCAGATCAATATATTGCGATATATATCATGTAATTAGTAGAGCATTGACTAATGGAGGCTTTGAGTATTGATATATTACTATGATGCGCTGACTCCTTCAGCGAACAAGGCCTTGCGAAGGACATAATGGTGGTGGGTCGGCACCTTTGAAGCACGAGTTCACTCGTTTCAGGGTAAAGGCTTGATATTAATTGAACCGGACTCAAAGTTTTCGGCTTGGAGTCAAAGGCGTCTAGAGGCCTCAGATTTCTACTCGAACCAAAAAAAAAATTGGCTCCGTAGAATTCTACCCGCAATCGGGGAATGAGAGAAGGTGTGTCTGGGTAAAGTCTTCATGGAGCTTATATGCACGAATCGGCTTGCCCGTGGGCCGTTATGATGCTGAGATATCGAGGGGACTCGAAGTTGCCAAGCTGTCCGTCGCAAATTATATTGAACAACGCAAGCTCAAGAGCGTCAAAGCTTTAGAAAGGCCATGCATCAATGCGAGCCACCTATTGGTAGCTTGAGCAATGCCACTTAATTGACTATTTCTGCTATTAGATTACAGTCGCCAACGACTTGCAAAAGATCGAATCGATCGTAGTTCGAAAATTGTGTTACTTATAAGCATGTTATGTCGTTGGTTCTTGCGTCCAACTAGGCGCATTAAATACCTACGAAAAGTAACGCGGGAACCCGTCGACGACGCTGGCTTTCACTTGACAGCAACTATGGTCTCCAGCTATCCTCGGTTGATTCGTAATAATGATCTGCAATAAAACCTGCGTTCCCAATGCTCCTTTTGCTTGTTGGAGTGTAAAGCGATGGCTGAAAATGGGGCCCTCACTTTAGACACACAAGAAGCGCTTGTTGAATGGGTACTATTCTCCGCCCAATATACCGCTCAATTACTGACCATGTACATGGTAGATAAATAGCTTTCCATTGACGACACCAGTGTCATCACTTGCAGAATTGAGTGATGGCCATGTTCTATGGGAGATGCTAGGTGCGTGAAATGCTGAGCACCACAAGCAATGCTTAGGTGTGATGCAGTATACATCGATGAGCAGCACTTCAGTGAGGATTTGCCGAGTTTCAAGCAGTCCTATCATGCGCGGCGTCAAAATCGTACGTGTAACAGCGAGGTTGCGAAACCTACATGGCTGATAGCCTTACAGTCCAATACATGCTGAGTCGTATACAAGAACGGCTAAGAGAACAAGACCAGGGCTACGATACAATCACACAGAATGACATACATGAAATGACTGCAGAAGACTCGGCTGAACCTGTCGCAAAGGCAAGTTGGTAACCATTCATCGGGACTCTTATCCTCGCTGACCGTCCTGGAAAGTTCATCCGAATGATACTTCTCATAATCCTCTCGTCTCCGAGATTGAGCGAGCTAGTGGCAACGATACAGACACTTTCCGAGGGCACGCAACAGGCCGTTGGTACGTTAATGCAGGAGGTAGCACCAGAAATAGTATCAAATGAAGCTGCAATTCTGCCTGAGCTTCTGAACGAAGAAGAGCAAAGTGGAGTCCCGCCTATTTCTCCAAAACCTGACCTAAGAGCGGAGGTACTTCAGCTTGAGGAACAATATGCCAAGATTGCCTCCCAGCTAGAGCGCTTGAATAAAGACTACAAAGACCTAGAGAGGGACCATCACTCTGTGTGTGGGACCTTGGAGAGATCACAGAAAACAAACGTCAGTGCCTTTCTATATTCGTGGCTGGCTCCTAATACCTCCTAGGACGCTCTAGCTTCCCAGGTCGTAGAACGAGACGACCAATTGAAGAGATTGAGCTCTGTGAATAGTCAGCGAGAACAGTCGTCAGTCCGCGAGCTCGAAAACAAGATTTCCCAGCAAGAGGAGCTCATTTCCAGGCATGAGAGCGACCTTACGAAGGCGCACACCCAGCTGCAAGAGTCTCAACGCGAAAAGAAGAAATTGTTTGAGGAAAGCGATAGGCTTCAAAAGCTTCAAGATGACTACGACGCAACGAAGCTGGAGCTTGAGAAGCAAAGCCGAAAAGCCAATACGGTCGACAAGTATGTGCAGAAACTCCAAACAAGTCAGGCTGCAGAGAGAGAAAGAGACGCACTACGGCAGGAGCTAGAGGAGGTTCGCACGGAGATAGCTTCTGCGGCAAGTCTTCAAAGGGAAAATCTAAAGCTACAGAAAACAAACGATGAAGTGAGCCGAACACTCGCCCAGATTGAGCGGGAACACGGAGAGCTACACGTGTCCACGAAACAGCTTCGTTTAAAATGTGGAAGGCTTTCACAACAAGTAGACGATCTTAACGAAAGATTTGCTCAGGATCAAGAGACTATTGCCGAGTTCAGAGAAACCAAAGGTGACGTTCCAAATCCCGCTTCACCAACGAATAATAACCAGTTGGATGGCGAATTACTCATGTCTTCCGAACGTGATACCGACTTGTAAGCGAGCAAGACTTTTTGTATTGGTATGAGGTTTTAATGTCCAGCAGAAAATCGCGCCTCTCAACTTTAGAGAAGGACCTTGCAGATCGAGATGCAACAATCACGAACCTTCGACAGGAACGAGACGAAGCTAAAGCCACTTCAGATGAACATTCCAAGGAGCTACGGAAATTGCAACAGGATACTATCGTTATAGAGAATTCATTTAACCAGGTTCATCACGGACATCCTGTAGAAGGGTTTGTAGCTACCACCTTACCCAGGCTCCGAGTACTGACAAAACTAAAAGGACTGAAATATTCAGACGTATGCGCGACCAATGCAATACTGCTGAAGCCCAGCGATCACAATTAGACAATAACAACAACACACTAAGAGTAGAAATCCAGCGTTTGAGGAATGAAAGAGAGGCTCCTCCACATAACCCAAGAAGCTTTAACGGCACAAGTGAGAGCCAAACGTTCGAGGAGCTCAAGCGACAGGACCTTGAAAGCCTGACTCTTTCACCATCCAAAAATGAGGCTAGGAAGCAGGACCGGGAGGTATGGAAGGGCGAGACGGATGAGGGGCCTCACCACGAGGTGCTTAATAAGGCAAACTTAACGAAAGACCTCACAGATGGGGAGCCGACAAACATTCTCAAGGAGTCACGCGATTCCTCGGTTGAGCAAAGCAAGGTAAGTGACCCTTCCCAACCGTAGAGGGGGCCCTGCGGTTTTTTACTCAAAGCCCGGGTTTTGCTACAAGCTAGGGACTGATGTTTGCAGCAGGTGGATGAGATGGACAACAGAGACGCCAGTGACACATTCGGCTATAACGAAGCTCACTCAAGCCGCCCAAGGGACATCAACAGTCTCGAGGTAAGCAGCTTATAATACCTTTTTCGGTCGCCATGCCTGACTACTTTGTTTCCTCTAGCCCCAAACTCGCAGCTATATTCAGAATCTAGAGCTTGAGACTCGACTTATGGCATCAGCCTATCACGACATATCGAGCAGGCTACAAATGCACAATGTGACCCTTCAGCGTCGAGCTGAACCGCCAAAGAACTGGCTAGGCCGTCAGCGAAGAGCCCTCGAGGGTCCAATCGGGCTTGCTCGATAAGAGGGCCTTTTGACAGCTCCTCTGAGCCGATGATTTGCCTCACTCAGCGCCGGCGTTTAAACCTTGGAGGCCTGGTTGGTTTTTAAAGATACCCAATCGTTATTGCAGCAAATCTAGGAATAGATATCTGACAATTGTACTTGATTCTCAAGGATACCCAAAGTGTTGTCGGGTTTAGAAAATAGATCCGATGACCGTATAGGCCTTCCCAATTACGATTGACGTAGTACTCATACATGAGTGAATCGTGTAGACATTTGTTCAGAGATCCTCACTCTGAGGGACCTCTGTCAGCAGCGGCACGAATGCGAAGTAAATTGTGCCATGCGATGAATCTTGGTGGTCACTGGCATCGCGTGCTTGCAGCGCGTGCTCATCCTCAGCACCAGGAATGCTCGGACCGAACCATGATCCACTTAGATCGCTCTTTGATTTATACCATCCTTCCGTCCCCCCTTTCGAGCTCTTTACCTTTTCCATTCCATTCGTAGTCGGCTTTCCATTTGATTCTTTCCCAACCCAACGACAAGATATCGGCGTAACTGACACTGGCCGTATCTGGGTATTGCGGATGTACGAGGCCAAAGTTGGAAGTCCCAATACTGTCCTTGCTGGCACCTTCACTAGGCTCATGCATCTCTGAGCTCTTTTGGTATACCGCCCGTTCGCTCTCACGCTCCGCATCCAATCTTGATTGTTGCTCCGGGCTGACCACTATAGAAGATGATCGTAAGCCTAGGCGCTTCTCATTCTCCTCTCTTCGAATGCGTATAAGCGCAGCAGATATGCCGATGGAGACCGCAAATACGGGATCTGCAGAGCGAGAGATGATGTACTTCGCTATTGGCTTTGCTTGTGACATCTTCATGAAAGCCACAAGAAAGGCTTGCTTGTCAGTTCTATAGCATGAGGACCGAGGGGCAAGGCTGATCTAATCTCAATCTGCATTATGAACTAGTTCTACGGCAGATGCTACACTAAGCGGGTATCTGGGATCACAAATGCGCAGCCTCATTATTAGCTCTGGCCGCTGGAGAAGGGGGCTTTCGTCAGCTTCAATCTCCAGTTGCAATTCAGATCGTGATTGCCAGACGTGAGAAAAGAGTGTTGCAAAGTCATTGCTTTTGGGCATTTAAAACGTAGACGTGCGTACATGAAATCAATCTCTATTGCAGTTTACCCCATAGCATACTCATGTTGAACGCTTGGTAAACAGCTTGAACAGAGATGCATAGATTCAGGACTAATTTCGAATTCTAAACTGTGGGGTGAAACTCTACATCGTCCCAGTGGTAGATTGCAGCGTTTTTGTTGCGAAATGGACGCCAAGTGAGCAATTGACCAGGGCCGTCATCATTTCCTTTCAATCCCATGTGATTCGATCCGGAGTAAGAATAAACCCAAGTACCCAGCCCTAAACGCCGGTACAGTACCCTCGTGAGACCAACAGACCCTCAGATTATGGACACTTTCGTCGCACAGTCTCCAGGCGTTCTTAGGCAGCGCCACCAAAGGTATTCTCCCCAGAATATCTAGCAAACACACCATTAGTCCCTATTATTTATTGGATGGACATAATTAAAGCTTTAGCGACAGCACTGCACTTACGTGATGTACAAAAACCCGTCTTCATCTTTGTGTTCTTCATAGATCGAGCTCATTAGAGCTGCAGTAGGCGGGAGAACCTCATCGACGAAGATGAAAATGGCTTTTTCTGGAGAGAGCTTGATGCGTTTGCGGATGACATATACGAACTGACCGACAGTAAGGTCGGATGGGACCAGATACTTCTTTTTGTCGATAGTCGCAATGTCTGATTTCTCTACCTTTTCGCAAATGACCTACAACAATCACCGGGTTAGACATCGTGCCGAATACAAGCAAGGTATATAGTATGGGCTTTTTTGAGATCTTGTAAGAGTGCTTACTGGAATGCGGTCTGCATATTTTTGGCGAATGCGTTCTGCTTCTGCCTTGCGCTTTTCGAACGGATGCTCGTCCTTGAACTTGGATCGCATGATGATGATGACTCGTGACTGTTGTATTTCGACTGCTTTAGAGATGCGCAGTGAGATGAATGAGATGAGAATTGTTGTGTTTGATGTAGTTGAAGGGTGACAAGAAGAGGATAAAGATTGAAAGAGTGAAGAAATTCAGGCAGCGGGGTTGAGTAATCGCGGCAGCTTGCCACGCGCTAGCACAACCCTACTCGCGAGCTCTAGTACGAAACCGTCATGAGACCCGCATGCGCAGCTTTTTCAAGGCTTTTAATTAGTAGACCATTTATATCTATATATCTCTCTCTCCCTAAAATAATATTTTAAGGCTAATAGTCTAAATACTATTACTCTTTATCTAATAAAAGTAAAATAAGTTTTATAATTACTATTATAATAAATTATTAAAGAAAAAGAAATTATTTAAAATAAATATTAATATTTATTACCTTTATTAATATTAAATATATATAATAAGTTTAAAAGAGATTTTTATTTATTAAGATTTATTAAGGAAAGAAACTAATTCTAAAAAAGTAAATTATTTATATATAAATATTAATATTTATTAACTTTATTAATATTTAATACTAAGTATTTAATATATAAGTTTTATTTAAACTTTTATATTACTTTCTTTTAAATAATTATTATTTTTAAAAGAGTTTAATAAAAAAAGTTATTAAATATTATATATAATTATAAAAGTTTATATTATTTATAAAATAATAACTTTTAAATTCTTTAAAATTAATATATTTTAATTAATTAATTTATATTTATTTTATTTTTAAGTAAAATATAATATTTTAAAACTTTTTTTTATAATACTATATATATTAAATAAAGTTAAAATATTTTTTAAAAATAAAGAAAATATAAACTAAAGATTTTATAAAGATTTTTAAATAAATATAAGTTTAAAGATTATTTAATTTAATTAAAAATAAGTTAAATATAATATTTAATATAAATCTTTTAATAAATTTAAAAAGTATTTATAATAGCTCTAGGCCTAGCTTAGTATAAATATTTATTTAGAGTAAGCACTAAGCCTAATTAGGTTTAGTATATATACTTATCTATACTTTTATCTAATTCTTAGATAGACTTCTATTTATAGTTAAAGTTTTATTAATCTTTTAAACTATTATTTTAAAACTTTAATAAAATTCTAATTATTATTAGTATAAGGGACTTAATACCCCTATTTATAATAATAATAATAAAGATACTATTTAAATATAATAAAAATATATAGAAATAATATTATAATATTTTTTAAATATTATATAATTTAATAAAGCTATTAGTATCTATATACTTAAAATACTTAAATATAATAACTTATAAATTAGAAAAGAAGGAAAATATATAAGATATTATTAGGAAAACTATAGATATTATATACTCTATAATCTATAATCTTAGTAACGCCCTACTTTTAAATAGCTACCCTTTTTATATTCTATTTAATATTAATAAAACCCCTAAGTAATTCTTTAAAAATAACTCTAATATAAAGACTAAATATAACCTTAATTATATTATTATTAAAAATAAAGCTTTATAAGAGTTAACTATAGTTATATACTAGTTTAAAATATAAGAGGTAGATATTATAAAAGATAAAAAAAATTATAATAAAATCTAAAAAATTATTAATTAAATTAAAAACATATTAGTAATACTATTAAAATAAAAAATTATAAAAAAAAACTTATTTTATTTTTAATTTTAAATAAAGCGACACTATCTACTTAAGCGAAATAAGTAAAGATACTATAACCTATATATATAATATAGTAGAGTTAGTAAAAAGTATTAAAAATAAGCCTATAATATAATATAATACTACTATTAATATAATTTAATAATATATAAATCTAAGTATAAAAACTAACTATTAATAAATAATAAGTTAAATATATATTACGACCTTGCATAATAGGTATAACTAAGTAATCGCTATAGTATAGAGACTATAGCTATACTAGGTTACTAGGAAGAATAACTAAAAAAAGGAAAAGATAGCTAAAGTACTTAAGTATACTTAAGTATTAAGAGTACTAAACAACCTTTAAATTAAATAAGCTTAAAGTAATTAAAGGTTGAGTACTATTAAGCAAGTTAAGTAAAATTATATATATAGAACCTTTTATTCCCCTTTTTAAATAGATTTCTTTATATTTAATATAAGTTTTATTTTTTACTATAAAATCTAAAATAGTTATAACTTGATTCTATTTTGCTATTTTGCCTTTATTTGTCTTTTAACCGCTATTTATATTCTAGGAAAACTAACTTACTTATTTATAGTTAAATTAGCTAATACTATTTATTAGTTTAAATACTAAAGTTGTAATATATTAAATATTTTTAAAATAAATATAACTAGATCTATAATAGATAGGCAATGCCCTTAGTAAAAATAAATAATACGTTGACTAACTGCTACTAAAAAGGATAGAACTAAACCTTTAAAGCCTAACCTTTATTATAAAAAAAAATAAGCTTAACAACTAGTTATTCTAGTTAAATCTCTATTTTAAATTAATATCTAATATTAGGGATAAGATTAAAGTAGCTTTTATAGCAATTTATATAAGAGATAAAATACTATTATAGATTAATTTAGACTTTAGAAAGTATATAAAGATAGCTAGTATTAAGACTTATAAATAGATCGAAAACTATTCTAAATTTAAAAAACAAATTTAATAAGTATTTAGACTTACTAATAAGGAATAGTATATTAAATTAGTAATATAATAACTATAATAAACTAAAAAAGCAGCTAACTATGCAATTATCTTCTAATATTATATAGCAATAATAGAATAGAATAATAAAGCTTAAATATTTATATTTAAGCAAAAACTAAAGGATAATATTTAAATTAAGCTTATATATTATAGTAGAAAGATTAAAAATACTAATAATCTAATAAAAATAGTAATTAAAATTAGTAATAAACTATATTAATAATATATAGAATAAAATAAATAATAAAAATAGTATATAGGACAAGTTATTATAAGATATAATAATAATATAATAAAATACTAAGGACGCTATAACTATAAAGTAAAATAGCTAAAAAATACTAATCTATAAAATAACCCTATAGAGCTAGATATATTAATACTATAATATAATAGTAAAGGCAACTATAAAAAGCTTAACTAAAAAAAGTATTATAGATATAGTAAAATAAAATATATTATATATAATTATTAGTTAAAAAACTAAGTATAAAGATAATTAAACGTTTTATAAAAACTTCTATTACTATGTTTATTATTAATTAATAATAAAAAAGCTAAAAGCTTAATAAGTAATATAAATTTAGATATATTATCTTTTATAATAATAGACAACAATGCCTAAGAATAAATATTAATTAAATATAAAAAGTAAAAATAAATCAATATAATAAATAATATTTTATAAAATATAGAAGAAATATATAAATTACTTAATATAGATTTCAATAAAATAATAGAATAACTTAAATAAGGATAATAAATATATAGATAATATAATTATAAATAAAACTATTTTAGAAATAAGCTATAGAACTTTTTTAATAAACTAAGATAATATAGAAATATAGAACTAAGAAATAGCAATAAATAACTTTTTAAAAAAGTACTATATCTATATATTGATTTCTAGCTTAGATACTAGATAAATAATACTATATATATATTAGAAGATAAAGTCTTTAAAATAACAATATAATAAATTATCTATTAGGAATCTTATAAAAAAACTATTTAGACTAATTATATAATTAACTAAAGTATATCTTATTTAATTAATAAATATAAAAATAAATTCTTTCTAAAATATAAAAACAAATAATATAATTTATATTGCTAATCTTTAATAAAAAAAACTTAAAAATAGAATATACTTATTATATATTTTATAAAAAAAAGATTAGCCTTTAATATAATAATAAAACCTTATATAGTAATATTATAAAAGCGTATTATATAAAATATATTAAAATAAGAAATTATAATAAAAAATATAACTTAAAGCAATAATTAATAATTTTAATAAAGCGTAAAATATTAAAGGATATAACCTATATATTATAATAAATATATAGTTTAATAATATATTAATAACTATATTAGTAGATATAAAAGCAAAAAAGAATTATATTTCGGAATAAAAGGTATAAGAAATATAAATTAAAATATAAATAATAAATAAACTATATATAATTATAATAGCTATAAAAAATATAATAGGAATTAACCTAATTATAAAAGAAACTATATAAATAATAATAGCTATTTAATAGTATTATAAAAGTATAATATTTAATATATTTAAAATAGCTATTTATAATATTATATTAAGAATACTTTAGTTAAAGAAGCAGAACTTAATTATTAACTAGCTATTTAGAAACCTAAAGTTTAAAGATAAATTTATTATTAAAGCCTAGAAGCTTAAGTAGTCTATAATTATAATCTTAAATAAAAGAATTTAATAAAACGTTATAGGTACTTATATATCTTAGATTTTAAAAAATAAATAGCTAAGTAGTATATTAATTTTAGTAAATATAGAAGAAAAGTTAACTAATTATAAAGCTAGAAAAAAAAGTACTAATAAAGCTCTTATATTATTAAAATATAAAAAATAAATATACTTTTTTAAAGAAAAAAAAAAAAAAAGCGTTGCTACTATATTAACTTTAAAACTATTAGATTAAATTAATTAATAGTAAATAACTAATATTTAAACTTATATATTAACTATTAAAAATAGAACTTAAAGCTCTAAATAAATATTTAAAAGAAAACTTTATAAAAGGATTTATAAAGCTATTATCTTTTTTAGCTAAATATTTAATTCTTTTTATTTTAAAAAAGAATAGTAAACTATAATTATATATAAACTATAAAAAGCTTAATAATATTATAATAAAAAATTAGTATTTATTATTAAATATAAATAAATTTAGAAATTAACTATAAAAAGTAGAATAGTTTTTAAAA